GCCGTGGCGGGGTTGGCGGCTGCTGGGGTTGCACAAACACCGATCGGACTTTGCTCAGGGTGGTGACGAGTTTGCTTGCTGTAGGGTTTAGGCTGTACACACACACGGTACGACACAATCTTTGGCTGCCACTCTCTCATACTCCACTATCCAACGTGCTCCGCTTCAAGCGATCAACAGCCTGGTGATCGACCGCCCTGCAGCCTTGAGCTCTTCCTACCCGGGCTTTGCGACTTGCTGTCGGCTGTCGTCTGATCGTAATCGACCAGGAGGCTAGTGTGCTACATGGACACGACATCCGAATCCTCTCAAGATCCGCCCTAGTTTTTGTTGTCGGGTGTCACAAATCCTCCGAACTACCCGGACTTGGCTTGCTACCGTCTGCAGAGAGCAAAAGCAGCTCCTGCTCTAAGTCCCCCGGCTCCTCGACCTCCATGTGCAGCAATATCGCTAGTATCAATCGAGAAGGCGAATCACCTCGGCCAATCCACCGTTGCAGACCGTCAGAAAACGGCAAATGCTTGCGGCAAGGGGCTGCACACCACCATGCAACATAGTAGACCCAACTGCCCCTATCTCCGGCGGGCAGCCACGCGTTGTCCATTCTGGGCTCCTGCTTGTGGCCGCGTCTGCCACACAAAGTGGCTGGCTGTTTCAAGATGACAAATCTCTGAGAAATTCTCAAATGGCATTCTGAGAGATCCCCCGTCGAAATGGAGTAATTTGCATTCACCGAGGCCGCGTCTGGCCGTTTTTAGTGACCACGAGCACACCTGCTGATGCGCCTCCTTCGCTCCGCTATCCTGGCTTACACAGTAAGGCTCCTAACCCTCCAGGTTGGCGCACACCAGCCGCTATCATGCCAGTATTGGTAGCATCGGGATAGCGATGCTCACATTGTGTCTCAATGTCGTGGGGGTCATGCGCCATAGCCTTTGCCCCGTCTCAAGTCCAAGGGTCATGATGGCGGCTCGAGCGTCGATGCTCAACGAGAAGCTGGTCGCCTTGCGAGCCGGAGCACACCTGGCTTGGCTGTGTGATGGCTTTGCAGTTGATATATAGGATGAGTGCTTGCGTTTCCCACAAGTGGTAATAATCAGCACAGGTGCTAAGGGCTGTCTCCAAGGTGACAGCCCAGGCCATTCAGAATGTGCCATTCGCAACCACCATGTAGCACTGCTCACCTTTGCAATTAATGTGCATCCGCTCCCTGTCTATTTTTCCGATCCATGCTTGTAGCCTGCATATCTAAACCACATACGAAGATTTCCATAGCAAAACACGACAGTGAGGAACAGGCAAGGAGACATTCCGAGACAAAGAGCACATGAGCGAGGGTCAATAAAACCACTGAGCCTGGTTATTTCAATCAGGCCACCTTCAAGAATACGAAACTAGAAAATGGCTTCAAAAATCAAATACTGTAGCTCTTTCCTTTTCTTAGATGACCCCGGCGATCTTCAATAGCTTTCGCGCACATTGACTCGAATTTGGCTCTCCTTCGGCACGGGGACGTGCCGAGCAGCCTCGTTCATATCTGCTTACACTCCTCTTCTTTCACCGGTACAAGAGCAATCCATACAATGGACAACCGACTGCACGTTGACGTGCCCATTGTGGAGAAGGTAGTCCCTGGAAGACTCACCGTGGTTGGGTCATGAATGCTGAAATTACTACCTACGTGTACCTCGCACTTTCACCTTCTTCTCCACCGCAGAAGTCCGACCCAGCCATTCAGGGGCGAGTAAACGAAGGCAGCAGATATATACAAGGGTCTCGGATGTGTTTCAAGAGGGCGAAACACTAAGCAGCGTTGGCCTTTGCTTATAAGGCAGTCCTATCTGATATTTGACAGTCCATAATAATTTGCAAGTTTTCAATTTGACCTGCGGGCCTCAAAAAAGAATTGCGCTTATTGATCCGGATAAAAATTGAGTTGGTCCCGTGCGGCGGATTTTTCGCCCCCTTATACAACATGGCTGCCAGCTGATTCCACGAAAAAAAGGAAACACAACATCCAGCCGCAAGAAGAAATCGCCCTCGTATTTCCACCACTTCCATAAATTCATATTACGAGAGGGCTTTCTTTCTCCTAAAAAGTGGCACAGAGCAGCACAGCAAGTTCTCCGGCGGCGAGATTATCCGTTTGGGGACAAGGCCCAACGCCACATAGCCATGAGTGAGAGGTATCATGCATAAGCCCCTCTCCACTCTGTTTACGGGGATCGGTTATTGGTCTAGCCTGTGGTCGTAAATGTCTCCGTTTTAGGAAATCATCTTACTGACTTACTGGCGCTTACATTTTATCAAATAATCACCACAGCGGTCGACACGGCCTCGAAGAGATTTACATCACAAGTGGTATTAGTCTTTCACCTGGCCACGAGGCAAGATTCGGCCACCCTCGGACATTCCGAGGGAAAAGGTAAGAATTTTTGAGAATTACAAATAATACGGAGAATTTTCCAGCACACCAGTCCGGCAGAGACTTCTGGACAGGCAAAAAATCTCAGAACCAGCGAGTCCAGCATCATCCAGTGAGACGGCTCGCAGCCCGTTGGACAACCCCCCAAGCAGCGATCTTCAAATATATGACACTTTAGGAAAGTCGACCGAAATCCTAATCCACGATAAGGTCATTTAAGTATACCCTTAACAACAAGTTGCGAAAGTCAAACGTTTCCCTGCATTCATGGGCCGAAAAGAATGCTATTTCAAGTTGAACAATAAGTGCATCAAAAAATTACTTGAAGACGTGCAGATGTGTTATTTTGGCTGCATGAGTTTTATTTCTAAGAGAGAAGACAGTTCGCGAAGACATTTAAACATTATAGAATTAACCCCTTTGGCTGTGGTAGGTTGATTGAAGAGGAGTTGCGGATGTTAATTGAAATACCACTAGCACCACGAAAGTTGTTTAAACATAGTTGGATTGAGTTCGAGGATTGTCTATCAGTAACAGATGGCCATTGCGCATCCGAATGCGCAATACTACTCGCCTCGCGCGGCTCCAGTCTCACAGTATTCCTCAGACGGCTCATCGACAAGACTCGACATGATACATTTAAGAAACACGGTTATGTGCGGATTCAACTATAATCACCATGAGCCTGAAGAAGGTGCTCGCGCATGGTATATATGGTCTTGGACAAAAAGCTTCATGCCTCCAAGTCTTTGCAGTTTGGAGTCTTCACTCACACAAATGATCCAGCCCGCATATATTGCAATGGGAAGAGCCATTACTTGAATTCCCACAAATGTATCGTATTAGCCCAGTGTTGGTCGAGCCACAGAATGTCGAGTTGGTATTCAAAAAATCTTGAACAGGATTGCAAAAACTTTCAAAGAGCTCAAGGCGCGCATCTCCTGTATTTTACTGGGGCTCTAACGTGCTTGATCATCAAAATCCCTCATCAGTGAACTCCCGTTGCCTAAAGAATTGAGGCGATTTAGGTTCAAACCGGAGGCCAGACAAAGTAGGGAAAGTCAGACACTCAGAGGATCTCGAGTTCCATCGTAGGGGTATGGCAGATCGTCAAACATGGTATTAAACATTTCAATTACCATCGAAATTCTCTCTATTTAAGGTTTTTCTTCGGGTCAGACCTTGTGAGGCAATCAACGAGGAATACGAAGCAGCGATTGGCCTTAGCCCCCTTACGAGCTATGCTCCATGTAGTCAGAGGGAGACCAGCCTCTCTCTCATCCCGTAATCGGATGTGCAAGTATTGGAGAATACACGCGTCAAAGGGTGAGTTAAGAGCCTTACACTGAGCTTCGTAGGGAAAGAAAAATGGGGGAGAGGGAGTTCAATTCTTGGCAAGAGGAAGTTTTGAACAGTCTACGTCTGGAAATCTTTGAGCTTCAGAATAATTCAATAGCTCCAAGTTGCTCTTTCACATGCTCTTGGTGAGGGACACCTGTGTTTTCATGTGTCTTTTCGCATGTGCCACAAATCCTTGTTCCCAACCAGGACAGGGAACGAGTCATAGTCCTGGTCACCACTGCCTCTCATGTGCCAGCTATCAAATATAGAGTACCTCTGTCCCAATATGAGAGCTAAGGTAATTAGCATCTAGTGCCAGGCCTCAGAGACAAAGATAGTAACCTTTGGAGACTGTCTAAGCGGTCAGAAGAGAGTTACAGACGGGTGACCTCGCGGCGAAGTCTGTGGAGACCACGGGAGGTATTACCTTGACTAGGTGGTACTGATTACATGAAAATCGAGAAGAATACAGCGCCGGAGTCTCCGCCGCGGCTGATTTCATACGAGATGGCGTGGTACTCGAATGTCCATCACGCCGGTCAGCTTACCTGATGCATATGTAATCATGCGAATTCGCCTCTTGAACAAGCGCAAATATACAAAACTTAGCAGATTGAGTGTTGATTATTTATTCATTGACTATTTCGGGCGCACAAGCTTGCATGTGACGCGTCCTGGTGCTAGTTTTCTTTTTTCCTCCGAAGTGTGGTCCATCCAGCAGATAGTCTAAGATCACCAAACAGTGGGACACGAGCGTTTTGTGGAACTGAGGCTTCAGAGTTCAATATCGTCATTTCGCGCACCAAGAGCCGACTACATCAAGTCAATTGACGTGAACACCCGATTGATAGTCAACTTCCTACCTCCAGGAATTCAATCTGACCCATATTCATTCATTGGCGATAAAGGATGCGCGCTTTTGTCATGGTTCAATACCAGCTAACTTTTGACGTTGTCACTTCAACTGGCAATTGTTGCTGGTCCACCATTGATACCGATCATGTTACAGAGCCAACAAACTACCGAAGCAGACATTGTAATACAGCGAAAAGGTTTTAGCTTGGTAGACCGTGAGTATTACTCTCTGCAAGATTTGTAGTCATTGGTAGGCTCAAGCGTGTTTTTCGAAGTCATTGGCATGGTTCGAATGAGAAAGGATCGTTTAACTGCGTGTGCGAACTCAGTAGTTGTGCTATTTCAATGCTGTACCTCGCTCGAACCACTTTTCTGTCACTTATGTGGACTTAAACAACTTGCCTCCTTTCCACACATGAGTGATATTGGTCGGATCGGTGAGGACATCGACATCATCAAGAGGGTTCTTGGAAACTGCAATGATATCGGCGTCGAAGCCCTCCTTCAGTTGCCCTGCCTGGGGACCCTGCCGACCGAGAGTCTCGGGCGGCGTAGCGGTAGCAGCCTCGATAGCCTGCAACGGCGTCATGCCAGCGACTTTCATCCAGTGAAGTTCCTTAGCGTTACGACCATGAGCAAGAGGATTCTTCCGGTCGCTGCTTAAGGTGTCTGTGCCGAGCGCCACACGGACGCCCTCTGCAACGGCGAGCTTGTAGCTGTCCCTGCTCAGCTGGACTAACCGATTAAGCTTCTTGAGCAGTACGGGCGGGAGGTCTTGCGACCCAGCGGCGAGACTCTCAACGATGTGTCTTGTAGGGACCAGGATGGCCCCTTTCTCCTTCATAAGATCCGCAACCTCCTTATCCAAGTACATGCCGTGCTCGATGCTCTTGACTCCAGCTCGCAGGGCGTTGATGATGCCAGGCTTGCCAATCGCATGAGCAGCCACCACCCGACCACTCCTCGCTGCTTCATTCACAATTGCCTCAATCTCTGCGGGCGAGAATTGCGTGTCCTCTGGCTGGTCGTTGATACTCAACACACCGCCGCTGCTGCAGATCTTGATGACTTTTGCGCCGTTCCTAACAACCGATCGGACCATCTTGATACAATCGTCCACGCCATCACAGAGAGCGATCCCGTTGCTCCCATCGTTTTCACCCCGGACCAACCCCAACGGGCAGTCATGCTGGTCGCCATGCCCTCCCGTGATGCTGAGCGCACAAAGAGCTGAGTACACAGTAGGGCCCACAATGGCTCCGTTGTCGATCATGGGCTGGAGGTAGCCTGCCATTCCGCCGAGCTCACGCACCGATGTGAACCCTGCCATGAGAGTGGCACGAAGGTCGTCCACAGTCACGGCACCGATCTGGAACTGAGTGCCGGGCATGAAGGATTTGATTGCATCGTTTAATCCGCTCACAACGTTGGCTCCTCCGAAATGCGTGTGGACATCCCATAGACCGGGCATGATAGCGCCAGAGTGCTTGGTGAAGGAAACATCGCTGTACTTTGAGGGGAGATCGGCGTAGGGGCCAACCCAGACGATAATGCCTTCCGAGATTGAGATGACGATGCCGCCATTGGGAATGGGTTCACCGCGCCCTGGGATCAGTACATCAGCACGAACACCGAACAGGTCTTTCGAGTCGGAACCACCGCCCATTGTGTCGCTGGTGACGTCGTTCGTTGAGTTTCGTTCGGCAAGTCGGTGAGGCACTCTCATGGTGGTGGAGGCTTGATAAGGAGCGCTCTGACAGATTGAGGTAAGCTGCGCAGGACAGTGCAGAAGGAAATGCACGAGATGTATTATATCGGTAGGTCAGTACTGATATAAGCGTGATCACTGCATCATCACGGGTAAACCTTCACTCCGCACACTGAATTGATAGGGATGATAGGCTCAGGCGCCTCTTACCGTTGAGTTGACCTTCCAAAGGCGGGTAAGCTCTGATCCTCGCGTTCGTCCCCGGCAGCTAGACCGGGGGCGGCACCGAGGGGTCGGGCCTAGATATTTAGAGTTCATTCCAAACATTCTAGATTATTGAAATACGCATATCCTATTTATCGTCCTCTCAGATTGTTGTCTCTTGCCTATGAATGAAGCCGGCTCTCTGATTTGAGATGTTCCTCACTGTAGTGCATAATGCAGTAGTCAGCGATCCTGCGCCCAATCGTCGTGGGTACTCTTAGCCACATATGCATGCAACACAGGCGGGGCAGACACATCACTATGCCCCTCCGGAATGAGAATTTCTCCTGCTACGCGAATGGTATCGGTCCTTGGAGCCACTGCAGCAAGCAGCTTGGATGTGCTATTACCCATGATGGAAGCTCTCGCAGCCATCGGCCTGGCCAGCAATGTGGCACAGTTTGTCGAATACGCAATCCAGTTCACCAAGCTTGCACACAAGCTTGCCTCCGGTGATGGCGGGGCCATCAGAGAGCATGAAGGCATCACTGCGATTACAAACAGTATGGCTGAGGCAATGAAGGAAATCGACCAGACCAGCACAGACACAGCACTCAATAGCCTTGCGAGCCAATGCCTTCAGGTAGCCACCGATGTCCAGGGCATCATTAATGATCTGTCCAACAGACCAGATGCCAATCTAATCCGCAGCCTGCATAAGGCTGGCAAGACATTTTACAAGCAGAAGGAAATACAAACACTCTCAGACCGGCTGTCAAACATGCGAACTCAAGTCTCTCACCGCTTATTGACTTTGATACGGTCAGTCATTGCTTTGAGCCGGCGATAGGAACCGCGCTGATGCAGTGAAAAGCGCACAACAGCTCTCAATAAAAAACACCCTGGAAACTCTGGTACCTTTAGCTGAGGAATACCACCAGCGTTTTGCGAAGTCGCTGCAGTTGACTGTTGACATTCTTCAAGGAGTCGCCCAGAAATTGGACAGCACGAACAACATCCCAGGTCCTCCAGGTCATAAAAGCCTCTCCAGTTTCAACAAGACATTATCCTCCTCACGTCTGGGAACTGTGGCCCAAGAACAGATCGATCCGTACATCAGAAATGTCGAGGAGCTCATCAGCCAGAAGAAAGAATCGATATTACGGAGTCTGTATTATGAGCAGCTCAGGGAGCGAGAATTCGCTATCACAGATGCTCATACGAAAACATTTCAATGGGTCTTTGGCGCCAATACAAAATTCAGGTTCCGTGAGTGGCTCCGGGAAAAGAATGGAATCTACTGGATTGCTGGTAAGGCAGGGTCGGGAAAATCGACGTTGATGAAATTCATCATCGAGCAACACGCTACGAACAAAGCTTTGCGAGAGTGGGCAGGCAGCGCTCAGTTAGTGATTGCAAAGCACTTCTTCTGGAGTCCGGGAACGGCGATTCAGAAATCCCAGGAAGGGCTCTTCCGGGCAATTCTGTTCCAAATCCTCAGCCAACGCCCGGACACAATCGAAAAAGTCTGCGCAGAAAGATTTCGCGCACCATACGCAGAGAGCTTTGGCCCTTGGACTCGCCGTCAACTCACGCAGGCGCTAGAGAGCCTTGCAGCGATAGAAGACCCCAGATTCAGAACATGTGTTTTTATAGACGGTCTTGATGAATACCAAGGGGACCACACGGAGCTCGTGCAGATAATCCAGAGGATCGGCAGCCATCCTCACACGAAGATCTGCGCTGCAAGCCGACCTTGGCTAGACTTTATGGATGCCTTCGACAGTTCCCCATGGAAGTTGTACGTGCACGAACTGACGCAACAAGATATGTACTACTTTGTCAGAGACACTCTTTGCGAGAGTCCCAGATTCAAGAGGCTTCAGTCAAGCAACAAATTTGCGGCCCCAGAACTGATCGAAGAGATCGCAAAGAAAGCACAAGGCGTATTCCTCTGGACGTTTCTTGTGGTTCAATCTCTTTTACGAGGACTCCGCAACGAAGACGGAATATCGGACCTTCGACGCCGGGTCCAGCTGTTGCCCACTGACCTGTCGGATTATTTCGACCGGATGTTCGAGTCCATCGAGGACGTATACCAGAAACGCGTCAGCCGCTTGTTTCTTACACTGTCTCTAGCGCGCATCACGTTCCCTGTTCTGACGTTCTTCTATTTAAACTTTGATGACGAACCTATGGCCAAGGAACCCTTATCATTCCTCCATGAATGGCCAGATGTGGACATGGACGAAGTCGAAGTCCTAATCACAAAAAAGAGACAGTTGATTGCCCAGTGCAAAGATTTGATACACATATCTCCCGAACCTGACGCCCCCGTCCTGTTCGCAGAGAAGGTTGGGTTTCTTCACAGAACAGTCGTTGACTATATACAGACAGAGGAAGTCAGCAAAAAGCTTCTACATCTTGCAGGTCAGGGATTCGAGCCGAGAGTTGTGCTCCTCCAGGCCAACTTAGGCCAGCTCCGGTCTCTGTTGCATCTCCATCGCCTTACATATATTCGCCCTCGCCTTCACCAATGGATACTTGGCTGCCTCTACTACGCTTACGTGTCGGAGATTGCGACCGGAAAAGCCATGGTTATGGATCTTGACGAGCTTGGAAACATGATCGAGCAACATTTTAGCAGGTGGAGCTTCTCTCATGCGATGGACGTGCTATTCCGGGACCCTGACATCAAAAGCTTCCTCGAACTTACTTGCATCTGTGACCTGGCTCTCTACGTCAAACGAAAGGTTCCAAATTGCGCGCCAGCTAGACTTAACAAATTAGCCCCAAGATGGCAGCACCCAACAAGGATCATCCAGTCTTCAGGCTTCGAGATTGCAAATCTTGATGCTGGGGAAGAGAAGAGGCTTGTTCGTCTGGCGAAGAATATCTCCTGTGGCACTGATCACGAACACCCCGTCAAGGCGCCTGGGGATGGCACGAGCCCAATATCGCCCACCTCGGTTGCAAAGACGGTGTCGTTCAGTACTCAGCAGCCAAAACTCGCAGCTCCGCCGAAGCGTCTAAAGAAATTTATGAGGCGTGTCAAGAGTGTCTTCCGGTGATTGGACATTGATCCGGCCAGTTAGGGCAATATTTACACACCATCAAGTCCTGCTATTAGAGGGCAACCAAATGAATTGAAGAGACCATGTCGGACCGGTCTGGATAGCTATCTGTTCAATGTCTTGATTCGCAATTTATGGTCGAGCCAATCAAAGCAGCATCAATCCGAAGGCGGCTGCAGCATAGCTTAGGAAAACACCACACCAGGTAAAACAGTGCCCCTGTATGACACAAGAAGTTCAAGCGAGTGATAAAGGCTATCGTATCCGTGTATCAAAGCCATTCCACTGCTCCCAATTGCTATAGCATTTGCTTAAGCCTGCAGGCAATAATAGATGCTCCTGCACACAGCGCCATTTCCCGCGGTATACATGACGTGCTTGTTGTCCTTGAAGATATTATAATTGTGGTACGCATTGTATCCGGTTCTTTATGTTACTGTCAGCTCTGTGGTTCTACAATCCCATGGCATTTCAGCCCAAGTTTAGCGGCACTTACCCAACCTTGGTAAAATCAGCATATGACTGAGCGTTGTACGGTAGCGTGTAATAGAAAGTGGTGCCGCTTGTGAAGCCGCAGCCCTGGTTGGAGCGGCCCTCCCAGGTGAACAATCCGCTGCTCGACAAAAAACACTGGTTGTTGGAGCTGGGCTGGTAGTTGCAGTTGCTGTCATCACTGCAATACTATTCGCGGCTCGAGGTCAGCTCTTGATCTTCAGGACTGTGGTTCTTCAATTCTGAACTATTCTTTGCGCCTAGTGAGGAAGACCCACGATCTCGATGGAGTAAGCGTATCCGTTGCCCTCGCAGTTGACAAGGTGAATGCCTTCAGTAGCGCGTGTCAATAGCTTGATGGGCTCGCTGACATTGACCGGTGCAGGAATAGTGTCCGCAGCAGGGAGCTCGTTCAGAGGAACGACGCTGAGAGGGAAGTCCTCTGCAATGAAGGGAACGGCGCTCGCGGTGATCGCGAGAAGCGAAGAGACAATGACGAATCGGTTGAAAATCATCTTGGGCAGTCGAGAGTTTTCTGGAAACCAGGTCAGGTGTTTTGAAAGAATCTTCAGGGCCCTGAGTGTGTGTGATGATGTTGCACTCAAGATTGTAGAAAGTGGGCTTTCATGCTCTTCTTATAGTTTTCCTTTCCTCAGTTGAGGATGAAGGCCTGAACTGACACCTTCTGAATATGCCTGGTATGTCACGGAAATTTCGGCGGTAGTAAACCATCCAACCTGCGCTAGCCCAGAGTGAAGCATCAGCCAGCCTTTTCTTAGAGATCCATGTTTCCTCTTTTGGGTGCTACTCTGTTTGAGACCTCCACTACTCGGGCCAATTATCTTCTTCTATGTGGTCTATGCCCGTAATATTCCAAAGTGTGCCCACCTCTCTAGCTTCTAGTTTCGGAGTGCCAAATGGGCTAGGGGTTTTGAATGCATCGTGAGAACTTGCCAAGGCGTAGATTGTTGGTAATTGGGCCGTGTGGGTGGTCATGGCTTCTTCCATTCTTCACAAAACGATATATAAAAAAAGGATTTCCGTCTAGTATGCAAATCTTTGTAAGCGGCGTGGCTTCCTGCAAGGCGTGAATAAGCTGTTGAGAGGTTCCTAACGCAGAAGCTGAGTGAAGCACAGGTGCGTCCGTAGAATAAGTGCTAGTTCGGTCCTTTGGTATGCGTTGCTGTGACTGGCTTGTTCTACGATATTTGAAGGCATAGCGCTTACATATATTGCAACGCGATACTGCAGCGTAGCTAGAATGTAACTTCAAGAGTAAGCAACCCAGACCTCTTTACATATCTGCCTGCTACATTTCGGGTTTAATGCTCAGTCTTTAATTCTCATCATATTGTAAGAGAGCTGCCAAATTTTAATCCAACCAGCCGTTTGAACAGCAAGTAAACGTGTAGATAGACCAGGAAATTCTGTGGGCTAATTCAGGCTACACACTTGATACCAGAGCAGACTTTCTCGCAATATCTGGTTTAGACTAGTACTCTCGAAGCAAGGTTGCTCAAATAGAATTGTATTATTGTCCTTGGAAGTCGAAAACGATTGGGAAACAGCACCACCTGCCCTGATCAAGGAGGCAATAGTTTACTGCAGTGAGTACTCCGTCAGCACTTCACGCCGTGAAACCTCCATTCGCGCAAGGAGGTCAGATATGGTGTGGATATCGAAGGCACAATCTCGTAGTTGTGCCGCTAGCAAGCACAGCTGAATGTAGCTCAGTCGATGAAATGAGGGCAGAATGTGCGGGATTCTTTGGGCGCTCACCCGCACCACATCGCCAGCTTCTCACGCACAATGTCACGGCGAAGGCTAAATCATGTAATACCTTTGACGCGGTCCGCGCTGCCGCTTTCGTGATCAGCCATGTCTTCCGCGCCGCACCGGCAGCCTCGTAGGCCGCGAGTGGTCAATTGTTGGACAGTGATCAGGTAGATGTGTATAGAATGTTTGTCCACACTCCATCCCACAGGCCGGTTTTCATTTAGATCCAAAAACGCTGAACATAGTTTTGAAAAGGACCTCCCAAGCTATTTCTCCTACATCGCCTTTGGGGTAGTCAGTAGGGACTCGAGATATCTGGCTAAATGTGACCGCCATCCCTTCCTTCATGCCTCCCTAAATGCGAGCGCCCCCTTGTCTCAGGTACCCCTTCACAATATCCCTGATCTCTCCCTCGTCAATCAAGTCAACATCGACAGTTTCCCCTCGTAAAAGAACCTCTCTAAGCGCGAGGTCGTCCTGGGCGATTTCCTCGAACGGAACTTGGCCTGTGTAAAGTGACCAGATGCTCAGACCCAGACCAAACAAGTCGTCCTCTTTCCTCGGAGGCGCATCACGGCCCAAATCGTCCTCCCTGCGTCTCCTGTTTGGCGAGACATAGTGCCACGTCACGTTGCCTTCCCAGATCTCCTCATCTTCGTCCTCAAAGAGCCCTTCCTCGAAGTCACACAGTTTCACGTGGCCTTCTGTGTCTAGGAGCATGTTCTCAAGCTTCACGTCGCCATGTATAATGTGTTTGTTATGTAGCGCCTCAATAACCTTGACCATCTCTGGCATGATATGCTTGCGCTGCGTGGGTGTAGTCGTGGCGTGTGAGAGCGGAGTTGCTAGGTCCATGAAATAGCCATCATAATCTATCATTCCATTCAAGGGCATCTTGGAAAGTACTCTCCCGTGAGTCTTGATCGCACAGTCCCCGGCAGCTCTATGGAGGTTATACTCTCGCTGTTCCCCGCCCATCTTATATACTTTGGTGCCGTCTTTGGTTTTGTACAGTTGGTGCTGATGGACAATAAAGGGGCGACATGGATCTTCAAGGAGTCCATTCGCTGCCATGTAATCATATGACATATCCGGAGGTACCGGTGGCCACGGTTCATCCTCGGCACTGCTCATTGCGTTAATTGAGGGTTGAGTGCTAGTTGAGAATTCTTCAGGAACGGAATCGACGACGACTTTTTGCTTCAAGGTATATATCCCAGTCAAGCCAGGGAAAAGCGCTTCTTCGTGTTTTGCTCTCAGGACGTCTGTTGAAGATGATGCAGCCGGAAAATGGTAGATGGTAAAGTGTCCAAAATTTGAACCCATTGGCGCGAAAGGGAACACAAAGTCTCAGGGACCAACCATGGGAAGGTGTGGGCGGAGCGTGTCACTCCAAGCGGAGACCCATCACATAAACCGGAAATATAACATGCAATAGAATGAGCGCGCAATTAAGACTCAGCTCAATTAACTCAATAGTTTTTCAATGAGTTCGCTAAAAAAATCTTCATGTGATCATATACATTCTAACTACAAGGGCTATGACTAGAATCGAGACTTTAATAGAAGTAAACTTATGGTTCAAAGTGGTTCCGGGTACCTTTTTCTCTAGTAGGCTACTTATCGGACAACGCACCTAAAACTGTCTCACGACTCTTAATATTGCAAGGAAGGTTATCCTGCGATGACATGACCTTTCATACTAACCGCGAGTACAGTACGAGGCCGCCCAAGCTGCAAGTCAGCATAGACATTGGACAGAGCGAGATAATGAACCTATCTGGCTCATCTAAATCCAAAAGCTTCATTGTGCTAGCGCGATGTGCTTGGGCTGTGACGGACTCCCAAGGCGGCCGACAGAAGTTGGCTCTGTGAACAAGGAGAATTGGGTGATTGAGGGGCCTAAATAGATTCGGAGTAGTCGCATTATAGGTCCCTTAATATACTCGAGGCAACTACTGCACAACTTCAATATGAGCGATTGCATCGCTCATGACTGCACATCACTGGTGGAACTGACTGCTTCAGGCAATCTATAGGCTTTGCATGACTCTCACTCATTTCCCTGGTTGGACCTTAGTACATCAGCTACACAAACTCGGTGCACGTGATGCATGAGCCTATGGTTGTGCTGGAATTGAATCACCAGAAGCATCATCTTTTCTTCTTCCCGTTCTTACTTGTATATCAGATTAATGCTTACTACCATGGAAGGGTGACATTCAAAAACGCTTTATCGCATGCCGATCTCTCGTACAGAGTGCTGATGTGCCAGGGCTTCTATGCACCTTCCCCGCTCCTTTGATTACATGTCTGCCAGGATGAAGAGATGACCTCGTGGAATTGATCGTATGAAGCGGAGAAACAACACTCGTTCTACTACAAATCGCAGCAACAATGAAACAAAGCATTTTGTTGGTGGCCTTGTGTGAGCTGCTAGCGGGCGTCGCAGCACAGAGCGCAACTAACTTGTCATTGGACGGTGAGTTTACTATATAATGGGACATACAGGAACCTGGGCGGTGTCCTGCTCTTGGATCATTTTTGCACAACTTAGCTGACATTCAATTCAGAGCTCTGGGACAAATATGTCGGTCCTGTGAGCACGTCTCCCGTGAATGCTACAGTCGACCCGGTGCCTGTCCCATCAGAATCGCTCATTCCCCCGCCTCCACTGTACTATCCGACTCTTCCCTTTCCTGGAGGAGCTCAGGTTCCACTCCAGGCTCGGAATGAAAGTTGGAAGTTTCCTCAAAGCTTTTGGCGCGGTATCTCAGGCTCGTCATTCCAGATTGAAGGCGCTGTAAAGGCTGATCGACGGGGCCCGAGTATTTGGGATGTGCTTACTCACATCCCGGGCTTCGTGAAGAACAATGAGACGGCAGACATCGCTGACAACAATTACTATCTGTACAAACAAGGCAAGTAGATGCACCTAGCTTTTGAACTCTTCAAGCTAACATCACCAGATATCGCACGAATTGCCGCACTTGGTCTCAACACATACGCGTTCTCTATTTCCTGGTCACGCATTTTCCCCTTTGGATCGGGGGAACCCAACGAAGCGGGTCTTCAGCACTACGACGACGTAATAGACACATGTCTCCAGTACGGAATCACCCCAGTTGTTACTCTCTATCATTGGGATCTCCCACTGAGCCTTCAACTCAACTACGGTGGATGGCTCAACGAACAGATCACCAACGACTTCAGCGAGTACGCGCGTGTGGCGTTCGCACGATGGTCCCCTAAGGTCGAATATTGGGTCACATTAAACGAACCAGGTGTCTTCTGCAACAGTTATCCGCTACCACAAGGTTATTTCAACGACAGCACAACTGCCGACATCCCAGACGCTCAGCAATTCTACGTGTGTGCCCGGAACGCCCTACTCGCACATTCGTCGGCCTACCGCATCGGCAAGAGCGTCAACTCTTCCCTTAGCATCTCGTTCAAGAATAATGGCGGATACAAGATCCCGGTAGACAATAGCCCAGACACTGCAGCAGCTGTCCAGAGGGCATACGACTTCAACGATGGCCTGTGGGCGACCCCGGTCTTCCTCACCGGCGACTTCCCAGAGAGTGTCAAGGATTATGTTTCGGGATTCTTGCCAGCTTTCACGGCAGAGCAAAAAGCACAGATCAATGGAACCAGCGACATCTTCATGATTGACGCCTACGGCACGGGCGGTTTCGTCACGGTTCCGGAGGCCGGCGGCTTGCAAGCTTGCATCAGCAATGCATCACACCGATCATATCCTCGCTGTTATGGTGGCGTTTCAACTTATCCGGGAGCCAACTACTGGCCCACTGGCCCGGCTGTCGACCCGTGTGCCAGTTGGTTGGCATACGGGACGGACTGGGTCCCGGCCATGCTGAAGACATACCAGGAGATGTTCAAACCAGTTGTGAGTAAAAATTCCCCGCCCATTTTCAATAGACCAGATGTATCCTCTTTCTGGACTGACAGTAATTTCTTTATGAAGGGCGGCATAGTCGTATCAGAATTTGGGCTGCCGGAACCGTACGAGGGCTTGCGTACAGATCTCCAGTCAATTGTCATTGATCCCCTGCGGTCGAGGTACTACAGAGAATACATGCAGTCGATTCTGATGGCCATGGCTGAGGGTATCAACGTGGTTGGGACCCTGGCTTGGAGTATTCTCGATAACTTTGGTATGTTCAGTCCACAGGCGAAGACTGCCCACTGTGTCAACAATTCAAGTCGTCAGACTTAACATAAGCACCTGGCCCCATGACAAGACATGCCAAATGTTTTTCAAACTTCCAGACTTTCTCAGAACCAAAGACTAATGTTGTGCAGAATGGGATCATGGGTACTCTTGTCGCTTTGGTCTGCAGGTGAGTTGGACCTCGTACTGAACGAGATGCACATATCACCTACTAGCCACTAACATTATGCAGTATGTTAATTTTACGACGCAGGAAAGGTACTTCAAGGCAAGCGCCTTCGAATACGTCAACATGTTCCAAACCTATCAGGAGTGATGAGGCCCCGGTACAGATCGCTTTCTTTAGTCCTTCAAACAAATGCTCATTGGGCTCAAATGATTACTACTGGCTCTTGTTGCATGCCTTTCAGCAAGACCACTTCCTCTTCAGAAATATTTTGTGCTGTAAAAGTCCCCAGGAGCTCGAAATACCTAGTGTCCGAGACAAATCTCCCGAGTAGCAGCCCCTGTACGCTCCTCGGTCCCATACCAGCTTGTTGCTTGTCGTATGATGGAAGAGCAGTACCGCTGTGATTCAGAGCTCGGTTGCCACTCTGAAACTACCTACTACCTCGTCGTTTTTGAGCCTCCTCGGGAGTATTTAGGGACAGTCCTCCAATTCAACATCCAAAGCAGCTAGTACTTCAGCCTCGAAACCACTTGATGAGGTACAGAAGTTCCTTAGGCCATCGACGCTCAGCTTTTAAGCTACTTTCCGTGGTGAGATTCTAGGCTTGTAGCAGCTACAATTTCTTTCCCCACATCTACTGGAACCCGGTCCAGCGGCGTTTCCAAAGCCCAGTTCACGGCGAAGCACTGCTTGGTCGCTTGCTCCTTCAAAAGCATCTTGGCAACTGCGACGCTCCGCGCAAAATGCAGAGGGATGGCATCCGTCATACTCCTGGCCATCCTCTCACCTCCATGGTGGAGCAACAGGCCCACCATGGCGGTATTGTCAGCCTGGACGGCCAGATGGAGAGCGGTATTGTGCCCGTCGTCTCTCGTACAATCGGCGCCAGCCTCCAACAAAAGGTCCGCTATAAAAAGCCGGCGCCCTTTCACGGCTATCATGAGTGCCGTTCGACCCTCGTGATCAGTTGTGTCGGGATCATGACCCGATTCCAGAAGTCCCTTGACTAGATGGGTCATACCGGCGTTCACCGCGTATATGAGCGGATGCACGAGGACCCTGACCTCTGTGCTTTCGCTGATTATGAACCAGGAGGTGTAGGCCTCGCGGTCGGCGAATAAGTCCAGGGCCAATTTGCCCAGCTTATCGGCTTCCCAGGCGTCAGACCCGGAGAGCTCGATGTACTTGAGCACGTACTTTGCGGCGTGAGCAACGAAATAATGCGTCCGCATGAACTTCTTCAGTCCACGCAGCCTATAGATACCAAGGTCTGAATATTTTGTGGTGTCTAAGGTGGGTTTGAGTATTTTGTATGTAAGCCTGAGTTGAGGTTGGGATGTGGCACCATCTGAAACGACGGGGAAAGTCTGAGGAGAGCTTGACCTCATGGTCGAGCCGTGTATTTTCTGTGGAATAATCTGTAGGAATTACTGAAAGAAATTTGCACTCACCCTTTCGTGGATAAGAGTTCCTCTTTTTGGATTTGGGTCTGCTCGAGTGAAAATTCTTAGAACTATGCCGGGGTTTCACTAGCCGACCATACTGAGGGAGGCTGTGAAACTTAACGGAAAGAAGGTAGGTCAGGCAGATACCGGCGAGAAGTCGACTCGATTCGGTGGGATGGAGCTGCCACTTGAGTGACCCTGGCTGGTTCTCCTGGAACGAACTCTGAGCATTCTCAACGAGGAACTCCTTGGCAGTCTGGTGAACAAGCACAACGGTGCCATTTATGAACCGCACAAAGAGACCGCACGTCTCTCTTATGCCGAGCTCTGCCGAAGGAAATGACCTCTCTTGCATCTTTTCGAGGTCAACCGGCTGCCCGACCTTGACACTCCACGCGGCATTGATCTCGTCCGCCGTCAAAGGCTCGGCGGCGCCGACGATGATGTGCAGCAGCCTCCGAGCCTTTTCAAGGCTCTTCACCTTACTGAGAATATTTTCGTAGAGACTTTCAATACCAGGGTTCGTGTTGTCAATGATCTCGTGCAGCTCCTCAAAAGTGCAGTCTGCACTCTGATCGAGGATGTCAAGAATCAACGATACCCAAAGAAACGTGTAGTCTGCTTTCGCTCTGAGCTTTTCCTTCAGTGCAGCGAGCCGGACATCGCCGGACAAATCCATATGTTTGGAGAACCGCTCGACTCTCGTATTGATGACAGTCTTCACGTCCTCATCTATACTATCGATGCTGTCCTCAGCCCTGATGTGAATAGTCTGAAAAGATTTGAAGGCCCGCTGGAGGGCAGCGTAGGGCCGGCTTGTGATCACAACTTTAAGATGAACGGCGCTGCCACTGGAGCTGTTTTGTCGACAGAGTTTGGCCAGGGCCTCGATAAGGGGCTGTCGATCTTCTGCTCTGCACTCGTCCATAGCATCCAATATTAGGATCACCGTCCCGCACTGCTTATCCGAGAGCACAGCTTCTAAGGTCTCCCATAGACATAGCAATTGAGAGAACATAGAAGTCCCGTTTTTGCGATACGTTTCCATTCCGTGCTCGACTAATGATTCCCTCCTACTATCCGTGAAGATCTGATGGAGAACAGCACACAGCGCGGATACGGCACTGGCCTGCCTCGCACTGTCGTCTTTGAAGAAGAAGTAGGTCGTAAAGCTCGAAGGCTGGGATTGTATCAGGAAGTCGACCAGGAACGATGACGCGACTGACTTGCCGCATCCCGGGTCGCCCGATAACCACAAAATAGTGGAAGCCTCGGCAGTGAGCCAGACTTCGAATTGGCCGTGACGGGTGATCCATTCGCACGTCCCAGGTTCCCTCGTCGGGTTCCGCGCCCGGTCTGCTTTATATTCTGACGAGCCGAGGTGTTGGACAAAGGACGTGTGACTTTCGCCCCACACGAATTTACCTTTATACCAGTTGTTAGCCCTGGGTGTGTAATTCGAGGGCTGTACTAGGGATAAGATGTACTATTTTCGCTCTTCGTCGCCAGCTCTCGGATATCTGCGGCCATCACCTTCAAAGCGTTTAGCACCGGCCGATACCTCTGACTTTTCGGTTGTTCAAATTTGCATATTGTTCTGTGGTTGCTGTCCGCTAGTCCCACTGCGATCTCGTTTGGGAGCCCAAGGCGAGCAGAGTCTTTGTCTACGACCTGCACAGTACCAGGGATACTATTAGATTTGCCTGAGTGTGCAAGCTGCAAGGTTACTTACGAGTACTCCAGCGAGCCTTTCGGTCTCATAAAATGTCCGAATTTGCACAGCTTCGCTCCGTTCTACCCACTGCTGAGAGATGTTGGCGAACTCAGTCGAGTTTCTTTTGAGCGCCGAGACGTAGGCTGTGTTGGTTCCAGTACCCAATTGTACTGTCCTGAGTATTTCGGCTGCGAATGTCGCCCACCAGGCTAAGTCCGAGCCGCGATGGGGGGTCCCTAGAAATACAACCCCATAAATCTTTGACAGAAGGTCTCCGTAGAGTCTGGATCGCTCTTGTGCAATAACCATCGCCTTTTGGGAGGGGGGAATAAGAGTCCCTGTCAGCGTGGTGCGATTCAACTCCTGGGGACACTAATTCTCACCTTCTTCACGAGTATACCACCGAGACTGTGGGCGACAAAGACGATTTGACGTTTCTTATCCTCATGGGTGATTCTTTCACCCTGAATACGATCCAGCAGCATGCCAGCTTCGTCGGTGATGTCTGTGACGGCTGCACTGAACGCTGTTTTGGAATTATAGCCGTAAGACCAGATCCGGGCTCTCAAACCGGCCTCGTCTAATTGCCACGGGAGGAAGTCCTTCAGCCACATGCTGCCATTTTCAGCCGTCCACGTCTTTTTCCACCCTCCACCGAGACCATGGACAGCAATGACACTGAAGTTAGTGAGATCAGTTGGGTGTCTGCCTTTGTGGGAGCGAATCTTCGAAATTTGGATACTGACTCTAAGATGGCCGGCCCTGGAGTAGACAAGGGGTCGGCGGGTTCTATCGGGAAGAGTCCAACATGTTCTTCGACACTCTCTATTGAAGGGGATGGAGACGCGTCTTTGAGCTTATCTTCGCCAGGAACAAATGGTGGGAGGTCTAGTCCCGGTGCCGCCTTTGACTCCGGCAGCGGCCCATCGCGAGCCTCCTTGTCGTGCGCCTTGGCACGCAGCTTTCTCCACATGACCAGGTTTAGCCAGGTACCTGGATACGTACCCAAGCACGCGAGAGCAAGAGCCAAAAAAACAGAGTTGTGACCGAAGCAGAATGTTCAAGCGGGGAATGCTTAGTGATACTATGTTCAGCTGTAACCAAGGCTCCGCAGATATCTACAGAGAGGGGGTGACAACGCAACTAATAAGCACGCAGGGCGCTTAGCCTTGTTTGGATAGCCATCGCTTACATGCAGAACGCGGGCGTGACCAGAAAACACTGACCGATTGTTATATGTTTTGTCGACATATCTACCCGATAATTTGGCTAGTATCTATACCTCGAGCTTTTGCCTATAGGTAAGGCGTATAGTTCAATGATTGATCACTCCATACTCACCCCCTAAGAGCAGGGCCTCTAGGTTCGGGGTATACTAGAATCAGGGGTACTCATAGAGGTAAGCAGTGAGCAAGCTAGGGGTCCCTGCAGGTCGAACATGCCCGGTAATAAGGCTTCCACCAAATTGACCCTCCCGAGTCTCAACCCATAGCCGAGCCCCATTCCTTGGTCTAGAACACAACAAAGGCTTCCCTCACACAGCCTTGCATTTCCCAAGAAGACCCTCCCAAGGCTTCAACGTGACCGCCCCGGAGAGCGCCTTGCCTTCCGCCTTCGACTTGCCATAAGTCGTCGCCGCCCAGAAGTCGACCTCGACGCCCTTGGGCAACGAAAAGTCCTGCTCGTCGCCCGAGAAGTTGAGGACCACGACCCACTTCTCCCCCTTGGTGGTGCTGCTCGTCCGCGCGTAGGCATACACCGTGTCGTGGTCGGCGGAGAGGTCCTCGAAGCCGCCGTAGACGAACACGTCCTTGTGCTCCTTGCGGTCGGCGAGCGCCCGCTGCCACCACTGCCACGGCGAGAGCTCCGTGTCCGACTTGAAGTCGACCTGGGCTGCGGCGTTGACCGTCTTGTAGTCGTCCATGACGCGCATCCACGGCGTGACGCTGGGCTCGCAGAACCCTGCGTTCGGGGACGCGTCCCACTGCATTGGTGTCCGGGCGTGGTCTCTTGCTTTCCTGCGAGGGTGTCAGTAGAGCGGGGATGAGATACAAAAATGCAGCATGGTAGATACTTACGCGTCGATGATGTCCCGGCCCTCTGCGATCTTCTCCGGCTGGCCCTTATATATCGTGTTGACCTTCTTAAAATAGTTGATCGTCTCGATGTCCTTAAACTCCTCGATGGGCCACTCCTTGGGGCAGTTGCGCATGCCGATCTCCTCGCCCTGGTAGACGAACATCGTGCCGCCGAGGGTTGTCTGCATCAGGGCCAGCAGCCGCGCCGACTTGTCCCTGTTCTCATCGCTGTCGCTCGCGTACCTGGAGATGGACCGGGGGTTGTCGTGGTTCTCGATGAAGACCGAGTTCCACCCATCCTTCTCGATCATCACGTTCTGCCACCGGCTGATTATGCCCTTCATCTCCTTGACCGTCCAAGGGCGTAAGGTCATCCGAACATCGTACCTATCTATATCGACCACATCAAAAATGAAGATCATGTTGAGCTCCTTCGAGTTCGCCCCAACCGTCCGCAGGACCTCGTTGTCGTCGCTGATGCCAGGCATCTCGCCGACGGTGATTGTATCGTACTTGCTCAGCACCGTGTCGTGCATCTCCCGCATGAACTCGTGCAGCCGCGGGCCATTGATCGTGTGCTTCCACGCGGGCTGGTATTTATGGTCCGGGCCCAGCACCTCGTCAGCGTCGGGGTAGCCCGGGACCTTGGAAATCATATTGATCACGTCCATCCTGAAACCGCACGCCCCGCGGTCGAGCCAGAAGCGCATGACATCCCACACGGCCTCCCTGACCTCGGGGTTCTCCCAGTTGAGGTCGGGCTGCTCGGGCGTGAACAGGCTAAGGTAGAACTCTTGCGTCTTCTCGTCCCACGTCCAAGCCGAGTTGGCCTCGCCCAGGATCTGCGCCCAGTTGTTGGGCGGGACCGGCTTGCCGTGGCTGTCGAACCCCTTGGGCGGCTGCCAGTGGTACCACGCCCGCTTGGGGCTGTCCTTGCTGCTGCGGCTCTCAAGGAACCAGGCGTTCTCGTCCGAGGTGTGGTTCGCGACCAGGTCCATCATGAGCTTCATGCCGCGCTTCTTGAGCTCGGCGATCAGCTCGTCCACGTCCTCCAGCGAGCCGTAGCGCGGGTCGATCTCCTTGTACGACGCGATGTCGTAACCCATGTCGGCCTGCGGGGACTTGTAGATCGGGCTGGTCCAGAGCACGTCGACGCCCAGTGACTTGAGGTAGTCCAGCCGCGAGGTCATGCCTTTGACAGTGCCCCATCCCGGCAGCTTGGCCCCTGGCGAGGACTGGAAGGATGATGGATAAATTTGGTATACAACGGACTCCTTCCACCACTTTGGAGTGGAAAATGAGTTTTGCTGGGATGAAGCCATGACGACAGCGTGATCAGCGCGGGAGAGAAAGAAGCAAGGTGTGTGACTAGATGTGTACGGAGGATGAAAATGGTCTCTCAGCACCTACACCGCAGCAGCAACGGTTTATCTACATCAATGATCGTGAGGCGTGCCAGGGCAGACATATTGTCGCTTCCTGAGTCGTCCGTCGTCGGCCCGGCAGCCTTCCCGATACTTTCGCCGAAAAATAGCCCGCAGTAGTGTCGGGAGTAGTCGCTTCTCGGCAGCGGGCTAGTTGTCGATCCCCCATGACTCGGTCCATCTAATGCGGAGTATTATGGGGAAGGTTTAGTAAATATTACGGTTGACATCATCTCTATCCCGAAGGTCTTTGTTGAAGCAACACCAGAAACCGTTCTGGCTTTATTTGCTTGGACAATACTAGTCGCAAGACAGCATATAAGCAGCACTTCATAGTCTCGAGGTTCTAGGAGTGATTTCTTTGTGTACATCCAAAAGGGAGCGGCAGAGCCATTTTCTCATTTTTTGATGTTTCCTCATCAAGTCGCAATTGGGGAATCAATGACATAAGGCAGGCTCGGGTTTCCATACCAAAAACCCACGAAGCAGCTACAACGCCTCCAGTGCCCCAGAAATCCGTCCCTGCCAGCCCCTATATATTGATACAAAATGCAAATGTCGCTCGCAATACCTACGTCTTTTAGGCGTGAAGTCTGTTGTCTTCCCGGCAAGCAGTGCCAGCACAGAACGCCTGGCAGAAATAGGAGGCCCATGATCTCGCATATCTTCGACATGGGATTCGGATGCTTTTTTCTCGAATCTTGAACCAAGCTACCCTCCACTGTCTCCGTAGAATCGAGTCTATGAAGGCGCCAGCAAAAGCCGTAGCTCTCATAACAGACGGTTCCAGAATCCGGGCGTCGCGCAAAATATTGCACAAGATATGGAGAATCCAAAACGTCCTTATTGACTCAACCCCGATGTGGTTGTCAGTTGGAGCTGTGGGTATCGGTTCCCAGCCATTTTCACGACCAGGACAAGTAAAGAGGTACGGTAGCTCATGCCGCATCATCTTGCCCTGGTGAGTCTTGCCCAATGGAACTCTGGATGGCAGGGGACAGCCTGATGTCAATCTTCTTGACCCCCGCCGTTCCAGAGCTTGTTGATCCGCCGAAAGGCTTCTTCTTGCGCAGTGTAGCCGCAGCGCCACTCGCATTCTGGACTGCAGACGTACTGTTGCGTCGCTTGTTCTGCTGCATCATCTTGCCCAACTCATCATCGTCCTCTTCCTCTCGTCGGCGTTTCTCACTGAGTCGCTCGGGCGGGGGCGCACTGTTCGGAGTTAGAGGCTCCTCTTCAGTCTTCTCTCCTTTCGTCTCTTTGTTGATCTCTGAGTCGGGCTGGGTCATCACCACATCACCACCATTCTCATCCGACTCCTCATCTGAGTGATAGTCGACAAGGGCGCTGAGGGGCCCGGGGCTGGGACTGGGGCCGGGGCCGGTGACTAGAGAGTCCCTGGCGGCCAGCTTTGTCTGGTTCTCGTCTTCATCGTCGGAGGTGTTCCAATACTCCTCCTCCATCGGATCCACGCTTATCTGCTCCATCATGCGCCCATTGACGTGTGTTGGGCGCCTGCCCATCTCATCCTCGGATTCCATGAAGTATGTGTCCATATTGCCGGCAAAACCTCTATTCTGCTCGTAGCCTTGGACGAGATCCCTGAATGTGTCGATGTAGCCGAGCGCGGTCATTTTCTCTCTGTAGTTCTCCACTAGGTGCTTGACGAGGTCTTTGATATTTTCCTTACGAATGTATTCAAAGATGTCTAGGCATGCAGAACTGAGAAGATTGTCGCGTGGAAGAGTGAGTAGGAGGACATCCAGTATCGGCCCGAGGACTTGCTTCTCAGCGACAAGCTTAACGTAGAACTCATCGGCGACGTGGTTGACCAGACGACGGAAAAATCGAATTGCCACTGTTGTCTTATTAGTCGAGCTCACTGGAACAGTGTTGGGATAGGTAACGTACCAAGCTGCAGATGCTTTTCCTTGCAAGAGAGCAACTGGGCAAACCGCGATGCAATGTTGTGGTCTCTGATAAACTTCTTGCACAAATTGTGGTGTTGTCGGGCAAAGAAGCAGAGGATGTCATTGAGATAGCTGAAAATACCGTCAGTGTGGACAGAAAACTTGAGTTCAGTGCGGCCCTCCAAGTCGAGTAGAGGCTTAAACAGTCGTGCGGCGGAGCGTCCGTAGAAGTCCTCAAGGATAGTCTGCTGCTGGCCCTCCAGGCTGTTGATCTGATTCATGGGTCGTGGGCGCGACTGTAGCTCCCCATTCACCAATTTAATTCCGCCGTCCTGCCCCTGGCTGGTGGGAATGGTGTCGAGAAGAACTTTGAGCGCGTCAGAGATCTGAGACTTCACACCCAGATCCACCTCAACCAAGAGAAGGTCAATGAGGGTGTCCGTGAGTGGGAGCTGCTTCGCCAGAATCTGCCGCAGCAGAGTATGGCGAATCATATGGGGATCATGGTCGATCATAGAAACCAAGATGTCCGTGGCCCCTACCCGGACAGAAACGTCAAAGTTCCGAAGGCCAAAGTTGATGACAGCAAGCAGGCCATGGTTCAGCAAGCTGCTGTAAAACCCCTGGCGGTTTTGGATCTGCAGATTCTTGGCGATAGCGCAGCATTGCTGTATGAACAGGACCGCTTGCTTTTTTCTGAGCTGCTCTGTCTTCTCTTCTGGGTTGAAGATGGAGAAGAGGTCGCGCAGGAAGGCGCCGTTGGACTGGAGATGCTGAACTATCTCCACCTGATTGAAGAAGATCATCGAATTCAGCACCGAAAAGGTGGGATCATCCAGGATCCGGGCCAGCACAACATCTTTCATGTACTGCAGGCGATATGTCTGGTGAATCCTGCGCCTGACCTGATCATCCTCGATCCGAACCACCTCTTTGTACCTTGACTGGTCCTTCAACCATTGTCGATGGTTTGCCTTGTGTTGTGGGAAATCAGGGTCGTACTCGAGAGCACCAACCACGCCCAGTATGCATTCGTCAGACACCGCATGTTCGATAATCGTCGTGTCATTAAGCAGGAGGATTGTCTTCATGATGTTGCAAAGCCGATGCAAGTCCTGGAGGCTCTCTAGATCCTCGGCCATCTCAACCAATGGGATCAATTTGCCGATGTAATCCTCGTGCATTATCAACTTGGCGAGGGTGTCACGGCCGTTTGCTGAGCTGCTGATCACTCGTATCGTCGTTTCGAGGTCTGGGAGGCTACCCAATTCGGCGGGTGGAAGTTGAATGGAGGGCGGAACATCTATTGCCAGGTCGTCCGAAAGGCTGTCATCCACTGGGCAAGAGTCAGCTCTTTGCTTCATATATATGAGGCGAGCGAGAAGAGGGATTGCATACCTGGGCCTACAACGTCCCCTTGCAGAGTTCGTTGGACATCATTAACGAATTTCCTTGACCGAGGGTTAGCTCTCTGCTCGTAGTCTTCTCGTGATATCATTAATTCTTCAACGTGGGGGGAGATGACACGAACCATATCTGGGCACAGCCATCAGCCTCTTGGAAACTCAAAGCCATATCAATCCCCGTACTTGGTTCTGTCCAGACGATAAGTGTTTCTATATGTGGTGTCAGCAGGTGAGTGCACAACATGTGAACAGCATAGTTCAGATGATAGCATACCTTGTTGCTTCTGAAAGCCATCTTCCTTACAGATCCTAGTCTCTAGCAATGTCCTCAGCGGTTCGTCTTCGGAGTCGACAATTACGCGGGGCTCTTTGGCCCTTCCCTCTTCGGTCTAGAAGTGCACGCGACCAGGTTAGCCGAGGTGATGGAAGCAGCTGTGCGATGCGATGGTGGGGAGGTTGATGAGTTGTTGCGGACAGCGCGATAACTCAGCAGCAATGCAGAGCGGATAAGACGAGACTCTGACATCGCAATACAACATGTGACAAGATCAAAGGAAGTGTTATTAAGGGGACATTTCCCCCGGGAGACATACTTCAGTCCATGTTGCGGTACAGAATCCCGTGCCGCGATCGAACCAGTCGTTGTCACGGAGCTCGTAGACCTTGACGCGCCTCCTGTCGGTCGTTTGATGAGGCACGGATTGTGCCATCATCAACGGCTCTTGGTCCCCGGCGTCTGTGGCAATGCGCTCGTAGTTCGCGAGGAGGTCGGGCGCGATGTTGAGGTGCTGCTGGAGCGATAGTTCGGTCTCGGAGGAGCTGAGGAGGGTAAGCGCCGCCACTTTGGACGAGGGTGGTCGCGCGACAACGGATGCGCGCGGGGTGGAGACGGGGAGGCAGGAGCCCGGCCAGGCGACCCAGCGACCAGGCGACGCGATGCGAGACGAGACGATTGACACTGAGGTCAGCGCGCCGCTCTCTGTCCTGATGCTGCTTTTGGCTGGGGGTGCTGTGTCGTGCGTCGCTGGGTGGCTAGATCGGGTTGGGCAGATTTGGGGGCGGGAGGTGTTGGGTCGGTGGGTGTGGATAGATTGGGTGGGCGGGCTATGACACAAGTTGTCGTGCTTAGGAAGCCATCGGTCGGGCGAAGGCGGAGACAGAGGCGAAGACACAGACAGAGACCACAGCGAAACGAGGGTGGTCGAGAATGTGGCGCAGAGCTCTCAAGGCGAAGAATTGCTTTGCTATCGGTCTGTCGCCGGCAGGTGGACGTGCAATCGGCAGCCTGTGGACCCTGCGATGAGATGGGAATTCAGTCTGGACCGGCTTGGGGTTGGGATGGTGATGCTGTGGATTGAAAAGCTCGACCTTGGCCACCCGACGGGCAGATCTTGGGTACCTAGAGGCAGGCAGGCAGGCAGGACGGGACAGGGTGATAGGGTGACAGGGTGACAGGGTAGGGTGCGGCGCCCGTGGGTGGCCAGTCGCCAGTGTGGGTGAGGACAAGCAGCACAAGTCGGGACAAGTCGAGTCTAGCCTCTCCTGTTAGAGGTTTCTGGGTGCGTGCCCAGGTGGTGGGTGGATGGCAAATCCCTCCCACCTCCTCACGCAACGCAACCTGGTCTCCACTCTACCATGCCTTGCCTGCATCTACCCTCGCCGTGTGCACACTCCGTCCCAACCTAAATTTGGCCTGGGGGTCCTTCTACCTTGCTGGATCAGGACCCACGTCCTCTTCCCCCTTCCTCTTTTTGTCTTCCACCGGGAATTTCCGCCTACGTGGTGGCCACGCTCTTTCGTCACAACTTTGTCTGGACAATGGGGATGATTTTGTATAGTGATGCTACTATGAAATATTTCCTCTCTCAGAACCTTGTTACTATTCTTGGTTCCATAAGGCATCAGATGGCATTGGAAATGGACAACAATCATCCACCTTCATACTACAGTACCGAGAACTCCGGAGTATTTCAGGTCTGTTTCAACTCGCCACGACCACCGGTGTAAAGCGCAAGCAATCTGTATGAACAGGGCACTCGATAATTCACTCGACCGATCTGCTCTCGAAATGGGTATGCTCAGTAGACCGATATTGATGACCTAATTTGGCAATATCTAATCAAGTCACGTCTCGGTGTCCTAAGGGCGGGTCACATCCGCCTGTCAACGTCTTGTTCTGCCGATCCAGCTAATCCAGCTAATCGAGCCGTTTCCGTTGATTAAAGTTGCCCACCAATGCAAGTTACGGAGCATGCGCTTGCAGGCGTGTCAGTCTAGCTTCTAGAACAGACGAGCCGATCAATCTGGGGGTCCAAGGGGTCTCCCCGGTCTTCCGTGTCTTTTACTTGCCTCGGCCCGCATACAGGTGCGGTGGATCGACAGCCCCAGGCCGTGGACCCCATCGGCAATGGAACACGCCCACAGCACGCCCACATTCCCGTCTGTCAGCATGGCTTTTCTATCAATATCAATAATTGTGCCGATATTCTGGGAAGGTTCCAGCCGCGTGCAGGCTTGGCTCGCCCTTAATAAATCTTCCTAGCCGTACTCCAACGTGGCTAAATGCTGTCAACTGTGGCAATGATCATGTCGGCGGCGTTCGGCACCTTCTCAGAGCCGCCCTCGGTCGAAGGAAAAGTTGGATCGAGTCAGGTCAAGGGGACACTAACGCAAGCTCTTACGAAATCTCAGCAAGTCATTCTTCATCATTCTTCTGACAGCACGGAGCTGGCTATAACGCTTGAATTATTGATGATGTTCGAAGGGAAGCAGAACAGCCCCATAGATAAGCTCCGAATCCTGACAGCACCGAATAAAGTTTAGGGGCGAGACTTCTTTCATCAGACGAAGTTTGACAGTGAACGCTGATCAACTTGGCCGGGCAAAACAACTGTACCACATTACGCAATGCCGTCACATAGAACATGGCGTTCGATGGCTCAACCAAGTACTTGTCTCACGGCGTGGCTGGGTTGACAGTTGGTGTTACTACTCTTCGAGACTCTTCGAGGACCTTCTACGTCACAAGAGTGTGGTCACACTGCAATCGTTGAATGTCAATGGAGCAAGATGCCATTAACTCACTGAACGCAAAGCCGGAGTTGATAATGAACCCATATTGTACCTTCCGTGGTCCCAACAACGGATAGGCAAGTAGCAGCCAGACACCGAATCATCTGTTCAAAGCCATGAGTCGAGGACAGACAAGAAAGCAGTGTACATACACCAGGAAGTAGCTCAGCATGCAAAGAGAATTAATTGAGGACAATCCTGAGCAGCAGCACCTCGAAATAAAAATCCACGTAATAACATCGCAATTTATAACGGCAGTTTACCCCTGTCAACCGGCACATGCGCACTCACAGAGTAAGCAAGAGACCCCGGCTAAAATAGCCGAGACCCGATGTCGTGCAGACGACACTTCAGGTGCAGTAGCTCCAGCTCTGCCGGTAAAGACATGCCTGACGGCCTGGTAGGCTTGGCCTGATTAAGACCTTCTAGCCAGCACGTTGTGTTTTGCACAACCCTGCTAACACGTACCTAAATGTCCAAGTTATTGCTCCGCATGCTAATAAGGTACTATCTTTTTTCTTTGCGCAATACATTCTCTATACCAATTTTTGAGATATAGAAACTTTCTTGGATCAACATACAGCAGGTCCTGTCGTGTACTTCTTACAGGATTCCTGGTCAGAAATTAGACTGCATCCTCAAAAGCTTGGTTGATCAAAGCTGAGATTGTCATCAAGGATTCAAAGCCCTGCGTCTTCACCAGCTCCACAGTGGGACCATCAGCCGGAACACTCAGCTTGACTTGAGGCTTGAATAATTTCCGCACAATATCCTCCAGAGCGGAGCAGAGAAGGAAAGACTCGAGCAAGAACGCGACTCTAGTGCTGGCATAGACTTGGTACCTACCTCTATAGTCACTTCTACTCCTTAGCTGCCAATGGATCTGAAGTGGTTGCAAGGTCAGACTTGTGACTGTGCTAAAGTGAAGGAGGGGTGAAACTAATGTGCACTTCCCCGAGCTGGGTAGGCCCCGGTTAAACTTGCCACAGTAGACACGGGCCTGTATCCAGGCACCAGGTCAGGGATGCTGCCGGCCACCGGGGTCCTGGGCCAGGTCGCACACTCAGATATATACGGCCTACAAGCGGGCCATGGTCCAGCAAAATTCCATCTTAAAGTGATTGCTTGTGAATGCAGTTCAATGTTAGAAATGGACGAGACCAATATCCGAACGAAGATTTTAACCCATCATTAACACATCACCTGTACCTCGAGAGATTTTCGGAATGATTCACTCTTTCCTCTAAAGCTGAACGAGCTGGTGCCAGACGTGTGCGACGGGTATATTCTGCTGCCTCGAGCTCCGAAAGTCCAATCTAGTCCACAGACGGGAGCGGAAAGCCACCACCTGTTGACATGCTTGATCGCCGTGCATTGACAAGAGGTTTGTGGTTTGTTCAAGAATTTGAAGATGGAGGAAGGTCTCTCTGGGGGAGACTGTCAACTGCGTGGGACCAGAATTGCGTAGCCATTAGTCGTACCATATTCAAACGTGGTTAGGGACATGGCCTGCAGCATGGCCCATTGTGCAGCCAATTTGCGGTGGAAGGACGTACAACAACATGTCTGTACTCATAACAGGGAAAAAGCTCATTAATACAGAATTTTGGTATGCGTTGTAGAACTTTCATTAGGATGGAATCAACTTGTATGAGGTACCAACTTAAGTTCTGATTCTACAGTACTTTATTATTAAACTGGATTTGTACTGACAACGTTTCATGCCTGAGGACCACGCTCTTGTGTTTCATATATCCAGAAGCTACTTAGGAAGAATTTAGAGGTGAACAGCTGGATAATTGAAGGGCTTAAATAGATTTTGAGCTACCAGGTGCCAGTCTAAGTCGCGGCAACTGCGCTTCGTGAAGCTATTCAATACCGAAGCATTATGAATGATTCTTACAGATACACGCGCGGGCCTTTCGATCACAGTGTAGTATACCCAGAAAATGCGAGGACAGGAAGGCTGACATCTTATTCTTCTGTATTTCATAATCTCAAAGTCCCCAGCGAAGGGCACCAATAACTATTCACAACGTGGGAATAGTAGCCGTAGAGTATAGACCTGATGAAAAATGGACAAAGCAACTATTGATATCTACCCATATCATGAGAGAATAGACTCGACTATGGTTGGAAAGCGGATTTGACAGGCGCATTTTCCACAGTGAAACACTGTTATGCCTGTGATCGGACCTGTAATTAACTCACTTGGTACTATTGCCTCTCGAGGACTAGCAGCTGTAATAGGAGGAATTCTTTGCGAAATAAAATTTAAACTGAAGGATACGCCCACAGGTTCTATGGGAGCTTCTTGCTTCCATATCGTAATAGCGTCGAGCCGCTGCACCTTCCAAGTCACCTTTACGGGATATCCTGACCGGCTGGATGATTGCATCAAGATGAGAGAAGAATGCTTGCATCACAAACCCACACGTGCAAGTAGACACTGACTTGCTCGCAGGCAGCGACTCCCCTCCGCTTAAGTTTTCTCCTCTGCTATCCCTTGTGACTGCTCAATGTCTTGATTCTGTGACAGCAAGAATCTCTTGATCAGCAATTAGCACGGGGAGCACTGCGACTCAATATGCATTGGATACACACTTTTGCGGGTATATGTCTTTCATTTCACATATCAAGCGTGTACAGGTATTCCTGTAGGCTTCTAGTGTTTTCATTCGCGTAAACAATGACTATAGAGCTCAAAATTAACCATGTATCGTCTTTCTCTTGATGCTCAGAGATCCTTCTATAGATAGCCACTCCCACTTTCCGTCATAAGATGTCTCAGGAGAGGGGATGGGGTCGGAACGTATCGCGGAGCTGGCAACACCACTTGCAGGACTAATAGACAGTTTTGGTAGATGATGAAAGGTGTCAATCAATACGTCCTCTGATTAGGTAGGTGTCCGGTAGCCACTGCACTTGCAGGAGAAACTGCTCGTCCATACATTTGATGACAACAGCAGGAAGGAAGACACGAAGCCGAGTTGAACCAGGCACAAGGAAGAAACGATCCCCATAGCTCTGGGTTTGTTTTTCCTTTGAACAATGTGCTTCGATCAGCTCCGCACCTCTTTTCAGATCCTTTCCTCTCTCATCTACAACCTACCAAACTAATCTCAACACCAAGGCCCAACATCACGAAGATTCCGTTGCACTCATTCGCCTCTTGATCATTTCTGTCCACGCTCAGTCACTTGACCCCTGCGCCCAGGTCTTTCATTTATCCTTCGTTCCGTCATGCTACCCTCTGCAGTCTTCAATGCACCACCGGACGGGTGCAGTCTATACACTCTTTTCTCCTGCCACAAGCCCAGGTGTCTTCATCTTCTGGTCCGTCAGCTTTTTGCAAAGCTCATCGCCACCTCAGTTCGTCTTCGTCTTAACATGACTTGCTTGTGCCTGCCATGCCCTTTGGGATCTGGTCCCGACGAAAGACCAGGCTTACGCCCGCAATCATCATTGGCGGCTCCAAATCTTGGAGTGAAAATATCAAGGCCAGTCCCCCAGCGTGATTAAATATTTACGACTTGCTTAGCGTGCGTTGCATTAGTGTGCGGAAAACATCCTTATATGATTCGGGGACTGGTTATCGGCAGCTTCGGCTGACCGATGGCACTACTAGCACCAATGGGACAGCTGGCTGCTGGTTGTCACGCCCACAACCATTCGGGCCTCAGTTCAAGCATCGGAACGCAGTAGGTATAAATCCCAGGCTCCATGTTTTCTCATCATTGGCCTTCATCATCGGCGGAACAACTAACAACGTCCCAGAAACAACCGCGCGCAAAGCATACACAAGGCGCAATCCAGCACAGTCTCTGCGCTTCGACCCTTCTTACGCCGACTGACACAACACTTGAATGCGACAGCTATTTCAGCTTGCTTGATGCTTCAACGACCTGCAAGCTGATCTTTCCACCAGTCGTATCCTGTCAGGTTATTCGAGGTTCGATGGATGGGCAAGATGTACTCAAGTCGACGTTCCGAACATAGACAATTGCCTCCGTGAGTTTTATACAATTGCACCCTCTACAGCCGATTCTCACTAACACAGACCGGTGTTATAACCAGGCCCGGGCGTTTGAAACATTACTGCGACTTCGCATGAGTCCGGATACCTCTTGGAGTAGGAAGCCAGAATCGAGGGCCATTCTGTTATGTGCATCTCCTTGAGACACTCATCGTGGCTTCGCAAGTTGGGTCGACAAGGCTGCCGGGGGCACAAGCTAGGTTGACCGTAACGACATTTTGGCCTGAAATGGTTATCGGAAGAAGTGTTCAGGATCTCGAGGAAAGACTTGCCTGATGTTCATGATTTCAGACTTGGGGAGGGGTATGTTGCCATGTACGTGTTTTGCTGTCGGTGGTTGACTAACGTGGATGTTTCGTGAAGAGCATGATGACACGGAATGGACGATGAACAAAGTAACCATCGGAACGTTTAAACAGGCACACAGAACAAGTGCTTTAAACCCATGATACCACAGTAATTATCATCGGAACTGCACGCGCACCTTCTGCATACCATCGTGATCGAAGCCCAGGAGCCAGCAGGCCACAAGCCTTCACCGTCCGCCGCCCTAGATCGCAGTAGCAACTGTCCGCCGGGGTTTGTCTTCTTCTCTGTGCCTTCTTGCGCACGGAACACCGTTCATATTGGATGTCGTGCAGGGACTTCGAAGAGGCGACCTGGCTCAGGCCTGGTATCCTTGTTGGCGAGAAAGATATTATGATGCTTTTCTTTGAGATGGCGAGTACTGTTGTTGCTGCAACTTTCATGGCGATCCGTGGGACTTAATGAAAAGGTTAAAACTGATGAGGGGCGAAATGGAAATTTATATGAATAGATTTAGTATCTTGTGAGTCACTCTGTAGTAGGAGGCTTGAAAAATATGCGCCATTCTTAGGCTATTTGACTAAGATTCGGGATCAGTGTTTCGCCAGATGCTTAGACTAAGGTACTCGTTCGCTTAAAAGCACCACCATGGTTGGCAAGCCTTCCAGAATGCTGGATCGCCTCAAGAAGGTGATGGGACGGCCTCTTAGATCTCGTGGTAGTGAGTCGCGTGATCCAGCTGGGCGGACACTAAGAATGGGGCGCAAAGAGACAACTATCGACCTTTGAGGTGTAAGGTGTATGCAGACAGGGCCTTGCACTGCAAGGCGCTTACGATAAGTTTATCTTGCCAGCCTCAGGATCAACATGACTACCTTCTGGCCACAGTCCAGCCGCGCGAGGGCTTTCTTTTTGAGTAGGCAACCCTTGGCGGTAGGTGGAGGAAATTAAGATGTACGTGAATAGTATGATCAATGTGATTCATAAACTTCAATATCTATATTGCGATAATATGTTCTATGTCGGGCATTGGGTTATTGTGCCATATTATTGTGCTTGTCTCATAAAACCCTTCGCCATTCGTAATACCGTTGCCTTTCTAGGTCCCACATTAACGAAGACGGAAACGAGTTATACTCCATCCCAGCCGGTCCCTTTCCGTTTCAGCAGAGCAGCGCGAGTTCATGATTAGAAACGGTGTGGCGAAGCCCTATGTAGGCGGAACCCTTTTGAGGGCTGCACCATGACCGAAGAAGACCTTGTCGGTCACCAATGTGGGTTCCCACGCAATGAGTTCTCTCAATGGTCAATCTCAAATTATTTGAGCCCGGATGATTTACTCCGTCAGTCCCTTTCTGTTCTTTCTTGAATGGGTCAGGCTAGCACCGATATCTGATGAGTCTTGTGACTTTTATGAGCCGCGAGTAGTGATCGATTCGGCGCCATGTCCACCCTAGACTTCCAAAGGCGTACATAACTCAAGTAGTATATCTTGCACTAGTACTTGGTCCTCTGAAATTATATTCACCAAGCCCTCCCACCCATGAAATGGAAAAAGAATTAAAATCCTCACCCGCAGGACTTCGTTCAGGTCCTGGGGTCCTTCGCAAATTCAGCTCTGCGGGTAAACAAATCGCACCCCGAACACCATTTCTACTTCCCTATTTGTGATCCCAAGCACTTGATCAATCTGATATTGAAACTTTTCGACCAAGAAATCGCCCACCTGTCAGTATGGTCCTTTTCTTCAAGGATGACCCAGCCAAGGCTCGCAGGACACAAGAGCGAGAAGAGCAACAGAAGAAGAAGACTGTGAAGCCGGCTCCCTACAACCACACTCCAACACATGCGTTATCCGATGCCCTGCTGAGCGTGCCCCATGCCTACAAGACCACAGACAAGGAGCGGCTCAAGGAAGCTCACAAACACCGGCTTGAGAAGGAAGCTTCTGCCTTCGCCGCTGGTGTTGATTGCAATGTCACCAACATACCGGCCAAATACTGGCAGGGCCAACCCCTTCCATCCGTTTTCAAAGCCCCATCTCAGGGCACCTTGGCCAAATCAGCTATTTCCAAGGCTTGGAAGGAAAAGATATTTGAAAGACCTTTGGTCTCAAGGCTAAAGAAGCAGCCCCAAGCACCAGTACCAGTAGATGAAGGTATGTCAAGTCTATACCTATGTGATGTTCAATAATCATTACTCACTGTGACACCAGGATATGCGTCTGGCCCGAGCCACGATAAACCCGGCGAGTCTCGTAATTACAGAACGAATACATCCACGAGCCCATGTTTTGAGCAGGGAACAGAAAGACAACACCAAGTTCAAGCCCTGAAAGGAGACGAAAAGGCTGAGTTGGAGCACCTGAGGAGAATAGTGCGAGAGCTTGAGAGTAAGCAGCAAGGTATGTGGGATGACCAAAGCTTCGCGGATCAGCCTTCGATGCTAAATGAAACAAAAGCACTGCACGACTCCTCCAACCCGCTCGTCGCCCAGGGACAAAACCCAGCGCCCGGGGCCAACGTCGGTGTGGAATCCGGCACTGGAAGTGGATCTGGCTCGTCCGATGCCGTCAGATGTCTGGAGTCGGATTTTTCCAACAAGAAAAAGAACGAGCCTACTCCTTCGACATCGATTTCGACCAGAGAGGGGACTGTCTTGACTGGAGTCGACCGCTACGACTGGGCCATCCACTGGGCGCCGGCGGAACAGAAAGCCAACCTCCCCGAGCCATGGAACCCTCCCGAGCCTCGAGATACAGCCCCCAAAAACGAGCCATGCTATGATTCTTTGGGTGAGTTGTCGAGCTGGTCAGACTCTTCCTCAACGGCCCGAAATTCGGATTACCTCCGCCGCCGAAGCAACGAGACGCCCAAGCCGTCTGAGCCCTCAATCCACAAGACCAGCGAGTCTATCGGAAGATCAAGACCGAGGAAAAGCAGGAGAAAGGCGACGTATGCGCCCTCAGACAGCGCCCTGTCTGAGTTCGACTTCGGCTTTGGTCCCGCTACCACGCCAGTGCGCCAGTTCCTCACGCCAAAGCCTGGCAGCTACTTGTCTGAGACCAGAAGGAGGGCCGACAAGGCTGCTGCCACCAAGTACTACCCATCTTCTGAAGATAGCGATCGGAGCGAGGAGACGTTGATTACATTCTAAGGCTGGCCCTCTGCACTGTCATATTGTACACACGAGAATTGTACATATGGACACATTTGTAGAGCATGGACGGTCTTGGACGTGTATCAATGGCAGATATGACCCCTGAAGCGTGTCTCTATGGAAAAAGGTAGCGAATTGTGAGAGTATTTGCCTTATTGGCCAGAGCAAACTCTCATTCCATCACTGGGCGTTGCTTGAGTTCTGCGACATCTGGATGGTGGATTCGATGTTTCTTAGGGGCGGAGGGGAGGAGGGTTGACAATTGTCGAATGTTCCTAGACCAGCGGAGAAAAGCACAGGTGAAGACTGAATGGTAACGAGTGAAGTCTATCTAAGTAGCACTTGGCAAGTATAGACAAGGGTTCACTGCCGCACCGAGACCTCCTCCACCCGTATGGGGTTCAATGGGTCACCTAAGCACCCCACACGGCCGATCGACAGGGACCACAGGGCGTGCAGCAAGTGAACGCCAGGGTGAGCTGCCCGCCGTCGCACACGCCCCAATGCCGTCGCCGCCGCGCAAGTGCCTCGTGGCCTCAACCCGGCCGGCACATCAAACTGCATCCGGGCGAGTTTATTTCCTCAACACCACGTCGCCCTCCGTCGCATACCTGTCTCACCTCTTCCCAGGCAATTGCAGCTGTGTACCCTCGTTCAATGGTCGTCCCTCGCCAGATGCACCTCCATTCCCGCCGCAATTGATTGCGGCTTGCCCTCCTTTCAGCATCAGCTTGTGGTCGTTGGTAGCTTTCTCTTTCACATGTCAGAAATATGGCGGACTTGTCTCCCCCTGCGCACCTGCTTGCCGGAGTAGAGCAGTTTGTGTGGTCCACTTACATGGTCGCAAGAGAGTTCCCGTTTACCATTCTCCCTCTAATTCTGGTCTCCTTCGTCAGCTTGGGCGTGTTCGCTGTAAGTTTAATTCCTCCAATTCCCCAACTCGCTCGACAGCGCCAGCAGCCCAGCGGGCAGGAGAAGCACACTGCCCAAGACTGCTTGTATCTGTTTAAGGGAAATGTTGGCTTGAAGTCAACATCCAAGGAGGAACATTGTGCTGACAATGCTTGTGCCAGTTCCTTGTCGTCCTTCACATCATCGCACCCAAGCCCCGTGCTCCGTTCCCCTCCGAAAAGACATACATCACGACCACTCCCGATGGCATCACCTCCCGACCTTTGCCATGCTGGTTCGACCGATGGGATGCTGAGCGCAAGCTGAGCGAGGCCGCTGCCTCTAGCAAGGATGCCTTTGACGTCCCGGACACTGGGTCAGTGGAGCCTGCAGAAGTCGAAGTGTCCGTCGTGATCCCAGCGTACAACGAGGAGAAGCGCATACTTCCCGCCCTGGAAGAGGCAATCGATTACCTTGACACCAGGTTTGGCCGGCCCACCAGCGAAGACAAGAAGAAGCGCGTCGGCAGCCCCCCTACAACGCCCCATCACCGACAGGTGTTCAGGAAAACCAGGCAGGACAACACCACGGGCGGGGAGGCGGCCGGCTACGAGATCATCATCGTCAACGACGGCAGCCGCGACAAGACAGTCGACGTCGCCCTCGACTTCAGCCGCAAGCACAACCTCCACGACATCCTGCGCGTGGTGAACCTGGAGAAGAACCGCGGCAAGGGCGGCGCGGTGACGCACGGGTTCCGGCACGTGCGGGGCCAGTACGTGGTGTTCGCGGACGCGGACGGGGCGTCCAAGTTCAGCGACCTGGGGCGGCTGGTGGAGGGGTGCGAGGACGTGGTGGACGCGAGCAACCGGGGCGTGGCGATCGGCAGCCGCGGGCACCTGGTGGGCAGCGACCAGGTGGTGCAGCGGTCGGCGCTGCGCAACTTCCTCATGAAGTCGTTCCACTTCGTGCTCATGATCCTGACCCCGCCCGCCACCTCGCGCATCCGCGACACCCAGTGCGGCTTCAAGCTCTTCTCGCGCGCCGCCCTGCCCCACATCGTCCCCTACATGCACATGGAGGGCTGGATCTTCGACATCGAGATGCTCATGCTCGCCGAGTCCGCCCCGCCCACGCCCGTCATCGCCAGCGACGGCTCTGTCATTGGGATGGTACCCGGGATACGTGTCGCCGAGGTTCCCATTGACTGGCATGAGGTCGAGGGTACTAAGATGAACATTATCAAGGACAGCATCGGCATGGCGCTGGGCATGGTCATCTTGCGAGGCAGCTGGATGTTTGGCGTGTACCGGCGACGCATCACTTGATTGATCTTCTATTTTATTTCATTTGATTTAACTTTTCCTTGTGCATGTTGCAAACATGCGTCTCGTATGGGCATCTTGCAATCATTAGCATTTGTAAACGGCGTATGGTGAACTTTGATACCTGGGTCGACCCTGTACGATAAAAGTACAACAGAAAGAATTATAGAGGCAGACAAGTTAAAAGAGACCATGTCCCAGATGCCAATAGCGCGAAGAGTTTGCAATTTGCTCCAGATTTGAGACAGAAGTTGCGTCTTCAGAATGGCAATATGTGAGCGCTATGAGCCATGTAAGACAGGCTGGAAACACCATGATCAGTTTCGAATAATCTCGCAATCTCGAGTCAAGCATAAGATTTCAAGTGAGTGGTGTAGCGTCATGGTCATTAAAATTAAGTAATCAAGATCTGTCTGTCCTGAGCGGATATGTACCCTCGAGACCAGGACCTAAATACGTACATCGAAACCGCCCAACTCCATGTCGTGAAGGGCGTTGAACAAACCAACCGCTAGCGCAAGATCGCGCTCTCGCTTTCTTCATCTTTTATCTAGATGTCTGCCCCCGCCCCCCCCCCCCCTTTTTTTTTTAAACAAGACTCATATGTCTTCCTCTTGTAGGATGCCCGCTTCAATGGTTGATTGCAATGACATAGCTCGCAGGCTCGCCTACTTTGATTCTATGCCTTTTCTTCGCGAAACGCACAAGGATCGCTCCAACATCACTCCAAGTACTTAGTTCATCCTGTATCTAAAGCGCCTCCCGGTACATGATAGGTAGGAAGACCACGCAAGCCTTCCAGAGGATCAGCACGGCGTCGAGCATGGCGATGGGGAACATGAGGAAGCCAAGCGGGCCGCCGCCCATGACATCGCGGGCGTTGAGCCAAATAGCGAGGAAGGCGACGGTGAAGAAGTGGCTGATGAGGACCCAGGGGCGGTGGATAAGGCCGCCGAGCAGGCCGGTGGGCTCTTCAGTCATGCCCCTCTGGAAGTAGGCGAAGCAGCCCAGGCGCAGGGCGCGCAACTGCCGGCTGTCGGCAGCGAACAGGCTGTACAGCGCCATCGCCAGCACGTTGATGATGGACGACAGGTTCTTGCGCTGCCAGTGGAACTGCTTCATCACACCGCGCACCGCCTCGCTGTCGGCCAGGTCGTGCACCCCCTCCAACAGCCCCGACAGCACCACCACGTCGTTGAACGCTACGGTCATGCCGCCGCCCGTCAACGGGTGCCGCATGTTCATCGCGTCGCCCAGCACCAGCACGCCCGGGTTCGATGACTGCTGCGACGGCGGCAGCCAGCTGTTGGGCATGCTCTTAGGGATCTTGCCGTCTGCCAGCGCGGCCTCGAAGCACGGGCGCAGCTCCTTGGCGAGGGTCGGCAGCACGACGTTGTTGATGTAGCCCCGCACGCCGCCGTTCTCGGGCGACGCGGCCGGCAGGTCGATGGGGACGTCAATCAGCGCGCGCGTCTCGTGGCTGCCGATGGCGTAGAGGAGCACGGGGAAGGTCTTGCCGATGACGACGTGGCCGTAGCCTGCGGGCTGGACGGGGCAGTCGATCAGCTCGAGGGCGTAGAACTTGGACTTGACCTCAGGCGTCTTGCCAATGTACTGCTTGCGGAACTTGGAGGCGTAGCCGTCGGCGATGATGGTCAGCTTGCCAAAGTAGCAGTCGGCCTTCTTCTCGCCGGTCGTAGGGTCTGTCGTCCTGCTCTCCACGCCCAAGACCTCGGGGCCGTGCTCGCCAATTATGGTGTTCTGGACGTCTGTCTCGAACACTGAGATGTTGGGGTGGCCAAGACAGCTCTTCCGCAGCTGCATTATAAACCGTCCATGGTGGAACCCCCTTCCCTCCGGCTTCTTGTATTCCTCGCCGGCCTTCTTCTTCTCCGCCAGCACGACCTCTCCCCGCTCGTCTGTCGCAGGGTATGGGAACACGACCTCGTCGCCGTGGAAAAGAATGTGGTATCCGTAGCAGGGCACCGCGTCGATGCCCTCGAGACAGTGCCCGAGCCCGAGCTTCCGTAGCGCCGCGCACCCGCCTGGCTGTAGCAGCTCGCCGACTATCCTATCCGGCTCGTGCATCCATCGCTCGAGGAGGATGACGCTCCGCCCCTGGTTGGCGAGAGCGAAAGCAACGGCGCAGCCGAAGACGCCGGCGCCAACAACCACGACGTCGGCCTCGTGGAAGCGTTGACGACGCTCCTTTTGCAGGGAGGCTGCTTCAACTTCAAGTGTTGTCGCCATGTGTGCAGTTTTGTATATTTGCTCGCGGAGAGTATCGGTGGAAGGATGCTTGGGTGACAGGCAATCAGTACCTCACAGCACGGATGGTCGCACGAGCTACCCGTCAGTCGGTGCAGAAATTGGGGCCGTAAAGGGTAAAGGGGCTTGGTTCCCAAGGATGTCCTTGCTGCAGGTACCGACTTGAAGTGGCGATACTGGTGTCAATGACGCCGGCCAGTTGCTGTGATGCTATGCAACGCTTGTTGAAAGACGCGAGGAAAGCTCTGACCCGGAGACCATGAGGACTGTGTGGCGGATGTAAGTACAAGAGAATTGATCAGATCCCAATCGCAGAAAGTGACCTGTCCGTTCCGTACTTGTCCTGACCGTTGGTCGATATGGTGATAATCACAAGCAAAAGTGGGAGAAGACGGCCGACGAGATCCACTGCCCACTGTCAGCGAGGGACGGGTGGCGCTGGTTCGGGTGCAATTGGGAGGCAGTGGGAGCCCGCCCCTGCAGCAAACGACCAGATTCGGCACCCTGGACCCCTGTGGAGGCGCTGTAAATTCTGCTCGATTGGCCCAAGAAGTCATGCCATGCGGCCATCGCCGTCTGTGATTGGCCAATGACAGTGGGTGGCACTTGACCGCCAAATTTCACATGTCGTCCGTTTTTGTTGGGCAAGTCGAGGCGTGTGGGCTCATGGCAGTGGGAGTCTTCCAGTCTGGACGAGGGGCGCGCAGGCTGGGTAATTGTAACTCGTCCTACTGGCCGAAAGGATCGTGAAAACCATACGATGCAAGGCTGAGAGCAGCCGACAGACGCTAGACCTTGAGTCGCGTCTTTTCGTTCCCCAAGGTCACTTGGACCCTTCAACTGTGTTGGATTAGTTCCGCTCTTAACTTCCTGGTCTAAGCAGACAGACTAGGCTAGTTAGTCAACGTTGTTTGAGCCCGGCAACGACGCGTGGAATTCAGAACTGAACATTCGGACTTTCGTGCTTGAGCACTCTCTATGTGTATAGTCGTGGAATCGGGTATGGCAGTATTGCATGTATATGTGTAGAATACAAGAGATTCGAGGTGATCCAAAGTGCATATACACTCCCTTAGAATCCCCCGCCAATCTCGTACTTGCGCTCCATCATCGTCTTCTCCATCTCATCCGCCTCTTCGGTCTGCTCCGACTCGAACATCTCGACGGCCAGAGCTCTTTCTCTCATCTCGGCCCGCCTCGCGGCGAGCTGCATCCTTTCGGCCTCCTCCTCTTGCCGTTGCTGTTCGTCGAACTCCCGCAGGAGCTCATCCCGCCTTCTGGCGAATTCGGGATCTACGCCCCCACTATCACCTCCTTCTGGGTCGTGGTCACTGCGAGCCCGTTGCTCGGCTTCTAGGGCCGCCTGCCTCATGATCTCCATAGTGTCTTTCTCTAGGTCCTTGCGCTCTTTGGCCAGCGCATACCGCACTCGCAAAACCATGTCCAGTGCTTTGTCTAGCACGTCAACGGCCTTCCGCACGTCGTTCGTCTGTATAGACTTGGCCAATAAGCCGCGCGAGTCTTTCAGCGCCCTGAGTACGGTCTTTTTATGGAAGAAGGGCTCCTGCCATGCCCCCGCGATGGCCCACTTCATTCCCTTGAGATCAGCCATGTGCGTAAAGGCCAACAGGAAGAGGGAGAAGGTCGGGCCATCCCAGGGATATGACACGCCCTTGCGTTCTAGACCCGACATGGCAAGCGACACTGCGCCCTGAAAGTGGCGCGCCCCCAAGCAGACATGCGCGGCGCGCGTGAAGGCTGCGGGTGGGAGACTGAGTCCGCTCGACTCAAATCGGCTAATCAGGCTCTGGACCTGACGCAAGAAGTCGTTCTTGTTTGATCGTTCCCCTCGAGAGACTTGTCGCAGTAGAGAGAAGAACACCGGCCCGATCGCCGTGCTGACATCGACCCCTCGTGCTTTTGCCGCAGTGATTATATCGTAAGCCGTCTGTGGGTTCCCTCGGTCAATTTTGAGCGCTGCCTTCACAGCCAATTGCACATGACCGCCATCGAGCGCAATTCCTCGGGCCAGTCCTGTCTTGTAAATTCCACAGACAGTCCTATACTGGCGTAGAGCCATGGCTTCCCTCATCTCAATCCGTACATCTTGCGAACTAGAGGATATTGTCACGGAAGATACGCCTCGGCTTTTGATGCCCAGAAGCGTGATGTTCCTGCGAAATGCCGACCTGGTGTGATGCCTCGCCCTCATCGCCGCAACGACCATAGTGTTTTCTGTCAAAGTGTCGACAAAGTTGCGGCTGAGAAGCTTCAATTTGCGATAGATAATCCTCAGCTCCTCAAAGCTGAAGTCCCATCTGCGCTTGCAATTGACGAGGATGGCATTACTGAAGGCTGCGTCGACTTCAAACCCGGCCAGGCTGCAGTAGTCAAGCCAATTAACAAAGAGCTCAACGTTGCGGATGGCGCCGTACTGGTTGGCGACCACATTGACCATGTACCGGCAGACTGGTACCTTCAAGTCGGTAATGTAGGCTTTCATGAACTCCTCAGTCTCACTGATCGTATGTGTTTTGATGAATTCTTTGAGGACAGGAACGAAGACGTCGTCGATGCGGTCTTTCACCTCCATTTTCTTGAAGTCGGCCAATACCCCGTTCCAGTCGCCAACCTTGGCCTTTGCCAACGCAAGTAGTCCTAGAATGCGAGCATCCTTACATGACGACGGCTTGATCTGTTGCAATCGGGCAAGGATGTCATCCACGGCTTGCCATTGTTCTGCCTCCACGGCGATTTGAAGCATGACGCGAAGCACGCCATCTGGAAAACGGACCAAACTGAGGCCCAGTCTGCCGCTGTGCATATTTCCAAATTCGTCAAATAAGGCTGTTGTCGCTTCAAAATCCCGTCCTCGTTTCCAGTGACAGTACAAGAGTTGAGTGGCCCATGTCGTGCGGACATGGCGATCCGTGGGGCAATTCTGCAGTAGATGTAGGAGCACCTTCGCTGGTTTCTGCTTGGCGGCAGCTTCCACTGCGTCTGTCACAAGATTGCCAATGCTATACCACGTCTCGCTAGAGGCCTGGGAAAGTTTGTGACGTGTCAAACTGAAGGTATTGACGACGCGATTGAAATCTTTCTTCTCGGAAAGACACGCCATGAAACGCCGGGTCACCAAAGCATCCGCATCCCCGCCGTAGAACTGGATACGCCAGAAGACATCTGCAGCCCGATCGCCCATGTCGAGATCGAATGCCAGTTGCATCAACTTTTCGGCATTTTGCTGCCAGTCGTGTGAGCGTGGGCTGATCGAAGTTTTGTCTTTGAAGCGTGGCATGAACAGAGTCAGGGCCCGACTGAGCTTCTGCTTTGCGGCAGAGCGGTCCTCGTCCTTAGTCTCGAGGGTCTCACTCTTGGTGATTGTTGCTTCTGTGGCCGCAGTAGTAGCCGATTCGACGAGGAGCTGTGGATTGAAGGCATAGTACTGAGCCCCGGACATGGGCCCAAGTTGAACAGTACAGTAAAGGATTTCCTCAGAGTGGTCCAACATGCCTGCTTCTTGGCATTTCTGGCAAAGTGGTGCAGCTGCCTCGACTAGCATTGTCTTGTCGAGATTTGTGAGACCGCTCCTCTGAACGGTCTTCTTCAGAATACCAACGGCAGCCTCGAGGCTTTGGGCATCGCCTAAGACGACCGCTTCCCTCATTCGCCTGACATTCTCATCAACGCCGAGGTTGGGAAGAGGACCGGTCTGGGTGTTGACTTGTGAGTGGGCGGGAATTGGCTGCGCTGATGCCGTCGATTTCGTGATCTGACTGAAAATATTTACATCGGGGCCAGGGTAGGAACGAGGCGAGCGGCGCGGACGACTTGTCTGTTCGCCTTGAGAGGTTGTTGGAGCGGGTTCCTCCCATTCATCTCCCGGATCGTCGCTAAGTGAGCTCGTCCAGCTCTTGTAGTCGCTCCATTTTGATTCCCTAAACGCAACGGACGAGAGCTCCTCTTCAAGACTATCCAGGGCGGAAAGGCGACCGTGCTCTTGATGGAGAGCAGACCTTGTCGCGTGATACTGCTTCACCACGCAGAGTTTCTCAGCATTTTCTATGGCGCTGCGGGCTTGGTTGATGCGACGGCGGCGGTCTTCGGTGACGAGGAGAAGTGTGCAGGAGGTGCCGGCGATCAGCCCGCGCAGAGCTGTCAGGGCTGCCTTCTTTGGCACACGAAGCAGCGAGGAGGACATGGCCTATCGATCGACATTTCGTCTCGGTTGTCGACTGGACAGCGCTGCGGTTGAAGGAGCAGTCAGCATGCCAACACAGACATTCGGACGGATTCGATGTGGACGAAGAGGGCCGAGTAGAGCAGCCTCGAGCCGCATTTGTCCGTGAAAGGTCGTCGGTTGTTTGGATGTTTAAAAGAAGTGGACTGACGCGAAGAATGGACCCACTAGGTCGTCGGTGACGGCTAGATTCAAATATTTTGCCGGCCGCAGGGGAGCTGCTGGCTGCTGGCCGTCGGTGCTTGGCGCAGCATGACGGCGGTGCCCTACTGCAGCAGGCCGTAGAACAGAGCCTTGCCCGAGACTCACCCAGATTTCTTGGACCATTAGAAACAATTCACATTTCCGCAACATAGATCACATTACCACACTGTGATCTATTATCTCCCTACTACCAATGTCAGCTTTTTAGCCTGCGCATCTTCCCATGGCCTTCGGTGCGGCATGGCCGTGGCTAAGAGCAAAAGTCGGCCCCTTCACGCGCGACACGGCCCGGTACCTCTTCATCTGCGCGGCCTGGTATCCAGTTTGCTACTTTGTCGAAAGCCATGTCGTGGGGACAACTAGGGTCCGAGGACCGTCTATGTACCCCTACCTGAACGAGAACTACAACGAGACGAAGTTCGGCTACGTTTGCCTGACCTGGAAGCTCTATGCCCAGCAGAATCTGCAAAGGGGCATGATCGTGACCTTCCAGTGAGTCCCATCCACATGCCTGGACGAACACCTCTACGCCCCAATTACGAGATGTGATGTCTGGGTGACTGACGCCAATTCCGACACAGTAATCCGATGAAGCCTGAGACGCTGACAGTCAAGCGCATTATTGGCCTCCCCGGCGACATGATTCACACAAAGGCACCCTTCCCAACCTCATATATCCGCGTGCCGCCGAATCACATCTGGGTGGAAGGAGACGGGACCAAGACATTGGACAGTAACACATACGGCCCGATTTCGATACGGCTGATCGAAGGACAGGTCACTCATATTCTATGGCCATTTCGCAAGGCCCAGAGGGTGAAGTGGTGGGAGCACAAGCTTACTGATCGTCTTGCTGCCACGCGGGGTTGAGATTAGTAGGGCTCAATTTTAGAGAGTGAGGATGGCTTCAGATCGACTCCCTCGACCCGCTATTTCGAGTACTCTGCGGCCAACGTGCCGCGGCATCGTAAAACGTGAAATTGTGGTGCGCAACAATGCAGTGCAGTGAGAAGACGTCCTGCGTGGAAGCTGAACAAGACCAATCCGTTATGACCGGCTGACCCGATGCTACAGTATTCGGAGACCTGTGGGGTTCGGCGCCGAGAGGCCGTATACCGCCCCTGGATATCGGTTTCGCTAGATGGCATTCCAGTATGGCCGAGAAGTGCTTTTGTTTTTGTAAATCAGTAGGCTACTTACCCAGTGGCCATATAGAGGGACAAAAACATGCTTGCAAAGAGCAGAGAGAGCAATGCTGAAAGATAGATGCAGGGGGCCTAGCTACTCCCTTTAAGTGCTGTGGTGCACAGGCCAAGTCGACAGTAGCAAGGTCGGCTCCGAAATATTGGGCGTGCCGGCCGTCACCAAGCTGTAAATTTTGACTGATCTCATCGAGTCCCGTTCGTTCCTCTGCACAAGCCCGCCAACACAGCACGCGACAACCCTCTTCCGGGCTTCCCGCCTCAACTGCGGCCTCTCAACCTCCCATCCCTTATCACAAATCCTCGATTGGGCGTTTTCCAGCCAGTGCCGGCACAGACACCCTCACGGCGCAAAGCTCCCCTGCCGCTGGTGCTCAACAAACATGCGGCGATAGCCCAGCCCTCGAAAGTCAGTTTCCGAAGCACATCGTATGCCGCTGTGGCATAATGGCCGACGAAATCGACGAATATGAGGGTCGTCAGCCCTACCTACATGTATGAACTGAACCGTCACTGCCATCGGTGGCCATTGGGAAGATGCTGATAAATCTGCCCTCTTTCCCAGTCCATGATCGCCGGTGGCCTCGGAGGAACCACTGGTGACATGCTCATGCACTCTCTTGACACAGTCAAAACGCGGCAGCAGGGCGACCCACACGTGCCTCCCAAATACACCTCCCTCGGCTCCTCCTACTACACCATTTTCCGGCAAGAAGGAATAAGAAGAGGACTGTATGGCGGCTGGTTTCCGGCGCTTCTGGGGTCTTTCCCCGGTACAGTAATGTTCTTTGGCACCTACGAGTTTTCAAAGCGCAACATGCTTGACTATGGCGTGCAGCCACACATTGCATATCTTACAGCTGGTACGGACAACTCGCTGGCCCAATTCTAGCAAAACCCGGGACAGCTCGTCTGACACTCTGACACAGGATTTCTTGGAGACCTCGGCGCCTCTGTTGTCTACGTGCCATCCGAAGTTCTCAAGACCCGACTACAGCTCCAGGGACGGTACCAGAACCCCCATTTCAACTCAGGGTACAACTATCGCGGCACGCTCGACGCGGCAAGGACAATCGTGCGCACTGAGGGCTTCTCTGCGCTCTTCTACGGGTACCAGGCGACGCTGTATCGAGACTTACCCTTCTCGGCGCTACAGTTTATGTTCTGGGAGCAGTTCAAGGACTGGGCACAGCAGTGGAAGGGGAGCAGGGAGATCGGCACGCCGCTGGAGTTCCTGACCGGCGCCTCAGCAGGCGGTCTCGCGGGCGCCATGACCTGCCCGCTCGATGTGGTCAAGACGCGCCTGCAGACCCAGGTCAACCCGGCGCAGGCTGCGAAGGCTGCGAGCGCAAGACAGGGTGCCACGGTGGATCCGCATATCTCGCGCGCAACAGACGGAACGAGGATAAAAGAGGCATCAAGACGGCTGATTTCCACTTCATCCCCATCAACGCATAGGCCCCGGCCTGGAGTCGCACCGCTAGACACTTCGTCCGTGTTTGTTGGTCTGAGGATGATATACAAGCACGAGGGCGTCGGTGGGTGGTTCAGGGGCGTCGGCCCGCGTGTCGTGTGGACCAGCATCCAGAGTGGGTGTATGTTGTTCTTGTACCAAATGATCCTGCGAAAACTCGACGTCTGGATGCCCGCCGAGCAAGAAACAGCAGTTTGATCGCATGATTACAGATTTTGGTTGTCTGGCGAAGATTTCGTGTCGAGAGGATTAGATACCCAGAGCACCTGACAAGACAGTCATGAGAGCATTGATCAGTTGTTGTATGAATACGGGACGACGGCTTGGCATCTAGACTGGGGGAAGGGCACATAAAAACAATGGCCGGCGTTTGGGGGAGGCATAGAATATCATCTATTGATATGTACATTTATGTTTGATGGAAAATAGAACCAGAATAGATCGGAGGGAGACAATAGCCTCCGCTCAAAAGAGAAAACATTCCACTTACTGGGCCTGTGACCGATGACATTCCTGTGAGCAAGGAAAATAACAAATCCAGTTGAGGTCCAAAGATGGCCTCTGAGATCTGCTTTCAGTAGCTCTTGTCATAATACCTGGATATCTAGAAATACAATCCTAACTCAACGACCAGAAAAGAAATCCGTTCATCCTGCCTGCGCCAGCTTCAATGCAATGGACCGTGAACCCCCGGTATGACCCGCCATCACTTTTCTCTAAGGACCCTGTCAGACTGTCTTGGCCCTCCTACTAGTATTCATAAGTCCCCCATCTAGCTGATGAAGCACAAGCAGCCGAGACCCAGGTAGAAGACGAATAGAGGGTATACTGCAAGCCCGACGCGGTTCTTCACAACCCCGCTGCCACCGAGAATGCTGACACCAGCCGCCATTGACCACGCCACGAGCACCAGGTAGACCGGAATCCGGGGAATTTGTGGCAGATGCAGCGCAGACAGCATGGCGGCGATGACGATCGGGAAGAGCGTGTAGCCGATGATGCAGACGCTCTGCGCAAAAGAGCTGTACCACCAGTGTCAGTCATCAATCATCGTCGTCCACAGACCACAAGAAAGCACAGGAAGGAGGAGAACTCACATGTTCCCACCCAACAGCTTGATCTGAAAGGTCACAACCGCCTCCCCAATCCACACCATGGCAAACACCCCGCTAAAGACCTCATCCCGCTGGTCGACGCCGGCGTTGAAGCTGAGCAGCATGCTGAGCAGCAGGCAGAAGATGAGGGGCCCCCAGAGGTCCCAGTCGCGCAGGCCGGGGGTCATGTTGTTCTGCAGCAGGGCCTCGGTGTCCATGACGCGGCCGGCCAGGCCGGCCAGCTCCTCGCGGGCGCCCGAGATGCCCGCGCCGCGCAGGTTGGCGTAGGCGCCGCGCAGGCCCTCGGACGACTCGAACATGGTGCCGCCCAGCAGGTACCGCGGCCACAGCACCTCGCGCATCTTGCTCCACACCGCCAGCAGGTCCCGCCGCAGCGTGTCCCACACGCTCTCGTCGATCGTGCTCTGCTCTGCCCGCCGGTCCTCCCCGCCTATGCGCGACGTCAGGTAGTCCTGGTTCAGCGGCTGCTGCGATGACGAGGACGATGACTGCCCGATGTTGCCTGTCAGTGGGGCGCGCGAGGAGGATGGCTGGAGGGGGTCGTCGAAGTCGTTGAGGTCGGCTGTGGCCGCGGGCGCGGGACGTTAGCCGGGGCGCTTGGTATAGATTCATGGCTCGGAAGAGGGGTAGGGGGGAAGGGGCTCACCATCATCGGGATCTATCATGTCGTCGTCCTCGAGGGACGGTTGTTGGTAGTTGTCTCTCCGGCTTGTCGAAGCCATTTTGTGTGGGGTTTGCGCTGCACTTTGGAAGGCGTTCTGAGGGTTGGGTTTGTTTGACGAAGAGTTTACTCTTGCTCTTGCCCGAGGATTGCGCCTATGAAAAGTAGAGGGTGGAAATGGTATATGTAAGTCGGGTCGGCTGGTCCTGTAATTGTTCGAGGTTGACGAGGGCTGCGACAGCTCTGCTGTTAGTTGTCCTGAAGCTTGGAGTTACGCAGCCCAGCTCCCATAGCTAGGTACCCCTGATCAGACACATCTGCCAATTAGAACGTGAGTTGCCAGGTACGTACCTTGCTCGTTGCACCTAAACTTGAGCATGAAGATGAATCCCTTGGTGGCATTTATTATGCAGTCCTTTATCAGGAATTGACTTCCATTACTTTGGTGCATTCCCTAAGCAATCAAGGTTTTATGCCAGCTGGATCATATCGCTTAACCAAGTACTGCGATCAAGCTGTCAAAATGATGCACTACTAGATACTATCGTACAATAGTCCAGTGCACCACATCTTTGTTGCCATGGCACAATTATATCACCTGGTGCAGGTGGACCCCAGCCCCTCCCTCCTTTCTTCTTTATAATTATCAAATTGACTTCCCTCGCGCTTGTTGAGGGCAAGACAATTATTATGACAGAAGTGGTCTAATTGAACAGACAGATCAAAGCCGCTGTGCGCATAAATCTCCAGAACAACGGCTTACAGACAAATAAAGGTATCAATCAAGATTCAAATCAGCATACACTCGTGGGGTATCTCAGAAGTACAATCAATGCCCAGCAAACGCTCCTGAGACCAACGCTTAAAGTCTCAATACTCCCGGCCGGTCAACCTCTAATAAGGTGACATCATGTATGCTTGTTCAAATGCCTTGACCCTCATACCCAATAACACGCGCTAAGCAGTCCAACAAAGTGCTGTATCTGCCATGTCCCTGATAATGTTGCGGTCAAGAAGGAAAATCAGAAAGAAAACCGGTGCGCCTCCCATCAATATTCATCCCAGGCAGTCCAGCTCCACCTACCTGATTACCTTCGTGGAGAAAGGCTTTCTTGAGTGTCAAGATTTGACCCTGTTGAAAGTTCGTGATAGATGTTCTTCCAAAATTCTGAGAATTCGCAATTTGGCAAACCTATGTAATGTGATCGTCATAGTGTGAAGGTCGTGGCTATCGTCACATTCCTCAATGCTCGCTGTTAAGACAGGTCGTGAGGCGTCCCAGGCTGACTGGAAGCTTGCGTGTGACCGGCGGACGGGCCAGAGGAAGGTACATGCGGTTCAGAAGACCTCGACTGCGTCCCCGATGCTGACGCAAAGCTGTAGTACATCGGGCTGTGCATCTGTTGCTGCAGCTCGCGCTGTCGGTGCGTCCCCGAGCTAACGGAGGATCCAAAGGGGCTCTGCTGGGCCACCATCGCCGCCCACTTGGCAGCAGCTTGGTTCTCCGGGGGCTGGTATGGGGAGCCAGTTGCAGAAGGATCCCATACCGGCAGCCCATCAGGAGGCACCGCCTCATCCATGGGGTTCCCATGAGAAAACGCGTGGAGGTTGCCGTTGATCCCGCATAAGCCCCAAGCGAAGACACCCACTTCACGGATGGAGTGCATCAATTGATCATTGGGCGGTCCTCCGGCAGCCCTGACGTGGTCCTGGAGAGGCATATACTGTGGCATCAGCGGTGGGCGGAAGGTATAGAGCATCTCAGGCGGAACGAATGGGCGCACTGGCTGCGGTGCCCACGGTGCAGCGAAGAGGCCATTCTCGAAGTCCCAAGGCAGGGCGAGAGGAGGATGGGCGGGCGGGATAGCCGGTCGAGCCCTCCTTAGCACCACGACGAGACCATCTGAGGTGCAGGAGACAACAGCTTCAAGCTCAACTGCGGGCAACGGCTGCTGAGGGCCGCGTCGCCTCTGCTGCCTTCGACCTGGCCGTCGACGCTGAACAGCATTGCCGGCTGAAGCACGTTGGCTGCTGAGGCCTTGCTGAGGGTTTCCAGATCGTGAACTCGAGGCGGCATTTCCAGCCGGCTCGTGCACAGAACTGCTGCTTGCTGAAGGCACCGAGTCCATAGATTCATCTTCTTCCTCTTGTTTGATGCCTCCGCGGACAGTGGTATCGTCCTCGTCAAGAGCCATGTGACTGTCCAACTCGGCACCGCCGCCCTCGGAGTCACTGGTACTGCTGTGCCGGTCTTCGTCATCCATTGGATGGTCTTCGCCGTCGGCTTCGTCATTTCCATCTTCAAAATCTTCTGCTTCTCTGGGATCACGCGACCAGAAACGCAGATAAGCGATGGAGTCGTTAGCCTTTGCGCCTTCAAGGCACTTGACTGCATCCGGCAGGCACCTCTCTTGGATACATCGGTAGAAGCTCTTGTCCTTGACTTGATCAGGAGTGAGCCCGAGAACAGAGGCCACAGCATTGGTGGAGAACATGATTGACAAATTCCTGGTGAATCGATTCAGGATGAGCGCCGCTCGAGGTTCGCGCTCCACAGGCGGCATCTTGAATTTGGGCGAGAGGTGTTCCAGCATGTGGTAACGCGGGTCCCTAGGAGATGACGAGAATATTCTTCGAATCTGAGCTCCCTCGATCGCCCGTCCTGCAAGCTATGTTAGCCCAATAACGGGTGAGGCTCTAGGTTAACCAAGTTACCTACTTTCGCTTTTCTGATCTCGACGGTAAATGCTGGTGCATGCCACCAGCACATCATGGACAACTGTGAAACAGCATTCACAGCTGGCCCACTGGCCGTCCCTCGTCACCAATCTGGCATAGTGAAGACTGGCAGCCTTGTCGAGCAGGATGCCCCGGCTGTGGATGGATCGCGCAAATGGGACTTCGTCAGGGTGGAAGTAGCTGAAGACTGATCTTCCATGTACCTCCTCGGGCCGCCAGCCCAGTATATCGGTGATGGAATCCGAGGCAAAGAGTATGTTGCAGTCGGGGGTGAGGTCTAGCATGAGATCGTCAGTCTAGACTGCCTACTGGAGATATACCCCCATTGAGCGGGGGCTGTCGCAAGGGTGACAAGACTTCGGCGACATGATGGCTTGAAATGGTGGCAGACTTACTGTGAATGGTCATGAAAGTATGCTCCATTGAGACTAATATCTCGGCCTACCGTGCCCGGTAGCTGCCTTCTGTTTCTTTTGAGCTGGGCTAATATGGCCTCTCCATATGCCTATGTCGAGGCGAGATGGGATGAGATGAGAGCTTGTTGATGAGCTAGCTCTCGAAAGGGCGCCAGTTGAGACACGGGCGTTTTAGTCTATTCGAGTGTTTCCCCAAGCCTGGATGATCCCGGGAGGATGCGGCGCAACCGTTGCAGTGGGGAGGCCGGAACACACAATACGTCGAAACCTGGGGATATTGAAAAAGGGTTGACCGGCGCCGTTGGTGACACACGGGGATGGCTTGGTGCTATGTCTCGTACTTGTCATGCAACGGGGCGGCGATCTGTCTGCTCGCTAAACGAGTGCTTGTAGGACACAGATGCCGTCGGGGAGCACGTCAAGTCTCACTGGCTCTGATAAACCGGGAGTGTTGTGTGGGGTTTGGGGACGGCAGTCTGCGAGACTCTCTGGCGAGGACGTGTGTACCGATGCCTTTGATCTGTCAAACCACTTGCATGGGATACAGCCGACAAGGTTGCAATGCCAACAGTATCTTATGGGTTGGATGCAGAGCTACGGAGGCAGGACCGAATGCTTTGTTGACAGAAGGTTGAGGAAGCACAGAGCCAGTTGATAGATCTTGGGAAGGCTCTGAACTTTCAAAGTAGGGTATGGCTTGTCCTTGACGACCTGCTTAGATGCCCAAAGGCTGTTTCGAAGTCAGGATGACAAGCAATGCGTGAGTGAATTGGACTGCGAAGGGCGGAACGAGGGATGATATTTGTCTTCGAACAGAGGTGAGCCCAGAATGGCTGCTAGCTGAGTGCTTCGTTTGAGCGTTTGCATGGGTCGGACCGAGACGGGAGGGAGTGGTTCTAGCTCTCTTGTTCAGGGAAGATGCTTGAAAATTCTGTAGGGCGGGATGAGCAACATGTCATCGTGGCGTTTGGCGGGAAGAGGACTTGACGCGGTTTATATGTCTCAGCAAGCAATTCCGTCACCTCACAACAAAGATCCATCAGTGCCAACATTGATTGCGTTGCTCTTTGAGCCCTGGACCCTGTTGTTGACGAGTTGACAGGGGGAGCTTCTCCAGACGATGGAGGCGGGTCGCCAGATGCAGCCGTACTAGCCCGGGAAGCCACCCAGCAATTTCTGGGCGTGGAGACAAGCTCCCGTGCAGCTGGCGTAGCACCCCTGACCCGTCTCCTCCCCGTGGAACCGACGCAAGTGCCATACGGATCCCACCTCGCTGGTTATGTACGTACCGCGGGCTGGGGTGTTCTGTTCCATCTCCTTGGAGGTGCGTACCACATCTGTGATCGCGGCAGCCGCTACGTACAGCATTAGCAGGACCATTTGCGGTGGGTATGGGTCATCGAGGACGAGCTGCCTTGGAGCCGTGACCGGTTCCTGAAGAAGCAGAACCGGCAGAAAAACTGACAGGGTGCCCAGGATTGATCCGCGGTGGTCTCCTTCAAGCGGCCGCGAAACAAACGCTCTGGACCCCTGAGCTGAGCGGCAGCCAAACTCTCGGAAGAGAGAGAGACCGGAGCAACAGGAAGTTAGCTTCAACTTTAATTCGATGACACTTGAATTGAGTTCCAACACTGATCTCCTGTCAGGGGCCGCTCTCCATATGCCAGATGAAGAAGCGTTGCCGGAGGTCTGTCGCAATTCGCAATCATTGTTTGACGAGACCAGATCTCGACTCAAGCGCCAACAAATCGAGTAACAAGAGGCTCGTCGAGGACCATCGGGGTATTCGTTGCACAGATTTGTAGACGTCCACGGAGCGAGAGCAAGATTCTGCACAATGTACCATAGTACTGGATGTCCTGTACGTACCGGCGTTTTTCAAGGGCAAACGTCAAGTACATCATCGACAGGGCTTTGGCTGGAAACCTGGGCCTAGCTCTACAGCGTGGGGCGCGCTGAGTATGAATGTAACAGCAGTGGCTCGACTGACAAGTCAACGCTGCTTCGAGGCAATAATCATTTGGCGAATATCAGAATGTGAAAAGAGACACAGGTAGGGCTCTGTTTGATAGAATGTGGGCACCTTACTTCGACAAGAAAGGTAGAGCTTGCGACAGGCTGACAGGGAGGTTTTGTCGCATGGAGCCCACGGCGGTGATAGCTATCTTGGGCAGCTTGGCAGCCCACATTCTCCATTGAAATGGGGACGAGGCAGCTGTCGAGGCTCGAAGACAGGGGATTAATACCGTAGGTTCCGATGATCGACGACTAGGATTATCGCCTGCCCAAGCTCACTCTCGGGTAGGAGGGCTAGACTGCTGTCAAGTTTCATCAGTGAGTGTAGTCCGCATCCTTCGTGGACCTTGTCAAGTCTTGTCAAGTCGGAGCCGCCCGAGCCTTGTCAGCCGCATACTCTAAGGCAACTAACAAGTTCGAGCACCATCATACGCAGTGTGCAGCATTGCGGGTAGATTTAATAATAGGTCATTCCGTCATCACGCATACCACCCCGAGCCTGTGTAGAGGCCGAGGCCATCACGGAGCCGGCGTTGCAAATATGGCGATCGAGGCATAGACCCAGATAGACCCAGACCGAGTGTGAGGCTGCAAGTCTCGAGGATCGTGATTGTGGCGGAGATGAAAGGCCATCGGTTCAACAATCATCAGCCTCGCGCAAGGTTGTACGTCAGGACAGTGACATATCATTTGAGTAGGGGGTTGCCGGGGCGTATGCCAGATGGTCGAGAAAGACTGAGCTCCTGCGCATCGGAGGCTCGTTATTCGTTCAACGTCCAGCAATCCCTGACCGGCCCCTGAGGGATCGGCCTCCAGCCACAATGTGGGACGACGTCTTTATAAACTGTTGCAACCTTCTCGGCTTCTGAGATATGACAGCTGTGTAAGCGAGCAAAAACTCTTCCTCGATGCCACAGATCGCGAAACCTGCCGCCGTATCCCTTCATCGCCTCACGAGAATGACGAGAATTCCTACATTTGGGGATTTAGAAGGAGGACCTAAGGTCAGGGTTGTGATGCAATGGTTGCGTAGGAATTGCGCGTCTCCAGGCGTTGAGCGACCGGAACGTGCAGCTGTCAAGCCACCCATGCAGCGTTCGTGCTTATGCTTAGATGGCGATGTCTAGGCCCGGAGATCTGCAGAGCGAGAGCAGCACGTGTGGCAGGCTAGGCTCGCCTGGCTCTCGCTCAGCCGTTGCGATACCGTTGTCAACAACGTGCCAGCTTCTTTTGACGCTCGCGATATCAGCCTTGCCTTACTGCCAGAACTGCCTGGGTGCAGCATACGCAGCACCTCAATCTTGACTGGATCAGCGCGACCCAGCTCTCATGGCAAGCTCCGTATCAACCTGCCACGTGGAGTTGGGACCGAAACCTGCCATAAGCACCAGTCAGGCAGCAAATTCCCGCGTATTTTATAATCTTCAGGAGAATGCGCTGTAGTGTTTCTGTATGGCGGTAATGTGTTGCCGGGAAAGCCAGGAACACCAAGATGACACGAGGTGTGCCAGAGGTCCCGGTCGTCCTGCAGGGCTCTCGCCAGGAATAGTACATGGTTTACGCAGTAGTAGCGTTGTAGGGCTTGGTTGAAGCTGTCAAGGCTCTTGGCATTGACAGCGGAGTGCACCGGAGCAGGAGTGGAGTGTCGTCACTCAGGAATTGTTTCGATTGCTCTTGCACGCAACGTCCAGGCACGATCGACAATCCGTCAGGGATGCGAGGCTCCTGTCAGCCCCATCCGCCGTAAATGACGAACGCATGCGAGGCAATCAAGCTCTTGGAAGGATTCGCTGCATCACTTAGATCCGAAGGGCGAGCGCGGCCGCACATCCGTATCAAAGTAGAAGGTGATGACACAGCTCTGGTTGGCAATTGAGCCTTGAGGCATCCCAAAAAGGGTTCTTGATCCGTCTGTGGCTGCCCCTGGATCGGAAACTTCAAGCGACACCCGACTTCGACCAGGCCGCCAGGGGGGGAGGAACAATGGGCGATGAGAGATCTGCCTATCTGCTGTGAAGATCGTGGGATGCCGCAGAACCAGAGTACCTGCCAGTGTACATGTACTTGCCTCCTATGCGTCAAATGGTGCGTGGGTCACCCAATTACTCGAGATCAGTAATCATATGGGCCCATTAAAAGTATTTTGAGTCAATTGTTTTTTGTAACGATGCCCCTGAGCAGCAACGGCGGCGGACTCGATGGTAACTGCGATGTTTACTTGGTTTCCCAAACGAGTTAGCGTTGCGACCCTATTTCGTAAATCCAGTGCGACGGTACCGGGCCCAGGCAAGTTTACCCTGCTCGATTTCTAGCATCAAAACAAAGTTCTGCTACATGATTTCACTTCAGAAAACGTCCGTCCCTCAGTCTTAGCATTCCAGCACGCAAACACACCAGCTACATTGCTGCATCTCCAGTAGCTGAGAGTCATATTGGGCGACATACCCAGGATTAGCAGGACTGGGGGTTTCGTATGCACCTTTCAGTAGCTTTTCGCACTCGCTAAGCCCTGATTAGTCTCCGCACAGCGACCACCTCGCAATTCCCAACAATCGGAGACGACGCCCTGAACGCCCTGACGCTCCTCCACCACACCCACTCCCACTCCCACAAGGCCGAAGTCGAACCGGGCCTGCCACTGTTTCCAGCCCGCCCATGCTCAATTGGCCTGGAAATCACTTCGTCCGGCAGTAACCGAAACAGGAAGTATCGCCAAAAACCCTGACATCTTGCCGTCGCCAGGGTTCCAGCCTGGTTTGCGCGATGCGGTAGATTCAGCCCGAAGAGGCCCTCGTCAGTCGATAACAGGTCAATCAGCATCCAACCAAATTGGTCCATCTCCTGTCCAGTGTGGCTGGCGCTGTCGCGTATCGTGACCATGGCCGCTGCTGCCGCCCTGCAGGAGTCCCCTGAATGGGATTTACCCAGGCTGCGCTCGTCCTTCGGCTTTGAGGTTTGTAGCATCCAGGTCGCCCGGGAACTACCACGTCCAGAATCGATGAGCGCTAACATGTCCGCGTATTCTGGAACAGGACGACTACAGGCACCTGAAGCACAAAGTCAAGAGCGACGAGGAACAAGAAGACAAAGACACTGGTGCGTATAGTATCCCCCCAATGAAACCCGTCGATGCACTACTCCTCGTGTGCTCACAATTGTCTCTCAGAATTCTTCGATGTCAAATTCTACCCTTTCGACCCGGACGGCGCAGACCCCGTGTTTGCAGCTGTAAGCAAGAAGCACGTGCGTCAACTCTCTTTGTATTCGCAATTGCAATTGCATCTGCACTCTCGAGCCTCGGGATGTAGCAGGGCAAAGCATTCACTAACACTTCTCCAGGTTGTTGTTTGCCGTCTGTCTCAGACCGACGCCAACGTAAACCCATGCGAGGTCATCAGGGTTATCAGAGACGACGATGTAATCTAGCTCCTGTTGACAATTTCGAGTCTCGAGTTCTGAAGCTGACTTGAGAAAAGGAGGAAGCTACCAACTGCTCATGCTGCTGGTCCAAGGATGTCGAGACGGAGAAACCTCTACTTTGCGTTGCAGGATCAGATGCCAAAGTCAAGGTCTACGACATCAAGGAGGGCAAGATATTCACGGTAAGCTTCATCTCACCAACATATTGTGAGTTTGACTGGGATATGACTGACCTTGAATCAGACACTTGTTGGGCATGGAGGCGTAAGTCAATGCTGCGGAATTTTGCAACATGAACTTGACTAAATATCTTCACCTCAGGAAATCAACGACTTGGCAACCTCTCCTGAAAATCCACACATCATCGCCTCTGCTTCAGATGACACCACAATCAGGATATGGAGTCTGGATCCTGCCCATGCGAAACAGCCGTGTTTGTGTCTTCTAGGAGGCGAGGGGCATTCTTGGAGTCTTCTGAGCACGGTAAGTGGAATCAAAACTTGTTGCATTTCTTGTAGGAAGCTCACCGTGCATACAGGCTTTCCATAACTCTGGTCGGTACATGCTATCGGCTGGACATGACCAAGTTGTCAATCTTGTAGGTCTATGTTGAGAGCGGCCAGGTCTCAGAACAGGCTCTGATTCTGTTCGCAGTGGACAATTCCCGACCTCCCGGAACAACATGTCGACACACCGATAGTTGTTCACTATCCCCATTTCTCCACTTCCGAAGTTCATTTTGGCCTGATTGACTGGTAAGCCTAGCCCTTAAAGGTGTTTTCCCAGAAGCTAATGGGAGTACAATAGTGTCGCATTCTATGGTGACCTCATTCTCTCCCGGGCGTGCCACGAGGACAAGATTGTATTGTGGAAGGTTGAGGGATTCAGCTCTGACGACCCTCCACCGCCTCCATCAACAGCTCCTACGGCATATGATCAGAGTAGGACGACCCGATCTGCCTTTGCTTCAATAAACTCGCCCTCATGCCCGAGCCTTTGGGTGCGACTACTGCAATTCGAGACACCACAGTGCGGACCACAATTCTTTTTACGCTTCAGTATGCATCACGTTCACGGGCAGCACCCCATACTCGCTTTCTGTAACACCAAGAGCGAGATTTTGATGTGGGACATGGCCCGATTGACCGGTTACCAAAACTACATTAACAAAATCCGCGACCCAAATCGTGATCCCACCGTCAGGGTTAAGCGTCCTGTGTGGTTGCAACCCAATCACCACAAGATGAAAAAGGCGGCAAATGACAACCCAGTCGACCCGGTCTTCACAGCCGCCGTCACAATGAGGCCGGTTGGCCACCGCGATCCCTTCAACGTTGAGGGCTATCTGCTGGAGGAACAAACTCCCGAGACAGTGGAGTCCTGGCAGGCGAAGTACGATACCAGCAATCCTTTCAAGCTGATCAGACCACACAAAATCGAAAAGTTTGGCGGGCCACGCTTTCTGGGCCGCCAGGTGGCTTGGTCTTCGGGAGGCGATTGGTGCGTCGTCGCCGGCAGTCAAAACACCGCCATCATCCTGCAGCGGTGGCCGAAAGGAGGCAGACACTCGTCGAGCCGGCAGAACTCCCATGTCCCGTCCGAGGTACCGAGTAGGCAAGGCACTGCGGCTGTGAGTGCTGGGCACAGTGCTGGCCGGGCGAGTACGCTTTCTGCGCAGCCCGATGCAATCATGTGAGGGACTATCATTCTCGCTCATCTCTCGCCTGGTTGTTCCAAGGCCCAAAGGAGCATTCATCATACTTCTGACTATTTTTACACTGGACGCACGTTGTTCTTTGAAGGGTGGCAGAGTTGTTTGAAGAAGGTCGGAATAGAGAAATATTGCTACCCACGTAGATAAAGACCACAAAACCATGTCTCTATCGCACAGGCATCGATGAGAATATAGGAAGTCCCCCCCACTGGCTCCCTTGAATGTCTTCATCGTCATCATCAGCTCCGTAATCATCGTCACTCGCGTTCCCATCCCGTAGCCACCTCTCCGTACACGCATCAGTCCGTCCTCCACTCTTCACCATCCGCACAAAGAAGGTTCTCGCCCTCTCCTGCTCCTGTTCCCGGACCCTGTTGCCTTCCTCTTCCTCATCGGCCGTCCGTGGCGGCGGTGGCACGCTCAAATCTCCGATATAAAGCGCGACCATACCACGCAGCCGCAGCAGTTCCACGCTGCGAGAGTAAGGCAGATTTTCCATCAGGCTGTCCATGCGCGACGCCACATCCCGCATGGTCGACATGGCCTGCAGGCCGAGGTCGGCTTTGGCCTGGCGCAGCCGCCTCTCCCTGCTGGTGAGGTTGTTCTCGCGGTAATGCCGGCCGTCTGCCCGCGTACTGTCGTCGTCGTAGTCCGCCATGTCGATGTCGGGGACCTCGAGGTCGTCGCTCCACGACTCGGCCTCGTCGGCCAGCCGCTCCAGCGCCAGCTTGTGCCCGACCCACGCGTTGTAGAACTCGCAGCTGAACAGCACCGGGTGGAAGTCCAGGTCGCTGATGCTGTCCGGGTGCAGCCGGTTGTACGGGTACTGCCGCACCAGCGACTCGAGGTACGTCCGCAGCTGTGGCATGTTGGCCGCCGAGCCCCATCTCCTGACCGCGGCCTTCCTCCCTGCGCCGCCCTCCCCGCCGCCCTGCCCTGGTTCCTCCTGCTCGCCGGCACTCTTAGGGCCGGTCTCGCCGGGGATCACGCTCCTCGACCTGACCTCCCCGTCGCGCATCAGAATCTCCGCCCCTAGGCTCCACAGCGCGTTCTTCCTCAGGTCGACCGGCCTGCCCCGCACTTCCGACCGGCGCAGCAGCCCGAAGGCTCTCTTGGCGCGCGGGATGTCGCCCTCCTCCAGCGCTCGCAGGATCACGTTCGTCAGGAACCCCAGCTGCTGGGCCTGCGCGTCGCGCATTTGTCGGCGCCGCCGCGCCTTCTCAGCGCCCTTCGTGCTGCTTGCGTCGCTGGCCGAGCCGTCTTCTCTGTCGTCTTCATCATTACTGTCGTCTGGCTGCTGCTGGTGGTGAGATGGGCGGATGGGCCGGTGCGGAAAATCGGGGATGTAGTTGGACGGCAGGAGGTCGTCTGCTGTGAGGCCCGCGGTGCGCAGCTGTTTTATTGTGCCCTCGCTGTGCGAGAGGGGGTTGATGGTGTCGTTCGGGAGGTGGTGACTGTGCTGGGAAGAGCGGCTGCCGCTGCTGAATACTGAAGCAGAGCGTTTTCTCTTGTGCGAGGACATGGTCTCATTGCGGAAAATTTTCAAGTTGCGAGGTGATTGAGAAAACCGCTGGTATGGCTCAACGGCCTGCCCTGCCAAGCTCTGCCTGGTCGAGAGTTCTTTAGTATGATTTACGGTAAGAGACGTTTCCCAAAGGGAAGTTTAATTCAAGATTACACCTCTGGAATTAATGAAATGTGACAGTCGCTAGGGGATCTGCAGTTTTAGTATGTTGTTGCGGAGGGCCTTTCTGTCCGTGGTGGTTGGACTGAGTTGAAGAGATGAAGTTCTTAAGTGTAAATGAGAATGCTGCCCCACGTCTAACGCCGTCCACATCCTGACCGTCTCCAAGCCTCAACGTGAACCTTACACAACGATTCTTAACACTTTAAATGAGAGATGACCATTAAAATTAGCATGATTCTACGTAGTGGGTGATGACATCTCATTTCGTGAAACAATATGTGACCAGCAAAATGCTCTTGCATCAGCCAATCGACCATCATCTCATTTCAAGTAGCACATTGGCTGTCTGGCACGGGGAGCTTTTCACATTTGAAGAAGGCCGCTCAGCAGCGACCATGCATTCTGTACTTCGTTATTTTTGATGTATTTCGTCTTTCGCAAGAATGCGTATTTAACGGATGATTATTATCCGGTCTTGAGGCGACATCCGAGTGAATCTAAGACCCTTCGTAAAACCCTTCTGGCGGCTCTAGATGGGTACACCCTCCTCTGATACTGTACACGTCTGATGGTCTTTTCTTCAAATCGCGGCTTTATCTCTAGCCAGGCCCCCTTCACTCCTTTCGCTCGAAGTACACCCATTGGCCCTCCTTGGGCTTCTCCTCGAGGCTCTCCCATCTGTACGATGAAAATATTAGCAATTACACTTCATAAACTCTGTCCAGTGTAGACTCACGGCTTGGACTCCACCATGGTATCAACAAGTTGATGCTCTCCCTCGGCAACCTGGATGACCTCTTCGATGAGCCCAGCCCCGATCTTGTTCTCGAGCTCCTCAATCCTGTAGGAGTTGTCGTCAGCGAATACTCATATTAAGACACCGTGTTGTCCCTGCTATAGTCCTGACGTACTGATTTATTGTCAGCTTGGGCTCATCCACCCACTCGATCCCATCGCCCTCGAAGGGATCCCGGGACAGCAGTGCCTGGTCCTTTCTCTCCGCTTCAGTCCTGCTTCCTTCTTTCTCAGGGCCCTCATCAGCTTCGCCGTCCCACTCCTTGTATCGGCTGTCTATGTCTGGGTTCGTTCTCCGCAGCACAAAGAACTTTCCATTTCGCTCCAGACCCGCAGCCAGGGATCCGTCGGCCGTCTTGTGCGCGGTCTCCTTGAAGTGCTCGGGGTGCTTCTCCAAGATCTGTCGAGCCTTGGCCAGCCACTCGTCGTAGCCTGCGGGTTTCACGGACTGGACGAGGGACATCCGGTGTTTCGTGACGGCCTCGACGGATTGTCGGTACACTGACGTCTCGGGAATGACCTTGAGCTTGTCGAGGGTGCTTGAGTACAGGTATAGGAGGGTCGATCGGGGAGATGGGTTCGCGTGAAGACCTGTCAGGCCTGTGGGCGCACCGGGCTCGAGGAACCGCACGGGCTTGACGCTCGCGAACAGTCGGAGGGTCCCTCGCATCTTGGGCGGTCGTGAAGGGTTGACTGCGATGTGACGGGCTGCTTGGTGAGACTGGACCACTCGGGACTGGAGATTGGAGGTCAATTGGCTTGCGCAAGTTGAAAAGAGGTCGCAGTGGGCTGTCGGAATTACGTACTGGGCTTCGTGAGTCGTTGTCGTCAATTGGGACTTCCAGATCGAGGAAGCTCAACTAGCGAATCGAGCTTCGGCGCTGCTGGCGAATGAACGTCACCGAGTTTCGCAGCGGTCACGTGGAAATTGACAGGGGTCTAAAGAACGACCTCGCCTCGCGGCGAGCCGAGAATCGATGCCCCGTTTCTGCACTTACGCCCATTCCTCAAAACAAATCTCGTAGCTTTCGTTCAATTCTTATTCTTCTCCAATTTCCTTCTTCTTTTTTTTTCTTAAAAAAAAAGGGGGGTTGGGGGGTGGGGGGGGCAGGGGGAGTATTGTTCGGATTCTCAAATAATCTGTCAATTTTTTGATCAGATCATCACATCATGTCCTACCTAGCTTTTTACAGCCATGCAAAGCTCTAATGTGCATCTAAGCAATTGAACACCATACAGCAGTCAGACCCTTGAATGCTTCGATCTGCCATGATCAGCATCCTAGTCCTTCACATGGATGCTCAAATCCAAAGTGAAGCCCTTGCCTAGATGACTTCCCGCGTTCTGACCTGCTAGCATCAAGTCATGAGTAGCACAGTCACTGGTTTTTAATGAAGTTCTGAGATAGTCTAGGCTATTCCTGTACATTCTAGGTCCCTACTGATAAGGCACCGAATTCCAACCCGTTGCAAATGAGCGTAGGCTTCCCTAGAAAATGATCTGTGCAAGACGTGTGCCAGGCATTTAGTCAACAACACATTATACTAGACATTTCAGTCGATCCCGTCGTGCCTCCTGACTCGACCTCCAACTTTTCAGAGAATCCACAATCCGCTGCAAAATACTGTGTTTGCATCGACCATTCGCAGTCACCGCCATGAGATCCAATGGCCATACAGCGCTGCAGCAGGTAACTCGTAATTGTTGAACAATGCCTGCCTGTACAAGTACAGTGGATAACAGGCCACCGGGGTCACAGTTCATATTGTTTTAGTGGCCAGGCCTACGATGCAATGCGTTACATATCTGTGAAGGTTATGCACTGCAGTGTTGTATGTCGCTACTTATGTACCTGAGTAGTTTCTTAGCCCCAGTCCTAGACCACATAGGCAAGCGCCTAAGTTTTTCCTAGTTCACATTTGGATCGGAGCCGTCTCTTTACTTACTTGGGAATTAAACTGTATTTATGGAAAGACAGCGTTGCGACCTAAGATACCCAACTGCACGTTACACATGAAATGCCCATCTTAAGGACCGTTAAGTACCATCACACCACTCCCAAACGTCTGAATTCAGGCACACAACGAGGAGGAGCGGTCTTAGGATCAAAGCTAAGGTAATAGGCCCAGAGCTAATAAAGGCCTACATTACCCTGTTTCAAGTCTTCTCTTATTCCGAAAAAAGTGGATAAAGAACTTTGTTCAAAAGTTGAGTTTGAGATCACACAAGTGACAATAGGGATACGGATGTATGCAACACCATACAAAATCGAGCTCAAGTGTCGCTGCTGGACAAAAATGATAACTCATTCAAAGGCCCCAGGGCCACCAAGGTATTAGTGTTCCATACTTATCAAGGTCCCGGCCAGGCAGCCAGAGAATAATATTTTGTCTGCAGCCATTTGTTAGCTAGCGGGTCACAGATTGTTATCATCCATTGATAGATTCTAGCCCAGGGCTGGTGACGTTGGTGGCAGCTAGTTTAATCTGTCCATAATTGTCTGGTTTCCTGCAGAGCAAAGAAGTTGCTCGAAATTTTGGTACAAATATTGACTGCTTGCATTGCAAAATTCGATTTGTTCAATGTCTACTTCAAAATTCACATTCGAGAGAGAGCGATTAATAGCCAATTTCGAGCAAATTTTATTCTAAACCACAATATGTCCGATCAGCAACGAAGAAGAGACGAAGACGAAGCTGTCCGCAGGGCATTCAGAGAACACGGACCTTTTAATCAGAGATGGCCTATTCCGATAGAAGATCTTGAAGCGTCACTGTATCCGGAATATGATACCAGTGAAGGCAGTGAAAGCTCTGAGAGACTTGAGACGGCCCCGCTATTGGCGGGCCGCGGTGCAAGGAAATCTACACCTGGCAGCTATGCCCAAAGCGCACTGAGGGAAGTACTTGAGAGTGATCCTTTGGTACAGAGGAGAAATCAAAGCAGGGAGTGTGGTTCAAACCCTAGGATGATGAGGTCCAGGTGTACAGGTCTTGGTTGGGTGGTTCTCGGCCTCCTCTTTCTCGGGATACTCTATCTTGGGTTTCCCATTCTTATGGAACTACTCTTCACAGTGGAGCAATGAACCACAACTGATCTTACAGACTTGTGCCTGGTGGTAGGTTTTGTCCATCCTTTGCGCCGTCCATGTACCTCAGCTTCACCATACATATTATAGTTTGCTGACTTTGGCTGCTTCAGTAACATTAAAGACAATCGAAGTCGGTTGTTTCCAAGAATGCATCAAATATGGGCGAAGAGCTCTCAAAATAAGACACATTGTACGGGCAGGACGATTCAAGGTGGGCATCTGGGGTGTCCTGCAACTCATGACTTGCCTAGAATCAAGATTCGGGGACGACACGGCACTTCACAAGCGATCCCTGCTGGGCCTGTCTTATGCAATTTGATTAAGCTGTATGGAGACAAGCTCTGCATCGGTCGCAGCATTTCGACCGGAGGAAGTCTTGACCAGATTAAACTCCGAGTCTCTGAACCACGCGCAACACGGCATTGAAATGTCCTAGATCATTGGTGTGAGGATGTTTTGTTGGATATGTTTGGATACGAAGCAAGGCACTTTCGGTACAACTGTGGTATGAAGGGGGTTCAGGATGGATTTTCTGGTCTCATGATACCATTATTTAGATTTCATGAAAATCAACGAGACATTACGTCAAAAAGGAAGTGAAAGAGAAAACAGCTGTATTACAAATTAATATAAAATTGACGAATAATCTGCTGAATTTCCTCTTTATCTTCATCTAAGGAACTGGACTTCTCCAAGCTTTATATGATATCCAAGTTTGCAATCCAGCCAAGCCAAGGCTCATAAGTCCTAGAAGCACTGCTATAAATACGCCGATGATCGTGGCCATCATAACATGCCTATTCTTGCTGTTGCGCTCTACCCATATATCCCAGGCTCCGTGTGGTCTCTCGTTCTCGAGCTCTTCGTATAGATCCAACAGCCGCGACCCCCAATACTCCCACTTTTGTGCTTCTTTTTGCTCGCCCTTAAGTTCTATGCCGTTGTCATCTGTTCCATTGGTTATGTGCTTGCTAACGTTTGGATCAAATCCCTCCTTAGAAACCAATGTTGCTATGAGTCTGTTCGTCTGATCGTCGTGAGGGAACAAGATTTGCAACGTATAAAGCGTCTCAAGAGCCAATTCGCGTGGCAGAATAAATCCATTACAGACTTCATCTGGGTCGCTGATGTGGTAGCGGGAGTGATTCAGTTTAGAACGTCAGAGGGAGTTCAAGGTGGACTTACCCCTGTTCTTGAGTCTGTTTTGAGGCCAGCAAATGTTGCCTAAGGAAGCTTGTGTGGTGGAAGACTTTTACCCGAACTTTTCCTTCCCAGTCGTTGAGCCGGAGGTGGTTCCGCAAATCGTGTGTTCCTTGTATCTCTAGGCCTCCGATTGCTTTCAAGTTGACAGCAGTCAACTTGCGCCTGATTGCTTCCCCTTTCCTACCTCCCGACTGAAGCTCTTTGTGGTACTCCTTGGGAAATGAGTCTTTTATGAATGCATCAAGAGACTCGTCGCATTGCCAGCGACTCAAAGATCCCAGAGCTGAGTCACCGTAGCGAGAATCTCCCCAATCTTGACCGATGCAATTACACATGGTTGCGACGCTGGCCGCAAGTTGAAATGGGCGCTCCTTCTCAGGTGGAATCACCAGCACTATTGCTGTCATATTAGCCACGCCTGCGTACCGTGTGCCGAATTATGGCATGTTATACCTGAACTTGTGACTTTGAGATCCGTAAGCGCATTTTTTCTCTCATCGGCTGTGGCCTTTTTTATGGACGTGATTGCTTCCAAAACGTCCTCTTCTGAGCATGCAATGCGCCGTCTGACCTTCTCAAATTGGGCTGCAAATCCTTCCAGGAAGCCTTCATCCACAAGTTTCCAACGGCAAATAGGACCCGATCCATTGCAACGGTGTGGCTCCCATAATTTGACATAGATTTCCTTCCTGCTCGGGTTTGAGTTCAAGTCGTGTCTAGCGTGGGAAGCCATTTGGCGCACATGCTGTCGAGAGCTGAAGTGCTTATCGAGAGAAGAACCGTTCTGTACTTCGTCTTGACGCCAATGATTGAATTTTGGACTTCTTGAAAGCCCTAGAAAAAGTGTAAATAATGAATCCTGTCAAAACGTCGGTGATACAGGACCATTCGATCAAAGTGTAAAATCTCAGGACAGGGCTCAGACTAGTGATGTACTGTGACGGGGGCTGTGACCGGATGTGGCTGTGAGGACCAGAACCAATCGCTTCTAGAAGGGTCACCTCGCATTTGACGCAGCATGAGAGTGAGACATAAGTGCAACCAGGGAGATGACTGCATACCTGCCAACTAGCTTGCCCAATAGGCATCGAGCAACACCTCACTGCGTCCTGCAATGCCTCTACGAATTAAACCTGCTAAGTCACTGGAGGCCTTAATCACTTTCTCTTGATGCCTCTGCGATATGATCAAACCGCTAGTTGTACCGCTTCCTCCCACGTGGTATTCAATCCGCCTATACTTCCTCCGTTCAATCGCTGTTCAACAGTCTGAGCCTCATGAGCAGCAACACCTGAACATAACCGCGCTCCAAATTGGTCAGTCTAAGGGCTGATCCTGTGATATGGAGCCTAGCACCATAGAGATGGTTGTGCGAAGCAATGGGAAGGTGCCCATCCCTCAGATGCCCCATAGCACTGAAAATCATCACCCACACCCAGCACCATCATCGAGGTCAGGCGCCGCACAGAGCGGCACAGACAAAGCAGATTACGCTTTTCAAACCGAAGTGAAAAAGTCGGGCAGTTGCAGCATACTGACTGAATCTGCGTGTCACGTATCGTCGGCCTTCCCATCCGAAAATGCTCCTTCTTCATGCGGCTGTAATAACTTCGATTCAGCTAAGTCTCCACCACAACTCAGCGCGAATTCACGAGACACCAATAGCAACGTCTCTAAAAGCAAATTGGTCGATGGCAACAAAGCAGTCTCTTCCGGCTTTGAGCCAACACCACTGGCATCATCGGCAGCATCTGAGCCGATGGAAAGACCACCAGCAGCCGCCACTGTCCAACCGGCCGCGGACGACCCGAAACACAGCGTCGGACAGATGAAGCTATTTGACCAGACGCAGAAGGCCATCCCAAAACTGTACGAAGCCCGGTGGCAAGTTATACTTCCTGATATCTCCGACCAGGTAATGGCAAGACTTCGACGCGGACGATTTGCCGTAATGTTGAACAAACCCAGAGCGAGCATTGAGTTGATGTCGGCTGGCGTCACTAAAGAACTTTCATTGCCGGTAGTGGTGGTATTGATTCCGAAATACATCAAAACCATGCAAAATTACCTCAACAAGAATAGTACAGTGCAAAATTGCTGCAGGCCTAGAGACGGCACAACAGTTGAGCTGCTGGTCCTTGCATGCAAAGGCCGCTCAACACTGATCGGCATGTCCGGAGAGCCTCCTCAAAGTAGTGAACAATTTCTTTCAGACAGCGACTCAGATGACCTTTCGGATGACAACGGCTCGATGCTTTCCTCGGACGACAGTGATAGTAGCGCAGGGCTCCATCCCGTGGTGGCTCGTGTTCCCGAACTCGCTTCCCAATCTATTTCTGTTGTCTGCGAGCGCAGCGATATTGACGGAAGTAACAACTTCGGGATGGGTATACGACTACTTACCAAAGACGGCTCGCGACATGTACGCGGGACCTGCGGAGGCTTTCTTCAACTGGAAACACCCAACAAACCTCCACGACAAGTGGGCCTCATGGCTGGGCATCTACTTGAGCAGCTGAGACAAAGTTCTAAGAAGGAAAATCAGGAAACATTCGGTAGTCATCTTCTCACAAGAGACATTTTGTATCCCAGGAGCTCGGGGAATATTCCTCGGCACGATTGGGCTCTGTTTGATGCAGCCCATTTGATTTTCAAGTACAGTATGATCGATCAGCACGGCCTTACCATAGCACAGAAGTCAGATCTCCCCGCAGGGAGCGCTGTGGTTGTTATTCGAACTTCAAGGGGGGCAGTGATTGGCACGTTGTCGTCCTCAACGAGTGCGATCATGCTCAGCCCAGACCATGGATTTGTCCATGTAAGGATGATCTTCATGAATAAAGGTTCGTCAATTCTAGAGTCGACCAAGGAGAGCCACGGATGACCACCAGTGAGTTGTTCGGGTACTAACCCTGAAATAGGCTCGACTGTTACGCAAGGCGACTCGGGTGCATGGGTTGTTGACCCAAGACTTAGCAAAATATACGGACATATCATTGCGACAAACAACAACGGACATGCCTACATGGTCCCATTGCATTCCGTCATCACGGAAATGAAGGACATCATGGGTATCAACGATGTGTCTTTGGCGATCGAAACAGACACCAGCTCCCAAACCCGCCTAGGGGTGGCACACGAGGACACCGGACAGACTGAGAGATCCATTCAAATTCAGGAACCAGACGATCAGCCCGATCATTTGGTCATAAATAATCACGTAGAAACACTCGAAGCACTTGCCGAAACATACCTGAATGATGGGCGCGCGAAAGAGGCTATACTTTTGTTGGAAGAGGCTGTCTCCTTTCAGGAGGCTGTCTCTTCTGAAGAGCGGTCTTCGGAAGAAGATCAGAGCCGACTAGCATCGCAACACAAACTGGGCAAGGCATATTTAGAGAACGGCCGTGTTATGGAGGCAATTGAAGTTCTCGAGAAAGTGGTAGAGGCTCGTGCGAAAGTCCTTGATCAGAAACATTCGGACTGCCTTGAATCACAACATAACTTGGCCATTGCATACACGCAGAACGGCCGGACATCGGATGCTATCAGGCTATTGGAAAATATAGTAGCAACGGAAGGGGCCATACTCGCCAGGTCCCATATTGGCCGTCTTACGTCACAACATCAACTTGCCGGCGCATATCTGGCAGACGGTCAAATATCAGAGGCAATCAAATTGCTGGAATACGTGGTAGCAGTTAAAACTTCCACGTTGGAAGAATCGGATCCTCACCTCCTCGCATCACAAATTATGCTCTCCGAAGCTTATTTGAAGGCTGGTAGAGCTTCAGATGCCGTCAAACTGCTGGAGGGCGTGGTTGCTGTCGCAGACGCGACCTTCAGCGAGCATGACAGGCTCAGAATTGACTCACGCCAATGGTTGGACTTTTCGGTGAGACAGCTTCGTGACTTGAATTTCTCGCAATATGCTGGAAGAGATTCAAAGCCCGTCTCGACTTTCGTAAGACAGAAAAAGCAGGGCCCTGACAAATAGTCCGCGGAAAGGCTGAGGAACGAGAGGCCAGGTGCTACATGATGGAATGCACTTCTAAGCTACCACAATAAAACCATGGGGACACTTGAACATGTGCCTTCGTATTTGTAAACTTTCTGATGACATAAATGCATTTTGAATCTGATATGAATCTCCAAGTGCTTCCATAGAAATTAAAGGGGAGATTTTCAGGTCAAAAGAATTGGCGATGGTAGGCGCGTTGACTTCGCTCGAAGATGTCCGAGTACCGATGAGCCACAGACAAGTAATGGTTGGAGCGTATTGGGCCTTCGTTCAAGGAGCAAGACAAAATTTGAGCTAGAAGAAGGTATTCTCATTCATAATCATCATTGATTAGCAAGTTGTGCTGTCGTGATGAACATGTTGTGTTGGAGTTGGGAACGTGGGCGGCAGCAGCCGTTACCAAAGACGACACCGTTCTTGTTTGATGGTTTTGTTTGCTGTTTGCATGAGCGCCATGTGAATCCAGCATGATCAGACGTTTTCCATGTCTCAGCCAACACAGCGTCCACCTGCACACATAACTTGTCAGCCACATGCTCGCCCAGAGTAGATGCGCCTTGCTTTTTGGAAACCAAAGGACAGCCATATTTTTCGGCAGCAGACAGCGCTTATACTACATCTCACATGGTTTCTGTCACGAACAGTTCAAAATCGCCACGATCAATCTACACTGACGGTCTGTTGATTTTCTTCTTCATCTTCCTTTTTCGACACCCCACCAGCAGCTGAAATCGACAGCCACAATTCACCAAGAGCTTCATTTCAAAAGCAGCTCTTTTAGGCATCTCCACAACCTTTCGACCCACACATGCCAGATTCACTGGCTTTGCATGAAGATGGGTATCAGAGAGTAAGTCTGATGCTTGCATGCCTGAGTCCTGGAACGCGCCTCTAACTGCCTGCCACCCAGATTCTGGCCGATCTTTGCTCGTGACGGAGGAGAGGTTGTCAACCTCTTCGACCTGGCGTCAGAGCACATACAGAACACGGAAAAGCCGTATCGAATCGCCGTGGACTTACCCTGCTGGATGTTCCACAACCTGAATGAAAACTCAGTCGAGACTATCAGACAGAATTCCCAACGAGCCTCCAACCCAATTGAGAAGGCTGTCCTTTATCGAATGATGCGCTTCGCTTCCCACGGAATACAAGTCATCCTGGTCTCTGATGGGCCTCAACGACCTGCGAAAAAGAACAGACGCACTACCAAGGGACATGCCTTGATCATAGAAAAGCTGAATCTATTGGAAAGGACTGCTAAGGCTATTGGGATCCCCTGGTGGCAAGCTCCCGGAGAGGCCGAGGCCGAATGCGCCCAACTACAGCGATTGGGAATAGTGGACGCTGTCTGGTCTGAGGACAGCGACACATTCATATTCAGAGGCACCACCATGTTACGATTTCACCTTGAGGCAGACGGTTCGAAGAGTAACACACATGCCCAATTATATCGCATGGACAAGATTGCGGACAAGGTTAGAGGCATGGACTGGAGGGATCTAGTGCTCTTTGCCATTATTGTCGGTGGCGATTACAGCCCAGAGGGGCTACCACAATGCGGACCGAGGATCGCGCTTGAAGCTATTGAACAGGGACTCGGTATATCACTTGTCAAAGCCTTCGAAAATGGGTCTTTGGATCCTTGGCGACAGAAGTTCAAGCGATTCCTCGAGGGTCAAAGAAACCATGCCCACCCTCCTGTTGACTTTCCCAGCATGAAGGTACTTCAAAACTACATTAGGCCAAAAGTCTCAAGCGAGCAGCAGCTTAGATCTGGCGTGTCTTGGAACTTGGAGGTGGACAATACGGCTCTTCGGGCCTTCATCACTTCCTTCTACAACTTCAGCGTCCAGGAGAACATCGCCTGGGCTGTCCGTATGTTGCTGGCAAGGAGACTGATATTTCGAAACAAATTTGAGGAGCTGTCACTGGAATTTGTCAGGAGGGTGTCAATCAGGGAGTCAGGCAACATCCCGATGTCGAAAGTCTCGTTTCTACTTTCCGCCGTCATGCCGAGACATCTGCTGGAAACTTGGCCTGAAAAGGTGACCAAACAGGCCTCCAGGATCAAGCCTTACGAACACGTGGATCGAATCGAATGTGATATCCCAGACAGCATTTTACGGCTGGCTTTGCCAGACCTTCAGGAATTCCAGAAGATTCCGAGACCGAACACTTCAGCGAATTCGCCGACCCATCCCACAGGACATGAGAATATCCAAGGGGCTGCAGGAAAGAGGAAGCGTGGCAGGCCTCGAAAAGATACGCAAAACACTGCCGCCGCCTTAAATCCCTCCAAAGGGCTTCATAATCAGGGAGTTGAAAAGAATCGCATAGTACAACACTCCGCTGGATCGAAGGAAAGCACTCATGGTCGCGCTGATACTGCTCCATCTGACAAGATCTTGTCTGCCTTCCCATTTCTCCAAGACAGCGAGGCTCCACTGCGATCGCTGGGGATGGAAAAGTTCAACGACGGCTTTTCAGACGACGACTTTGCTGACTTCAGAGATCTTGATCAACCGAGACCGACGAAGTATATCAAGAGAGCCGAGCCGCTGAATGAGGCAACGAGCCAATGTTTAGCTGACATGGCCCTCCCAGGTAGCCACCAAAAGCCGACCGACGCTTCTGACTCTGCCATCACAATCAGTTCTGCAAATATCGAGGGTGGTGGATTGAGAAGTGACAACATTCTCGAGCTTTCGAACTCGTCATCCGACAAGCCGAAGCTTGCGGAACAGCGGTACAAGCAGGTTTCAAGCATCGGCCACAGTATGAGCCAAGCAATTGATCTCACTGACGATTGAGAAAATTGATCAGCTCACTTATGGTACACATCGGTCACACACATGGAGACCTATTAAGATGTCGGAGTAGTCTCGATTGACGGACTGGGGGTGGTTTTCTACCCAGCTGATATGTAGTTATAATTTTTATTAACGTTCTCATAACAGCTACTGAAGACGCCCTGTGAGGATACCCGACATCTGACTAGAATTAATTGACATGACCTCAAATGTAAGTTTTGAAATATTCTTCTTTTTATTAGAGAAATCTATAATTTGTTGTAAATGATAGAATCGAATCCAGCACACCGTTGTGAACCTCCTATGCTCTAGTATCTTTCCCGCCATAAAACGCCACAAAAGAACAGCAGAGTCTCTTCCTAGCCAAACGTAACTAGCAAATATGCTCAGTCTGGCAAGACAATAGACATGGCCACTCTTCTCTTCCTGGGATTGACTAGATCACACACCACAGGGTTGTGCCTAGATACCTACGATCAACTTCAATCTCATTTAGTGCTTCTTCCATGGAACCAAAGAAAATTTCCCTCAAAGGCCGAGGGCCGCTCTCCTGGAAGTTGTGGCGCAATGACTTAACTAGGCTGACACCCGTTCAAAGAGCCGTCGTCTGAAGCTTTTGTCAACAAACTTTAACCCGATGTTGCAATTATTGCGTAACACGGCTTTAATGTTTTGATATCTTACGACTGGTATACTACATCCTCTCTTATCTCAAGTTTATTTCAGCTACTGCAGACTGATGCTAGATGACCCACTGCTCCCATTCCCTCCCTGGGCCGTATATCCTTCCGTCGCAAGAATTTGATAGTTGTGATTTCCCAAGTTTAGTCCCACCTTTTTCCATTCGTCAAAGTGTCGACTCATCGTCACTGATCCACCAACTCGCTGCTCCTGTCTAACTGACCAATATTGCTGAAAGGTCCTCGTACCCTCAATCGAAGGCTTGTTAACGCGCGTGCTTGAGAAGATCTCATAAGAGCCTTCCTCAAACGTGAAGTTGCCTTTTGAAGTCCACGGCTCGTTGGGAGCCAGGTCACCGTGAGACTCTATCACGTAATATTCGATCAATGGATTTTGGGTCCATCCGTATATGGCGAGATAGCCTGGGCCAGTCGGTGTGTATGTCCCGCTATAGTTGACGACCCTGCCACTGCCTTGACTCCACCCTTTTCCGCACACGAATCCGCCTGTGCCTGACCATTGAGCTGAGTAGGTGCCACCGTTGCTGTTGGTGCAGCGGTGGTTGATGCCACCTTCAGACCAGTCGGACCAGTACCAGCCCTGTCGCTTAGCGAGGTCTTGTTCGACGACGATATCGGGCTCGTCGTTGAGGGGCATTGGCGATGACACTGCTGTTGAACATATGGCCAACAATGGCCCAAGAATTGGAAGCAACGAGGTCAAGAGCATGATGACTGGAGTCGTATGTGTGAAATTCCTTTGCTATCGATAGTAAAATAGGGTTGGAACCGAGAATCGTGATTCAGACACATGACAGAAGAGCTTGAATTGCTCCTTTAAATCGTAATGACTAGACAACAATCACAAGATGAAATGTATCGGAATCCACATTCAGCCAACCACAGAGGAAGTGGCATCGCGTACTCAACTCGGTCCCCAGAACAACGCTGCAAATATATAGGGCATTCTATGACCATTTTACCCGGCTTTGCCTTGTTGTCGACCATATCTTCTGAACCCAACCCTGACAGCCTGTGGGTTCCTCCACCACCTGACCAATTCTTCTGCATGTGCTTGGCTATTTTGTCCAACTTGAAGACATAGTCTGCCTTCTTACCTAGGTAGTGTAGTGGACGATGCAACAGTCGACTCTGAATGGCATACATCTTTCCAGGTTTTATGGTTTGAAGACCTTATGACTTGTCGGTGCTCCGACGGCTTGGCAATTAACTTATAGTGCCAAGTGCAATAGCTCGAGAGATTGATAACCCTTCCCCAAGGTAGATCAATCGCTAGCCACTTCTTCTACCCGAGTTCATTAAGCGCGGAAAGGGATCAGAAAGCAACACTCTCCATATGCATCTTCAGCTGTGCCAAGCGTTTTAAAGTTGTTCAACGTTGGTCTCACAAGCCAACAGGTCGGATAACACACGGCACCCATAGCAGCCGGACAAACGGAGCTCGGAATCGTTGACTTGTTACGTTGGCGTACGCTCCAGATCCCGTTGATGAGGATCCCTCCTCTTCCTGCCGGCAGATGTGATGTCCGGGGAACGGCAACCACTTAAGAAGATTGGTCAAAGTTTCCAATTCGCAACGTTGTACTCCCTTTAATATCCATTAGAGAATCATCGTCGTCACGTGTTCTAGCGATTGGCCAAATGATAATAGACATTGATTCGTATCCCTTGGCTGTCTATGCATTGTGGGGATATTTTGACTGTCCATCTTCTGGCACTCGTCATTCCCCTTGGCCGCCCGCCTTGCAGTGGACAGGCGGCTTGGGATGATGATGACTGGCGACAGCGCTGCTTCGACGCAGCAGTCTCCGACAACGACCTGCTACAATTGTACCGTCTGTGGTGATACCTTCAAGCGTATGGAGTATTTGTCTCGGCATCAGCTTTCACACAATGGCGCGCCCCCGTTTTCTTGCCCGACCTGTAGCAGAGCCTTTGGTCGCAAATACGACACGCTCACCCACTTACTCGAATGCCTGTCTCCTGGCTAATACAAAGAGAACTTGCCAGAGACTCACTCGTGCTGCATCTCACGGTGCATCAAGCCAGGAGCGGTTCGCATGTCTACAATAATGGTCCAGGACGTGTTGCTCGGGCCTGTTCACAATGCGCCAAACAACGTCTTTGGCGTGATGGACAGGATCCTTGCGCCCGGTGCAGTAGCAAGGGCATGCAGTGCGTCTACTTACCGCATGCAGGGACGCGTCGTGTCGATCAAGGGTTTCGTACTCGTCGACGCCTACCGGAACTCAGGCCATGGCGTACCCGGCAACACGGATGCCAGCCAAATGGTGAGACTGGCGGTTCCCAGAGACACGAACGCAGCCGGCCAAGCCAACACTAACAACACCATCGTTGTGGTCTCCGCCCCGGCCACCATGAGCTCGCAGGCCGACGCCGACGTAGCCGCTTCACGGGAAACCTGTCGCCATATTGATGCCATTAATCCCTCTCTGGAGGGCCATTCACTTCTCAATGCTCTCAGTCAGGCCGCTGCCGAACTTGACCGTGCTCTGCCCAGACCGCGATGCCATGAATCAGACGGTCATCAACATAATCACCACCCTCCAGGAGCAGTAATGACGGTCCCAAGGACGACGCCGGCAACAACAATACCATTGCCGGTGATTCGTTGACACAGTCACCGGAAACCACCAACGCCAACCTGCCTCAGTCAGGTAGCGTTATGCGTCTGGACCCGACGCCTAGGGACCATGCCAGCTTCGGTCTGGGTGACCTCAGCACCACGCCCTCCCAATCGACGGTCTGCTTTCCCAGAGTCACCGCTATCTAGAGCAGAACTGTTCTCTTTATACCGGGAGAGCCTGACTTGTGGAACGTGGACCCGGTCTCGCCACATCAGTACGACTTCAGCGTCAGCTTTCAGAATGCTGATCTCAAAAGTTGTCCTCATGCCGCGCAGAGAGCACATTAGTTGCAGATCAAGGGTCAGAAGTGCCGTCACCACCACTTTTCCCTGCATTCACCACATCAAACAGCTCCTTGAGCCCCTGGCCCTGACTCATAAACTTGTCCTACACCAGCGAATGTTTAGTAAACAACGGGAAGATTCTATGTATATATGACAGTCGTAAGGAAATGTCAAGTAACCATGAATATGAGTATCTTACCATCAAAAACCTCGGCAGCCAGCCAGTCATGAACTTCAATGAAGCCGCATAGGGGCCCCGCCAAACTAGCCCACTGCTTTTCCCATTGTCCAGAACATTCGCTACCAAGATCTCAGCAAACTCTTCAGCAGAGCAGCCCTTGGGCTTGGCATCACCACTGGCCCACGTGGCGATGATGCTCTTGATGGGCGCATAGCCAGAGTTGAGTGGCAAGTCAAAGTTGATATCGTTGGCATGGAAATTAGAAGTGACGACCCCAGCCATCACAGTGACAACGTCAACGCCAAAAGGGGAAAGCTCCAATCGTAGAGTCTCAGATATATTGGTCATAGCGGCCTTAGATGATGAGTAGGCAGCTAATACTTATGAGCCAAACTAGGCAAGTGTCAATGCGGAACAGGTACACATACAGATCCATGGCGTATTCACAATCGAGCCGACTGTGCTGATATTCACAATTCGACCACGACGCGCAATCAGGTGGCTAGCAAAAGCTTGTATGGTGCGAATAGGTCCCCAGACATTGACATCGTAGACTCTCTGTGCCTTGTCGATGTCTATATCGAGCACTGGTTGGGCGTACCCTGCACCAGCATTGTTGATGAGCACATCAAGTCCGTGGCCGCTATCTCCGACAAGCTTGGCGGCGTCGGCAACAGAGGAGGCAGACAGGACATCCAACTGGAGGACGGTGACGTTTGAAAGGTTGGAAAGTTCCTGAGAAATCTTTGATGTATTGCGAGCTGTTGCGAAAACGTGCACGCCGCGTTTGGCCAGGGCGAGGGCGAGAGCCGCACCAATGCCACCGACCGAACACCCCGTCACCAATGCGGATTGAACTGGCATTTTGTTCACTAGGGCGCGGCGGTGCTTGAAATGGTAATTGTTGAGTGGAGAGAAAGAATAGCGAATCAGGAAGTATTTCGAATTGCTTCTGAAATGGCTTGAGAGAGAAAGTCTTGGTGCTGTTCGAAGGAGGCTGGTCTGGTCTGGACCAGATTAAATTCATCGATGTTTGATGCAGGCTGTTGCAGTATGCGTACCAACTCCTCACACTGGGGATACACAGTTTTGTGCCATTCTGAACGTTGGCCCTCACCCCTTCGGTTGGGTGCGATGTAGCATTGCATATTGTAACCTGCAGCACGCGTCCCTGGCGGCTGCGTGTACAGTACCTTATTCATAGGTACTTGAATATTCTCCACAGTGTGCCGACTGCCAGGCTAGCCCGGATTAGAACCAACAATACAACCAACAGTCGAAGGTGGCAGCCTACCTCGGTACCCAGAGGCCTGGTACTTGCAGGTCTTCGAAAAGAGAGTTGCTTGACAAAAGTCTACAGCACAGGGCAGCCTTTTCGGAGGATTCGTCACATTCGCTGCCGATGCTGGTTACAGGAAGGCAGTTGTTGCATAATCCACAGCTCTCCCTCCTTCAACAGGGCATAGAAGTTGCGTGCTGGCCTTCTGATCCCCTGTACCTGAGAACATTGTAGAAACCTGACTATCTGTCTATTGAAGCGACACTTGCTAGGAGTGCAATCAAAAGAGCTCTAAAGTCAATCTCTCGATTTCTAGGGCGTTCAGAATAATTGGATTGTCTAGTTAGCAGTATTAGAACTTGTCACGATGAGATTGAACTTCACTGCATTGATTAATTGACCAGAGAGAACTGCAAATCTAGAGTCTTTGGCTCTGTCAGGGTGTCAAATTGGATATGTGAGTGCTTCATGCCAACAGAATGATACATTACTACAGTATCACGTCTTGCCACGACACAGAAGAGACCGGAGGTATTTCCTTCCTTTAAACTCAATATCCTATGGAGCTTACTCAAACACTCTCGATTTCGAAGGTTCTGCGGAGATCACATTGGATTCTATGCCACCGAATCGAAGAAGAAAATAGTGCATCATTGTACATCAACACCCCATGAGACGACTTTCTTACCTCTGCATGCAGTTGCATATATGCATTTCGTCACCGAATACCCTCGCCCCTTGCAATCATCTCATCAGACATATCCTCATGAACTCCTTTAAGATAATTATCGAACTTTCCGGCAACCTTGATAACGTGTCGCAGGTGTCCGTATGTCATCGGCCTCTTCTTGAACTGAGCTAATTGTCTAGCGGTAGTGATGGCGTTGCGAATTTGCCGTCCATTCATTTCGTACTCGGACAATTCCTCGATATACGAGTCGATAGTATCATAGTCGATGTTCTCCTCGCCAACAAACTTAAGCCTGTTGAAGAAGTTCCGCCAAACTTTCGTACGCTCAGGTCTGCCGAGGCTCTCATAGTGTAGGGCCAACTGAATACGTGATTTGAAGGCTTCGTCAAATATCCCGACTCGGTTCGACGTCAGGATCATAATCCCTTCGTAGTATTCAAGTACTCGAAGAAAAACAGAGACTAGGGCGTTCCTTTTTAGGTCGCTCAGCGTTCTTTGCTCCAAGAACACGTCGGCCTCATCGAGCAGGATAATACAATCCCAAACCTTGCCAAGATACAGAACAGACTCGAGATACTTCTCCACATCTTCTGGCTTCGTACCTATGTCACCACAGGTGACAGAGTATAGTGGTTTCTGAGCAAGTTCGGCAACGCTCTCTGCGGTAAATGTCTTTCCTGTCCCGGGTCCGCCGTGGAGAAGCATGATCAGCCCGTTGCCTTTGGTTCCAATCCAGTCTGGAAACATCAGCAAACCCGTCATGTTGGCGACTACATAGCTTTGAGTGTGAGAAATTATGGAACCTACCAGTGCTCTTATCCGCTGCAATCTTGTTAGTGATGAGAGCATGGATAAGGTCTTTCGTTTCTTCATCTACGACTAGATGATTGAAGGCTTCCTTTCGCCATTGGATCTCTCGCACGTAATCGATGTTCAGATCATCTATTTTTGGGTCAGCTGTTGCCAAGAAAAAAGTTCTAACATGACTGTCACTGACTCCAAGCTTTTCGGCGCATGTCATATCCGATGATGGTTGGAGGAAACAACATCGTGTCATCGCCTTCAGGGCCACCTTCGTCGTCCATGAGATCAAATTCCTCATAGTCACCGGGGTCAATTTTCGGGTATTCTCGTTTGAAACCGGCTGTATCTGAATGCAGCTTTCGATAGACGTTAAAGTCTATCATATACCTTTCGTCGATCTGGACTGATATCAGTAATGGGTCTCGCGCGAACAAAACCTTCACTTTCTTACCTTGCTCAGCCGGTCATCTGTCTCTCGATTCTGATAAGATACGAATCTTCGACTACGACACTTCCAAAAAGTGGACCCCCTCTTCTTGAGCATCAGTCTGTTCTCTTCGGTCTCAAACCTCATCGGTACTGCACGAAGTGACGAAATTGCCAGCTCCTTATCGTCTTCAGGCACACGGTCATAGTAAGGGTTGAGTTGCCCGTGATTCTGCCAGAACTTCCCATCATACCGGTATGTCCACGCGCTGACTTCCCATAGAGAGTCGAGGGAATCGATGGAGTCATTTTTGTCCCGAGGGCTCCATCGCGGCCATGAGTTTGCCTTGTATCCTCTGATTTGACCATGCTCTTTCCAAGAGAAAAGCTCGCCTGGCGCAATCAAATAAGGCATTTTGGAGGATTTAACAAAGCCCCTCTTGAGCATCTCGTCGGCCTCAGAGTACTCATGTCCGTAATTTTCTTCTATCCAATCTGTGAGAAGCTTGATCAGCTCTTGCTCCCTATTTGTGAGACCATCAACGACCCCAGTTTTCCGGCAGTGAAACCAAAATGGGTAAGGGCTCCAGAGGATTTCGTCCAAGTCGATGTTCTGGAATTCTCCAAAATGGCCCTCCGCAGCTCGCAAAAATGCTGCAAAAGCGTCCTTCATCTCGTCGCTGTTGAACTGAATACGCGTGGAGCGAAACATAGGGTCCGGAAGGCTGATACCGGCTTTGTTGGCTGCCTCAATCTCCTTGATATTTGGCATGCTGTCCACATTGAACCATCTCTCAATCAAGAAGGCTACATTCTCCTTTCCCTTCAGGAAAATGTCCATATCCTCGACAGTTTGATTGACCCTGATTCTGTATCTGGAACCTTCTGCTCTTAAAGTTGGCCAGCCCAGAAAGATTTCAGGCAGACCAACGATGCGGTTCAAAGTTTGAAACACTGGTGGTCGTTTCTCTTCCGCGTCCGTATTTAATTTAGAAGAGGACTGTCTTAAATCATTGATCTCAATCTCCAGTTGCCTAATTCTCTCCTTGAGCTGCATCGTGGAAAGCTCTGTGCCACTTTCGTCGATGTCCTCGGGTTTGACATGTCCAGATGCACCTCCTAGTGGGCCATTCTTGTTGTTCATGTTGTCTTGCCCAGCCTCAGCCATGGTCGATAGCTTGTTTTGCTCCCTGGGCGTCAAATTGGGGTCAGTCTTGAGAGCTCCTATCAATGTTGCTCTCGAGAAGATGTAGGAATCGCGTGTTATTCTAGGCGATGGGCTACCTCGAACGGGATTGGTCGTAATAAAGGGCCGGGTAGCAATGTTAGGGGCAGCGTGCCTGGAATCAGCACTGAGAGATACGAGGAGATCCCTTTCGAAATCACTCGCGGCCGTTTGGTCTCGTGATATCGTCAAGTGTCTAAAGTTCAACACATGCGAAGAACTTTCCTCAGACGGTAAGGGTTGCTCTTCGCTCGTGTCGTGTTGCTTAATCTGCGGTAGGCTGCCACGACTGATAGCTTCGTTGACGCGTTCGTAAAGCCAGTTTTCCAGACGGGAGGTATCGACAGCTCGATTTCGTGGTACAGTATCATCGAAGTCCACTACTCCAATAACCGAACGTTCACTTGAGTGTATAAGGGAAGGCCCAGGAGGTGAGACTCTTTCAACTGTGTCGTAGGGAACTCTGTACTGTTCATGTCGTAAAGTCTGGGGTGCAGCTTCTAGTTGGTCTGGGGTATTTTCTTGGAGAGTCTCATCAGACGATATGTGACTATTGTTGGATGAGTACCCTGAAGAGTAATCATCGGATTGCTGAACGTCCCTCTGTTCTCCAGTCTGAAGGCGTGAGTCCCAGAATACTTGATTGATCCGCCTTGGGTCAACGTGATGAGTATCTTCATCCCCAGCCAAGGTCTTGAGAGCCGTAGAGGGATCCAGGTTGGCGGGATCTGCAAGTCAATTTCCAATGCTGTCCTGCTGCTCTCGATGACAGACTTCAATATTCGAGCAAGGGGATAGAGACAAATTTTCTTTCTGCGGGCTGTACCTGGAGCGGGGTAGATTCAGGTCCACCACCGCGTTACTGTCCTTGCAAGAGATTAAGCAAGCAATTCATCCTGAGTGGACGGAGGATTAGTGGGTGCAGGTCATGTGGCGGCTTACTGCAGTAGTGCTCTAACATCACGCAACAGGTAAAATGGTTCTATCTTTCCCCCTAAAAACTCCTACGTAGTCACGCTGTCAGTAGGGCATTCTGCAGAGCCCTGGAAAGTTCACGATGAATGAGACACGGCTCTTAGAGACGTGGTATGGGAAGTTCAATAGCGATGGCAAGAATCGGTGAGGCCCCGTGGACTTGACCCTTGCCCAGTTCAAGTTGGGATGCAGCGAGTTCGTATTGGGCTATATCTATGCATATACTGACTAAGCCTGCAAAGATCCTCGAGCGTCGCGCAGCAGGCTTACGAGGCTGCTGTAGACCGTTTTTGCAGTGTTCTCAGTCATGATGATCGGAAGAAGCTGCTAGCTCGGGAGGCGAACAGCATCGATGGCATCCGTGATACTCTGAATTCGTGTCATGTCTTATATAGTGACAAAAGGAGAGGTCAGAAAGCCAGAAAGTGGATTGTTCGCCTCACTTCCAAAATCCAGCATTATGGCAACATCCTGGACGTCTTCGTACAACATCACCCTGAGTATACATCCTTAGTTTGGGGTGCCTTTAAGCTATTGCTTGTGGTAAGTGGTTCTGAAGCCTTTAAATTTTCATTAATGGGTTCTCTCAGGTCATTACAAGACACTTAAGGTTTCTAGGGAGCCCAAAACCATGAAGCAACTTTTGCCTTACTTGCCAAGGCCCTTGCACAGATTGCAGATGCTCTTCCTCGACTTGAGCTCTATACGGTTCTATACCCCACGGATCGCATGAGGTCCGCGTTAGAGGATCTTTATGCATACCTTATCAAATTCTTCATCCGCGCATTTGACTGGTTCCAAGAAAATCCATTCCAGCATATACTACACAGCATCACCAGACCGCCTGAGCTTCGCTATAAGGATCTGCTTGATGACATCGACTGCCACTCCCGCAGACTAGATCAGCTTGCTACCTCGGGATCTCAAGCCGAAGTGAGAGCAATCCATATCGAGATTGCTGACACACGTACTACAGTTATGGAGATGAAGAAGATGATGGCTGGTAAGTTCAGAATCGACCAGTCTGCTGTTATCGCTGGCTCCAGCATGAGTTGCTGAATCCATGCAGAGTTCCAAGCGATTAACTCTAGTGCCGCCATCGACACAAATCAACGGGTAACAGATATCCAATTTTCGAACATCGTATCAAGCGTGTCTTCGTCCCCATTGGGAGACTACATGAAGACATACCAGCATCTCATGCTCCTGGCAAAGCGTGGTAAGCAGGCGGAAAGGCAGTCTATTAGTAGTCTGTGTTCTTCTAGGACATTGATGGCCTGGTCGAGCTCCGCCGTATCACAGGTGGCAGCGATCAAGGGCTCATTCAGCAATCGACTTGCAATGCGGTACTTCTGTGTTGCGATCGTGGAACAATTGCAGCAGTCAGGCATTACCATCCTCTGGGCATTAAAAAACACAGCGAATCACGACAACCCTTCAAACGAGACACAAATTTCCTCCGTAGACATTTTGAAGAATCTGACCCTACAGGCTCTGAAGGCGGGAAGAGCCTTCACTCATGAAAAGCCCCTTTCATTGACTTGCTCTCGATTTCACACTGCCACTACGGGTGAAGAGTGGTTTCAAATATTCGAATCTGTGGTTACGCAGCTCAGCGGTCCTGTCTTCATCATCATCGACCTTCAGGTTCTGCACACTGCCAGCCTCGAAGCGGAAAATTTCAATTGGGCGAATGCGCTTCTGTCATTTTTGGAATCTACCTCGCAGCGCGGCATTCGGACAATATTCAAGCTCCTACTTTTCGGATATGGCCCAGCGGTCTCGTCTCAAACAGCTGGTTTACAGGTTGCTAACACAACTGTGAAAATGAAACCTGCGCGAGGGTTGAAGCACAAGAATACTCCGAAGAGAAGGGTTGATCCTGTGAAGATAAGACAGTCTTGGTTGAAGAAGACTTGAGAAATTCGCACAACTGTTCGAGCGCAAACATTAGTCTCTATTCAGATCAAATACCAGATACTTTTTCTTTTCAATGGCTAAAGCGGTTTTCATCTGGTAAACAAGGCGCAATTTTGTAGACTTTCAGCAAATTCTCAAGGTGAGGCTCAGATGCTTGCCCTCCAGCGTGGTCGTCTCATAGCCATGCCCGGACGGATCATCATTTGCAGGCTCGTCCTCAATCTAGATGAGCTGTCTCGGAGAGCGATTTGTAATTATTATGGTGGGAAAGTCCTGAAGTCCAGTGTAAGCAAGCTGCCACGAACTGAAAGTGCTTCATCGGCATTCAACAGCGTATCCGGAGTATCTCAGCGACTTGACCATTGACTAGAATTCCATGTTTGTTACATAAGAGCTAAAATCTCGGATTCGTTACTTAGTCAGCTTGTGTACTCTGTCAAGTTTCGACTGCACTCGAGAGAACACAACGATATTACCAAGCACGAATACCGCATCCTGTGGCGTCGTCTTTCGGGTCCAGAGAAAAGGGAGATCTCAGGTCACAATGGGCGAATCATTATTTATCTCGCGCAGCCAACGTCGGCTTAAAGCTAGACAACATATCATGTAGCACAAACTATGATTTCTTCCAAATTATACTTTCGATACCAAGCGAAATGGCACGAATAAGTAGTTGCTCTCAGAAATGCGCGTCTATCTCATCGGTTAGTGTACAGCCACAACAGCAAAGCAAGTTTACCTCATCCTTGAGCGAACTAGCTCACAGACTCAGCGACCTCATCTTCTTTATTCCCACCAAGCATCATATCCCCATGATTAGGTAGCTGCACCGGTATAGCAAGCATGGTGTATGTGGTCATCAACTCATGACAGCTACGAAACATATCCTGTGAGGACATTCAACATCTCACTGTGACTTTCTTTTGACATTGTGGTGTGAAAAACCCTCTACTGGTAATCAAACAAGTCAGAACTCCGTAAGTCTTTGCTACGGGAGGTATGACCTGTCCCCAGCCCTAAAAAGAAATTATTATGTCTCATAGAAATGCCTGAGGAGCGCAACCAAACGATGACTCATTGTTGAGTCCTGAAGCATAATTTGTCATGGTTCGAGGGAGTGCGCTGTAAACCTGAAGAAGGTCTTCGCAGTCTTTGACCGGATGCTGGTCATGAGAAGGTAGGAGACTGGAAGTCATAAGACATGTCCACCTGTTAAATCATACGGAAGTGCTGAGTGCAGCTATATTGCGAACCCACTTCATCACGCGATTCTTTTGGTCTTACGAATGAGGGATTTGAGCTGGGTACTCACAATTGTAGCCATGCCACACAAGCTTTTTCAGCTTCTGATGCCACAGCAGGGTGTTACTCACTTGGTGTTGTTGAATCACGCCATTTGACAGAATCATAGTCTGTATCATAGTTCCTAATGACTTCAATGACCGTGTAAATATTGAAACTCTGAGAATAAATTAAGCAGTAATTATGACTGTCGATGTACGTCTACTTGTTTTGTGACTATTGCTCCTTCTTCACAGAACCAGGATAACTGTCTGAACGTCCTCTCTCACGATCAAAAAAGTTTCATGATACAAAAAGAGATCGCATTACTGTCCAATAGTACTGAATCACAAACCGGTTCAGAATTCTATATAAGAGCGCATTTTCTAGCTTTACTTTCCCCTTCCACACCTACCAACCAACTCAACAAGGCACCCACAACAAACCACACACGTACAGCAGTCTCAAAACGAAGATTAATCAGAACTGAACCGACAAAACTTACAAAAAAGCATCAGAAAGCAATTTCCCAGCCTTGGCCTTGTCTACGAGTCCACACATCAAATCTCTCCACAACCAACCTCACGCGCAAAGCACAACCAGAACTGAGACTGTTGTTTTCAATTCAGCCCTCGACGGCCACAGTGAGACCGAGTCCACAGAATCAATGTATGCTTAGGCCCAAATACCCAAAATCCTCAGAAGTCCAAAAGTCACTCACAGAAAACAATAGTTCTAGTCATCTTCACAGATCTTACACCACCACGCAATGGCATACCGGGGGATTTGCAACGGGGACCCCTGTCACAACCGCGGCTTGGAATATTTCTGTGACATCAAGGGTAGGATGGTTTGTTGCGGGACTCAGTGTACGCACTACTGGTGGGAGGATTATGACTGAAATCTGTGCAAGCGGCACCGGCCGGTAGCAACCTTTCGGGTTGGGCGGTATTGAGATCATGAGATCATGAGAGGCGCAAGATAGGCATATAGATCCAACGAGATGATGCCTTGAAAGAACTTGGACTGACACGTCTTCTGTGTGACTGTTCTCCGATTTCATGCCCTGTGTATGCGTGCCACCTTGGACAACTAGGTCCGGGCGAATAGCTTCCTTACTACATGGCTTCAAGTAGTCAGCAGACTGGATCCTGTTTCTAAGGGGAAAAGGTGTTCGCCTTGATTAGGCGTCTCGCTGTACTCAACCTACCGCTCGCAGGTGGCTTAGAACATTGGCGTGGGACCTTGTCAGCCCACTGCCAAAAGCAATATATCCGGCGGGACTGCCTCCAGGGACCAGATCAACTACCAAAAAGGATCCTCATAACACAGGCCCTTGATTTATAACATATTTTCTCGACACCTGTGTCAAAGTAGGGGTTCCTCTTTGTTCCCTGTGTATATAACTGCTAACGAGCCCATAGCGCCATGCAAGACTACTACGCGTAAATATCTACATCTCTATATTAAAGCACGATAACAGACTTCAGAGTCTCTTCTTATCCACAAGTGACTAATGCAGTATTTCACTCCGGCAAGACAACAGGCTCATCAACTTCCTCCTCTTTGATATCAATAAGCCTCAAAGCCCCACGGTCCCGCGGCCGCACCGGTGTGGCAAGCACAATCGTCTCAATCAGCTCGACGGGGCCGTTCCAGCCCTCTTCAGGGCCCATTGGCAACGAATCAACGTCGATCTCAAGGTCCAACAGGCTCCGGAGGACGACCTCGGCGCCGGCCTTGCTCATGACCTCGTTGGCATGCTTGCAGAACTCGCTGGCGACGCACTCGGGGCAGCCTGCGTGGCAGCGGCAGGCCTCGATGCGGTCCAGCGCCTGGTGCAGCAGCACGTCGACGGACTCGAACGCCTTGGTGTTAATGCCGCTGCCGCCGGCGCCGCCCTTGGCGTCGTAGAAGGTCAGGCGCGCCGGCCGCTTGCGGTTCGAGTTCTGCGCCGCGAACTCCTTGAGGCTGTTCTTGCACTCAGTCCGCACGTCTCCCGGCATGCTCATCACGAAGTTAGGCACCAGGCTCATCATGGCGTGCTCGGCTGCGTGGATCGCCCCCGCCACGTGCAATCGTCGCGACTCGAGGATCTCGAGGGCCCGCCGCGGGAGGTCGATCCACATGCCCTTGCTGAAGCGGATTACCGGCGGGTTGTCGACGTGCACCGCGTCCAGCACCCGGTTTTGCCGGTCTACTTTGAAGTATCCAAAGACGACCTGTTTAATCTTGATCGTGCCGAAGAACGCGCGCGACTGCGATCCCTTGATCTTGCGGATGGCTTCGGTCTCGATAGGGTCAATGTCGGTGTAGTCACGCTGGGTCGTGGTCCAGTCCACCTTGACCTTCTCGACCCGGGCCATTTGCTTCTCCGGGTTGACCTCCCGGACAAGGTATGTTACGCCTTGGTGTAGGAAGATCGCGCCGTCGTAGATTGTGAATGTTGCTCGGGATGCCTCAAGCTCTTCGAGAACCACGTTGCGCCCGTGAGAGATGTCTATGATAGCGAAATGATCTTCTTCAGTATCTCGGATCGAAACAAATTTTGAAGGCTGCGGCCGGAAACGCTCGTGGGTATGGTAGAAGCCTGAATCATCTTTGACCAGCCGCTCCTGGCAGAGTTTCTCGATGTCTTCACCAAAGTACTTCGCGTCTTCCTTCGGCCGTATCGGCATCTCATAAGCCGCACATTGGATATGTCCCTCCCGGACCATCATGTTCTCAAGATCCACCTGGAGCTCTGCGTTGGGCCTGGTGAACAGCTCATCCGGATTCTGCATGAAATGCTGGTCCGTTGGGAAACAATCGCCCACAAGGATGGACAAAGAGTCCTTATTCCTCCTCCCAGCCCTGCCACTCTGCTGCCGGAGGTTTGAAATGGTGTACGGAAAGCCCCACGTCAAGACACAATCGAGACTGCCAATGTCAACGCCCAGCTCGAGGGCCGTAGTGGCGATGATCCCAATGAGTTTCCCCTCAAACATCTCAGTCTCGATCCGGCGCCGATCCTGAGCAGTATATCCGCCCCGATAACCCATCACACGGTTGATGCAGTCGCTGCGACCTAATCTCTCTAGCTCGTGCTTAACCGCCCCCACGAGCTTCTCGCACTGCTCCCGCACCCTGGTGAAAGCAATGACCCTCACGCCGCGAAGGATAAGCTGGCAGAACAGCCTCGCACATTCGAATTTGGTATTACCCCTACCACTCGTCGGGTCTCCAGGGTCCTTATACGGCGTGTTCCAGCACAAGAATTCTTTCCTGCCGGACGGGCTCCCGTCGAAGTCCACGAGGTGAACGTCGTCGATGCCAAAGATCGTGCCAAAGTGCTCCCGCGGGTTCGCGACGGTCGCGGAGCAACTGACGAACTTGACCCTCCTGTTGCCCACGGCGGCGCAGATCCGCCGCAGCCGCCGCATGATGAAGGCAACATGACTGCCCATCAGGCCGTTGTAGTAGTGAAGCTCGTCGACGACGACGTACTTGAGGTTCTGGAGGAAAGTGCGCCAGCGCTCCTCCTGCGGCAGGATGGATATGTGTAGCATGTCCGGGTTCGTGAAGATGATGCGCGCCTCGTCGCGGATCATGTTGCGCTCTTTCCATGGCGTGTCGCCGTCGAAGGTGTCGACGAGCGTGTTTTCTAGGCCCGGCAGGTATGAGAGCATGTCCTTCAGGCTGCGCCTTTGGTCCTGTGCCAGAGCCTTGGTGGGGAATATGTACATTGCCCTTGTGTTTGGGTCCTGCTCTAAGGCGTGTAAGACTGGCAACTGGTAAATGAGCGACTTGCCAGAACTCGTTGAGGTGGAAATGACGACGTGGTGGCCGTCATGCAGGTTATTGATAGCTTCCGCTTGGTGCGCAAAGAATTGAGTGATGCCTTTTGCATTGTATAGCGCGTTCACCAAGTCCTGGCTCAGTAGGAAGTTGAGGTCGCCGAATACCGGCTCCTGTACCTCAAACACCCTGTGGCCGTCGGGTACGATCTGGCCCGTATACCAGGGGCTGTTCTTCAACTCATGAACGATCTCGGGAATGCTCTTCCTCTCCTTGGGTATCGTCTCCGGGAGCGTACTGCTAAGATCTGGCCTTGGCGTGCTCTCCCGAGTCTCCTCGCTGGGGACAGGCACGAACACCTCCGCCTCGCTCTTCAGCGCTACCTCCGGGTCTAGGCTCTGCTCGACGCACCTGTTGATGAACTCATTGACCGCAGCGGTGAACTTGACGTTGCGCTTCTCGATCAGCCCGGTCATCTGCTTCTGGCTGTACACGGGCATCTTGAGGTCCTCCTCGCGCAGCTTCCTGGTCGGCTTGGTGGGCTCGCCCGTCTTGCGGCACTGGACCTGCCTCTTGAGGTCGCCGTCGATGAACTCAAAATAGAGCACCTCCTTGCCGCCAACGACGCCGTTTTCGTCGTCCGGGTGGCCCCTCGCGCCCAGCGCCTCCGTACCCGTGATCCCGCCCACACTGGCATCCGCGGCGAACCCCTGGTTCTTGTAGCCCCGGCCGCCCCGGCCCGTCAAGAAGGTATCGTTCCTCTCGGCTCCCTTGACGTCGATCTGCAGCATCACCTCGTCCACATAGCCAAAGTTGATGCCGTCCGGCCGCAGCGCCGCGATGGCGGCGACGTCGGCGACCTGCAGCTTGCGCTTGGTGTGGCTCTCGACGGCCGACTGGATTGTGTCAAAGGTCGTGACGAGGTGCTTGCGCGTGCAGCAGAACGTGAAGACCAGGTTGAGGGCGCGGTGGGTGGTCTCCAGGGCCTTGAAATAGGGCGGCCACTCGATGACGCATTTGACTTGCTCGATGTTGGAGGCTGCGGTCTGTAGCTTTGCTTTCTTGCCTCCTTTGGCCCCACGACGGGGCTTTGGAGGTGCTGACAGTGAGGGCTCCTCTCCATCTTCAACCTTTACTACGGGAGGGTCTGGCGCTGCAGCAGCATCTTCCTCGGTGGGCACAATAGTCGGATGCAAAGACGGGTCAGTCGCCTCTGGAATCTCGATTGAGCGCTTCCTCTTGTTGCCCCTGCCTGGGCCGCCCTTCCGTGCGTGTAGCGGAGGTCCTTGAGCAGAAGACATGGTGTCACATTATGATTGTAAGCAGTAGGCAGCCATCAGTGGGGGCTGTCCTGGTGCTCATGCTGAGAGACGCATAAAGGAGACGTGAAGGCGCCGCCAAGAGGGTGGCAAGGCGGGTAGTCTGGACGCGGGGCAGGCGCGAAGCCACGTGCTAACCTTCGCAAGGATAAGACAAAGACGAGACGGACAATCTCTACAACATTCATTCCTGACTGATTTACATCCTTTGCTTCCGAGGTCCACTTCAAGTCATCAAGTCCTTACACATGCTTGAGACGGATGTTATTGGTCATTGCCGCTGCCTGACGGCCATCTAGTTCATCCTGTACCGCCTCTGGCTCTATCCTCTGGTTACTGTGTGCCTCTGGACCGCCCCCTCGATCGTTGTAGAGATTCATGGTATATACATTGAAGGCTCAATACGCTGCAAGCATACCAAGGTGCATAACGTAGCTAAGTCCCGATGCCGCCAATATCGCAACCCCCCTTGATCGTAAAGAACATAGGAAAGTGGGGGGATCTCGGGTATTCAATGCTTGGGCCCCCAAGCAGCACCTTTTGTACTCAAAACCAAACCGACATGTTTTCCTCCTGTATATTTTGGGCCGATCGTAAGAAGTCTCCCAGCATCAATGTAGGCCTTTAATAGGAGACCGATAAAAGTGTGCGTTACTCAGGGCGTAAGTCTGCTCTGATAAACCCAGATGGAGGTCAAGTTATGCCTTGTCTTTCTCATCCTTCGCAGCTTGCTCCTTCAGCTTCTTCTTGATCATTTCCACCTTGTCACAGAAAGCTCCAGCATTCTGCGCGCTCATCTGTGGGAATATGTTTAGCAATGCGCCTCGTTCCCGTCTTCGCAGCAAAGGCAAAGTGTGACAGGAAACGTACCTTCATAGTTATCGGCACGTACTGGCCATCATCACCCTCTATGGCCGTGAACAGTACACTCCACGTCTTGAAGCCTTCTTTCAGTTGAAAGTCCATGCCTGCCACCATTACCGTGTTCAAGATAACTCTCAGCGTCGAGTCTTGCCGCATGACCAGCCGAACAAGCTTGGGGTTGTCGGCCGTACTGTCTTTCAGGACCGCGGGATCGAATGATTTCGGATCCACGGCGCCCGTCTCGGGATCCACAGTCACTGAATCTTCCGGCACGTTGATCCGCAGGTTACCGACGCCGCGCTCACGCCAGCCAACCTGGCCTGTGTTGTCCGCGTTGGGCGTTTTGTCAAGATAGTACATGCGCGCACGTACTTGGACTATGGTGGTTTCGCCGGCTTCACCATCGTCGACAGCGACTTGGTATCTGGTTAGAAGACATGCGTGCGCAAGAAACGCTTAGACAGACTCACCTCGCTTAAATTTGCCCTTTTTCTCGTCTTCTCCGACGGCAGGCGTTGACTCATGAGTGCTGGCAGTCTCGTCCTTCTCCTTCTCTGCATCAGCTTCGCCACCTGCGCCGGCCTCCTCGTCGTCGTCGTCGCCGTCGTCGTCGCTCTCATCTTCGGCATCGCTATCCGGGGCACCAAACGGTTTCGCTGGCTTATCACTCTTAATAATAGGAGGCTGCCCAGGCGAAGCGAAATTGCCAGTCCTTGGTCCTGCTCCACCAAGCGCACTTGAGAAGGGGCTCCCGCCACCAAAGCCACTTCCGAAGCCTCCGGTTGCCGGTTTGGCGCCATTCATGGCAGCGAAAGGCGATGGAGCGGATGCATCCTTGCTTCCAAAGCTGAGCTTCGGTGGGCTGAGTGGTGTTGACGTCGACGCTGCTGTGGATGCTGGTGCGCCGAAGCTTGCGAACGGCGATGGCGCGGCTGCGGACGCCCCGCCGAAAACACTCTTCTGGGCTCCAATCGCGGCGAACGGCGAAGAAGAGGAAGCAGCTAGCTTGGCGAAGCCAGAATCGGCGAATTTGGAGGGGGAGGTTTGTGGTTGTTGGCTGTCCTTGCCTGGGAAGTCGACCTTGGGGGCATCTGAAGTAGTCTGGAGGTAATAAGTCAGCACACATCTCTGCCTTACATTGCACCATAGACTGTAGGCTCACTGTCGCTATGGACTGGTGCAACTCCGCCGGCGGGCTCGTCTCGTCGCGTGCCCGCTTCTTCTGGGGCTCAGACCGGCTCTTGTTGGTGTCGCCTTCGTCGACCATAACCCATCCGTCTGAGTCGGTACCGTTGCTGCCTTGGCCTTCAGAGTCCTTGTGTGTTTCCACCTCGTCATGCGCGCGCTTCTTTTTGGGCGACGAGACCTTCCTCTCGCCAGCATTGTCTCGGGACAGGTTCTCGGGCGGCGAGAGATCTGGTGTCTTCTTTCTTTGCACGGAGGTCGGAGCAGGAAGGTTGAACTCCTTCCCGGATCGCAGCTTCATATCGTCGTCTTCACCCTGGCCGTCCTGGTTTCGTGTGTTGGACAGAATCGACAGGGGAGCTTGCGTGGTGCTGTTGCCGTTGTCGGAAATGTGACTGTGTCTGAGTTCTTCCCTCGTAGCTCTGGTCTCTGCGTCTTCCAAACGCTGGTCGTCAAGGTTGACATTACTGGAGGAAGGAGGGTCGTCGGCCATGTCGTCGGCTTTGTCCCCACGATGGTTTTAAACAGCCCTGTTGCTATGCCCTTTTGGTCAAGAATATTTCGGGACAATCAAAGCAAGATGCTGTGCTACAGTCCTTTGTGTTGAATAGACAGGGCGTGACCAGATGCGCAGAGAAGGGGGGGTGTCCTTCAAGTAGAATGGGTGGTGGACAATAGCGTGCGTATTGTGCAAAGTTTGGCTGCTTCACAATAGTCGCCAAAAGGGTTGGACAGTAGTAGAGTGGAGGGCTCGAAATTCGGACGAGTCGGTTCTCAAGCGAGAGGAGGGGCGTGCCTATTGTTCAGCTGATAGAGCCGCAGCGGGGTCCAACAGCGTTTATCTTGGCTTTTAGTCGCCGTGCTAGTAGCGAAGCCAGCCAGTGCAGAGCCAGGGCAGAGAGAGTGCAGAGAGTAGAGAGCAGAGAGAACAGGCCGAGCCTCGGGAACACAGCTAGGACTCCTGTACCCAGGTCGGGAAGGGGAAGGGCACGGGCGCGGGCACCGAGCGACGAGGGACACAGGCGAGAGGAGGCTTTGTGTGCGCAGCGCTGCCTTGTTAGTTTGAAGTCTGTTCTGTGGTGTGCCGTCTGTGGTCTGCGGTCTGTGGCATTCTGTCTCGTTGGCCTGGGAGGCAGCAGAAGCCGGCGAAGTGGAGGGCTGACTTGACTGACTGGACTGACCGACCGTGAGCGGGCACGGCGCGTGTGGGGCACAAACAGGGATCCGAGCCAATTCAACCTCAAGACGGCCAGGCCTGCTGGGATCAACCGGCCTACACTAGAGCATTCTACATTTACAGTACAGCATTCTGGCTTGCGCTCCACAGCAGAGGTGTCTATCGCACAGCCAACCTGTCTGACAAGGAACCATGTCCATACTGTGGTATCTAGTCTATGTTGTCCGGGCTACAGTCACCACTGTCCAGTCTGGACTTATTTGGGTTATGATCTTCTTTTCATCCGCTTCCTGGTACTTATTTTCCACCATTATCTGAAGCTTCCAAACAGGTCTGGCAGTGACCACGACGCTTTGTAGCTTGCTGAACCTGCCGTCCGTGTTCTACTGGCTCACCAAAAGGCCTGTGATCAAACCGACCACAAGCTGCATGGTCGTACTACCACTACAGCCAAGCAGTCCGCTCCCTCTCCCCCGTGGGGGATATTCTCGCTTTTGACCACCAATATAGCCAGCACACAACAACTTTTGTTACCCTCTCTAGGTCCAAGCGCCGGAAATGCAAAGAGCAGATGTCTAGACCCCTTGGGGAGCCGGGACGCCTTCGTCGGACTCGCTCATGCTTTCGTCGCCGCTGACTTCTGCATTCTCCCGCTCCCGCTTTTCCATGAGTGCCTGGAGCTCGGCATCGTCGCTCTCCGTGACGGCCTTTGGCTCCATCTTGACGGTGAGCTTACCACCGGCGCCCTCGATGCTCGTGCGGATGTCGATGATGGCCTGCTCCAGCCTCGCGATGCCAACTGTCTTGTCCAGGCACTGGCTGGTGAGGACGTACAGAGGAGGGGATACCAGCTTGACCTTGACCTGGTTGTCCTCGGTGTTGCCGGCTTCGGCGCGCCTGTGAAGCAAAGACTCGTGTCAGCAAAAGGGGGTAGATGTGTGCAGAGTACCTGGCCGTCTTACCTCAGGGCGGTCTTGATGGCGTCAATGCCCTCGTAGCTAAAGCACGTCACCTCGATGTCGGCCCGGAGCTTGGTAGGCTGAGGGGTCAGCCTCTTGGAGATGTAGCTCTTGAGCTCCTCTGCGATGGCCTCGTTGGGAAACTGGATGTCCTGCCAGACATCGGGGTTGGTGATGCTGAGCTTGAAGGCGTCGATGGCGTGTCCGTATTTCCGGTTGAGGGGCCACGCAATGGTCTCGTAAAGCTGCTCGATAGGGGTCTGGACCTTCTCGGCGACGTGTCGCATTATCGAGTGTACAACCTTGCTCTTGTTGTATCGCTCGTCGCACTTGACAATGTCCTCGGGCGAGACTCGACGCTTGGACAAATCGATGTATCCCTTCTCCTTGTCCACTCTCAGAACGACGACGACCTCGTTCCTTCCGACACGGATGAGCTTCTGGATAGATCGAATACGTCTTCTAGACAGCTCGGAGAGCAAGATCATGCCATCGCTGGTGCCTGTTAGCGGTCACGAGTCTCTAAAAACATGGTGGCAGGGCAACCACAAACATGTTGTCGTATTCCAGAAGCTTTACGTATGCTCCCATATCGGCGATCTATCGGTTCTAGGGTCAGTTTTGACCTGCGACGTGGTGGGTGGCGTGGCTTCGGGGCCCCAAGTTACGGACCTGCTTGACGTTGACCATCACGAAGCTATCCACTTCGGGATACTTCTCCTCTGGAAGGTGCGTTAGACCAGACTGCCGCAATATTTTCTGGCTTGAATCGTCTCCAGCTTACCGTAAAATCGACAATTCGTCAGCGACATGTTGGCGGCTGATTCTCGCGAGATGCTGTGTCGGGCTGTTTTGGGTCGTGATGGTGGGAGGATGCTGCTGAGATGGCAGTTTTTGGAGGGCGCGTTTTCGTCAGAAGGCAGGCTGCGGAGTGGAGATTTGGACCGTCAAATATGCAGTGCTCGGATCGGCGACAATGATGCGGTGCAGTGGAGTCGAGGATTCGGAGGCACGAGGGTGCAAGTTGCGGTCTCTATGTCGAGGCGTGAAGGCGGCGACAGTCCCTTTGAGTCACTTAAAGGTTCGGTTGGATTTTTGGTCGGAGCCAGCCCAAGCCAAACCAGCTTTTGGAGGGGCCAAAGCAACAATGGGTGTCCTGACTGGCATCCTTGGCCTGCCTGCCCGCCTGCCTGCCTGCGCACCAGGCTTGCCCGCTTACATAGTGCTGCCCCTCCCCCCAAAAAAAGTTTCGACCAGCCAAGTGGCGCTCTGCGGCTGGTGAGAGGGACTTTGTGTGGCTGACAGCTTACGGCTGCGTACGAACACGCCTTCCTCTTGGACAGCAATTTGCCCAAAGAGCATTGACTGGCCTCCAACCTTTAAGGTTATCATGACAGCCACGATGCCCACAACCACCTCGACGCGTTTATTACTACAGGCCTCTGGCCTCACTGCCTTGATCACAGTCTCTATCTTCTGATTTGATTTCTTCAATTGCTTGCTACACTACTTCAATTGATTGGCTAACAGGGCTTACCGATATCCTCAACGACCTCATACCTGACTGGACTGCAAAATTGAGCAGTGCAACTCAAGCTCTGTCTGCTCTTCTCTTTGAGACGACAGCTCGCTGCTTGGCTACCAACTACCCATCTTCGTACATGGGGTCCCAAGCACGGCATCCAACCGAGACCAGTGTCTCCAGCAAGAATCGTCAGTTGTGCCGGGGTCCCGACTGCGTAACGACCTGGATGGCTGTGATCTGCAGTGCACATCGACACGACGTCGCACCTGAGCCGCGAATAGCAGAAATAACAAGACGGCCCCGAAAGCTTGTCACGCAACGCCACGCAGGGCCAGGGTTGCCATCTCATTAGACGCCATGGTTCCTTATTTCCCGTGGTTGCTGGCAGTCGTAAGGCTCGTGGGGCTCTTGCGCGAACCCATCTCGGAGCGGCGCAAGGCCTCGTAAGCTGCTCCCAGCTGATTGGCTGCCACCCCTGGACAGCCATGAGATGCTTGCGCAGCGCCAGAGCCATCACGTTTGAGCGTCGTCGCTTTCTTGGTCTGATCTCTCTCTTCGATGGAATCTCGAGGGACGACAAAAACTTCTCATTTGGCTTCCTTCTTTTCTTCTTGTCCATTCATTCATCCCCAAGCCAAAAGCCATTCTACCTGGCCTGCTTTTATTGCAGACTTTGTGTGTTGATGCCGAACATCCCAGTCACGGAAAGCCCGCTTTACACGCCATTCCCGCGGCACTGGGCTGAGCCTCAAAAAAGAGACCACGGGCCCAAGTGGGTATCCACTCCCGATCCTAATCTAGGCGTCTCCCCCCACCACCCGAACTGTCTTGACTCTTGGCCCACCAGGGGCTTGTTCCCTCTCGTTCATTTATATCATATCGAGTGACCCTTGGCCTTGCAGGAACCCAGTGCCTTTTCTTATAATTTTCGCTTGTTTATTCACTCGCTGATCTCGTTCCTTTTGAACGTCGACGGATAATACCTTTGTTCTTTTTCACTGGTGGTGTCTCGTGTGGCCTTCGTTCTGCTGCTGTCAACCTATTCTCAGAACGCCATGCGTGGTCTCCACACGGCCGGTGTCTTAATGGCACCGGCTCTGGCAGGAGCGATTTCTCTCGTGGAGGGTGAGTTGATATACACATCTTACGTACGTTTTCGGGTTTGTAATTTTCAGAACTGATACAAGACCAGACTCCATTCCTAGAGCCTTCATAACTCTTCATCTGCCCGAGCCCGTCAACTCGCCTCCGAGCCCGGACTTGGTTTTCCGCTTCGACATCAACGAATCTCAGGATGCTTGTGGACATGCGAACGTCACTATCAACGGCCAGAAACTATCCGAGAACGGCAATGGCTCCTTGACCATGGACGGTGGACGTGTTGTTGATGCTGCTTGGAATTTCACTTGTGTGGCTTGGAACGATAAGCCCCAGGAGCAGTTGCTCAGCCTCAACGTCGAGCATATCAATGGCCAGGCGGTCGAGGACGTTGGCTTCACCTTACGGTTCCAGCAAGTTGCACCCGTCTGGATATCAGATGTCGAGGGAAGCGCTTCCATGACCCGTGTTCACTCGAACGTCCAGGGCCAGCCAGAACCTGACTGCGACGACAAGGAGATCGACCTTGATGCAGAGTTGGCAGAGTTGGACTACCTGAGGTGGCAAATGGCTGAGCTGGCGCACACTCTCCATGCGAAGGAGCACCGCTTGGGCGAGATTTTTGGATGGGAAAGGCACCATGGGCCGTCCCCCATCCACGAATGCGACAGTCTGAAGTGTGTCATTGAATCAATTGCCCACACCGTGAAGGGCGCAGCTTCGTCAATCTATGGAGGCGAAGAACGCCCAGGGCCTCATGGACCGGGACGACATCACGGTCCGGGGGATGACCACCGTGGCCCCCCTCATCACCGCTTTGGAAAACCTGGGCATGGCAATCATACCGACAACGGCACTCATCCTTACCCCCCTCCTGGACACGGAAAGAGACCTCAATTTCCCCACCCTCCTCCGTTCTGCAAGTGTGCGCCGCCGCCACCACCGCATCGTGGTGATCACCCACCTCCTCCTCCACCGCATCATGGCGAATACCCACCGCCTCCACCGCCGCATCACGGTGGTCCTCCTCCTCCACCACCACCACCCCCGCCGCCGCCGCATGGTGATCACCCGCCACCACCTCCCGGCCACGACTTCGGCTTCCCTCCGCCTCCGCCTCACCACGGCGGGCCTGGAATCTTAGAGAGCCTATTTGACTTCATCCACCCGCATGGGCCCCCACCGCCGATGCCCTGGGAACAGCCAGATTGGGTGCATCGCGGGCACGGGCACGAAGGAGGACCACCTCGCATGGGTCATGAGGAACACCATGGCCCTGCTGACGACAATCACGAGAAACACCACGACAGTCATCAGCATTCCGACGAGTCTGAGCGACCGCACGGACATGAGGGCAAGCCCCATCACCAGGACCACGATGATCACAAGCCTTCCGGCGACGCCAAGCGACCTGAGACAAAGGTTGAGGAGCCAGAAAGTGACAGGAAAGACGCAATTTTGCCCGTGGCTGACCCCGAGAAGCATGAAGATTCTAAGCCCTCTCGCCCCGAAGAGCATCCCCATCCCGATGCCCCATGGGAAGCTGAACTCCGACGAGACCACGACCACAGGCCCCCACCACACGACGGACCCCATGATCACGAAGAGTTCCACGGTGATCACGAAGAGTTCCACGGTCACCACCCACCTCCTCCTGGACCTCCCCCACCTGGACCTCCTCCCCCTGGACCTCCACCACCTGGGGCTCATCCCCACGGTGGACGTCCTCACGGCCCGATCTTCATTCACATGGCCTCAGCCATCGCTTCCCTCATCCTGGTAGTTGTGTTTGGCAGCGTTTTATATCAGCGCTACGTCCGCAAGTCCATCAAGTCTCCCCGTCGCCGCCGAAACTCCAACGCCCCCTGGTACAAGAAGCTGTGCTTCGGGCCCAACTACTCCGAGCTCTCCGAGGACGAGGAGAAGGAGGCCATGCTCCGGCACTGCGGCGACTCCGAGTCTGACTCCGACGACGACGAGGATGACAGGGACGTCGTTGCCAGGGACATCTCCCAATTCAGAACAGCAGCGGAAGTGGTCGGCGAGATGGTCGCCGTCGAGGAGGCACGCATGGTGTCACACTCGCGCCAGCCGTCCTTCTCGCCAGCTCCTGCGCCAGCCTCTGTCCCCATGCCGCAGCAGCAGCCCATGCACCCGTACATGCCCGCCCACCTCATGCCCACCAACAGCATCCCCGTGGTGCCCATGCCCACGGGGCAGCTGAGCCCCGACCCGGCGACAATGGCCGCCATGGCCGCCATGTTCCCAGACCTGGCCCACGATCTGGGCCACGGCGGCGACGGCCTGGCCGGGGAGGAGCTGCCCGCATACCAGGAGGCGGACCGGCAGAGCGAGAGCGACGAGTCCGAGTTCGCGTCGAGCATGGTGACGGACGGCTACAGGCCGGGCTGCTCCGGGTCGTCGTACACGCCGAGCGAGTCCGGGTCGCAGGGGGCGAGTGATATTCTCGGGGACACTAAGAATTAAGGTGTGTATATAAATTTATATAAAGAGAGGAGGAGGCAGAACAGCGAGATACCCGTCGGTCTATTAATTTTCTATTTACCTATGCACCGTGCCCATTGCGGCTATGCCCTTACTTGTGTCACACACCATTTGTTTCCTATGTCTATGTCGCCTATTTTTGTATAGCATTTGTCATAGCCGACCTGCTAGTGTACGATATGGATCAGCATGAATGAATTACCGAGCTTTTTCGCCTAATCAATATGCATTTCATGCAATTCTGAAATGTTGTCTGCTGCTTCTACATGGTCTTTGTCTTTTGCGGGCTTCTCGATCTCAGGTTCGGTTTGACTTACCGTGCAGTTCAGTGGAATGGCGTCCCTGTTTTCACCTGGCTGTTCAATAACACAGCGATCATTTTGCAACATGCAAGGAGAACAGGGGACTACCATATAAATAATACATTATCTATCTTTCATAGCCACTATCTTCTCGTGCTCATGACAAAACTTATTACATAGTTATTTGTGGCGATTGCCACGAATCCGCCTATTCATAGGCGACTCACTCATCGCCTCGTGATTCTCTCAAAAAGTAAGAGCTCTTTGTGCCAGGCTTTCATTGCTGAATATTTGATGGAATGTGTCTCCATCTCTTTTCAAATGTCCGCAGACGTTCACTCTCTCCTAGCAATGGGTGGTCGTTGCCAATCTCTCTGAGACCTACTGACTCAAATCGCCGTTGCACTTTCAGCGATGTCAGTGGCCGCCTCACCGGGCTTGCAATCGCACGCAAATTCTTCCAAGAATTTCTCTTTCGTCAATCTCTTCAGCTTTTGCACCGCCAGTCTGGCAGCAGCCACTTTTGCATATCGCCCACTCTCTCGAACCGCGCCGTCCACCACCCGCCCATGAATAAGGATGCCGGCCGCAACTTTGGTGGAGCCGGTCCAAGTGCCCTCGTTGTCCATCATCTTCGTCTCCTCCGAGTGTAATCCGTAAGCGTGGCAGCCAAACTCTTCGTAAATGAATTGTGTGCAGAAGGTCACGGGGTGCTTGTTGGCGAAGGTGTCGTAGATCCGCATATCCAGGAAGTATGGCTTGAAATGGTCATTGAAGAAGCGCTGAACCGTTCTGTAGTCATACTCAGAGTCGACGAATATCGCGCCGACATACGCCTCAAGGATATCTGGAATGCACTTGGGAGGCTGTCGGGCCTCGATCCAGTAATCGCGAGAAAAATGCGAGCGAGGCTTGCCCGCTGCCTCGGCTGCGTCCTCGGCAACGCGGCGTGCCTCATTGATGACAGTCACATATTCTAGAATTGACGAGCCGAGAACCCCGTTATGCAGGAGGAATTTGTGGAAACCTAACTCCACTGCAAGGCAGCCGAAAAACTGATTCGATACCATGGCCATCTTGTGTTCCGTCAACCACTGTGGGCCCTTGTCTGGCGCGATATGGAAAAGAAAGTCAACACAGACCATATCCAGCAGGGCATCGCCCAGGAATTCCAAACGTTGATAACTTGGTACCTTGTCAAAAGAGTAAGGACGCGAGGGGTGTACAAAAGCAGACCGGAGCAGACGGGGATATTTGAACTTGTATTTTGTGGCTTCCTCAATCTTCTTGGCCATATCCAGCTCAACAGCGCTGGCGGCGGTAGTTTGCCAGTTCGGCTTCTTGTATGCAGCGTAGTATTCCTCCCACTTCATCATGGGATGATGTTTGTGGTTCGTAAGCCGAGTCACTGCTTGAATTGCCAATGTGTAGTCGTTGTCTTTGCGAGTGCTCATGTATGCGGCGCCAATGAGGGCCTCACAGACGTCGGCAATTGACTTATCAGCAAGGCTGTGAGAATCCATGTTTTTCAAGGTACTCTGGTGCTTCTTCCCGAACTCTAGGCTTAAGTTGGGATACCAGGTCGCACGTGAGAAAGCCTTGGACCGGATGTATTCTTCCAACTTCAACCAGTCACTGCGCGCAACTCCAAAGAGATTCTGGTTGCAGATCATGATCATCCGCTCGACGTGATAGTCGAACTCATCTTTGTTTGGTATAAGCGTAAAGAGAGAAATTGTCGTCGCCAGCTTCAAGAACGAGTCACCTAAGAACTCGAGTCGTTCGTAATTGTTGCCCATCCCCGGCTGGATGTTGACAGGTTCAAAGGCCTCCATTGAATCTCTTCCGTCATCTTCAGATGAGTTCTCACTGTCTTTAGTGAGTGCCTCGAGGGCAAGATCCGGATGAATATCAAGCTGGAGCATCTTGCACGCGTCTAAGGCGATGAGATTTTGCTCGATCCGGTGGATTACAGACGGAATGAGGTAGGCCATGGCAACCACATCCACAGGAAGCTGTTGCATGTTAGATCATGGATTCGGAGAAAGACTGTGAAACTTACTGGCGAAATTCTCAGTGGTTCGAGGATGAAGTAACAGAACGGATTCTTGGGATTTTCTTCCATCTCGGAGAGGAAATCTCGGCGCAGTGACACATATTTGCCCACAACGACAGGCTGGTCCTCCATCCATGTCATTCCTCGAGCTTCGCGGGTGGCCTTCCAAGAGGTGACACTCCAATTCAAAATGTCGTGAGTGACCTCGCCACGCTTCCACTGTCGGTATCCTGGAACATGCTCAACGTCATCTGGAACTGGGCTTCGGGGTGTTAGATCCTTGCGAATCCCACGCAGCCAGAATCTGCGGGAACCATCGTGGGGATCGACAATAAATTTGTCCATGAAAAAGCTCTCTGGCTCCTGGCCCGTGTATGGCAATGCATCAGTGCTCAGCACTTGGCGCAAAAGGCACCAATCGATGACCTCACGTAGATCAGGGAGCTCCGAGAACGTGAACTGATGGTTCTCCGTCGTGGGAGCGAAAAAGTATGGCATGCTCTCCTTATCCGCCACGTATTTCTTGTTGAAAAGATCAACAAAGACCTTCAAAGTGAATCTGGTGAAGAGCTGTAAGTCTTCTTCCGATGTTGTGATAGGAATATTCAAAACTTGGCAAGCGACATTTGAAGACGTTGCCTTTGATCCGGGCTGCCCGAAGTACAGAGGGACCGGTTTGATCTGGGGTAGCTTTGTCCTCGTTAGGAACAGAAGAGGCCGGGATGGGCGCTCTAGGGCATTGGGCCTCGCAAGAATCAGCACAGTCGCGTACAATTCCTGAACCGGGCCGAGCTCATCCCACAGCTTTGGTTTCAGTCGCATGTCGTATTTTGCCTGCTTCTTCGAGGATACCGCTAGGCGCGCATTTGCCATCACGTTGCGTCTCTCGACAAATCTTGAACGCAAATGTTCATCGATAAATTTGCTTGAGCTCAGCTTGAGGCATACTTCAAACGCTGCGGAGCACTTGGCGACCTGCTTTGTCGAGTGAATCCTTCCTGTTGCGCCGGACACTGGGGAGGCGGTTGGCATTATCAATTCACAGACGAAGCCTCCTTGGGTCGGCATGATATGATAATCAGCCACAATTCCCATGTCCATTGTGAAGTCTTCTTGGTGTTGAAGCGAATTGAGAAAGTCCCCAAGAATCGACATGCTATTCTTGTACGTGATCTTTGCTCCGCTAGACTGAATAGTGTGCTGGAGTTGATCTCGCTCTTTTCGGAGATAGTAGTCCATGTCGAAGTCGCTGCCTTTGAGCTGCCTGTCGTCTGGTAGGGAGCTGCAGAATTTGCGCAAGAGGTTCTCGTTTGTGGTGTTCTGGTAGATTCTTCGACGATGATCACCATTGCCCTCCTCAATCATGTGGACGTACGTAGATTCAGCCTGCCTAGCTCGACCTCGTGACTGTATGTACTGTATCATCGTCTTGTAGAGGTCAAAGCGAATTATCAGGTTGCAGTCCGGAATATCCAGGCCCTCCTCAGCGACTGAAGTTGCAAAGATGCAATTGAGCTCACCATCCCTGAAATTAAGAATTGTCATAAGCTGCTGGCGGAAAGACGTCGACGAGTAATTGTCTTCTTGATTCGCGCCCATCAGAACTCCAACTTTGAGCCCGGGGATCCTGACGATGCCTTCTTGCTGAAGCAGGTCCGTCAAAAGCTTGGCTGTCCACCGCTGTTCGACAAAGACTATACATCGAACTTTGTCCTCCGCACCGTTGAAGTGGTCTTTCAAAAGCCTGAGAAGAACGTGGACTTTTGACGACAACAGGAACTCCTCCGGTTCCTTGAAATGATGCTTCTGGATCAGCTGTCGAGCAGTCTGGATGCCTTTCTTGTGCTTGTCCACCGCGTCGGCCGAAGCCATGTTGTTGACAAAGCCCCGCTCGGTCCTTGCTTCGAGCTTAGACAACTCATCGTCTTGTAAGACAAGCTGCCAGTTTCTGTCTGCAAACCAAGTTCCAAGCTCCCTTGAAGCGAACTTCGAAAAGGCGAACGCTTTCGAGAGATATTTATTGCTGCCAACTGCTGCCCTCAGCTTTGCAGTGAGCTCTGTCTCTGGTGGCTGAATCAGGTGAGGATATATTGCCAGATCCTCTTTTTTGGGTTTTGAAACAGTTGTTTGTAGGGCCTTTGGATCTGCTGTGGTCGCGATCTGGCTGTGCAACAGGCCTTCGAGCTCCATTGCTGCCAGACGGACGTCCACCTGTGCACCGACAGGCGACGCAGTCATTCCGAAAATACGGGGGAGTCGAGCAGTAGTTCCCTCTTGGGCAGCATAATAGTCTTTGATGATGCGGGCGTAGGGGTGATTCTTCTTGGTATGGTGAGCCTCGTCGAAAATCAGAAGGTTGATCTGGTCGATCCGGATATAACCAAACTGAAGACATTTGTTCAATATCTCGGCTGTGCACACTATGACTTCGTGCTCTGTGAATTTCTGCTCCCAGAAGGACTTGTTCCACAAGGATCGCACGGAGTCTCCGGAGAAGGCGGCCACAGAATGGGCAAGGTTGCAATCGAGAACTGCATGCTGCTGATAGGCGAGAGCAACCTTGTCAACAAGGAAGAAGGATAGCCTCCGGGGGAGGCCTCTCTTGCGGTCCTCCAGCTCTTTTTCTATCACGTACTGGAGGAGCAGCACCGCGATTAGGGTCTTTCCAGATCCTGTCCCAATGTAGTCAGCCGTCTGATATGTTCAGACAACCGCGATACATGGAGACCTTGCGGCTTACCGGTGTCTAGAACAGCAATTGTGTTCTTCTCTTTGGCCCTCTCAAACAGCTCCATCTGGTAGTCACGAGGATTGTTGATAATCTTTTCACCCTCCCAACTCTTGACAAGATATCCGATGGACTGATCCTTTTCTGCGACACGGCTCTCAGGCTTCTTAGATAGCCTGTTCTTGTTATTCTCCAGCCAAGCACCGAAATTTGCTTGCTCGATCTTCTTCTTCTGGCTGATCTTACGGGGCTTGCGGGGCTCGTTCTGGACCAAGCGGCCTGCACTCTCGTCCTCGCTTCGGTTTGCCAACTCATTGTCACTATCGTCGTCTGCTTCAGCATCGATCTCAGGGTTGTCAGTACTAGCGGACTCGACAGGATTTTCATGACTAGGCAAGGGGGCAGTCTTTCCATGAACGCCAGCTTTGCTGGCAACAGAGGCATCATTCTGCAGAATTGTCAAGTTTCTGTGTATGAAGTCACCCGTGCGAGGGTCTGTGTCCAAGGCCATCTTGTCCTTGTCGCCCATGACGGGCTGTGATTGCAAAATTGAAGATGTATTCACGGAAATGGGAAAGGGTTAGAGTAGATGAGCGTGAGAAAGGGGGTTTGCTGCGAGATCAGGTTCGTCAACGAGATCTATTCAAGTGGCTGCTGTTTGGGGTAAACAAAGATGGGGTGAGGATGGGTCAGTTTACTGGTGAGAACTGGGCCATATGAGAGCGGGCAGGGAGAGAAGGGAAAAGTGTGTGTATGGGTGTTGTTGTTGTTGCGGGGGGGAGGGGGGATCGAGTGACGGAGAAATAAGCAGAAAGAGTGAGCGAGAAGGAAAGAACTGTCAGATAATTAGACTGCGTGGTTGTAGGATCAAGAAGACGTTGGTCTTCTCAACTCGGTCTGCTTAGGAGACCAGAGATGGGCTGACTGACCAGCAAACACAAGACGATTAAGCTGTATCTGCAGATGCACATGCAAACCATTGGGAATTGTTGGCTAATTCAAGGTTTTGAATTCCTGCCTCTCGACGAGCAGACAGCATGCTTCGAGGCTCATGGACTACCATCTCTCACTACCAGGCGCTCTCTATCTGGTGCCCTCAGACATGGGGAGCTGAGGGAACGTTGGAATTCCCGGTCTGGAAGGCACGATCCATGGCCACATGGGTGCACCCACATGTGCGTTTGAGACAGGCTCTAGCTACATCGACCGTTACCCAAGCTTTCTGACGTGCAGGGACGGTCTCGGCTTTCAAGGGTCCAGAGCTCCACTCCACAGGCGACCCCCTCCCCCGTCCAGATCTTGCAGCTACCCCGCAAGGGCTGGGCTCCCCTGGGCCTGGCTCCCCTTGCCCCCTGGCTCCCTCACCGTCCGATAAGATAAGGCAGTTCAAGCCCCATGTGCCGCCATTGCAGGTACGAGGGGCTAGGCGAGCCTAAGCTTCTGCGAGAGCTGCTTTGCGATACCCCAAAAATCCAGCCCAAGGGACCTATACGCCACTTGAATATAAGTACCCAACTCACACACGCCCCAAGGTCGTGTCTCGCCGTCTCCTTGCACCTGTCCAACATCCCCATCTGCAAGTCTGACCCGGAGTTTATGCAATTTCTGTCCACCCAGCCAGCCTACAGCGGTGCCGCCAAGATGGAAGACACGAAGTCTCTCAAGTCAGTCTTTGCCCAAGCCGAAGAGCGGCGACTGGCCCTCGAGGGCGCCTTCGAGGTCACAGACCCCAGCTATCGTGACGTCCTTTCCAACGCAATAGACGAGTACACCGAATGCTTGGAGCTCATCAGCCAGCTGCGCATGTTCAGTCCCAACGAGTCCCTGGAGGACCTGTCCACAACCGATCTGCCCTATTTGCTGGTGCACTACCACCTCGCAGAGCTCATTCAAAAGGTCCCCACCACTTCGCCTACTGGCCGCAAGACCGTTCTCGAAAAGGCTCGACACTGCTATGAGCGCTTCCTCTACATAATAGACAGCTACAGCCTTCTGGAGCCCCAGTACTCAAAAATGCTCGAAACCTATAGCGAAGAGCCGTCCTCATTCTCCACAACCCCCTCGTCCGACCCAGCAATCCGCCGCAACGCTAAGATCGCAAATTTCAAGGCCGAGCAAGCCCTCAAGCAGAAGCTTGCGTATCTGAGGAGGAACCCATCATATGGCGACCCGGATGAAGAAGACGGCCTGGGAGGAGACGAGGAGATAGTCCGGCAGGTCCATCTTGCGAACCTCGGCCTCTGTATCCACATGGCCTTCCAATCCCTAGAGTCGTTGAACCGTGAGGCGGAGATTCTGGCTCAGGCACCCACGCCTTTACTTCCCCAGGCCACCACAGTCGAGGATGACGAAAGACGGCGGCGCGAGGATCTCAGGCATGAGGGCTATTCAGACAGGCTTGACAGGCCGTTCAAGAGGTTACAGAGCTTCAACGGACCACTGCTGAGCAAGGAGGGCAAGCCTATACAGCCGTTCACAATCGTGGGGACCAGGCAAGATCTGGCCAAGCAGGTGTTCAGGCCTGGACATAATCTGCCAACAATGAGCATCGACGAGTACCTCGATGAGGAAAGGCGGCGAGGTGGCATAATTGAAGGAGGTGGGGAGGCAAGTGGGAGGCAACCCGAGCCAGATGAAGACAACATCGAGAAAGCAGATGCAGAAACGATGAAGGCGCGAGCATGGGACGAATATGTGGAGGCAAACCCGAAAGGCAGTGGCAACACATTGAACAGGGGGTAGATGGTCTATGTACCAGAGACCACATGGGATGGCTATCTGCTTTAATGCATTCACAACCATCCAACAAACGAACATTGCAGCACAAAAAGTCATTCATGATGAGTTCTATGGGCTTTTCAGTGTATCCAGGGCCACCAAGTTGTTAGACGAAAATTTCGGCACCCCAACCACAGGTTCAGTTGGCTTGATCGAGTGCTGATCAGACGGAAGCTCTCTATTGCTACCCACTAGCATCTGGCTGGGGCAGCTCTCACTTGCAATATAAAATCAATCTCGATGGCAGCAACTCCATCTTTGAGCTCACGCTTTGTGTTCACCAGAACCCCTGTTTCAGTGAAGCGTCCACGGACAAGCTTCATCGTGCATCCCTATTGAACCACAGGTCCGTACAAAGACAACCATCGTCTGAAGCTATATCTCGTTCGCCATCGCTCATATTTCTTCAGTCACCAAACGAAGACGCGTCGCGCTGTTAACGAAGCTCCCCGCTATCGCGCTATCGATCCCACACAAGAACCAACTCGTCCTTCAGGGGATCACAGCACAAAGACCGCACCCAACTCCTCCCAATCACAAAGTTTGACCTTGTACAAGCAAGCCATGGCGGACAACAAAGAAAACGACCCCAGCTCCATCAGCGGCTCCGCCGCTGGCGCTTCGACCAACAACAACTCGAACGTGTCCAAGCCCACCGAGGACCCCAAGACCAAGGGTGGCATGAACACCAACACCAGCTACTCCGTCCACGACACCCTCGACAGTGTCATGCGCGGCGGCTGCTCCACCTGCGGCTCCTCTGAGCACGATACAGTCCGGTGCGACGAGAAGGATGCGCCTGAGTGCATGATGAGCGGTGCTCTGCAGACTGGCAACGATTCCGCTGCCGCCGCTGACTTCGCCGCTGAGGATGGTGGTGAGAGCAGGGGACGGAGTCGCACTGCTTAATGGATGGGGGCAATGCAGATTTCTCTTCTTTGGGGTTTCAGGGGATGACGAGGTTCTTTGGAAGGCGATCAGACAATACCAAAAAATAGGTGTGTAAGGCAGGAAGGAGGCGACTTCAGCGTTTTTACCTGACGTTGGAATTGGAGGCTTGCTTGGGAGCACCAGAGAGTAATACATTTGCAACGCCCAAGTCCAGAGCTCCCAGTAAATTCAGTCTGTCCTCGCCAGTATCAGATTGTAAAACTCGAGTAAATGAGGGAGTAAATGAGTGGCTCTCCAGTGAGCGCAGTATGTTAATCCTGAGCCCCGTGCAGCTCGTGAGGATACCAAATATTTGCCAGTGACTTCATCGTGTACTCTTTCAATGAGTGCAGAGGCTACAGAAAACCCACACATGTGCGAATCGCAAACTAGAACATGTCAAGATGAACTTATGGAACTCGCTTTTCAGTGGTCTTGTAGAGACAAAGTAACGTATTCAGCAAGTCTCTTCCTATCCCATCTACCAGATCAATATGATTTCGACGCTCGATGGCCGCCGAGCGGCCTTTTGGTATCATCTGTACATACGTTGGCATCCCACCGAATCATCAAGTCGTGCCATCCTTCATAATGAAAATCGCGTAAGTCGTTGAGTGGGTGCTGACTGTTGGTGGGTCCAGCCATTCCCATACTGGGAACCACCACCATGAAAGAAATAAGTCTCCTGTGAAAGCACCGCAGCTTGACAGAACGCCCAATACGCTAGTTGCTCATATGGATATTTCTGCTGGCGCTCGTGCCCCCCTGCGATGTCTTTTGTGTGTTGGTCTGCCGTCCGCACTGTGCTTGAAAACGAGTCGCAGACCCGAACATTCAGCGACCATCTCGACCATCTTGGGCCCGCTGGCCCGCCGCGTCGGCATCATCATGCGTGATGATTTCCATGTCATCCTCCTCGTCATCATCGTCGCCGTCCAAGATCGACAAGTCGGACTCATCGTCGGTAAGACCGCCGTCCGGCAAGCTATCATCGGTGCCGTCCTGGGAGCCCTCAACGTACTGAGCCACGGCACGCGCCTGCGGTTGGTGGGCAGCAGGCAGCACGAACTCGGCCTCAGCAAAGTCCGCGCTCGCCGCCTCATCAGTGAAGCGCTCCGATGCGAGGGTCTCGGACGGCGTCAGGACCCGGTTGCGGCCGAAGACGGTGGAGATGCCGTCCTGGACGACGACAGATCCGATGACGGTGCTTGTGCCATCGTCAGAACGAAGAGCTAGGTCATCCATACCCTCCGCGACGGAGTCCGACACGCTAGGCACGGTGATGCCCGTGTGGAAGCTGGGGCCTGGCCCGGTGGGGCCGAGCACAGCCTCGGGGATCTCGGGCTCGTACAACGACTCGTCCTCGAATCTGAAGTAGTCCATCTCCTTCTCGTCGAGACCAAGGACCAAGTATTGCGTTATGTTGTAGCCAAACTCGCTGTCTGGCCGCTGGCCAAATTTCGCAGCGTAGTTTGACACTCGCTCAATGATGTGCTCGAAAAGGTCAACGTAGAAGCCCGAGTCGTGTTCATCAAAGACTTCGGGATAAGAACCGGGGAAGACAATGTTGTTTCTCTTAGCGTTCTTAAATTCCCTAGAAAAGGCAGCGGCAGCGTCATAGGCATCACCTATGCCAGTGAGGTCTATGATGGCCAAGTCGCGCATTTCAAGCCAGACGAGAGGGCACAAAGCGCGTTGATACTTGTTCAGACCAGCATAGACAGTGGAAAAGGACTGCGAAGTTGCCAGCTGTTCCTTGGGGACCAGGTAAGAAAGCCCGATCTCGCACATGTCCATCCTGGATCTTGTCGCAGGACTCCTGAATAACTCTCGGGAGGTAACGCCTGGTGGATCTATGACAGCTCCGTCGACACATCTCGTGACTGCCCTGAGGAAGATGGCCCGAATCTTTTCCAAAAGCGCGTTGTAGGTGCTGAGAAGGCGGTTGGTGAACCCTTCAGTCTTGGGAATCACCTTGCCCAGCATGATGAGCTGGTTCCACTCGGGAACACCCAAGAGACCCAAAGCATTAGGGTCAAAGAGGTCATCGATCGCTTTCCTATATCGCTCCGCCATGGCAACACCGGCGTGCTCCACCATACGCATAATGAAGTCCGTCTGCTCAGTACCGGAAAGACAGCCCGAGCTGCGCCGACCGAAGATGGTGGTGTTCTTCCGGGCCTGTTCACCACGGACATGGCCGCCAGCGATGACCAGTGCGCGCTCGTTGACCAGAATTCGGAAAGCGGCAAAAGCAAGGACAGGTGCCTTGATGATGCTGGCGATACGCAGTGTCTCTTCTGGCAGAACTTCAACAAAAAGGTAGTTGTTGCCAGCGTTGAACCACGTGACAACATGATCGCGCTGTGTACTTGTCAGGGGCTTTTCGATCGGCAAATAGCGATGTCATACTTACTAGCAGGTCGTAGTTGGTCATGTTGAACATGCTGAAAAGCCCCACGAGCGTCCACACTTGATCTCGCATTAGCATCTGCTAATCTAGGCTGGGGTGGGGACGACGATAGTTCACACTTACTTCGAGGCGCAGAGTCGATCTGCAGGTCATTGTTGGCAAGCGATCGAAACAGTCTCAAGACATTCGCACCCTGACGGACTTGGGAGAAGTCGTCGATATCGCGGTGATCATCCACAGGCCAGGTCTCCGTGTCAAGAAGAAACGCTGCGACATGCAATCCATCGAGAGGCTTTGATCCCTCGATCGAGAACGGTGGTGTTGGGATCGGATAAGCTGTATCGTAGCTCTCTTTGCAGCGGCAAACGTCATCGTGTCCTGCAACAGCCTCAATGGACGCACCAAAAGCTGCAGCACGGTACCAGAACTTGATGCCTGGAGTCAACGAGAGCAGTTGCAGCGCAATGGTGTAATCATCCTCCTCGACCGAGGGTGACAGGTCCAGAATGTGAGTGACGCCTTGTGGCAAAGCTACAGGAGCTCTCTCAGCAGCTCTCTTGGCCCGGCGCTGGTGAGACTCGCTGTTGAGACGCTCCTCTAGCTTTGCAGAACCTGTCGCGAGAATCTGATCACGGGTCAAGATGACTCGAGCTGTGTCAAACTCGGACTTCTGACAGCTGTGATGCGGTTCAAAGGCGGGAAAGGAAACCAACACGAGCACATCACCCTTTTCATTGCCCTGCAACTGCTGCTGAGTCTTGTACAGGTCGCTGTTGTGAGCCTGCTTAGCAACAAGGTTGCGCTGAAGCTCCTCGTCTACGAACGTGAGATGCGAGTTCTGTAACGCCTGGTCGAGCTGAAACGGGTCCACAGCTCTAGAGAGATAAGTGGAGGGATCCTGTTGTTTAGAGGTCAGCGAACTGAGTGGCAACAAAGCAAATGGACAGTCACACATAGACATACCATGTTGTCTGCTGCTTGGCACCGTTCGCCTTCTTGTTATGGTAAAGGCTCAGTAACTGGAGTCTGTAATGTGAGAAAATTGCACAGGAGAGATTGTTTGTGGGGGGATTGAGTGAAGTGTGATGGATTAGTCTGTGGGCAGCTGGAGGGGAAGCTGTGCAACTATAGCAACTGAGAAGAAGAAGCGAAGTGAAGATGTTTGCTTGATGGGAGAGCTTCCTCAGCCTTAGGCATCAGTTTCCATTTTCTTGTCAGAATGAAACGCAGCGTTGTCCCAGAGAGAGGGCCAAACACTGACCAGGCTTTGGCTTGCACATTCACAGACAATGAGACATACTTGGACAAACGAAGCCAGCGACCCAGACAGGAGGAGCGGAATTAAACAGTGAGATTACGCAGTCTTGAGAGCAAATGTCTTACCAGCTTCCATATCATGAGTGGACCTCTGGGATGGCCTGTACGCAGAGTTGATAGTGACTGGGAGAGGCGGTATCTGAGTAACTTGGGAGGTTCTCCAAGGTGCTGCAGAGGGTGCGAGACTGAGCCGTTGACAATACAAAGATGTGTCTAATGATATGGAGGGTTCGTATCAATATTCTGAGCCGTTGCTTTCTCAGACACAATGTGATTTTGTAAGGCTCCCAGACCAGGACAGAGGCAGTGATATTGTGAGGTGGTCAGTGAGGCTGACTGGTGGGACCGAAGGCAGCAGCTCACTGCCCCACGCTAGAGCAGCTTGCACAGCATGGAATGGATGGTGGGCAGTCAATCGGTACGGCGCATGTGCCATCGAGGTGATGGGCAGAGGCAGGAGGCCAACCAAGGTGGTGAGCCGTGCCGCAGCAGCGCATGTTGGTACTACCAAGCAAATGGACTGAGAGAGTCACATGAGGGTGAAACCTCCCAATCAACGGGAGCATAAGATCAACCTTGTTCGGTCCAACCAAATGCCCGGTACTGCTCCCACGAGCATGGGCTGTCAACTGCGAGTGCTAGCCTCAAAGTTATTTTCATTCGAGTACACCGGCAGCTGCCGATCGATATTAAAACTGAGGGTCAGGATGGATGGTCTTAAGAATACAGATATCTAGGAGTTTGAGAAGAATACGTGTATTAATTGAAGCTTTTGTAAGTTGATGTGATATGATTCAAAATGGCCCATAGGTGCCAGCCTATGGGTGCGAACAGGCAGACAGAGTTGGGGACGTAGACGTAGACGCGGACGGGCTTGACGGGGTTAGACTCGGCAACTTATCGGGTCCTATCGGATGCGAGCCCCACAACACGCCCCACCCTCTTTGCTCCCTGGCTCGCATATTGAAGCCCCTCATAGAGCTGTTCCTCTGCAGCAGGTAAACTATTGGCTTGGGAGCTCTGTGGTTGAGGCTCCAAATTCCACTGGTCTTCAAATAAGAAGATGGACCTTTAGAACAGAAGAAAAGATATGTTCTGTCTAACCACACCATGTACTCCAGAGGTATGTTGTAGATGGACTACCAGTATTTAATCCCCCAAGGTTTCGTGAAAAGCAGCTAAGCTCTCAGATGCCCCAAACTTAATTCTCCACGGATCTTCCCGGTCATAGGGAGGTAAACAAGCAGTCCTGAGACTGACCGATCAACAGTATTTCTGGAGACATGGACGTCAGTCTCGCCACCGTGCTGGCTCCCAATGCAGCACGCCAGTACGTGCTCTTAGTTCCTACAAACAACGGGACGATTTGAAACCAAGCTATTGCTCAGGGCCATAGAAGCGCAGCGGGGAAAGAGACACCCTCGCAGAGTAGCAGAGTAAGTAGGCTGCGTGCTACAAGGCTCGAGTGGTACCCATGACAGGGATCCATGGGCAGCTCCATCTCAAGTCCTCCCCGCATATCAGCACGAGAATCAGGAGAGGTCATTACGACAATGATGGGTCCGGGAATGGAAATATGTCGCGTGTCTAACGTCAAGCTCTCCCCAGTCCCCACTTCCCCAACAAAAATCGTACCTTTATGGTTATATAGCCCCAGACCGTTTCCCCCTTGGGACATCGGAATAGGCCGCTTCGACTTCAGTTGTTGCACGCCACTGTCCTTCTCTCTTCTCAGTAAACATTCACACCTCAGCTTTGCTACCTAGATACCAAGCATAGCCAGGAGCACGAGGCCGGACGTTCAACACGCTCGACCATCACGACGTCCACTATCCCTCACATACCTGCCAGGTCTGCCTTTTTCTCCACTACCCAGAAGCAAAATAGAATCATGGATCACGCCAGGAACAACATGCACCGCAGCGCTACCCGCGCCTTTCCGTAAGTACAGCCGCAGGACGTCCCTGGCAGCCTGGCCTACCTCTCACCGACATTGGTCCTACTGCACCCGTGCCAACGGTGTTGTAAACAAGATAGAAGAACAAGAACAGGAAAGTAAATATACAACTAACAAGACCGCCCACACGCTCAGCTCTCGCCATCCCCGCCTCGCCATCTTCGCCCTGACGGCCGCCGGCGTGGCGCTTGGCATCAAATACCAGTCCGACAACCTGGCGAGGAATGAGAAGGCCCAGAGGGCGACCAGGGACCCCAACTACTACGTCTCTGTCGACAGGTCTGGCGGGGGTATCTAGAGACAACAGGGAGTTGAATATAGGATCGCGCTCAAAAGAGGACAAGCTAGGAGCCACACCGCTCCTCAGCAAAGAGTTAAAAATATGAGATGAAGATATGTCTGAAGGTATGGCACATGGACGTCAACCCCAAGGCAAGAGGTGCCTATTCATAGACAGCAGATTGTCTAGCATGAGCCCGAGGGTGGGCTGATCGGTGTTGTGTATGAGCCGAAACGTATGGTTCGAGGAATTTCAAAACATCATTGGCGTGTTGCATATACATACACATACGATCATTCATCGAGGGAATGGGCGTTTCAATCGGGCCAAGGAAGGCAACAGGTCACGGGCCAGGCACTGATATCACCAGATGGCGTGCTGCATATTACGCTGCATAGAATGGAATGAATGAACAAACAAGAAAAGCACAATGCATTACAATTCCTCGTTTCTCTGCGCCCTAAATGCCGGGATCGCCTTCAAATGCCAAACAGACAAAATCATACAGGATGAGCTCAACTCAGAGAAGAAAAGAAGACAATGCGATCCCAACATGCGAGAGCTGAAAAGAAAATAGAACGCCATTTCCCACTCCCTTGACCACGCCGAACAGCATTATCTCTCTATGCACGCCAAAATCTTGAATCCAGAACAGCCTGCAGTATGCGGGTGGGAAAAACAAAAGCGAATGAAACACACTGTAGAACGCCAATTCGTATGCAAGCCCTCCTGTACAGTTGCTCCAATGGGCCGGCGCCTCTAGACAAGTCGTCTCGCCATTAACGCTCAAAAGGAGCTCCCCTTCCTCGTGATGTTCGGCCGCGCTATATCGGCCTGGGGACCGCCATCGGACTCAGAATCCTCGTAATCGCGCCTCGATTCAACCTCTTTGCCCTTCCCTTTGTAGTCGCCACCAAAGCTCGACTCGACAGGTGATCTCAGTATCACACTGTTGCGGTTGGATTTGTTACCGCCTCTCCGACTTCCGGGTCTCGACCCGCTGGCCTTGCCGACCGAATTGGCCTTGGAATTTCTTCCGCCTGTTCGTGCGCCGCCGCCAGCGGCACCATTCCTTTCCGCAGCCTCGAAGATCGTATATGGAGTCCTCACTCCATCGCCTTCTCCATCCCAGACAATTGAGCCGCCTTCACTTGCTGAGTTGCGCGCGGTATTAGATCGCTGCAGTGATTTCATTTCCTTGACCATGTCTGAGAAACCCTCTTCAAGCGTTTTCATCCTCGCCAGTACCAAGCGACTCATCCGGTCACGATCATTGTCGCGTTCTCGCTGCGCCTTGTCATTGCCGCGGCCGGCACCCGGTGTGATCATACCGGTCGCCATGGCCATCTGCGTGACGAAGCTGGACGGGACGCCTCCAAATGCATCGTCTGCGCCAACTCCGGCAAGATCTGACTGAACGTCGAGAAGATCCGAGGAAGACATGCGACGAGTCTTCCCTGGCCGACGAGGATGCGGGTCGGCGGCCATTCCAGTAAAACGGCTGATGAGTGGGGCCGTTTGCATACCGTCGCGAGGCGGCATAATCGGTCTGGGACGGGAAGAGCCAAGATTGGCGGGACGTCGGGGCGATCTTGGCGCGGGGCTCTCGGCTGGCGTTGGGCGGCTGCTGAGAGGCCGGGACCGAGTCTTTGTATGCGGGCCTGAGGACGAATCATCATCTTTGTGCGGCAGACGGCCACTCTTCGGTGGGTTAAAGAGGATCGTGTTGGTGGACAAAGTGCGGCTATGCATGCCTGCCCGTTTCGGGGGAGGTGGTGCTAGCTGATGTGCAGGTGATCGATTCGAAGAACCGAGAGAGGTTGATATGATGCGGTTGTTGAATCGAGTGGCGAGAGGAGTCGTGAAATAATCGTCGTCGTCGTCCTCGACCCGGGATCTTGTAAGACTCCGTCGACTAGGAACAGTAGCTGCCTCATCTTCGTCTTCGTCATTGGTGACGAGCTCATCATCCGCATCTTGATCCTTCAGAATACGGCGTTCCACGTGATCCCTGCGGTCAATACCGTCCAACGCCCCGTCATCCAAGGTCGACATGAGTTCTGCCGGGTCGCTCACGATTGACCTGACTTCGGAAAGATGTCGAAGTCTAACAGGCGTTCTTTCCTTGCTTCCGTTGAGCCTTCGTTGCCAATCCTGTTGCGCACGGCTGTCAACAGTCGAGAAGTTGTTTGGTGATTCAGGTATAGTCTCGTTTCGATCCATCCAGTTCCTGACGGCATTTTGTGTCCTCTTACGCTCGTGCATTCTCTGAGTTCGTAGCGAGGCGAAGTCGGGCGTTCTTCGGAATACCTCCTCCAGGGCGCGATCCTGGTGAAACCCAGCTACCGAACCTTCTCGGATCCGGATGGTGGGGCTGAACAGGGACGACCTGCCCACAGGGTTCATGGAGAGAGCTCTCGCTCGACTCCGTTCCGGGTGCTCGACAAAGTCTGTCGGCTCGAACATCGATGGAGAGAGAATATACTTCTCGTACAGAAATATGCAGAACAGGAGCGGGAAATGTGTTATCTTGATGATGGTCCGATTCAGCCACACGAAATGGCGCAAAGGCATGAAGTATCGAAACGGCATCAACATCCAGGCGAAGATGTTACCGGGAGCGACGTAGGAGAACAAGGACTGGTCCTTGACCATGGCGATTGTATTTATCGCGAAAAGGAATCTGGATTCTCATTAGCTAGGTGAGGCACACTATGTCGCGTCTGCTAGCAGCTCACTGATGTTCCTCCTTTGCGTTCGAAGCAATCGACATGAATGAGTTAGTCAACACCGTGATGAGAATGGTGCTGTCGATTCGGTCAGCGAGCATCAATACGTCAGGGTCTGGACAGGACTTACACCACTACAAAATGGCAAATAATGAGAAAGAGCACCATCAGCGTTCTATCTAGCCAACTGTACGTGGGCCAGCTAAATGTTACTCGTCAGTAATTGAATCGCTTGTTTCGGGCCACGGCCCTCGAGGGTTGAATGAGGAGGAAGGTGTTCTGAAGAAATAAACTTACACATCCCAAGCCGCCGGAGTGAAGCCCATGAGGATTTGGAATATCTTGTACGCTACCTCAGCAGCATCTGCTTTGGTATTTGTGAGGAAGAAAACAAAGAAGCCACTGCATGAAATGAAAATCAACACGAAGACTGCCGCCAGATCAACACTCATGATTCTCATGGCAAGAAGAATCTGCGAGAAGTAAGGGTAGTGATCCAGGACCGAGAATATCCGTGGTAGCAGCAAGACCGCGTTTGCAGCAAGCACGTCGTAGGCGTCGACGCCAGTGTGTGAATCGACCAGGAACACCGTGTAGATGCGCATGCAGTAGTAGATGATCAATAGCACGAGAATGCCTAGATCAAAAATATTCCAGAAGCTCATGATGTAAAGCGAGAAGCCCTGCTCGGTGAAACCGACAAGCTCGTCCATCATGAACCCAGCACTCCAGAACCAGAACACCAACTCTAGGCTGGTGATGCGGTCGGACCTCTCGACAAGGACTGCCAAGAAAAGACAGATCAAGATAGCCAGAGAGCATGTGGAGAAGAATTGCCTATATCGAGGCACACGAAGTCTGGAGAGCTTGAGTAAAGACGCGTTGCGCGGATCATACAGGGACACTGTTCGCCTGGCCGGCAGCAGATCCAGATTGGAGGCCTTGGGCGCCTCCAATCCCTTCTGGAAACGAAGAAGAGGCGTCCTCTCATTTTCTCGCCGCTGCGGACTGCGCCCTCTTGCAGAAGCAATTGACTCCCTCAAGTTTTGTCGATGCAGATTGTCTGCAGAGGAATAGAAACTGATAGCACCGTTCCATATCGCTTCAAGCTGCTGTACTACGAGTGGGTGGGCTAGGAAGTGCTTGGCAGAAGCACGTATGGCGACCTCAAGGGTTGAGGTCCTCGCCGCAGCCTGCTTTGGCTTCCCGTCTCGAGGGGTCAGGGGCGTCTGTACGCCAGGCGCTCCTGGCATGCCCTGCAGAGGATAGAAATCATAAGACAGAGCATCGATGAGCTCCCTGGTCGTGTAGTCCTTCAGGAGTTTTATGGCTAGCAGCTCGCAGACCTTGGCCCTGGTGCTACTGGTTCCGGCATTTCCTGGGTTGAGCTGCCCCTCCTTGGCAAACTGCAGGCAATTTGCCATGAGCGCATATATGGTAGCCCTGGAAAAGTGTTGGGTGCGGATCTGCTGCTGCATGGGCTTGACCAGGAACTGTGAGACCTGGGGTGACCTCAGCTGGTCCCAAGTCAGAGCTGTCTCAGTTCTAGACTGGACGATCATTCGGATTGTATGGGTGACATTGTAGACCGGCAGGGAATCGAGGTGAGACTCGGAGAAAAGAGGCAACACCGTGCCTGAGGGGCGTCTCCCACCGTGATCCTCATCGTTGGGTGAGTCGTCGCCGTCGTCGTTATCATCATCTTCGTCTTCGTCTTCGTCTTCATCGTCATCGTCGGCTTCTGTGAAATCGGCGGTGGCGTGTCTAGTTCGGGAGTATGGTTGGCGCTCATCCTCGGTCTCATCACCTCCACGGCGACTGCTCCTGAATGACTGCAGCAGATTCGTGAATGGTAAGATCCTCCTGGCGGGCATGTTGTCGCCCGCTCGATCCATCAGTACTCCATGAAAACACCGTAGCCCTCAGTCACGGTGTAGGGTCGTAGGCTGCCTCGTAGTACTGCGTCTGGGGAACTCTCCGTAGCTGGGTAGGTATCGGAGGAAGTTGAGGAAGCTCACTGCCCTTGCGACTGGCCCAGGGGAAAGGCGTAGTAACAGCTCCGAGTGCGGTGCAGATCGGTCATACAAGATTATGTCCTGGGACCGAGGGTACTAGGACAGCATTGTTTCTGTCAGTGGGAGCAATGGGAAAATTATGAGCAGCTGGCGGCGGCGGCAGCAGCAGCAAATAAAGATTGTTGACAGGAAGGAATGCGCGCGCAGCGCGATGGTCAGGACCGGGACCGGGAGGTTCAAGTTGGACGGGGAGCCCCAGCCCAAGCAAGCCTGGCAAGCAGCTGTGTGTAATTCCAGGGAAGGTTGCCAGGATGACTGCATGCCTGGGTAGCACTCTCCCAGAGGTAGCTGATTCAGGAGCCAAAAGGCCGTGCAGACAGGCAATGACAGGCAACGACAGGGCAGCTGCTGGCAGAGTGGGATGCGATGCGGCTCAGCAGCGAGCAGAGTCCCACTTGGTGCACTTGGTGCAGGTGGCAAGCGCCCCAGTTCCAGGTTTCAACGACTCCAACAAGAGCCCAGGCCCGGGCGAAATCTCTGTTTTCTGCTAGGCAAAGGTGGTGAATTGTGGATAGTATTGGTCAATCGGGACAGTGGTTTGTCTAACATTAATGGAATGAGATGGGCTCAGTGCCGTGTGCCGTCCTTCGACGACGATGATGCAGCACGCCGCACCCATCTGGGCCTGCAAGCTCCATGCACTGCAGCATCCCACTGTCCTTATCTATCCACATATTTGCCGCATTCCCCAGATCGACGCATGACCTCCGGCGCCATCGAGTGGGCCGATACGCTGCAAGATGGGATGAATAGCTATGCCTCGCCCGCCCCCCTCATTGGACAGGCCGCCTAGAACAGCATAGTTTTCACCACACCATCCACGACGACCGTGCTACTGGTTGGGACGGCGGTGAGCCAGATCGAGGGCGTGGGCGTGGGCGAGGGCGTTCGACTTGTGCGCTTGTGGCCTTGGTGTGCCTCTTTGTCTGGCTGCAACTGCAACCTTGCGACAGACGGCGAGGACGGTTCTGGTTCTGGTTCTGGTTCTTCGCTAATCTGAAGATGGACACTGTAACTGATACATCAGGTTCTCAGTCGACCTGCCAGGGCTGCCGGCCTGCACACTCCAGAGGGCTCAATTTCCGGAGGTCTCTTCATCCTGCCTGTGAGCAACGATGAACACAGAGAGTATCTAGGTTTCTCTGAGCGGGTGTTCCAGTTCGGTCTCGACGAGCCTTTGTGCTTCGACAATGCATCTTTGCGAGATCAAACGAGGTAACCTTATTGTCTGCTCTTCCTATCAAATCAAAGCATCTTCGCACATCCATGGGTCTAATGCTCTGCCGGGCTCATTGCTCCGCACCCCCTTCCTGCGCGGCTTGCGACATTGCAACCCCTTAGCTCCACACCGACAGGCCGCCTGCATCATGTTGCATCACATGCACCGTCATCATCAGTAGATTGGTTTCGCTTGTTAACTGTAAGTAGAGCTCGGGAACATCGTCGGTCAGGATGAGGTGAAGGTGTCCCTCGCATGACAAAACTGATGACACCTGCATGTACGTTCATATTCCGTGTTTCGACATCATGGCCCTAGCTGCTGGCTGGACTTGGCGTAGAGGCACACAATGGACCTGGGAATGAACCTACAGCGCTCTTCATTGAGAAAGCAAACACGAACATCGTTGGGCTCTCTACCATCGTGGTGCAAAGTGCTACCAGAGCCGCAGCCTGCAGTGTTGTGACTAACAATTGCCACGCAGGCTCTTATGTTCAAGAGTCAGCCCAAGCACCGCCTTCAAGAAACAGAGGCATCACAAATGAATGACTGTAGTCCGTATGGGCGGTGAACAAATTTTCTGGTGTGTGTGTGTGCGTATGCGTGTGTGTGGTGTGTACTAATCCCAAACCGTGGGGGCTTTAGACAGTCAGGTCACACACATGTGAGGACGCTTACTGGGCTGCGCAAACAGGCCCACTCATCCAACAATAATGTGCTATAAATGTCAGTTGGGGGCAGAGGGAGTACGAATCTCCTGGCATGCAGTCTCTCATCTCTTGCTGAAGACCATATCATCATGTGCCCAGGTGTAACAATGCCTCCCATGGTCAGCACCAGCCCCGGATCCGAAGCTCTGGGCCGGACGGGTCGGAGCGAGAGCCGGAAAGCATACATTATTATTACGTCTGGAGTGTTCGGTGTGCTCGAAGTCTTCGACAGATCAAGACTCAACACCAGCCAGAACGCTTGCCTGAGCCAGGATCAGGTCAATGCTCTGACAACGAGCGGCGCTCATGCTCCTTTATATACACATGAATTGAATTCCATGCCTTACCTATGCAGGAAGGTCAGCCATCTTACACGCACGCCCACTTGATGTTGGTTGTCGGTGCAAGGACCAGGCGAATCTCGGTTTGCGGCCAAGATTCTGAAGGACCCAGACTTCAAGCAAATTCTCTTAGATTTCCCACTGTGAATTCGACTCCCTCGTGACTCACACGGCACGTTGGTCCTAGTGGACATAACAATAACAAATACCCGATTCACTGGGCCGGAGGTCAAAATCCCGATCTGGGCTAGATGCGCCCCAAGATCTCAAGTTTTAAAATGCAGGGATACGCGACTCAGTCTGGCTCCTCCGCTTGCGCGTCGTCCAACCACAGGCCACAATCCGACTACCTATCGATAAGTCTCTAAGGGCAGAAAATTTTGGCTGTTCGGTCCAAAGGTTGGTGGGGAAAGTTTTGGGGTCGGTCACAGCCTTCTGACATCCCACTCTATTCCTGTCTCTGCGTCTTGTCTTGCCTATTTTTTTCTTCTTCTTCTTCACCCCACCAGTCGAGGCATCTGACGCTATTCTGTTACATTCAATAGCCCCTTGCTGGTGAGACGAGGCTGTTGTTGACTTTATAATGGTCGTGTCTTGAGCTAATTGAACCGTCTTGCCGAAGGAAACACAATCCGCCCTCGAGCAAGCCTCGCCGAGCTTGCTGCCATCTTTGGCACCGACTCGTTCAGCTTCACCACCTGCCTGCGCTTCTAGGGAGACACCTCGGTACCCCCGCCCCATCTTGACCATGGCTTCCAAGGCTTTCCCTCCCGCTTCGGCTCGCCTCGGCGAAGCTGAGAACGAGGACCTCTTCTGCTTGGAGCTCGAAGATGGCTCAGCCTACCAGGGCTACAGCTTCGGTGCTCCCAAGAGCATTGCCGGTGAGCTGGTCTTCCAGACGGGCATGGTTGGCTATCCCGAGTCCGTCACAGACCCCTCCTACCGAGGTCAAATCCTCGTCATCACCTTCCCCCTGGTCGGCAACTATGGCGTTCCCTCGAGGGAGACAATGGATGAGCTGCTGCGCGACCTGCCTGCCCATTTCGAGTCGTCCCAAATCCACATCGCCGGTCTCGTGACAGCCTCCTATTCCGGCGAGGACTTCTCCCACTTCCTGGCAACCTCTTCCCTCGGAACTTGGTTGAAGGAACAAGGCATACCGGCAATGCACGGCGTCGACACTCGCGCATTGACCAAACACATCAGAGAGAAGGGCAGCATGCTTGGCCGCATGCTGCTGCAAAAGTCACAAGCGGCGAATGGCATCCCCAACGGAACCAATGGCCAAACAAACGGTGTGCCGCAAGCTTTGAAAGATTGGAAGCCGTACTTTGATACTGTCGATTGGGTCAACCCCAATGATAAGAACCTCGTAGCAGAGGGTGAGTGAAAGCGAAATGGGCCTTGTGTCGACTTTCTGCTCACTTCTCCTTAGTGTCCGTCAAGGCGCCAAAACTGTACACGCCTCCTGCAGACATTGCCTTGAAGCACCCGTCTGGCAGGACGATTCGTATTCTCTGCCTCGACGTTGGCATGAAATTCAACCAGCTTCGGTGCTTCCTCAAGCGAGGCGTCGAAGTCCTCGTATGCCCCTGGGACCACGATATTGTGGCACAAGCGGGTGACGAGTATGACGGTTTGTTCATCTCCAACGGTCCGGGTGACCCTTCTGTCTTGGATGTCACCGTGAAGAATATCGCAACGGCCATGGCCAAGAACCGTACCCCAGTATTTGGTATTTGCTTGGGCCACCAGCTGCTGGCCAGAACCGCCGGAGCTGGCACAACCAAGCTCAAGTTCGGTAACAGAGGTCACAACATTCCTTGCACAAGTCTGATCACTGGAAAGTGCCACATTACTTCTCAGAACCACGGTTTCGCCGTCGACAGCAAGACTCTTCCCTCCGACTGGCAGGAGCTCTTCGTGAATGCGAACGACGGCACCAATGAGGGTATAGTGCATGTCAACAAGCCCTACTTCAGTGTTCAGTTCCATCCTGAGAGCACTCCCGGCCCTCGAGACACCGAATTCTTGTTTGATGTCTTCATTCAGACCATTGTCAAGTGCGCATCGGACAGCACCCTTCTTTCAAAGCCTGTCAGCTTCCCTGGTGGCACAGCGGCTGAAAATGAGGCACTGCACCCTCGCGTCAAACCGAAGAAGGTTCTCGTACTCGGCAGTGGTGGTCTCAGTATCGGTCAGGCCGGTGAATTCGACTACTCTGGTAGCCAGGCCATCAAAGCCCTCAAGGAGGAAGGCATCTACACCGTCCTCATCAACCCCAACATTGCCACTATCCAGACGTCCAAGGGTCTGGCGGATAAGGTCTACTTTCTGCCAGTGAACGCCGAGTTTGTCCGAAAGGTCATCCAGTACGAGCGGCCCGATGCCATTTACGTGACGTTCGGTGGTCAGACCGCTCTGCAAGTTGGTATCCAGCTCAAGGATGAATTTGAGGAACTTGGAGTCAAGGTGCTAGGTACACCCATCGACACCATCATCACCACCGAGGACCGTGAGCTTTTCGCTCGCAGTATGGAGTCCATCGGCGAGAAGTGCGCCAAGTCTGCTTCGGCCAGCAGCGTCGAAGAGGCAATGAATGCTGTCAAGGACATTGGCTTCCCCGTGATCGTGAGAGCCGCCTATGCTCTCGGTGGACTGGGCAGTGGCTTCGCGAACAATGAAGCCGAGCTTCTTGATCTTTGCAACAAGGCTCTGGCTGCTAGTCCCCAAGTCCTCATCGAACGCAGTATGAAGGGTTGGAAAGAAATCGAGTACGAAGTTGTCCGAGATGCCCAGGACAACTGTATCACTGTCTGTAATATGGAGAACTTCGACCCGCTTGGTATTCACACCGGTGATTCGATCGTGGTTGCTCCTTCTCAGACGTTGTCTGACGAGGATTACAACATGCTTCGAACCACGGCGGTCAACGTCATCCGTCATCTTGGAGTGGTCGGAGAGTGCAATATTCAGTATGCGCTCAACCCCTTTTCCAAGGAGTACTGCATCATCGAAGTCAACGCGAGATTGTCGAGATCTTCGGCACTCGCCTCCAAGGCAACTGGCTACCCTCTGGCTTTCATCGCTGCTAAGTTGGGTTTGAACATTCCGCTCAAGGACATCACGAACACTGTCACCCGGTCCACCTGCGCATGCTTCGAGCCGTCGCTGGATTACGTCGTTGTCAAGATGCCTCGTTGGGACCTCAAGAAGTTCACTCGGGTGTCGACACAACTGGGCTCTTCCATGAAGAGTGTTGGTGAAGTCATGAGCATTGGCAGAAGCTTCGAAGAGGCCATTCAGAAAGCGATCCGCGCGATCGACTTCCAAAACTTGGGTTTTAACGACACCTCGAACGCTCTCATGTCGATCGATGACGAGCTGCAGACGCCGTCGGATCAACGTCTCTTCGCCATTGCCAACGCTATGCACGCCGGCTACACCGTCGATAAGATCTGGGAGCTGACCAAGATCGACAAGTGGTTCCTTCACAAGCTGAAGGGCTTGAGCAACTTTGGCAAAGCCATGACGCAATATCATACCGGCGACATCGCACAGAATCCCAACATCTTGCTGCAGGCTAAGAGACTTGGATTCTCGGACCGACAGCTGGCCAAGTTCTGGAACTCAAACGAGTTGGCTGTGCGCCGCTTGAGAGACGAAGCCGGCATCATGCCCTATGTCAAGCAGATCGACACAGTGGCTGCCGAGTTCCCTGCTATGACAAACTACCTCTACCTGACCTACAACGCCACCCAACACGATGTCAACTTTGATGAGCACGGTGTCATGGTCCTGGGCTCGGGTGTCTACAGAATTGGCTCCTCGGTCGAGTTTGACTGGTGTTCTGTCCGGGCTATCCGCACACTCCGAGATGCTGGCTTCAAGACCATCATGGTGAACTACAATCCGGAAACGGTAAGCACCGATTATGATGAAGCCGACAAGCTGTACTTTGAGAATATCAACGTGGAGACGGTGCTCGATATCTACCAGCTGGAGGCCGCAAGAGGTGTGCTCGGTGCTATGGGTGGTCAGACTCCCAATAACATCGCTCTGCAACTTCACCGAGCCGGGGTCAAGATGTTGGGAACGTCACCTGAAATGATCGACTCGGCAGAGAACCGATACAAGTTCTCCCGTATGCTCGACCGTATTGGCGTTGACCAGCCTACCTGGAAGGAGTTGACGAGCTTCGACAAGGCCAAGGACTTCTGCAACAGTGTGTCTTACCCAGTGCTGGTTAGGCCTTCCTACGTGCTTTCCGGTGCCGCTATGAACACGGTTTACTCCGAGGCAGACCTGGAGAACTACCTCAAGCAGGCTGCAGATGTGTCACCGGAACACCCAGTCGTCATCACAAAGTACATCGAGAATGCCAAGGAGATCGAGATGGACGCTGTCGCCCATGACGGAGAGCTCGTTGGCCACTTTATCTCTGAGCATGTCGAGAATGCTGGTGTGCACTCAGGTGATGCAACTCTGATCCTCCCGCCTCAAGATCTTGAGCCCACCACTATTGAACGCATTGAGGAGGCGACTCGCAAGATTGCAGTTGCATTGAACGTTACTGGGCCGATGAACATCCAGTTTATCGCAAAGGACAACGACATCAAGGTCATTGAGTGCAATGTTCGAGCATCTCGTTCATTCCCCTTTGTCTCGAAGGTCATGGGGATCGATCTCATCGAGATGGCCACCAAGGCCATTATGGAGGTGCCTTTCGAGCCATACCCAGCGGTTGAGAGACCTGCTGGTGCTGTGGGTGTCAAGGTTCCGCAATTCAGCTTCTCCCGTCTCTCAGGCGCTGACCCTGTCTTGGGAGTAGAGATGGCTTCCACTGGTGAGGTGGCTTGTTTTGGTGTTGACAAGTATGAGGCATACTTGAAGGGCTTGATGTCCACTGGCTTCAAGATTCCCAAGAACAACATTCTGCTCTCCCTGGGATCCTACAAGGACAAGATGGAAATGCTTCCATCCATCAAGAAGCTGCAGGAGTTGGGATACAAGCTTTTCGCCACCGCAGGTACCGCCGACTTCTTGCAGAGTCACGACATACCCGTCCAGTTCCTGGAGGCTCTGCAGGAGGACGACCAGAAGTCCGAGTTCTCGCTCACGCAGCACTTGGCAAACAACATGATCGACCTGTACATCAACCTGCCTTCGAACAACAAGTACCGTCGCCCAGCCAACTATATGAGCAAGGGCTACAGGACACGAAGAATGGCCGTCGATTATCAAATTCCCTTGGTCACGAACGTCAAGAACGCAAAGATTCTCGTCGAGGCCATTGCCAAGCACATGGCTCTCGACGTGAGCATTGTGGACTACCAGACCAGCCATCGCACTGTCTTGCTGCCTGGTCTTATCAACATCGCAGCTTTTGTACCTGGCATTGTGTCGGAGAAGAGCCGTGACCTGGAGAATGTGACCAAGGCCTCCCTCGCAGCAGGTTTCACCATGATTCGTACCATGGCCGTTGGTCGCGAGGGTGCAATCACAGATGCGCGCTCGCTCGCCGCCGCTCAGCAGAATGGCAAGTCTGGCATCTACTGTGACTTCAACGTGTCAGTCGCTGCCACCTCTTCGAACGCCAACCAGATCAGTCACGTCGCTGGAGAGGTCGGAGCTCTGTTCATCCCCTTCAACCACCTGTCCGACAATATTAGCAAGGTCGCCGCTGTCACTGCTCACTTCGATGCTTGGCCTGCCCACAAGCCAATCTTGACAGATGCCAAGCTCACCGACCTGGCGTCAATTCTTCTTTTGGCCAGCCTTCACAACAGGAAGATCCACGTCACATCTGTCACGACAAAGGATGACATTAAGCTTATCGGCCTTAGCAAGCAGAAGGGGCTCAAGGTTACATGCGACGTGTCCATTTACTCGCTGTACCTATCACAGAAGGACTATCCCCAGTGCGAGTTCCTGCCGACTGTCGAGGATCAACTCGCTCTATGGGAGCACTTGAGCGACATCGATGTCTTCTCCATCGGCAGTCTGCCTTACCAGTTGGCTACCGCTACTGGCGCCAAGGCCGACGCCACAGTTGGAATTGCAGATGCTCTTCCACTCCTTCTCACCTCTGTCAGCGAGGGCAAGCTCACCATCGACGACATCAAGAAGCGTCTGCACGACAACCCTGTGGAGATCTTTGAGCTGCACGATCAGACCGGTACTTTCGTGGAGGTCGAGATCGAGCGTCCTTCCACCGTCCCCGCCTCTGCTGGCTGGTCTCCATTCGCTGAGCGTGTCATGAGGGGAGCCGTTCAGCGCATCACTTTCCAGAGCAGGCTTGTCTGCCTCGATGGACAAATTCTCGAAGGCTCTGCCATCGGCAAGGACATGTCAAGACACGGCGCTCTTCCGCCACCTATGTCGCCGTTGATGAAGCCACTTGCGCAAGCTGCAGAGACTCCACGCGGGACAGATCGACGCTCCTCAGTGATCGGTTCGGCGCGGCCTCTTGTGAAGCCTCGCGGCTTGGACAGCGCTCTTGGTCATTCTTTCAAGAACCCTGTCTTCGAGGACTTCGGCCCCTCACTGCCACTGCAGCCCGCACATGAGAGTCCTCTGCAGGCGCTGCTTACCCAGCCGCACTCGTTCAAGATGTCTCATGTCCTCTCGGTCACCCAGTACACTCGGGCTGACCTCCATCTCCTGTTCACCGTTGCACAGGAAATGCGAACTGGGGTTCAGCGTGAAGGCGTATTAAACCTGCTCAAGGGCCGTCTGCTCTGCACGCTGTTCTATGAGCCCTCGACCCGGACATCAGCCTCATTCGACGCCGCAATGCAGCGCCTCGGTGGACGAACTATCGCCATTTCCACGTCGACTTCCTCGGTCAAGAAGGGCGAGACACTACAGGACACACTGCGGACTCTAGCTTGCTACGGAGACGCTGTTGTCCTACGGCACCCTGAGGAAAACTCGGTCAAGGTCGCAAGGAAGTTCTCGCCTGTGCCAGTCATCAACGGTGGTAACGGGTCCAAGGAGCATCCCACTCAGGCCTTCCTGGATCTCTTCACCATTCGTGAGGAGCTGGGCACCGTACAGGGTCTGACCATCACCTTTGTTGGTGACCTGCTCTACGGCCGCCCGGTGCACTCGCTGGTCTACCTGCTCCAACACTACCAGGTCAAGGTGCAGCTCGTGTCCCCCAAGAGCCTGTCGCTGCCGCCGCAGGTGCACGAACAGCTTGTCAAGTCCGGCCAGCTGCTCACCGTGTCGGAGACGCTGACGCCCGAGATCCTGGCCCGCAGCGACGTCCTATACTGCACGCGCGTGCAGCAGGAGCGCTTCCCCAGCAGTGAGGAGTACGAGAAGGTCCGTGGCGCGTACCGCATCGACAACGCCACGCTGCAGCACGCCAAGAGCAGCATGATCGTTATGCACCCGCTCCCCAGGAACGAGGAGATTGCGGAGGAGGTGGACTTTGACCCTAGGGCGGCATACTTCAGACAGGTGAGTGGCCCAATCAATGTTGGGTACGATGTTTTGCTGACATTTTGACACAGATGAAGTATGGTCTTTACACCCGCATGGCTCTCTTGGCTCTCGTTATGTCCAACTGAGAATCTTTGCTGTTGTGTATCTAGACTTTACTGGCGCATGAGTGCACGGAGATATTGATTGGGGAAATTTTCGGTCCCAGAGGAAAGAGGACGCAAAAAAAGTATTTGAGGGTTCGCTATGGTTTCAATTTTTTCCTTTTGGTCCTTCTTTCTAGAAAGTAGACTCGTAAAAGGTCACAGACCACGTATATCAAGGCATCAGTAGACGTAAATGAGCTCGCGCTCGACTCGGTTAGGTTTTATGAGTGAATGATTTGGGAGTACGCTGGGCGTATACGTTATTTATGTATTATGTATTATGTATTATGTATGTATGTTATGTACGTTAGGTGTTTAGGTGTGTTTTGCGTTTGGGTGTATTCTTTGCGTTTGGTGGCGTTTTGTGTATATAGCTTGTCTAGGATTTAAATGATACCCTTTATTGTGCCTCGTTTATTTTCCTTCGTTCGTATCTTCGAGTTGGACTGTTGAATCATTTGAAATTCTCAAGACAGACCGAGAGAGGTGAAGGTAAAGTGTGTGGTGAGAGACCGAAGTGCGTGGGCGTGGCGTAACCGCACGGCCCCCTGAGGGCCTACTCGCACCTGCATGATCTTCTCACGAGGGAACGAGCTTCTAATGGAAAGACCGGTTGTACATCGTAAAAGTGTTTGAACGTCACTTTTGGTTGTATTGAGTTCAGTCTCGCAAAAATTAATTATGGACGTATCTATCCGCACACATCCCCTTCTCACTTCCCGCGCACTCACCATCTTGACGGCTGGATGGCACTCCGTGTCACGATATATTCTGGTTGCGGAACGACGTCTGCCAGATTTCTTGAGTAGGGCCTCGCAACTTGGAGGAATGATCGGCACTGCCACCGAGCGGCCGCAGATCTAGCCAGTACCTCAGGCTCTTATACAGCACACCACAGGGCATTACCCTTCGTGAAGGATCTGATCTTCGACCCTCATGATGAGCTCATGAACTGATGTAGTAATGGTGTATCAAAGCGTGCTGTTATTATACGATATATTAATATGACCCAGGCAGCCCAAAAGCAGGACTGTGCCAACCCGCTTTCGATGCTGTGCACAACGCTGTTTCTCCATCTGTTGATCGACCCTGGTCACAGCGAAAAAGTGTCACCAGGCTCGGCGGCGCCGGCGTGAACAGTTTTCAAGACCTGGATAGAGAAGCCCTCTGACATGAATTCCGGCTCAACAATTGCGCTCCCAGAGGATTGGCTACTTTCCTCTGCCCAACCATGCCAACCCGAAGTTGCAGCCTGGCACCAGAAAATGCAGGCACGCCGGTGCTGTCAACGGAGTGCTTGTACTCCACTGAACCAAGATCCAATTATTAATTTCCACGGTGGCCGAACCTCGCATGCACCGACTCAACCTGTATCGACCAGTCGAGTACCCGTGGTCTCAAGCCTCCATCTCTCATTTCAAGCGCGATGGCCGAGATAACATACTGTACTCCCCAGCCCAAAAATTTATTCCCCCCGTTTTACCCTGGCGAGGACCTCAAGCCGGCGGGAGACAATCTGTACATTGGGCTCCGGACCAACGCATCGAAAAGGACCCAAGTTTCTTCAATGTCTGTTCAAAGTCCTTGCGTGACGGCGTCGGACATTGTCGACAAGATCTTGTCCTGTCCTAACGGCTTGGCTTCGGGACGGGACGGACCAGCCCAAGCAATCTCTCGAGCCGACATACAGAGTCCACAAAATATTATCCACCGATGGAAGAGGCACCTCAACAACTCAATTCTGCGGTTGCCTAGGAGCTGATGCGTCCGTCCTTTTTAACAATTTTGACGAGCACACGTAAGCGGCCTCCAGGTGTGGAGGTTGCTGTAGTTTCTTTCGGACAGCATGATGAAGTTTCCCTGGCGAAGAGGACGGTGTTTGAAACCAGCCTGGTATTGTGACATTGAGAAAGGCTGGCCTGGGCAGCAGCTTCAAAATGCATCGTGCTTCATCTTTGGCCGGCCCCGTGGGTTCGCATTAGCGATGCGTCCGTGGATTAGCAAGTCGGAGTGCGTTCTATATTACTCAAGTGTTGACGTGTGCAGAGTGCAGGCCTCAGCGCTCTGGGTACTGTCGGTCCTGGTACTGGTAATCCTCGTAATGGATACCTTGGCCTTCGTAAGGATACTCCTGCTCCTCGATATCCTGGCCGTTCCAACCGCGGTAACCGTTTTCTCCCCCACCGTACGCATAGCCTCGATCCCCGCCGCCGTAATAACGCCCGTCCCAGGATGGCTGCGGCCGCAGAGACATACGCGGCACTGGGGCCCGGGCGTATATCCTCCCCGGGTCGGATCGCATCGAGTACGCCCTGTTCTCCCCGTACGTAAACGAGTTGGGCGGGTAGTAGCTTGGCCGCCGGCTGGTGCGCGTTATGTTGCTCCTCATGCTGTTCGCGCGCGAGCCCCCGTCGTACACAGACTCAGGCCTGGCCTCGGGCATGTCGAAGGGCCCGCCGGCCGGGACGTAGTACTCGGGCGCTTTGACGGGCTGCCGCGGCGGGACGCGGTCGTAGTAGCCAGGCCCGTACCCAGAATCGCTGCTCGCTGCCCCGCCGGCGTAGGCGTCCTGGTAGCCGCCGTAGTCGTCCCCGTACTCGTCGTAACTCTGGCCCCGCGACGCCTGTGAGACAACCGTGGACCGCTTGGCGGACGACATGGTGGGCAGCCTGTCGGCCCCGCCGCCGCCGCCGCCGCCGACATCCTGCTGCTGCCACAGATCGTCGCCGGTCGGGGGCTGCACGGCGCGCTCGACGGGGCGGAAGGTGCCGGTGCGCATTTCAGCGTTGATCTTCTTCTCCAGCTCCTTGACCTCGCCGTCGCTCATCTGCTTCCAGCGTCCGCCGAAGAGCCGCCTCATTGTGCGTCGAAACCTGCGCAGGACCATCCTTTTCACCGTGTCGTCATGTCTTGTCGATGGTGTGATGATGTCGATCCCAGCAACACCCGAAGAGCTGCGGCGGCGCTGCTGGGGCTGGGATTGCATCACCGGGTGAGTCGGGGAGCGGGATGAGTAAAGTATTAAGTGAGTGAGTGAGTGAGTGCGAGGTGTGATGGTGAGTCGGCTCAGCTGGGTGAGTTTGACTTTCGGACCAGCCAAGGGGGCTGTGTGGAAGCACCAATCAAGGGGGTGCTTGGTTGGTGAAGAGTGGGAAAGCCGTATGTATAATGGCGGTTGTGAGACGTTGTTAAGGACCAGGTGGTCCCAGACGAGTGGAGGCTCAGAGGGGCCACGCTTGTTGAGCAGCCAAGGCCCATGTGCCTGCTGTGATTTGGACAAGGTTTGGCCAGCAGGTCGGTCAGTCAGTTACTCATTGCACGACTTGAAGATGCCGCGTCACGTCGGCCGCAAGCTTTGGGGCGTTATGTTGGTGGTGGTGTGGAGGTTGTGTGCAGGTATCTTGATGGTGCTTTGCAGCCTGGACTTGTGATAAGATTGACTCGACCGTGCTAAGCGAGATATAAATCAACAAAAAATGACAAGCATGCTCCCGAGAGGGTCCAGATTGAATGGCAGCGTTCCTTGACTTGTCGTTGCTGTTCAACAGCATTCCTAAAGTGAGAGAGGTAGAGCAACTACCACGGTGGTTGTCTGGGAGTTTCAAAAAAGGGAGCTAAAAGCGTTTCAGCGACCATGACCGCAGCCGCAAGGACATCGCTGTCTGTGTCGAGCTAACGAGCAGCGGTTCGTTCGGACGATGAGCACGTACGGTGTAGCTGATAACCACAACAATGGATTGTTGTTAAGGGGGGTACTTGCTGATCGCAATGACTGGCAACATATATCCCACCGAAACCTGGTGGTGGCTGGTTGTAGGCATATGTCCTTGACAGCACATCCAGCAGATGATTGGGCTCAGTGCCCTGATCTTGGCCTTGCTCGTCTCCATCTCCCATCTCCATCTCCATCTTACTCCTTGGTCCAGCGCCCCTCTCCAGTCCTGCCTCATAACAGGATTCTGGACGCTCATGCATCCATCAATGTCGTGGTCTCGCTCCCTGTTATGCGGGAACGCACAAGCTCTCCTCGTGTCACCGCCACACCAACCCAGCCAGCTCCTCTCCTATTGCGTTCTAGGCCCAGAGTCCGCGCCCTGAGATCGGATGGACGCCCGACCATCTGTAGGCTAACGTGCCTGCGGTTACGCGGTCTCATGCTCTCCGCTCTGGGCGTCAGAGCTAGGGCTGCCGATTGGGTCGGTGGTGGTAAGCATACCTGCGAGTCCGCAAACGGACATTTAGAGCTGTTTGCAAACGAGCTCGACAATACGCAGCCGCAGGGTAGGTAGCATTGGACAGCTGCATTAGTCTCTGGTCTAGGTGAGTACCCGGCTCCCCAGGGCTCCCCAGGGCTCCCCAGGGCTCCCCAGGGCTGCTCAGGGTTGCTCAGGGTTTGTCTGGACCCCCACCCCCTCCCCTCGTCCCTCAGCCACCCCAAGGCTCAAAGATTGTCATGTCACATGGATCACCAGAGTTTTCAGGCGCGAGCATCATGACATGCTTTACATTCCGTTTGAAGTTTCATGCACTGATTCTCGAAACGAAAGTGGAAACTCACGGCTGATGTGGTGTGGCTGACAGGACCCAAATTCTCGGGTGCGCTGAGCGGGCGTGGGGTCCATGCCGCCGCCCCTGGCCCTATTTGGTCGACGTCATGAGATGCTGTTGACTCTGTCCCTCGACTATCTCCTGATTGGATGACAATTCGCGATTGTTTCCAGACGAGACAGGCCAATTGCTAGACACTCCGACCGAGCTGTCAGATCGTATAGATACTCGTAGAATCCAGGTATCAGGAGACTATCGCGAAGGTGGAATCGTATCTGCGGCATATATCACGAAGAGCCCCGTCAAACGCCCGCCTCTGGTCTGCCTCAACCTCTTCCATGCGGTTCACTGCCCCAAGTTCCTATCTATTCCGAGGTTTCGCACCTACAGTGAACAGGATGGCGCTTCACCAAGCAAAGTCAGACAAGCTGATCTGTAAGTCACTCTGCCATCACATCACACCGCCAGACTCATCGCACGACGAGACGCATGAGTCACCCCCCTCTGCTCCACGTCTATGGGCTCCTTCAGTCAAGCACACAGGATTCCCACTGACGCACAAACCAGTCGCGCCCGCCGGTGGCGCCCAAAACGCCCGCGCAGACCAGTTCACCCAGCACGAGTCCAAGGGCGGCCTGCACCGGCGCGATCTGGACCCGCACAGCCCTATCACACAGTTCCACTCGTGGTTCTCAGCAGCGCAGACCTACGGCGGGGCCAAGGAGTCAGGAGAATCTGGCCAGCAGCAGCAGAAGATCGCGCACCCAGAGACGTGCACCTTGTCCACGGCGTCGCTGCCGTCGGGCCGCGTGTCGGCGCGCGTCGTGTACATGAAGGAGCTGGACCACCGCGGGTTCGTGATCTACTCCAACTTCGGCACGAGCCGCAAGGCGTCCGACCTCGCGACCAACAGCTGGGCGAGCCTGGTGTTCTGGTGGGAGGCGATGGAGCGGCAGGTGCGCGTCGAGGGCCGCGCGGAGCGCCTGACCCGCGAGGAGAGCCAGCGCTACTACGACACGCGCGTGCGCGGCAGCCGCATCGGGGCGTGGTCGAGCCGGCAGAGCGCGGTGCTGAGGCCCGAGGGGGGCGGCGGCGAGGACGACGGGCGCGGGCAGCTGCAGCGGTGGGTCGAGGAGACGGAGGAGAGGTTTAAGGGCACCGAGGACATCCCCGTGCCTGACTTCTGGGGCGGGCTGAGGATCGTGCCTGAGAGAGTCGAGTTCTGGCAGGGCAGGGAGAACAGGCTGCACGATCGGTTCGTGTATGATAAGGTGGAGGGGCAGGAAGGCAAGTGGACGCTGGACCGGCTGAGCCCGTGAGTGGGTGTGTACGATATGCTTGTCGAGAGCAAACAGCGAGATACGTCTTTAGCAATGCCACCCGGGTTGCTCACAAATCCTCACTTAGTTGGACCAAGGGAATCGACGTTGACTGCAGTGGGCTATTCTACTGACTCTCTCAAATGTTCCACACGCATCTTTTTGTTATCAGATATTAACCAAGAAACAGACGGTCTCATAATGAAAGTCCAGGTCTATCGAGCATGATATGCTGTATTCCATACACGCGCTGACCAGTATTCTCGACAAACGCCTAACGCGGGTCCGCCAGCCCGTAAACACCGACAAATAACCTGGGTCTTCGCTCTACCACTCTACAAGAAGTAATCAGCCACCGGTTTTTTGGCCGGCATGCCTCTTGAATCCTGCGGTGCTGCTTGAAACACTCTGTACCGCCTCGCCGGCCCGACGCTCGGCGGTGCTATCTCACCCTCCATCAACGGCGCCCTGCCCGCCGCCCCGCCGTCGCTCCTGTTCACCTCGCCGTTGCTCCGTGAGAATATGCCGAGCCCGGACTCGTCCTCTGAGAGCTCCAGCAGCGCCGCGACGTTGCCGCAGCGGTAGCAGTAGTTGGGGGCTGACCAGACCGTCACAATGCTAGTGTCGAACATCTCCTTGAACCCTTCCATGACCAATTGATGCGCACGCGCGATCAGCGACAGGTTGTTCTTGTGGTTGAACTGCCTGACAATATCCGCGCCGAACAGGAACCCTGCGCCACGCGGCGACAGGCCCCAGCCGTCGATGTCGTCCGGGTCGGACCACAGCAGATCGCACATGGCGCCTTCGTGGGGGACCTCCTGTTTCCGATCGAGCAAGCGGATCTTGTCCACAGTATCTATCAACGGACTGAGGCCCCCGTGAACACACAACACTGCGCCGGCCGGGTTGCCGATCGACCCACCGCTCGAGCCCGATGCGCCGGACCCTGGAGGGCCTGTCTTGTCTCCAGTGCCTGCTGGTGCGCCGTTGGGACTTTTGTTCTGCTCCTCGCCCTCTATGTTCCGACGTGGGAACCTGCTGATGACGTCTCGGTCTGCGTTGCAGACCTCAATCTCGGTGTTTTGCTCCAAGTACTCCTGTGCCGAAGGGCTCTCGCTGGCGGGGTATAGGGTATTCGAGGCACCAAGAACGATGGCGCCCAGGGCCAGGTAATCGAAAACGTCGCAGCAATATCTCCATACGTTGGCGCTGCCGTATTTGCGCAAGCATTCATCGTAGAATCCATAGACTGTGGTGATCTGTCGGGACTCGTGGTTGCCCCTGATGAGAGTCATGCGATCGGGGTAACGGACCTTGAGGCAGAGGAGGAGAAGGAAGGATTCGAGGGAGTAGAAGCCGCGGTCGACAAAATCGCCTGGAGAGACAGTATGTAAGCTCGCAGGTCCAGAGGTAAGCATAGGGCAGAAGAAGGCATCGTCATACCCATAAAAAGGTAGTTGGTGTCCGGCACGTCGCCACCGACTCGAAAGAGTTCCATTAGATCGTGGAACTGGCCGTGTATATCGCCACATATCTATTGTATGTCATTAGGTTCTAGCCCGACGAGATAGCAGGACTGAGATCGCCATACTGTGACCGGTGCGCAGACTGTGACGACATTGCCCTCTTCAATCAACAGCTCGCGTGCCTTGTGACATATCTCGCGAACTTGGGCTTCTGGTATGGGTCGACATGCTCGAAGTTGTGCGATAGCTCTGTAACATTTTATCAGCTTTGCTCGTATCGACTTGGGCTAGTGCCAGGGGTGTGCTGACTTGTCCAGGTCACTCATCTTGTCGGCGGCTGCAGCTGCGCAGCCTCAGCAAAAGGCTGGAATGCAGCTTCAAAGGGTCAATGGTATGTTCTCATAGCAGATGTACAGGTCTAAAACGAAGCCACAAAACGGATAATATTCTGTTGATCGAGTCGATATCAGATGTTAATAGTGGAGAGGGTTGTTATCGAAGATGGAATTTCTGGTGGGATTGCGATTGAAGCTGTCGCGATTTCGGCGGCGAGTCGCTACCCCAGACTTCCAAGGTTTCCTTCTGGAGCAGATCAGCACTCGCTTGCAGGGATTATGAGCCTCATGCAGGCGCTAAGAATGCCCGCCGCCAGCCCCCAGTGAGTGAATTGCAGAGGTTTGCCTGCCGGAAGGAGTCCAATGAGATGGCAGCCATTTGAGCTTCCCTCGCGATTTTCGATGATCACGCCAACCCGCGCCCAGGGCTGCTGTCACTGCTTCACAGTCCTTTGACTTAAGTTCACATGCCATGACAACGACGTCGATGGCTTTATGTGAGTGCAATTGGTAATTCTTCACAATTTTCTCCAAGCTAACCGACTCGCAGAGTACCCCGATCTCCACCCTCGCCATCATGCCACCACATCTTCACCCGAGGTCCCGAATGACCTCGTCCTTGTTCGCAACCACGATGCTTGCCAGTTTCTTCGTGGTCGCTCTCCCCCACGCCCTCCCTTGTCCCGCTCCAAGGATCACATACGCCGATGGGGAAATAATAGAGGACGAGAATGGTAGAAGGAGGCGGAGGAGGAGGGTTCAACAACAAAGCCAGGAGGTCCAAGGCGGAGTTGTGCAGTTCAACAACATAACCCAGCAAGACTTGGTGGACCACGAAGGAACCAGAAGCAAACGCGAATGCCCAGTGCCCAAGCCTGGCGGAAAAGTTGGCGAACTCTTGGGTTTCAAGCAATCCAACAAATCTCTCAACGCCGACAACAGCACCGAGAACCGCACATTATAACAGACAGAGGTCAAACAATTGTACATTAGAGGTCGACAGATCCTCCTCGAGCCAAAGGCAACATCAATATGTCTTGGCCAAGCGATCTGTGAGGATTCTTGGAGATTCCCGCACCATCTTCACTCACCGAACCTGACGCGTCGTCGAACGCCCGAAACATCGAACAACTCGAATGGGGATAATATCGGTTGATCGAATACCTGCTAAATTCGCTACCACGAAATGGATATTGGATCTAGATGCAGAGACATTAGGCGCGACAAAACAAAGAGCCGGACGAGCAGCCAACGGAGCAATCCGGAGTCGCAATAGCACGATATAGAAACTTCAATATAAAAACCAGTCAAACAGCAGCCGTGTCCGTGATGCGATCGCAAAAACATCGAGCGAATCAAGAGACACTTCGTTGCCGGCAGCTTGCTGCATTGAATGAGGGTCTCTCAGCCTGTGTGCACTGCAAGCAAACAGAGATCTTAGAAAGCGCCAAACGCTGGGCCCGGCAACGGTAACCCTCCATGTTGCTTTCAAACTTGATCATGCGATTTATTGTCTGTGTTTTATTTGTCAAAGAAGGTGTTTCCAAGATTCTGACCCATCGGTGCGAGGCCTTCCCAGCCCGTCAATGAGGAGTTTGACTCAGGTTTGGGCCAAGATTCCCCTTGACAGTCGCCCAGGTGATCAACACATCACCGTGCAGCAACTTGATTTCCGCTTCCTGGCGGCTACAGAGCCGCCTGGGTGAGCAGCGCCCCGAAATGAGACGGGTCTTCTTGGCCGAGGCTCCGTGTCGATCTTTGGGTCTGGGGTTGCTGGATGTCGCGGAACGCGGATCCTCACCCAGAAATCCAACCCGCTTTCTTCAGACAGTAGCGAGTTCAGATGTCAGTGCATCACCGCGGGGAACCCGCACCAAGTGGGTGCAATCTCTCGATGTCAGATTGCCTTTTGTTTCTTCTGTTGTCAGACTTCAGATGAGTTAATGTTTAGTTGAATTATCGATCACCAGCAGCTTCAATGTGGCTGCAGAGCTGGCTCTTGCCACGAGTCCCAGCTGGAGGGCGGACACGTGACGAATTCTCAACACCAGGCTCATGCAGACGTCAGTCCGATAAATCTCCCTTTTGGTCTGGTTAAAGACCGATGACATCTGTCATCTCATGTTCATACCCAGTGACAGGCAGGATTTATCGACCGGCCGAGTGCATTTGGGCCTTAGTCAAAGGCGAAGGGGCCGGGAGTGTACTTGCCGGACTTGCTTATATGCTCTAGTATACTCTTGGCTCAACACCACGAACGGCCGCCGGAACGCGATGCTGGAAGGCTTTGGCGGGTTTCATCGACAAAGTCCCCGCGATCCGACATGATCGTCAATATTCATGGAGGGTGTGCTCACAAGGCTGGGCAACGTACACATCACCAGCTGTGATATATAAGTGTCGCCTGGGCACTCACCAGTCCCCTTCACCCCCTGAACAGGTGATGCCATCTCTAAACTTTTCGTAATATATTCAACCAGTCATTCATTTCAGAGGTATGCTATTGGTTTAATGTACTACGGCTTGCAGACGGTGTGGGCTGACCTTTAAATCTAGCTGTGCTCTCAATATCCAGTCGTTATAAATCACTATCACCTAATCAGGTCCATTCATAATGAAGTCTTTCACGATCCTTCTCCTAGCCAGCCTCGCTGCGGCCACCAAGAGCAACGGTATCAGAGCGGCATCAGGCAACTCGACCGACGTCAACCAAGGCTCTGGTGCCAACGCAGAAGCAGGCAATAACAACCAAGGCAACAGCTCATCCAACGCATCGGACGTGATCCAGGTGCAAAATGGCCAGCAATGCATCAACGTCGATGCCCTAAACGACCCAAAGTGCGTATCGACCATCCAGTGACCGTCTGTCTACCCACGGTGCACTAACATGCTCTCCCATCACAGCTTCGACCAGGCGTCGCTTGACCTTGGCAACATGAACCTGGGCGGCCTGAACCTCGGCAGCGTCAACCTGGCCGACCCTGTCTCGCTCGCCTTCGGCATCGACTCGCTGCTGAACGGCTTCTGCCTGGGGCAGCTCGTCGACCTGAACACCCTCCTCGCCCTGGGAGTCAACAACCAGGCGCAGATGTTCCTCGAGCTCGCGCAGCTGGCCCAGCTGCAGTCGCTTGGCTTCTTGGATACCTTCGGTGTGCAGAATCTCATCGAGTCCAACCTTCTCTTTGGCGGAGGTGGCTTTAACCTCCTAAACAGCGGTATGTCTATTTACTACGATGTGTAAGGTCGAGGACTTCAAACTGAACTTGGAACAGGTATCATCAAGCGGAAGGCTGGTGCTAAGCATGCCACCTTGAAAATGCGCCGGGAGGAGATGGCTAAGAGGCAATGCAACTTGGGACAAGGGGCCAACGCCCAGAATGCCCAGAACTTGCAGAATGCACAGAACTTGCCGCCTTGCCAGGTGGAGAACAACGCGGACGCGAACAACGGTGTCGAGAATGTGAACGAGAACGCTGGCGAGAACGTGAACGAGAATGCTGGCGAGAACGTCGACCAGAACGCGGAGGCGAATGCTGGGGAGAATGTCGACCAAAATGCGGAGGCGAATGCTGGGGAGAATGTCGACCAGAACGCGGAGGAGTGTCAGGCCTAAATTGCCGCGCTGGACTCGCGGTACTAGGAATGGCGTTAGGTAGTCACAATCACACTTTTTTTGATACCCATAGGCTCGCCTGAGCATGACCTGGTACACTGCTGATGTGTATTGATATGGGCCTTGCGATTCTGTTTTAGTCAAGTGGACTCCAGCTCTGTTGCTTGTACGCGTCTATACTGGAAAAGATAGATTTCTAGTATAATTCAAATATTTTACTACTTCTTAAGAAGAGCGTGCAATAGTGCTGGACTGCGAGTCTTGCAAAAATTGTGAGCGAGACTCTTGAAACACATATAAACAGAGCTAACAGCTGCGCATGTATCTGTCTATTTTCTTGGTGGAAGTTGAGACCGTCGAATTCGAAGTCAATTTACCAGAAGTAATGATTCAATCATTTGGTGAATTGCTGCCGGAATTTCTTGAGATGCTGACTTCTCCTTCAATTGGTGCAAACTTTAGCGGTGAGCAACGCTTTGCCCAGGGAAAATATTTCTTAATCCCAAGCTCTAAGGCAACATCTGATGTCGGCTCCCGTCCTGTTCCTTTGCTAGACCTATGACTGCCGATGGCTATATTCGCCATGGAACATTGGGATGAGCCCAAGTCGAGTCGTACCGGACGGCTCGGGCGCAACCGCCTGAACGGCTTCGTCGTCTCATGAAGCTCGGATGAGAGGCGATTCCGGATGGCAACCGTCAAATAATGGCTAGGCTGGGCTGAGGGGCATGGACGGAGATGACACCATTGATACTATGCCATGTTATCCAACTAGTCACCTGCATCAAGTTTTCTGGCTGCGACAGTTTGAGATGGGGATCACGGCCCAAAGGAGCATGGTGCGACCCTCGAGCAAGCGACGTGGTACAGGGGACAGCCCCTGCTGGGCGGGCATAGCTTAATGGGCTCTGGTCCAGTGAGAACGGCCCGTCAGCCCCTGGGGACCACTAAATAGGCAAGGTGCGTCTGTGCCCGCTCCCATGCGGGTCCCCTGTCAAGTGTCGCTGAACTCAATCGGGCTGAATTCAGGCCAGTCCAACCCAGTCCAACCCAACTTCAACCTCACCTCGCTCCACCAGACAAGCTCATGCCCAGGGACTGCCCGACTGTCCATGTCCTTTCATCTGACCTTGTTCTGCTTGGCCTCTTCTGACCGCCATTGGCAGGGCAATGCTAACCAGCGTCCGAGCACCATGACCATGGCCCTATGGGACGTTGGACTGACAGTTGCTCGGCGTCCAATATGAGGGGAGATGACAGGCACTGCCTCACTCAATCACTGGATGACAGGCGACAGGCCATTGATTTGTCCTGTTCTCTGGTAATAGTCAAGCCATCTGGCACTGCCTGTCACACAATCATCGCTGCAGAGTAATCATGTGTCTCTCGTCTCTAGGGAACGTGACGATCTGTCTCGAGGGATCATCATCATCAACCACTTCGCCCTATCCACTCGCCCACATAGCACGGGGTGAGAGGCCCCATGTCGAAGGCTCTGCCGTCTGAACAGAGCCACATGGCATACCGAGTTGGACATGCTTGGGTTACTCGTACGACGGCACGGCGGTCGGATTCTCAATACTCAAACATCAACCCCACCCACCCATGGCGGCGATCAAGTAAACTATTCGGCTGGGTTCCTTGATTCTGCCAAGCTGGAAGCTCGGTAAATGTTTCTGCCAGCCAGCTCCTCCAATGCAGAGACGTATCAACGGCGTCAAAGCTGCACACTAAGCCTTGAACCATTGGCAGCATTCGCGATTAAGGTTATTTTGCCACCCTGGTCTCTGCGTCCTCGTTTTCTGCAGGATCCCTACAGGGTCTTGTTAGTCCTTGGCCCGTCACCTTCCGGCCCACGATAACTTCCGTCCGCGTGTGTCAACTTGGTAATCCTAACCAACAGTGGGGCTCTGGGCGCACCCACCGGCTCCAGGGCAATAAGGTCTTAGGCGAGTATCCAAGCTAGGGACTCTTGCTCTATGGCGCCAAGTCATCCCGTTGCCCTCGTCCCGTCTCTCAGCCCGCGGCTTGGTGCCAGTGCGGCAAGCCTTGCAACATGGCTCTGTTTACCACTTTCACCCCATGATTATGCACCCTTACCTGCCCATATAGTCTTACCCCTGTTGTTTATCTGTCTACCCATGCAGTCTGATACGCAACGGAAGACTCCTTCACTACACATCCGGATATGCTTTGTTGTTTGATCAATCTTGGCAGACGGTTCATCGCTCATCCGTCCCAAGCCCCAGGCTCATCATACTCGTCTCCATCTGTATATAACATCCCGTGCTGTCTTGTTCCTACTGCTGTTCACTCCTTGTCATCATCCACCAAAGCATCATCGGTCTTCAAGCCTATTTCATTCACTCTACAGTCGTTCTCTTCTGAGGTAAGCATATCTTCTCGGCCTCTTCCAGAGGTTGAACATCGATGACTAACTTACTCATCAGCTGTGCTCATTGTTCTCTACTACATTCCTTCGATACCCAATTACCTGAACTTGAGGTGAGCAATCGCATCCTAGACTGCGAGACCTGCCCTGCGAGCATGACTAACAATGTATCCAGCTGTGCTCCTAATCCTTTTTTAATTCAAAATGAAGTTCTCTACCATCTTCGCCGGTGCCCTCGCCGCTGTTGCTTCCGCCGCTCCCACCGAGAAGCGCGGACAGCTGGACATCTCCCAGCTCAACAACCTGCAGAAGTTCAACTCCCTGGACGTCAACTACCTGAACGTCATCAACTCCCTGGACCTGCAGCTCCTCAACACCCTGGCTGTCCAGAACAACTTCAACGCCCTGGCCTTCCAGGGTCTGTTCCAGGGCAACTCCTTCGACGTCAACCAGCTGCTCCAGCTCCAGCAGCTCCAGACCCTTCTCCAGCTTGGTCAGGTTGGTGTCTTCAACACCTTCGACCTCTCCACCCTGAACCTCCAGGCCCTGCAGCTCGGCCTCATCAACAACGTCGGTTCCTTCGATCTGTCCTCGCTCATCGATGCTTCCTTGGTCCCTCAAATCACTGCCATCTCCGAGCAGACCGGTATGTTGAAATCACACTACTGCGAGACGCCAGAGCAAATTCACTAACATATACACGCAGTTGTCGTTGCTAAGGAGTAAACTCGTCACACGAGATAATGCAAGGGAAATAAGACGGATCACGATAAGTGCACGGGTGAAGACGAACTTGGGAAACCAAACAAATCGTCTTAGTCCGTCACATGAAGAAACATACCATTCAGGGTAAATAATAACGATCACTATCGAGACCCACGGTCTTATGATGAGGGGATTGGGTTTCTAGTGGGCGAGAGAGGGTCTATTACTATTCAATATTACTGTTTGCACTGGTTTTACCCTGAGGGTGGTTAGACAACATTTCTGGATATTATAAGAGGAAGGATGACACGCAGATGCTGGCTTCGAGGCTCTCGTCATCTTAGCTCGCTGGCTTTACTCTCGGAAAATATACTGGACATTTTCCAATTTCGATCTTCCATCACTTCGTTCCTGGGATTTTTGCGATGCTCACACTAACAAACAGGTACGGGAAATTCGGAAACGGCGATAAAACCAACCATCAGTTGGGTGGAGGTGATATCTTCGGGCAGGGGCTTAAACCACAACGGAGGCCTCGAACCACATCAACTTGCAAAAAGTGCGGCTCAGGAAGACAAGCCAAGAATCTCCAGCCCTGTCTGTCAACTGACGTCTGTCAAAAGGTGAAAGAAAACGCCCGATGCCAAGACCAAAAAAAGCTTGGTGTCGCATTGGCGTCTGATGGGCATATTCATCGACAGCTGCCATCCGAAACTGAAACGCATGAAAACGCGGGGGCGAGTCGTCGGAACTTTTGACTTCCGCCCCCAATAGGGAACCAGGGGAGTGTGGTTCGTCGGAGGCAAGACCTTGGCTGGGGTTCGTGTGCAAGCTTTTTGGTTCTTATTGAATTATATCTGCCCTACTTATTAGTGGCTCATGTGCATGCGTGTCTCTCTCTTTTCCTGGGGGTACGTAATCCTTGTTCAACATGCCCTTGCCCTTGTCACTACGAAAGGCCGCCCCCCCCCCCCAATTCCATAAGTGATTCCAGCCCTATAGTATCTGATGAAACGATGCTATGATAATCTACCACTGGACATGTTGATTCAATTCCTGGTCAATTTTGCTGTGTCTTCAGGCAAGTGAGGATCTCTCAAGACACGCGCAAACAGTAATTACCTAGGTACTCAAGGGACTTCAGGAGGTAGACAACATGTCAAAGTGTGACCAAACGTTCAAAGATGTACTGCACAGGAAGCAGAGGACTAGGAAATGAAATCTTTTCTTTCTGGGCTAACAAGCAATCTTTCATGCGATCGTTTGCAAGATTCCCACAAAACTCAGCCGGAGTCACCACATGTTCAGACAGAACCTCCAAAAGTCGCAATGTCACGAAGACCTCACAATCGAGACTAAAAGTGAATTGTTCAGCACCAAGGAAGTTTACCAGAAATACCTGTTACGCGTGGAGAAAATTGTCAGCATTTCACTCAAAACAGCACGCGACCGTAGAAAAACATCACTCACTTGGGCCGTTGATGCGCAAACCTCCATACAGTAAAGAACCCCTCTAGGCTACTTCGGTATTGCAATACCCTCAGTTCCCGAAAGTCGCCTGAACACCTCCTGCAATTGACACACGACAAGCTTATGGAAGTCTTCTCTGACTCTCTGGTTTTGATCGGAATCGAAGATTTGTGCGTCGGATGCCCAATTATTATCAAGGCACGTTTTCACAACCTCATAGTACGTCTTTCCCATTGTCCTTCGCAAAATGTGTAGCCGATTCTGAAGTATTTCATCACGTCTTTGTTGCACCGTCATTTTTTCCATCGATGAGCCCTTCACGTTCGCGACTGGGTGCCATTGGCCGATCTCAAAGAGTATGAGACCCAGGCTGTAGTAGTCGTACTCCTGCCGGAAGCCTGATCCCTTGGGAAGGTAGTCCGGATGAGAATATGCATTTCTCGGGTCGCTGGAGAACTCAGTGAAGTGATCGCGCTCGTTTGGCCGGCTGTGGCTGAACCCAACAATGTATGGGTTCAGGATGATTTCCTCGGCCTTGAGTTTCTCTGCCTTGGGGATCGCGCTGTCACGTGGGGCAAAAAAGATGATATTTGACGGGCGCAAACGTTTGTGAAACCAGCCCACTTGATGGAAGTGATAGACGGCTTCAGCTAAGGCATGTGCAAGTCTGAACTTGTCTTCGAGGAACGGGTGGAATTTGGGTTTCTGGCATATTGTGATCACGTCGAAGAGGGATACCGGCTTCAGATAACCGGCTGGGAGATTGAAGACCAGGCCCAGCGATGCGTTCCTCCCTCTGATGAACCCACGACATGTAAGGGCGTGGAAGAAAGTCGGCTTTTCGATTGCAAGGAGTTTAGATAACCGGTTTGTGTACTCCACGAACTTCTGGCCATCCTTGTTGCCCTCGTCAGAATGGACTGATGTAGGTTCGCGCCATTCGACGAGTACACGTTGTGGAACCGCGGAAAACCGGACTGCACTTGACTTCTTGATAGTGCCAATACGATGTTCGCCGAACGGGTCTTCCATTTCGATCTCATGGTGGTCTATTTCGAAAGATTGTTGAGCAGTGTTGAGCTCGTCGAGCTGGTCTGTCATTTGCTTGATTTTCAACACAGCCTTCCGCCTGCTATCGAAGAAACTGGGATCTGGACATTCTTTGATTCTGTCGTCGCCTCGAAGTAGCTCTTCATCAAAGTGTGCGTCTGCACGCTTCTTCTCATCCGCTGTCAAGATTTCCCACAGTCGGTCGATGAGAAGACTCACAGGAGACAACAGCAGGAGTGTTCTGATCAATTTCTCTTCAAGCTGAAGGAGCATGTTCCTGACTTCTTCGAATGGGAACGTGTCCCTAATTCCAACAGTCGTGATATCCTCAAGCAGTTCTAGTGCATAGCGCCAGCTCTCAAAGCGGATGCGCTCCCTCTCCGCGCCAAGAGTTGTGGATTCACCATCGGGCACGATTTGCTTAAATTTTTCCGAGACTGCTGCAGAGATTTCGAACAGGGCAACAAATGAAAGGCGACATAGCATCATGGACGCACGCGGCCGCTTGTCCGCCTGGATGGAGAGCATGTCTCGAATCAGTGCCAACAAAGGGTTGAGACTGAGCAGGCGCTCGGGATGAGAGAGGCTCGTAGGGGTAGGACATCTTTCCAAGTCTTCGAGAAACTTATTGACGATGTGATTGATGCCATCTCCCCCAATGTAGAACCCGGCAGATCTGATCCCTGGACTCGTCGTGTCTTGAGAGCGTTCTTCTCTGAATGCTTTCACTCGTTCGGACCCGCCATGCATGAAAGCCAAAATCTCGACCAGAATGCAACCGTAAGACCAGATCTCGGCAGAACGACGGATGCCGTCCTGCTCAGACTTGTCGATGAAGGGTGTGCATTCTGGAGCCAAAAAGTCGCTGTGCACCTGCCTGGATTGTGTATTGGAGTTTTCGCTATGACGCTTGAATCTAGCCATTCCGAAGTCCGCTAAGATAAACCTCGTCCCGGAAAGAAGGATGTTGCGGGGATGCAGATCGTGATGGAACCCCTTGCGCTGGACACCTTGCCCTTCCAGCCTGGCCTCTACAGTGGGATTGTGTAGGTACTTGATAGCAGAAGCCAAGCCCACCAAGGCAGACAAGACATCGTCCTTGCGAAGAAAAGGAGACTTGCCTCCGCACTTCAAAAGCTTCTCCAAGCTGCCGTTCTCGGCAGATGGGAAAATCAGATTTCGCTTGTTCATGTACGTGTAGGAGCCTAGTAACTTGAGAATGTTGCGGTGTCCGGGACTGGAAAGTATCCCCAGAGCTTCAAGCTCATTCTCGTGACTTTGGATGGATTCGGGCCCTTCCATCTCCTTTCTCACAAGCTGGCCGGACATTAGCTTTCAGATAACAATAATGTCAAATAGGTGTCTCAGCTAGACACACCTTAGGATAATGATCCAAAAAAGTTTGGCATTCAGGATCAATTTGCAATGTGTACACTTTGCCGTAAGCTCCTTCACCGAGCAGTTCTGGTTTTCCAACGAAGGGGAGAATGCGATCGTCTTCGAAATTCTGATGGAGAGTCGTCGGAGAAAACTTTGGCGGGAGGAAGATCCACTGTGAAGAATACATTTCTTTGGCTGCTGATTCGAGCAGCTCAGGCTTTGGCTCCCAACGTTCATTGGAAGGATCCGCATCTTCCAGGATTTTGACACATTTTTCCTTCTTCCAGGGGAGCTTGCCATCGTCCAAAAGATCCTGAGCATGGTCTTTGGCATTCAGAAGATCGACATTTTCGGTGTGGATCAGAATCGCGAAGGCTCTTTGTCCCCTCACGCTGGCGAGGGCGGCAAGATCCGGGATATGATAGGAGTGGGTATGAAGTGGCTTGTGTTTGCTTGGGTGAAGGTAGTAATCGAGAGCCCTCTCAATCCAGGCTCTCGTCATCAGATTTTCCAATGATGCTGCGGTGATGAAGTCTTTGTTCTCTGAGGACTTGCGGGTGAGGTTGGAAATAGCCAGTTGGAAGTCGTCTTTTGCCATGACCGACCAGGATGCTCCAAGGACTAGGCGCACGGTGAAGGCAGTCAAGTCGAAGGTCTGCCTTGCTTCAGTATCAAGACAGACGGGAAACTAGTGTATTGGTTGCCATAGGAGCCGAGTGGTGCCCGATAATGTTTCTTACTGGTTTGGCTTCTGAATAGAAGCAATTTCTTGCTGTATGCTGATATGTTAGTCGATGACAAATGGCTTCTGCGAGGAGGTTTTCTACACACAGCCGTCAGGACCCGCGGTACTAGTACTTTGAAATCTTCGTCTTTCACCTGAATGATCATGTCAGTGTCGCCATTTGGTCAAATGTTTACAAGGTGCGCGATAGAGAAACACGCAAAGAAGCTACTTTACGAACCTCAACGGAAAATTTGCCAGCCCCAAACGTTGCAGTCAGCAGGCTCTGCAAGTCCCCCAACTTGATGTAGCGACCCTTAATTATTTGAACTTCCATGAATTTCAAGATGAAAATTGTAACTTGGTGAGAAACAGAAAATGATGGAGCTCGCCAAGGTTCGATGAGACAAGATTTACTCTGGAACGGTGAAATGAACGGTTCATGCCCAGAAAGCACAGAAAGACGACGAGGAGATTATCTCCCCGTTGTCAATGTCTGTACTTGGAGGCCTCATTTTCGTTCCACTGTACCCATTTAGCAGATTGTGACACAATGCTACGTCAAACACCTGCAAGTCAGCCACAATCATTTGCATCGTGCCATCGACCACGCCTCACGTGTGACACCATGTATGTTCTAGTGCTCCTCGCTGCATTCCCGCAGGACAAAGAAGTATCCGTGCACTGCTAAGGTGAGATTCTTCTCCATTGGGTTGGCCAGGCTGTACTATTGTTGCGTACTGAAAAGAGCGCACCCCTATCAAGTACCTTTTATTTTTATCACATCCCACATACTATTTCTATAGTAAACAAGATAACACGTTTCATTTAATACTTATTTTTGCATCTTCAACTTAACTATAATAATATTATTAAAATAACTAAGCAATTATTAAAAAACTAGTAAAATAAATATAAATTTTAAATTTCAATAATAGCTTTACTAAATACAAAACTAAAGCTAAAACTAACTATTTACTTTACTAATTTTCAAACACACTTAACAGTAGTACTTTTTAATTTAATATTAATAAAAGAAAACTACTTTTTAGTAAAAACAGTATAAATATATTAAACTTTAAAAAAGATATTATATATTATAATAAGCTTTAATAAAAATTAATATGTATATAATAGTAATATATATAATTAAAAAGCTAGAACATTAATATAAATTAAGTATAGTGTTAAGTAAGAGTATTGTTGAACGTACTTAGCAGGTATGCGCTTTTTTACCCCTACCACCAAAGTTGACCACCAACCAGAAGGAGTTGGACCAAGGGAAAAACGTCAATGAATTCTTGAGGCGATTAAAATATACCATACAATTTGTAGTTGTCGTGAAGACTGTGATGGAAGTTTAGCAGTTTTTGTGGTGTTAATAGTTACGCCAGGATACTTTTGTCCTTGTCCTGGCCCGCGGTTGCCTGGATGACGTGGCATGGAAGCTTGGTCCGCGTATTCCTGCAGCATTACTTCTGGTTAACAAGGCTGTGGACGGAAACCCGCCGCACGCCGTGCAACCTGGGGCAGTCTAGGCCTTGAAAAAGCATCGTGACCGCAAAATCCTTGGTGGATGCCTAGGTAACTTCAACACTGCCACGGCTCGAGCACGGGTCCATGCATGATGCAGTTGCTCGGAATATGTGCCGCCCAATCGAGCTGCCATCGGTCAGGAAGTGACGCGACAATGGGCTGGAACACTGCCACAACCCCTGCGCGTTGCAGTTGTCCATAACTTGTCCTGGGCCTGAATAAGTCAGCCCGGCCAGATTCTCAAGGCACTTTCGTTTCTGATAATGCTCCATAGTCAGTCCTGAGTGTCTTGATGCACATAAAATCCAGCCCAAATTTCACACACCTTTGAGGTCATCCAAAATCTCACGGAAATCGAAACCAAAGTCACCCATCATGAGTTCCTTAGTGTGGGAGCCTAGCAGTGTGGCCCAGGACAGGACAGCCACGGCCCCTGCTCACTCATGTGATCTTCTTGATTTTCTGGCTGTTATTCAGGCTTCCAACTTGCCAATATTTCGTTTCAATTGTCAGAACGCACGTGGCTACAATCCTGTTGCTGAAGGGGCCCGGGGCGGCACAGCACGCGTCCAGCAGGTTGAGATGTCGACGAAAATTACCCTCGCAGTCAAATGTGTTGTTGACAAAGAAAGAACCAAAGATCACCAGGGCAATTCATTCAGACAACTCATCAGGGAAGTCCAAGTTCTGACTCACCCGAAAATTAGGGAAGCCAAGAATATTGTGAACCTGGGGGGCATTTGCTGGGACTTTGCCTCTGACCAGCGGGATACTGTATGGCCAGCTCTTGTCCTTGAGAAGGTTCCACATGGTGTCATGAGCAGCTGCGAATCTGGCATCGGAGCTCTCACAGATTGTGAGAGATTAGAGCTCTGTCTGGATGTGGGAAAGGCGCTTATGCTATTACATCAAGCCGGTCAGTTTGTCTCGATTCTAGGTTTCACCATTTCAACTGTCTATTGTAAAACCCTTGTGTCGTACTCACGAAATACGTTCTGACGTAAATAGGAATTGCTCATGGAGATATCAAACCAGAAAATGTTCTGATATTCAGAAATGAGAAAGCATATACTGCGAAGGTGATCGACTTTGGCTATTCTCTATTCCGGTCTCAGAACAGTCCCTACACGCTTGCGATATCGCGACCCTGGATGGCCCCGGAGCTAGAACAAAGCACTGAGCTTCGTACCTTCGAAGACGTACTGAAGACGGATGTCTATTCGTACGCCAAGCTCTGTGTATGGACATTGTTTCATCAATACGATGTGCACATAGCGGACCACGAGACACAGGAGATTCAACGGCTTGTTGACAACTCCCTCCCTGACTTGGACATTGAAGCTGCCAAACGAGCGCAGCTCAGCACCTTCTTCAATCTTGCTCTTCGATCGCAGCCCGATAGTTGACCTCACAATCTTTCTACTTCCTTCGCACTTCTAGCGCCAAGTCGGAAAATGTGGGTTTACTGGCCCTGCCCCTAACCTCTACGCTCCACACGACGCTGATAACGTAATTTTAGCCCAAACTCGAATGACCTGACCATCGAGGCCAATTGGGACCAACTTAGTTCCGACTTTGATGTATGATCTCATGCTTGCCTCATTTTGGCCCTCATACTGACAGGTTACAGCTGCTTCGCTATTTGGCGCCGCTTTACTGTGCTAGCCATGTAGTAAGGCAAGAGGTGTTCAATCTCTATCTTCATAGATACCAAACCTGCCCAGAAAGCAAGAAGAAGGGCATACGCCAGCAACTGTACCTGTGCCACGCCATAGGATTCGGTGACAGAAGAAACCCGGAGAAAATGGCGCTGCTTCGTACCGAGGACGATGAGCTTGAAGGGTGGTTCAACAGTGTCGCCAAGACCATTGGACGTGAAGATGCTAGGGACTCCTGGTCTCTAGATCAGACGAACCGTTTTGCGTTGGAGATAATGGAGAACTACAGCCTCGAAGACCTGGGCCCTGTGGACAGATGGTCGACCCCCGGAGATTTTGAGCGTTTGAAGAATGAACATGCAGACTTAGAGCGTTCTGGAGGTGCCCCATTCCCGGAGTTAGTAATTCTCTACGACATGGTCGGCTATCTGATGACGGTCCCGAATTTTGCCGAGGCTGAGACGTATCAAAACAGAGTGTCAGCTATCTTGCGTGAGCACTTCGTCTCACGGCTCGATTGGATTGCACAGTGCGAATGGATGCTGGCAAATATTTACGTCGGCCTAGGGAGAAACCAACAAGCCTGCGATTCGTACGAGAAAGCCATGTCAGATCTGGAGAAGCACCATGGACCTCACAGTCTGCTCGTTCTCTCTCACAAGGTCAAGCTGCTGGCAGTACTAAGCACGTTCGGCTGGCATGATCAGTCACTCAAGCTCTTGGAAGATTGCCGATCAGTCCTGGCGGTCAGATTCGGCTCCGATCACCCTGAAACCATCTTCTGTGAGAAAAACATACTGCAAGCGCTGAACGACTGCAAAAAATACGAGGAGGTCAGTAGAAGAGGTCCTGAGCTCACCCAAAAGTGCATAAGAGTTTTTGGGAGTCACAAGCACACCGCAGGGCAAGGACAAGCCATGATGATTGTGGAAATGGTGAAAATGGTTCATGGCAGGGCCATATTAGAATTGGGTGAGCTAGAACACGCTGATGAGCTGTTCAAGGAAGCTTTCCATATAGTAGAGCAATGTCTTGGAAAGACTTCTGCGCAGAGATTCATACCTCTGCTTTTAAGGACTGTGGTTGAGATGAAACGGCACAAGTTTCAGGAAGCGGAGGCCCTGGCCAAGGAGGCCATTGGCATTGTTGAATCGACGGCTGGCACGGCTGACGGTCTGTACCACCTGGCAAAAGCTCACCTGGGGCAAGTATACTCTGAGCAAGATCCCGGCGACGGGAGATTGATGACTGCTGAGGATATCCTCCGGGAGACTCTGCCAGCGCTGCAGGAAAAATTTGGTTACAGGCATCCAGTTACCTTAGAGGCCATGCTCAACTACAGAGAAGTGCTCAAGAAGTTGCAGAAGCACGAGAAAGCTCGGGCCGTCTCAGAGCTGCATGAGACGTACCGTCGTGAGGGCATGGATAAGGAGCTGCGACGCCCACAAGTGAATTCGGTAAGACAGCTCGGATCTATTTTCATGTTAAGCGGAACCATTGCTAACCTCTCGCAAATGAAGCCTGGACGCGTTATGGTTCTTCAAGGGAACGCAAATTTGAGAAGTATTGCACAAACTTGGGTCGCCAGGAGAACCGGGCGCCATTAGATGAACCCTCGGTATGGGTGCCCCAGAATGAGAGAAATACCGACGGTGGAGGTCGATCGTGCCGTTGATGCAATATGAATCACGGAGTTTTAGCACGATATGGGGCTCGATTCGGGCTGCCTCCGCTCGAGGACTGATACCGAGTTGAGGGATTCTGGTTGCACCAGCTATGATTCAAGAAGAAAACCTTGGAAAGATGTGCAGTATTGGAGGAGCGCATTGTTGACTAAGCTGGAGTCTTGACACGTGGTGTTTCCTAGAATTAATACGGAGCTTGGGACTGAATGGGCATGTAGAGCTAGTTCCCATGCCGCGGGTCTGGTGACCTTTTGTTGAAGAGCCAATTTGGAATGCTGATGTACCCATTTTCCAATCCCCGTTTCAGAAGCCAGGTGAGGCACAGTAAAACAGCACCAAAGACACAGAATATCCAAAACTGCTTGGCCAGTACGAAATTTGACTGTTCATCAACCGAGACCAGGTTTGAGCTGAATATGGTCTGCATACAGGTTAGGAGACCCCACAGAAAATGAATATTTGACTCGAGAGGCTAAAGCACAGAATGATCTGCTACTTACAGCGAGAAAAGAGAGCGGAAGATACATAGTAGCAAGAATTGTCAATGTTGTCACCGTCCTGGCATCGTTCTGGCTTGATTGGGCCATATCAGCCAAGCTGGCCTGATGGACCACACTTTGACTTGCTAGATTGTTAGACTCGACGACATGAGACTTGATCGTCCGAGTCTGAAGAAGGCGTATGTCCTTTTCGCGAAACTCCAAAATTTGCCATAACTAGAGGTTCAACCGTTAACGAAGCTGCAAACCTTGAAGATATTGGGCAAAGTGGCATGCAACTACCAGTTTTTCAGTCCCTAAGGTCCGCAGACTCAAGTTGTTGATGCGACGCCGATGTTGCAATACCTGATGTTTACAGTTCTTTATGTGATTGAGAATGTGACCTGTGGATGCGCAAATTGCTTTACAGTGTGCCTGTACTGTGTTCATAACGTGTAGCCACGACTCGAGAAACGAGTGAGACTTCAGGATCCTTTTTCTCAGTAGCTGGAGCCTCTGAATATCGCAGAACGATACTATATAGTCGAATTGTGTGGGTTTCCCCAGAGTTGAGAAGCATGCTTTCTCGTCCTGGCCGCATCAGCAAGCGAATTGGAAGTAATCTTGGCAATCTCTAACATACCAAAGCGTCTACGAGAACCGTTAGATGCTCGATATAATCACCCCAGTCTTGTTCGAGACTCGATATGACTAAGCAGTGCAAGATCATGTAGCCATCCCAGCATGATTTTGTGGTCTCTGCGATCATTCGAATGCTGTCTTCTATCTGATTTAGCAGGCTATGTGATGGGTTTACCAGGAACCACATTGTCTTTGTGCCCGAGAAAGCATGATAGACTCCGGTCTGACGAAGTGACCAAGTATGCTCTCCTCTCCGTTCTTTGAGTGCCATATAGTTGAGATTGTAGCAGATCTCTGTAGACGTTCATATCAGTGACTAGGTAAGCGAAAATACACTGGCATGAGATAAGTGACAAGCCCAGTTGGCATAGGCAAGTGGCCTACCGAAACGCTCATCATCGACATTCCGGCTACAATGGCCATCTCCACATTTATATTCCTCTTTGATCCTATGCCCGAAAGCCTGGATCAAATCAAAGAATGGGGCAAAGACACCATGGTGTGTCACGATTCTCATGAAGCTATCCTTGCTTACACACAAGTGACCCCAGGAATACTCCTGTCGAGCACAACTGTATTTCATGACGAATTTAGCTTTTCAGACTGCTTGACATCGGGTTATCTGCGCAGGAAGACCATTTCGACATGTTCGCATTGGAGGAACCTTTGCCGATACCTACTAGAAGACAGCGTTGATATTCTCGGTCTTGGCCTAGGTCCAAGTAATTAGAATCTCTTTGATCTGGAAAGGCAGCAGACTCACCAGCACTTGGTCAATATCTCTGGAGACCTCGCGGGTGTCAATTACACTTTGGTCTGAATCTTTTGTCAGCCCTCGACCGAGATTACTCTAAGAAGATACGATTCGAAGCCCGGGATCACTGACCGTCCTTAGGATTCTGCCCGACCCTGATCACCTTGATAGTACCAGTTCCGGCAGTAAATATGCGGTCCGAATCGGATAGCAAACGGTCACGACGAGAGAGATCGATAGCTTCCATGGTTTCATGAGGACCGTCAGCAGTACCATTGGCGCTCGATCAGGCTATGGCTTGCTCTTAAAGACATGGATGACCTTGGTCAGATCTAGGCTTGGGCTGCACAGCCATGTCAGCTGGAGCGGGGCATGGAAGTCAGCATGGCTAAGCGTGCCCCGCGAATAGGCATCGATGCATGAGATACGGCGACAGATCGTCTCGCAGAATATTTACCCAGGTAAGCTGTGCTTGTATCCGTATCGAGACCGGAGAGTAAGCGACGCGGTCGTGTATATGTGTGGTTCCCTGGAGCCTTGCCAATTACCCGACAGGCACGCCAGGCATCTAAGTGCTATTTGCTTTGTTCTTTGCGGCTCAGGGAACCCTTTCAATCACTGTTGCCTCCAGCAACAGCGTGTACTTAGATGGCAGACTGAGGCCAATAATATCCCCCCCCCCCAGCTGATACACAGGCACTACTAGAACCACTCATCTGATATCGTCAACTATGATCAGAGGGTTGCGCCGTATATCACGAGTAGGTTGGTGCGACTAGTATCTAAAGGCGGATCAAGCAATGCTATGCCGACATGGCGAGGGCCCACAGCAGTGTAATAAATCAGCACCTAAACCAAGACAATTTGGGCCGGAGAGCAAGGATTGATGACAGCTGCCGGACGCAGGAGCGGACCGCGTGCCGCTGCGGCCCGAAGACGACCCCTTGAAGCCGTGGTGGCCCAAGGAGTGATCGCACACGTAATTCGGAGAAGGTGCAGTGGACGATTCACACGGCCCGGGTGTTGGAGACGCCTCATGGGATGGAGAACGAGTATTGAACGCTTGTATGCCTGCGCATGACACAGAGTGAGTACCTACCTACTCTTGCTTCTTTCCTGTTCGTGAGGTTGGCGTGCAGATGGGTATATTGTGCAACAAAAAAAGAATTTAACTTGTGTCGCTGATTTTGGCGGACTTATGACTTGTATATTGTATATTTCCTTCACGTAGACCAACATGGGTGTGTACTATGAGTAGCTAACGTATTGGAAGAGAAATAATTGTAATCCTAACTAAGCCTCTAGGAGTAGCATGATCGAGAAGAAACGTGGCATCTTTCCTGGCAGCTATGTCAAGGTGAGGGAGTATATGATAAAAGCCATTATCAAGCAGATTGTCCGAGTGATCTCGAAGCCTGGAGAAATTGGAGGGATAGAAGATCTTTGGCTGTACTTGCAGTGAAGAACTCGTCGAAACGATGTTACAGATGTAATTGGTATTTATCTCTTAAAACATGCTTCTTATTTTCCCAACATCAGTCATGTTGCCGATATTCGTAAAGGCATCGTACGCTCTCGCCGCCCGGTCCGGACCAATAGCTATGCTGACCTGGTCCAAGAACTTCTTCTTGAGATCCGCGACAGTCAACGGGTTCTCAAGGCTGCCAATCACGTTTGTAATGTGCCTGCTCAGGCTGCTGCCGTCATTGAAGCTGACCGTCACGTACGCCTGAGCGTTGTCCACTGCACTGTCGGTTGTCACGTTGACCTTCTTCCTCATATCGATGACAGTCTGATTCTGCACCACCGCATCGCTGAACTGAGTCGGAGTGGCGACACCATATAACAACCCGGCGGCGGTAGCGTGATAGATACTGAATTTGCCCTCCAGCCCGGTCTGCGGGTCCGTCTGGCCCGTCAACACCAGCACCTGAGGGTTGACCCTCAACTGGATGCTCTGCACGTCGCCAAAGCTCTTGCCCTGCGCCAAGGTCTCATTGTGCAGCTGTGTGGCCGCGTCGATCGAGGGGTGCATCACGATTCCGCACGGGAAGGGCTTGAACGTGTTCTTCTCCACCTCCCACACCCGGCCCAGCTGGTCGAAGTACGCCGTCGCGTTCTCCCTCGTGCTCACCACATGCAGCCACCCGAACTTTGCCTCGAGCGCCTGCAGCGAGCTCGTATACCCGTTCTCCGCAAGCAGCGCCGCCATCATCCCGCCCTGCGTCGCGCGCCCGACATGGAACGATTTCGTGTCGGAGCCGAAGAATTCTTGCATGCCGACCACTTGCGTCGCGGCGATTCCGATGGCATGCTGCATCTTCGTGGTGCCGAGCCCCAACAGCCGTCCCACCGCGACAGCCGCGCCGACCGACCCCGTGGTGCTCGTGATGTGCCACCCGACATCGTAGTGCTCCGGATACACAGACAGGCCGAGCTTGCACTCAGCCTCGACGCCCGCGACGAACGCCGTGACGAAGTCGGGGCCAGAGACCGGTGCCTTCCACTCCGCGACGGCAAGCAGCGCGCTGGCCACCACACCGGCCGGGTGGATGATGGTCTCGAGGTGCGTGTCGTCGTAGTCGTCGACGTGGCTCGCTATGCCATTGATAAAGGCGGCGACCTGGGCGTCGGCGAATCCGGCGCTGATGGACGAGTTGGCGCCGAGGATGCTGGATGTCGGTGGGCCGCTGAACGGCGACAGGGTCGTCATTTGGGCGATCCGAGGCGCATCCTGAATGTAGCCTCCGATGGCGCAGCCGGCCCAGTTGTACAGGCTTTTGGTCGCGGCATCAATGACGCCAGTAGTCAGGTGAGCGCAGGTGAGGTTGGTTGCCCATGAGGCTAATTGCAGAGTAGCCATGATGATAACTACAATGATAGGAATGAAACTACATCGTGTGAATAAGCTTTCTGCGAAGTCTTTCTACAATTGTGCCTTCCAGCAGGGGATCGATCCACACTACATCTCCAATTACCAGTACTGATGAATAGATCCAAGGAATTTCATCCTCCTCTACCCGACGGCCCCGCCGCTATTCCCGACCCCACCCCGCTCCCAAGTCGTAGGCAAGTAAAAACCGCGATACGACCCTCAATCAACGATGTCATTCCGCATACTAGCCGAAGATGACCGCGTGGCTACGTGTGGAGAGCCAGGCCGATCGGCGCGGGTCGCTAGGGGTGATGAAGCTGCGGCATTTCACAACACCGGCTGAGAAGGAGGAAACGGCAGTGATTGCTTCGCAGAGCATTACTGGAGAGAGTATGGAAGACGTACGATTGTCCATAGTCAAGAATCTTAAGGGACGATCTGATGGCTAACCTCGGTCATTGCTGATCGTTCTCGTCTTCTTTCAACTCTGATCGAGGAGGTGCTCATTGCTCTATTCCGATCACAAACCTTGATTTATGTTTATGTATTCTCAACGCTTTCCCGTTGAACAGAACCCTGGCGCGACACTCCGAACGTCATAGATGTCTTGAGAAACATCATCTTCATTCGCAGCTAGCAAAGTCTCAATCGACAGACTTGCAGAAGTGTGTCAGTGTTTTCGAATCCTTAAAAATGCTATGAAGCCTCCTTGATCAAGTCATGCAGTCCTTCGACAGAACACCCAGTTACCAATGCCCAAGACAATCATGCTCCTTCAGAAGACTCTCGCTCCAGAGTCTTTCATCCAGACCTCTTCGTTCAACATTGATAGACACTCTCTTGTAATGCGTTCCATAATAAAGAAACATGGAAATTTCCTCTTTTGTTGTCATAGGCTGCTAAGCAATTTTGACGGCAGCGGCTTTAATACAATGTCGAACTCATCCATCTATGAACCTACATAAGGAGTTCGATGTTACGTTAACTTATCCTTTAACACTTCACACACCAGCCCGCAAGATATGAGATCCTATGCTATAATTTATGATAACCTAATGACGGGGTCTTTCTGAGTAATACGTGGGAATATCTATGTATATTATCTATTCAAAGAACGAAAGATATTCTGTCGTAAGTAAAATCACAATACAGAGAGGTTTGACTTAATTTATAGGCGGCAGAAAAGTTGCAATCAACACCGGTATACTCAAGCCGAAACTACATGCCAGTAGAACATCCTGTTCTAAGTAATGAAAGTTCCAAAAGAACAATCATGTGTAAGTGATTGAAACATACCCTATGTAATCTTCTACTGAAGCACGCAATCATTTAACCTCACCGAGTTTTTCACATGTTCATCTCATCACACACTCAATACTGATCGCGGACGTATCAGTTTGAGAGAATAGCATGTAGGCTACTTCATGCAAGGACACCGACGTTCGATAGAGCCCTGAGTTTTGTTTAATAGAACCCTGACAGCCTCGATCAGGCACAGCTTGGCTCTTTGTGGTCCGTAGTGAACTTGTCAAGACCATAATTACCCCACGCAGTCAGACTTCTACAGAACAAATTTCACTCAACGTCTCCATGCCTACCACAACTCAGTATCAATCCTCTGAGAGAAACAATGTTCGCTTTCTGAAAATTTTAAGCTCCTCCGTGCCGCCGATGATGGAATACCCAATCACTCGTGAGTTCCACCTCTTGGTTCGTGGGACTCCGAGTCCATCTCCACAAGGAGGCCTGCTCTGCCTGGCCCGCCTGAGCGTGGGCAAAATGAGGAAGACATCAAAAACGCCATCACCGGGGCGAACTACGAACATGGTCAACGCCATGTAGCTTCCCCCGACCTCTGTGCTTGAGCTTCACTCAGGGCTTTGCCACCCTTCATCAAAATTGCTCCACAATGGCACGAAATTCCGGCCTTGCCAGCTCCAAAGACCCGAGTGATGAAGTGCTGCTAGAAAGACCCGTCAAAACTCCGAACACCAAGATGGGAAGACTCGCCCGAGAAGCTCACCCGCCTCGTCCACTCACCTAGTATGACTAGCAACATCGCTGGGCAGCGCACTGACACCCGAGACGGAGCCGACCGGGCTGCTGCCGCTTACGCTGCCCGTGTCGGCCACGGCGCCGCGGCTCTGGGCCGAATCCAGCCCTCCGGCTGCCACTGCTCCGTCTTCTCCCCCTCCTCCCACCACTCCAGCCTGCGCCGCGGCGCCCTCCTCGTCCCACGTGACCCGGATGGGCGAGTGATTCTTGGAGAAGCGCTGCCCGTTGAACCACAGCTGAAAGGTCAGGTCCGCGGCACCGACCAGCGCCCTGACCTCGTACGTGCAGTTGTACCACCGCGCGCTGCGCGAGAACAGGCCGCGCGACTTCTTCTGCCTCATCGGTTCCAGCTCGCTGTCCCGTACCCCCGAGAGATCGGACCTTACTGTGCAAAGCTGTTTCGCGCCGGCTGTTTGGTGCATCGTTAGACGGCTTTCTGCTATTCGTGTACATGGCGAGGAGGGAAAGGTGTGAAGGGGGGGGGGGGGGCTGGTGTCGCCTTACAATCTTTCATGCTGACTGGGAGGAATTCCCTTTCGCTGTGAGATATAACTATGACGGAGTCCCAATGCCGTATAGCGCTTCCCTTTGCTATCTTTTGGCTAAAGGTCGATATTATCGGCACGTTCGGATCGATATCGTCACCCTTATATTTCTCAGGTCAGCGAAATCTCTCTCAACGTCCAAATGGTCTCTACTTTGGCTTCATACTTTCCTAATGAGCCAGTCTATCTGGCTCATGGCGTATAATTGGCCATCCAGCGGATCTGTTTTGAGCTCCTCCTGGAAGTGGATCTCCGGGTTGTACTTCATCTTGCACATCACCCCATAGCTTGCTCTCGCCTTCCGCGTGGCAAGCACAGGCCTGTCGCCGCTCTCGAGCTTTTGCAGCCGGTCAAGAATCAAGCCCTTCACCACGACCAGTTGGGGGTCATGCGCCTGTACGATCTTGATGTTTGCTGCGTTGGGGTGGGGATTGAGTGAGAGCTCCTGCTGTAGGCGGTCCCGCACGTATGCAGAGCTCCCGAGCCCGCCAGAAAGTATCAAAAATCGCTGTCCTCATGTTAGTCACGGGGTTCATGGTGCCAGCGAGAGGATCTCGCTCACAACTTGGGGATTGCCGAAGGCCTTTAGTTGGACAAAGTCGAGCTGCTCCCTGATCTTCTTGAGCATACTGTTGATGTGTGGGTCAAATATTGACTGCATGTCTTCCCTGTTCGGACGTCAATATCAACTGCCCTCATGTTCGACATCGTCAGTTCCACTTGCCTCGTGAGCAGGAATCTGCCGGACTCGATGCCGGCTCCTTCATGGTGAAAGTTATACCCAACACCCTCCATTGGCAGTTTGTACACTGCCGCGTTGTACACGCGTTCTCCAAACTTATGCTTCGCCGTCCTGAATTTGTCACTCCGGACCAGCTTCTCGATGCAGTCCGGTGGTAGCTGTTCGACCAGTTCGGAGAACGGAAACACCCTGTCCTCGACCAGGTCAAGAAAAGCACGGTCTATCAGGGTTGAGCCGATCCCCACGCCATCGACTTGCGTCAGCTGCTTCAGCGTCGGGAACGGCTCCCTGGTCTCCACCACCTGCATCAGGGCGAAGTCAGTCGTGCCCCCTCCAGCATCTACCGACAGGAAGATGTCGTCCTTCTCGAAGCTGATTGCCGTTGACTTGATCGTAGCCACCGCGGCGGCTTCTGACTCTGTCAGGTCCACGGTGGAAAAATGCCTGGGCCCTTCGGTACCGAAGCCCGCGTTCCTGATGGCCTCCTTGAAAGTGTTGATTATTTCGAAACTGCGCCACGTCGTCGGCACGCTGAAGAGGAACTCGACGGCAAGGTCTTTCCACCCCGTGAAGGGTCCAATACCTGTTTGGTGCTCTATCGTGGACTTGACGTGAACGTAGACTCCGCCGAGATAGTCAGTGACGAACTTCTGGGCTTGAGCGACAGACTCCGGTGCGCCCTGGAGGCCCTTGATCTGCGCTTCTAGGAGGTTCATCTTGTCGAGGAAGATCTTGAAGAATTCTCTCCGTCTCATTTCAAAATCATCGTCGTCCTCGCAGACGAAGCCCCAGGATGTCGGCCTCTCGTCCTTGCCGTAGACTAGACATGTGTGTACCTTCTGTTCGTTCCTTGTTGAGCACCCTGGCCAGTTGTAGATGACTTGTATGGGACTCTGAAGGGCATTGCTAGCCTGTGGACGGGCCCAAGCCACACCTGCTTGAGTGTTAACCAAAGACTTATGACCACAGGAAGGAAAAATACTTGCCTGTGAAAGTCGTTCCGAGGTCCACCGCCACTATGATATCCGGCCTCTTGTTGGGCTCCATCTCCGTCACTTATGTATACTTGGGTATCAAGGGTATCTATCGGTCATGCGAAAGGGGTATTCTCGGGGACAAAGGAAGGCAAGCAAGCAAGCAAACAAGCAGAAGCAGAATGGCCAATGGGTATGTCTCAGCAGTCCTGAACAGTTCTCGAATACAAGGCTCGGGGAAGTAAAACAGCAAGTCGGCAGTATATAAGCTCCTGTGCAACGCAATTCGCCGTGCTACCGCTCCAGGCGCGTGTGTTGGGTTATTGTAGACGCCGGAACACACCCGGTGCGGCGGGAACCTGTCTCCTTTTCCCTCCCTTCGAGGTCTGAATCGAGATGAAATTCGCCAGGGGACGTTGGAGCAACTCAGCTCAGCTGCAGGCATAGCGGTTTTAGCGGCGGTGCCAGGGACCCCAGGGTCAGAACTCTAATAACAGCCGCGAAGGAGGCGGCTCTCTCAGCTCAACGGGTCCCGCGCCTAAGATTGACTTGGACAAAGGGACGGCCTCAGCTGGGTAGCAGGGTCAAAGGAAGGCATGGGCGAGCCCTGGAGTGACGTGTCTGCCACTGCAAGCAGCTTTGCGGGAGTTTGTTGTCGGAGCTGAGTGGGAGGGAGGGGTGGTGAGTGAGTGAGACCCATTGGAGGTAAGACGTCAAATCCTACCGTTTCCACGTTTGTGGCACAGCCGGGCTGCCAGCCGTGGGGAGCCCCCCATGCAGCTGAAAATGCATGCTGATCGCTGGGAAGGGTATCGAGGGTATCATCCAAGCTCTACAGCGCTCGAATCGCATGACATGTCAGCAGGTGGTCCCCCTCTTCATCAAACATTGCTGCCCGTTGGCTACAGACGGTGTTGGTGATGATCGAAGGATTGGCGGTATGTGATTGGGCTGTGGGGCAGCGAGTGCGGGTCACAACAGCAATTCCTACCCTCCCCTGGCATTGGCCGGGGAAGAGGGAAATGGGGGGTTTCTTCAGGACAGCAGAACCCTTGAACCTCGTCGGGAGAGCCTCACAACATCCACCCGTCCCATTCTTGTCACTGTTATCCTTCTGCCTGCTGGATCCACTGATCGCAATCCCGGGTAACACAACCCTACAACAAGCCTTACTCAGACTTCTGTCGAGTACCACAGGTTTGCTGTGCTGTGCCATGTCCATTGCCATTGCCATGGCTTGTGGCTTTGCGGGCTCCGATGCAAGGGTGAAAGCAACCCTGTCTACGTTGATGGCCGTCGCCTCTCACAAGTACCTCGCAGGTTGACAACTTGGAATGACATGAAAATGCTTCTGTCGTCTGTCGAATGTCTTCAAGTGAAGCAGCGCCAACGAAAATGATCAGGCGGCATCGTATTCCCGGAATCGATTTCGCAGATTATATCCTGGTCAGGGAACAGCACACGTCCAGGGGGGGGCACCCAAAGCTGGACCCCATGCTGCTGTGGTCGTTCAGCCAGAACGGGAGGCTTGCATCTTGCATCCTGCATCTTACGCTAGGACCTGTCAATCTCTTTTCACAGTCTGACCTTCCTCGAGATATGTTTCGGTGTCAAGTTACCAACTGCTCTCTCACTTGTTGTGAGATGTTCTGTTGCCTGTTCTTACCCCTTCCTTACTGAGGCACGTCTCTGGTTGAAATTCTAAGACGGAATGACCTCAGGGTCGCCCGCAACATCCGCAACGGCGAGTCCTCCTGCTGCTGACGGTGCTGAGGATTCGGCCACTTCGACGCCGACGAACACACCGGCCGAACCAACGACTGATGGTGGTGTTGTGCCAACGCCGTCAACTGCCGTGCCTCAAACAAGTCTAATATCGACTCCACTTACAACGCACACCTCATCTGTGCCTCACAGCCCTACAGCCCCCTCGAATCCTGCGCCGAGCACAATAGACAACTCGGCTCTTCAACTATCTTCAGATCTACCTGTGTCTAGCTCGGGTCTACTTCAGACTCCTTTCACTTCTAGTACTTCAATTTCTGTAGCACCAGACACCCAAGCCACCGACACACCATCCACGGCAATACCGGCCCCTATCTCAGGCAATGGGCTGAGCACCGGCGCCGTAGTTGGGATCGCAGTTGGATGTGCCGTGGCAGGTCTGGTCATTGGCCTGCTAGCCTCCGTCTTCCTACTCCGAAGGCGCAGGAAACCCGACCCGGAACCACGGGCGGTCGAGTCGCGACTGGGGGAAAGGAGGCGCGACTCCCGAGCCTTGACGGCCACACCGGTCGAGCCTGTCACGGCTGTTTCGGGTCTGGAACAGTTCCTCGCGATCCCGAAGTCGGACAAGGAGCTAAGCGGGGAGCTGCAGAGCCTGGGCTACCTGATCCAGCAACACGTCGAGGACAATTATCACCTCTTGCCCGTGGGGCAGGACACCGACTCTTTGAGCCAGGCGCTGGAGGATTTGGGGCTGGATGATTGTAGGAGCGCGCTGCCTAAGACAGATTGGCTAGCGGCCATGGTCGTGGACCCAAGGACGAGGCTTGTGGCTCTGCAGCACGTCATCGCGAGGGTCATTTTTGGAAGCCTGTCGGTCGAGCCAATGGGAAAGATGTCGATGCTGCCTCCCTCAGTATCAAGTCTGGTGCGAAGTATGCCGCCGTGCGAGAAACACATGGGCAGCCCAGAAGGTATCGTACGAGCCACGTTCTCTGTAGATGCTGACACAGTTGTACTGACAACTCATCAGCTATTTCCGTTGCCCTCACGCGCTGGCGTCAGCTCACGGCCTTTCTGCTCAACCCGAGTCGCAGTGAGCGGGGTGTCATCGTCCCCACGGATACATCACTAGAGCCTCAGGCAAGGCAGCTCCTCGGGGAGATGAATAAATTCCTAGGGCGTTTCGTCGACGAGAATAATCGCCAGCACCAGCAAGATCACCTGCGAGATGTGGTGCTGGAGTGCACAAAGCTCGGCTACGCCATCTTCTCGCAGCCGGCAGATTTCACGTGGAATTTTGGGTCAGAAAGCGGCAGGGACATCATGGTGTGCCCGGGAATGGAGAAAGTAAGCGACAGCCAGGGCGCCAGGTGTCAGCCGGAAATGATGTTCCCTCCCGAGGTGCATCGTGTGTAACCCGTGGACGGGACCGGTGTGGTGGTGGGTTGATACCCAATGAAACACGGTAGGCCATGCAGCTAGAGCCAGGGAAAGAGAAAGAGAAGAGAAAACAATGCGCATAGGATCGGGGATCCACAGAAGTTTGATCCTAGCCTCTGTAGACCGCCCTGCCGGGTCGGGATTGAGACTGAAGCCTGTCGCGATATCCACTTGTTCTCGAGCTTCCTTCGAAGGAATTGAATCCTATGGACCCGCAAAGACCGGGGCCACGGGACCGCATTGGAAGCAGTAAAGAAACAACCAAGGCCCACGGGGCTGTGCGGTGACGGCGATTGAAAACCGAAGACCCGGGTTACAGCGTGGCTTGCACCAAGAACCAGCCAGAAAGCAGGCAGCCGAGCCACCAGTGTCCCATACTGATAGCCCGCCAGCACACCATTAGTCGCCTCTTTGGGAGCCACTGCGCCTACTCCGTAACATGCAGGAGGATCTGTCTCGTGAGTGGGCCGGGTGCTAGCAAAACAAGCGCAGCGCAGCGCCAGCCCCAATATTGATTGCTCTTTGATGTTGTTGTTGTCCTCCTTGCGCGCGTTTCTCCCTCCCTTGCCTCGCTGTCTGACTTGCAGGGCGCGCATGCCAGCCGGTGGTGCGCTGACTTTCTTGATGCACAAAGCTGCTCGCTGCATGCAGGCGATGAGAGGGGGAGCCAATGGCCTGCCGGCCTGCCCGCGTGCATGGCCGCAATATGTGGCCGGCCTGCCTCCTGCGGTCGAAGCACCCCATGCAAAGCCCGCACACCAATGGAGAAATGATTCGCCCTTACTTCTTGGGAACAAAAAGGCCGTGTCGTAAGAGCGTGTGGCTTTCCTCGGGCCCGACCAAGCGACGGGCATCAAAAGACTGATGACTGAGAGAAAAAAAAAGTTGGCATCCGGGTCTCAAAGTCTTACCACCGGGGGTTTCCTCAATTAGCGGTCCCCCGCTCCGTGCTGACTGTTGTCCTCCTTGTCACATCGGTAACGACGAGATCTAAAAAGATTAGAGACTTGTTCCTTTTTGCATTTCAAAGAATGGGTGAGGGAGATTGTTGGAATTCCATCATACAAGGCACGCTTGTGAGAGTTTCCCCGAAGATGCTCATGGGAAGGGCCAGCACATTTCCCCCCTCGAGCAACCACCATCAGCCGCAAACACCCCGCGCCTCCTCCGAGCATGAGGCCAGATCCGAACCCCGGACTTCGATATCCGACGAGGCTCAGGCCTGCTTTAACCTCGTGTTGATCCTGCGGAATGACACCCAACATCTCATTTCACTACGAAACGACAACCTCCAGTCATTTGAGGAGGTTGACACTGCCCGGCCGCTTCTGACCCAGATCAACAGCGCGATCACAGCTGCTACCCGCAGTATACATGAGCTTGGCCCTTTTTTGGAGCGGCATCGATGGCCACCCTGCGAGCCGCCCCGTGCATCGATCATACGGCTGAAGATCCTTAGGAAAAGGAGCAGGAGTCTTTCGTCGCCAGTGGCCGGCGCAGGCACAACAGTAGAACCGGGATTGTCTCCCGACGAGTTGTTCTCGTGGACGCTGGCACTGACAGCGCAGCACACTGCCGTCCTGGCTGCTCTCGACCAGCTGGAAAAGTTTCTGGTCTACGGCTCAGCCGACATCAGCGAGGACGACAGGAGGCGACACGATGCAACCGGGTCATGGTGGCAGCAGCGGCACAGCGAGTTCGAGAATGTCACCCTGATCCAATCCATATTGCAGAGACCGAGGAGGAATTTCAGAGCGCAGGCCGGCGCATCTATGACGGCGCCGGCTGTTGACATAACTGAGAACGCCCATTTTGGTGATGCCGTCTCGTCATCGCCAGCTGCGGCTGCAATAATTCCATCTGTCACCGAGCATGATGATGGCAGGTCGGATACACTCACCTTTTCCGAGCAGTCTATCAAGTCATGGCCGAGCGAGATAATGAATGGACTTACCGCTCGCCCGAGGGCTCGCAATGAAGGCTCTCCTCAGGCACACTCACGCTTGACATACAAGCCTTTGGATTTGCGCATCGCAGACCTTGCAGCACCGGTTTTCTCGGAATCGGGCCCACCAGTAGCAGTGCAAACAGAAAGGTGTTCAGGACCACCAATCCACTTAGGCTCAGAGCAGAGAAAAGAAGCAGAGCAGGACACCCAGGGCACAGAAGTCCCGTTGGCGGGTAGCATGGTCATGCCAGAGCTGCCGCTTTCTCGCTTCAACAGCAGCGCTCGACGCCCGAGGATCACAACTACCCCGTTGCCTCCACTCGTTGGTCTCCAGACGCTGATCCCGGATACTTCGCAACGAGCACGATCAGCGACGCTTGACCTATACCAAGTCGGGCATGCAGTATCACCACTTTCGCCATCTTCGCCGTTGCTCTCACCACCGGGCCTCAGTCGGCACTCAAGCCGGGTGAGTCTGCCCAGCCCGGTCCAGCCCTCCCCGGCCGACACCCCGTTTACGCCACTGAACCAACGGGTCGCAAACATGTTCGAGCAGAAAACCTTACCTAGCAAGACCATCCAGCCCGTAATTCATGAGCTGGATCACATGATCACATCTCCCGTATATTCGATGCAGCCGGTTTTCGAGGTGGATGTCTCCCCCGTGGGTAACAGCCATCATACCCAGTCGCCAGCCACACAAGAGGACGAAAAGCATTGGCCATACCTAGCCTATATGGCGCGGAAGCAGGCCGTTGCGATGTCGAGGTGGTCGGTCAGACGTTCGCAGTCGACCAAGTCCAAGGGCGGCGAGTGATAGCTGAGCGAGGTTATTGGGTTCAGAGTGCGAAAGTGGATCACCAAGGCTTGTCACCACCGCAGACGGCCCCACATAGCTAACTTCCCTGCTCTTGATTCATGTAGCCCACGAAATCCAAAAATTTCATCAACAGGTCCTCACACCGTAGTCGGATATGGTGTAATGGTTAACATCGGTGACTCTCACTCACCAGCTCGGGGTTCGATTCCCCGTATCCGAGGACGTTCATTTTGCTCTTCGCTCATCCGTGTCGCCGTTCTGGCAAAAGTGGCCAGCGTGTGCCCTCATATCCCCCACCGCACTCGGCGTTAAAGGCCGCTGTACTGTGTCAACGATCCATGTAGTGAAAGCCAGGGAAATGCGTATTATCTTTTCTTTTGATTGGCGTTTCTGAAGGCATTGTTTTGCTCCCTCTTAACTTTCCCTTCGCCACGGCCTGGAGGTCTCTTGAGTCCTGTGGCAGAACGGTATCTGGCAGCGTAGTGTGTCGTCGCTGTCGCTGTCACAACACTGCCTAGATTGTCAAGGGCTGCGGTGTACCAAAGACCGGGTGCTTTCCGGGTGTCCACGTGCAGTCATGCTAGATGGTCGTCGCTTGAAGATGGATGAATCAGGTGATGGCTTTGGGAGAGTCAGGCATGTGAAGCACGACTGGTGTACCGTCAGTGCTGTGTAGTCAGTCAAGCTCTCATGGTGTAGGCCAGAGCTGCGAACGGTTTACACGCCCGCCCGTGTTGACTCGTGAGCCGCACTCGGAATAGAAACCCGCTCAGACATTCAACCATAGTAGGGCGCCACCACGAGGGCGCGTTGGCGCTTCCGAGCAAGCACGGGTGTGGAGTGCTGGTGAATAGAGTTGGTCCGGCAGAAATGCAATAGAGTGATGCACGGAAAGATCCAGAACGCATCGTGAAACCCGTAGTAAGCACACCAATGATGCAAGGTTTGGACGTGCTTCTTCAGCTCCCGCGGCTCGAGAATGCTAGCCCGCGAAGTCGGCTGTTCGCGACCCTGACTATGGCCTCGTGGGTGCTCGGAGCAGACCGACCAGCAAGCTGTACACCGTCGTGGTTGGGGGCTGGTGCGACTATTGGCATCAGACCTTGCATTGGGAGCTGTATGTTCACTACGTAGATGCGTGTGTGTGGGTGGGTGTGGGTGTATGAGCATGTCCTCATTCTTGCATCTAGCACGCCTCGCCAACACGAGCATGCGGTTAGGTAACGAAAACGCGGTACCCAACGACTCGGAGCGACTATCGACTTGGCGCAGTGAGGCTCGATGATGGCCTGAGAGCAGGAGGGGTTTGGCGGCCACATGCACGGCCCGGGTGCACATGGTAAGTCTACCTCCGTTCTATTCCAGAAGCCTTGATCCCTTTCCCCCGGGCCAATACTCTGCGGCTGGAGACGTAGAAGCATCGGGTGCTCATCGCGGCCCGCATGCTGCAATGTGACACGCCGCAATGCAGAACGGTTCCTCCGGGAGGCGATGTCTGGATCAAGAAACCCGATTGAAATGGAAAGGGTGGCACGGGCGGTTGAATTGCCTTTTCTCCTCAAGCTTTTCTTGGAATCAATTGACCAAGCAGGAGGTTGCCGCATGGTGTAATCTGACCTTTTACTCAGTCGGGCTGGAAGGTTTGGCGAAACATTGACGCAACTGTTGAGCTAGTGGTGAGCTGTGATGACATGAGGGCTGGAAGCACGCATAATGTTTGGATCTGACCTGCCAGAAACAGCAGGCATTGGGGCCCCCAGCTCATCAGCATGACATTGGGTGACGTCCTGCTTTGCTTGCCAAGGACTGTCAACGTCAAAGGCCACAGAGTCTGACGAGGGTGAGCCCCAGGGGTCCTCTGGGGGAAACCTGCAAATCCAGATCGGCGTTCGGCTGGCTGGCTGGGCTGCTGGGCCAGGGTATCTTGTCATCCTGTACAGTATGCTGTACCCTCAGGGTTTCCTCTCAGGCGTAGATCATGGACCGGCACAACGGGTCCCTGGATGCAAGCAAGCGCAGCGGAAGTGGGCAGCTGCAAGGCACGAGTGGTGAGCCCCAGAAGCCCAGGAAAACCCTGGAGATCGTGATGATGATCGCATGCCCTTAGGGGGCAAGGGGCCCACGTCTGCCAAAAATAGGGAGAAGGGAGGGACAAGAGGAGAGATGGTGCATGGCAGAGGACGCGGAGGCCTGGGCGATCCCGTTGATGATTTGAGTGTGGCCCCACATGGCGGGTGGCTTTGTTGATTCGCGAGTGGAGGATGGACGCGAGGACAGGAATTAATTCACGCGTGGGCGCAGTCGAGGACAGGCACCTCAACCAAAATCGCACTCTCTGCAGAGAAACTGGCAGGGGTAAAGGGGGGGCCCAGCCCAGGAAAACGGAGCAAATTCTGACGGCCGATGACGGTGCCGAAATGCCATTGCTGCTCTTTCCCTCCTGTCTGTCTTTCCGCCGTGTCTGTGCGAGAATACAGTAGCAGCAGAAAATGGGAGCAGCGATCGACAGGGGCCGACGCCATTGAACTCCTGCCTGCCACCTGCCTGCCTGCCCTGCAAAGGGAAGAAAAGAATACGAACAGGGAAGGCCCTTTTTTCTTTTTCGTTCTTTTCTTGGGCAGGACGGGCACCAGGAACGCGCACAAGTTCCGAGGGCCGGGATGTCTGAAAGACGGCAAGAAGTGCATGGCAGTATGGCAGTATGGCAGGCTGGCTGGCTGGCTGGCTGGCTGGCTGCTACGGTCTTCTTCCGTTGTCCTTCCAAGCTTTGCCATGAAATTGAAGTTGTATAGCTCTCCATAGTACTGTCATGTATGGCATGATTTGCTCGGCAACATCGCCAATCCCAGCGTTGCACCAGCTAGCTGCACCCACACAAATCTGGCTGTGCACACGCAATCGCTGGAGCGAGCTGCTCCGTTTGAAAAGGGAAGCCGGTGTGCACAGGTTGGTGGTGGGTGGTGGGCACTTTCCTGCCCTCCTCTTTGTGGGGGTTACTGTCCTTTTCGTGCATAGTACGCACACCGTAACCCACGGACCCAGGAAGGCACAATATGCATCCACTCAAGGTACCTGCCCGAAGGTACCTAGCATTTTCCCTTCCTGGAAGGACTATACGCCCTCGACTCTCGACTCTCAGTACTCCAGACTCCGTACTCCAGACCCCATACTGCAGGCTGCGGAATGCCAGGCTGATCGGTCCTTTGTCCATCTGCAGATGGTTGCAGGCTGCAGGCTGCAGCTCGTGGTCAGATGGGTACTTGGCCTGGTCTCCACAGCGGCTTGAAACAGCTTCTCTGGGGTTGGGTTTCCATAGGTATGTGCTGTAACAGAATACAACAGACTGCTTACGCCCACCACCGCTCTGGCCAGCTCGAGATACCGCATCTCCAAAGCCAGACCTGGCGATGCGACAAACTCTTCACGAGATCAGATCAGATCTGGTCCGGTCGGGTCTGTTCGCGTCCAGCCCAGCAGCACAATCTAAATCCAAGCCCTCCAAAGTTCCGGTAAAAAGTGATGCACCGGCTCCAACCGCCAGAACGAGCGCCTAGCTCTGGTCTGGTCTACCCTAGGTACGGCGGTTCTCTTCACGGCACCATCCATTTCCCCGTGGGCTAGCTGGGCTGGCTGGCTAGTCGACGCATTGGGTACAAACAAGTCTGGTCGTCGACTCGCGCCTTGGCGACCTCCTTTGTCCAGTACTGTTCTTCCGTCTGTGTCTGTGCTTGAAAACCAAGTCGCCCATGCGTTGCTGGCCCGTTGCTGCTGGTCTGGTCAAGCCAACAGTCGAGCAAGCCTTTATCCTCAGCTCGAGCTTCAGCCCCAGCCCCTGAAGCTTGGGTCTTGCTTGCAACAGATAGCAGCAACAACAAACACAAAGCACACAAAGCACCCATGAAAGAAACAGCAGGGAACCAGACCCAGTCCGAGACCCCGAGCCATGCCTTTGCCTCAGGGCGGCATAAGCGGCAGCCAGGGGAGCCCTTCTCCATCCCATGTCTGGTCTGGTCCCGTCTGATATCGCCATCTTGATGTGACATACTTTGTGGTGCCGCACCGTCATGGTTGAGCAGACCTCGGATTATTTCTCCATCAATGCCACTACACCACACCGACCCTGCAGAGATTCAGGACCCTCCGTCATCGCGCCAAGCTTGGGGATCCCGACAGATGGTGTGAGTAGATGCATTTTGCCTTTGGCCAACCTTGGAAGACACTCCCAAACCCCCCTGACTGGCCGCGGTTGACATGGCCTGTCTGGGCCGTGGACCTGGGGAACAGACTCGGATCAAATCAAATCGACTCAATTCAATTATTTATTAAGTCGGCCGCGACTGCCGTCCACTTCAAAGCATACCCTCCTGTCTCTTCTATCGTTCTTTGGCCCCGTGCATTCGTTCTTTGCCCATCCTCACTTGCCGTTGTGCCCATCCGCCTGCAGGTTCGCATATACAGACTCGCACTCTTTGTCGCGTGATCCTCGCAGGGGCCCCGCGCAAATCCTTTCTTGAATCGCAACAGCACCTCGGCAAGGCACAGCCGTGGAGAAGAGTTGCAGAGACCCTCTTGCGATCTCGACCCTCTGCCCAAGCCACCCATCACCGAGATTCATTCGCTTGTCGACATTTGCCCCTTTTGCTCACTCCCGTCACGACCCGGCCGGCATACCATCTCAGCTGCACAAGCGTGGGAACCTCGGACAGCTCTTTTTGTGGCTTCGGACGCGCTGTCAAGACGTCAGCTTGTCGGAACGCTGCAGGAACGGTGTTACAGAGTCCTCAGGGCTGAGAGGCGATAGACTCGCCTCTGTGCTGCAGCACCCTGGGCCGGTTCAGGGCCCGTACATCGTATTCCAATTGTGGATACTTGACAGCGATCCCCACTCACGGCAGTATCCACATATTGCCTGAGAATCGAACTTGGCGGTGAATTCCTGATCCCTACCTAAGCTTCGCCTCTCTTTGATAAAAGGGGACGAGGACCTGGAGGGCGGGCTCTCTGGCTCTGGCTCTGGCTCTGGATCTGGCATACCCATTTCGAAACACCCATCAACTCACACAACCACGTTCGTTTCCGTAGCTTTGGTAGATTTTACTCGAGGAGGGAATGCATACACAACCCGCAGCAATGGCGCCGTACAACGCAAAGGTTGACACGCCTCGTGATGTCGAGGACGATGATTTCGATTTCGAGTACTTCTCCCGTACTTATAAGCCGCTATCAAACCTCCCTACCCCTCCTCCGTCATCGAGGAATTCGGCTTCCCCAAGTCCAGTCCTTGGCCTGGACAATGACGAGTTTGTCGACTCCAAACTATTAGGTATGTGTTCAATTGATGGGGGCATGTGTGTTCCGACTATCGTGGCCGCGCATGACTAATCAAGACCGCCTTGCAGGACCAGCAGTACATCTCGTCAACCTTCACCCACCCTCAGCATCCATCGCTTCGCCATCCATCTCCCGCGTCCAATCCATCCTTACCCGCGCCGCCCTCCCTCTCGAAACGATTGCATTGGCCGTTTGCATTCTCGATTCGCTCGACTCCAAGTTCTCCCGCAAATGGCGCATGGACCTGCCCCTGGGGGCAACCTCGTCCAGCAAGCGACACACAATTTCAGCTGCTTCTAGCCTCGTCACACACATTGACTTGGTCAGCCCCGAGCTCATCATCCTGACAGCACTTGTTATCGCCTTCAAATTTACCGAGGACTGCCAAGAGCCAACACAGTACTATGCTTCGGACTGGGGCAATGGTATGTGGACGTGCGACCAGATCAATGCTACGGAGCGGAGTATTATGGAGCACCTGGGGTATCGCATCCTACCACTTTTCGAAAAATCGATTATCGAGGACGCCCTGGACGACATGAAGAGGGCTGGACAAATGGCATTGAGGGAGAGGGAGATCAACAGACAGAGAGTAAAGCTGGATGTTGGCCACTCGAGGTCTATCAGTGTACCTGTGCGACCAGGAGCCGGCGATGCCGTTTTTGGCCTGGGCTTCCAGTTGACACCACTCGACACACCCACCGAAGAGCGATCGATGGAACTGGGTACGCCGCAGTAGCACAAGGCGCTTAGCTCCACAGCCTTGGCTCCACAAGAGGATACCTTGGGCTGCATGTCAGCGACAACACAACGGCCTCAGGCCTAAATATTACCACGCGTGTATTACCAGCATTGCACGCCGGCGTTGAATTCTGCATTGTTTGCAACTAGCGAATTTGATTCACCACAGCGAGGCGTTGGGATCATTGGGATTTTTTGGTTATTAGTATATTCATGGCCCTGAAGAAGAGGCTGAAAAGGGCGTTTCTCAACAGTATTAGAGACATTCAGTACTGAGGAACCGTCCACTGTCGAACGTGGTTTGGAAAAGCGTTATAACACCCGTACTGTAGTAGTATCTAATATGACTCCTTAATGCTTCGGCATACTCGCAAAACACTCTCTTGTCTCAGAACAACAATATCCGGCTTCCCTTGTGCAAATCAACTAAGCCATCAGATTCCAAATCCCGTCAAGCAATTTAATCTGCTCCTGCTGCCTCTCATAAACCTCGTCCTGTGGTCTCGCCACAGGTACGAGGCCTAGGGCCGCCCTCTTTTCATTGATCTCCCGCTTGTAGCGTCGCACATCACTTTGTGTATCCTCACCAACGTACAACATGTCTTTCTCGACTCGGTCCGGCCTCCAACCTAACGCCCAGTGCTCCTTCATGTGTCTACACCATGTCAGCCACTCACCGGCCGCGTCGAGCTCCGAACAGAGCCTCTCAGCCTCATCGTCAATCTTCTTGAGGTAATCCAGCTTCTCATAGTCCTCCTCGGCTAACTGGCCCGTGGCATCCCTCCTCCTCCTCTTCCCCTCGTACGTCATCACGTACCGAGACCGAGATCGACCGGCAACATACTCAGAACACCGCCTCGAAACAGCTAGCTGGTCCTCCTCCGCGTCGCCGCACGCCGCCTGGAGGTCCCCAAACTGCGCGGGGACGAGAACGGGGAACTGCCGCGCCCGCTTGAGGTGACCGACGACAAGTTTCCGCCGGTGCGCGCACACGGCCACGTACACCTCGAGCTCGCGCAGGATCCTGTCCATCCTCGCCAGGTCGCGCGCGCGCGGCGCCCCGCCGACCAGGCCCCCGTACAGCCGCAGCGCGTCCTCGTTGAACGAGAACGCCAGCAGCGTCAGGTCCAGGCGCGGCCGCAGCTGCGCGAGGTTCGCGAGCGTCGCCTCCTGCGCCTGCGCGCGCCACTTCCGCCCGGCCCCGGCACCGGCGAGGTCTGGTGGGCCCAGAGGCGCGAAGAGGCTCGCCCGCAGGCTGGTGCGGAAGCCGCTGGTGCGCCGGGGCTCGCCTTGCTCCGTGGCCCTCCTGTGCAGCGTGTTGTACCCGTTGATCCGCTCCTCTCGCCTAGCTTTGGACACGGCGGCCCAGTGGAGGAGGGCTGTCGCGCGGGTTCCTCGTGCTGAGCTGTGGTATCTCGACAGGCTCTGCGCCTCGTGCCAGGCGTATGCCTTCTTTGTGGGTTCAGTAGGTGGCTCGGCTGCCAGCTGGCTGGCGTACTCGTCGTGCCTGCGGCCTAGGTAGGCCTGTGTGCTGAGGATGATCTCCTTGCTGGTTTCCAAGGCGGCCCGGTCTCGGAACGCATTCTCGCTCTCTATCGTGTAGGGCGATATTTGCGCTGCTTCTATGACCTTTGGACTGACTGTTTCGGAATCACCAAGTTTGTCCCTGGATCCGTTCCCAATTCTGTCATCAGAATCGTCCTTATGTTGGCCCTTCGTAGTTGGGCGGGGCAAGGTGGGACTGAACGATCCCACGGATGGCAGTGATGAGGACACAGGTGAGGATGGCGCCTTGAACACCTTGGTCTCTCTTGCAATTTCGGCGACATCTGTCGGAAGTTGTGATAATTCGGAACCCGCTAAAACGGTTGGGTGTCGATATGGGCTCCCGCGTGATCTTCGGCTTGCGTACGTGGGCAAGCGTGGGCTTGAGGGCGGATTCTTTCTTTCCACGAACAAATCTGACGAAGAGGCCTCGGAAAGCCGTCTAGATAATGACAGGGATCCTCGGGGGGGCTCGGAGGGTTCAAAGTGTACCTTTGTCTCGTGGGGCTCAAATTGCACTCTTTTTAACAGCGGCTCCGTCGGTAACAGTACAGTAGTTGGAGCCTTAAGAACTCCAGGTTTCCTCGCGACCATCTTCACAAGAGGCGCGTGCAGCGGACGGTACGCATTTCGAGATTCTGAGAGAGGGCCCCTGATTTTGTCTTGCTCGGAGCCTGGCTTGCTGTTGTTAGGACTGTCTGGGGTTGTAGGTGATTCTGAAGCAGGAGGCTCGCGAAAAATGATGTACCGGTCAGAGTCCGCCCTCAGATTAAAAATGTACATGTGAAACTCATGTTGGAACGGCCACAAGGCCGCTTGAGCCCTGTTGTATTCTTCCCAGTTGTCCTCTGGATTCACATAAAGCTTTTTCCCAGCGGCTATCAAGTGTCTCTCAGCCTCTAGGAAGAACTCGAATGCTCTTCTCAGACATGGTTCTAATATGTCTCGTAGGTGGGACAGGCATGTCTTCTCTGCACTGGAGATGACTGGATTGATCCATAGTCCTTGAAGTTCTCGTCCAACCAAAATAGCTTTCCCAGAGTAATCGTGTTCGACTCGTATAGCATAAATCAGTTTCTCATACTGCTCAAGAGAGAATATCCAGCGGAATGAACCGAGAAGTTGAACCATATAGGTGACTTGTGCGATGACTTGTTGGTATTGCGGGCACCACTGCCTCAGTACGCGCAGCACGGAGTAGTAGCTCTCAATGTCTTTGTGAGTTCTAGTTGTTAAAGACTTTCCCATCTTGCTGGTTGCTGATATCGATGACTGGCAGTCCGCAGTAGGTACAGAAATCACCGGAGTCGCTGGTTTGTTGTCATGAAATCAAATTACAAGGGCAGGGTTCCTAATATTTTCTGCAAATGTCATGTATCAGTAAGGCAGCGCAAAGAAGTCTATTCTTAGTAGCACCGCATGTCAAAGAAGCCGCATTAGTCCACAAACGGTGATGTATCCAAGGCAGAGACAATGAAATTCGACTTCCGTGATCAGCAAAAGGTGAAAAATGAAATGCAAATAGGTTTTATATTCTGATAAATGGCAACTACCGTCAGATATAGATAGCTAGGTTGAAGTGATCATTTCCAATTCGTCTCAATTACAATACCCGAGTTCAGTTCGACCAAAGTGAGCCGCAATCAAAACCACTTATCGAGTCTATCCTTGAAAACAATCTACAGAAGTACGGATAATATGATTTCGTTATCTCTCAATTTGTTATGTGTAACCCTTAAGGCCGGAAAAACTATGTGTGCACAACTCTTTTCAGTGATGATACTTGTACATGCGAGCACTCTAACTCCCAACATCTGAGATAAGCCACTAGAGTCTCAAAAAGAGTTTTTTTCTTTTAAGAGAGAGAGGGGGGGAGTTAGGAAAATGAAAGATTCAGTCCGATTTGACTGTCAGCTTGGATTGAGTATAGTATATTTCGAAAGATTAATCTCATTCATCTTAAGGGCATCCCTGTCAATATTTCAGAGCTGCCCTGAATGTCAAATACGTTGTCTGCACAAATCAACACAAGCTGATGTATTCGGTTCCCGATGCTTCTAAGCACTATCAATTTCTCATAACAATAATCAGCATTCATCCTGCCCACCCTGTTTTAACAGTTTTTATAGTTATACAACTATTGTCACCACCACAGTCATATGGACACCCGGGCACCGATTAAGATTAGCATTGCATTGATGGACTCGACTACATTCTACAAGGCTCTCTCACTACCACTTCATTGAAAAATTGGACTGTGTCCGGCACGAATTCGTCTTCCAGGCTTCGCTATTGGGAGCACAAAATACACTTACTTGTGTCAGATAGTGATTTGTTGTGTAGAACTTCCTCGAAGAGATTGAGCATAGCTTCTTGGTCCGCAGGAACCAGCGAAGCGCTCACTTACCACTTTTTTCCCGCAGTGGTTTGGTAAGCTGTCAATTCCTCGATGGCTTTGTCTATTCTTTTCTTGCAAGTCGATATCTGAAGCTTGACTTCAAGCTTCTTGCGCTCGTCCTTCTCGGCGTGATAAGAGATCCGCAGGGCCTCGAATTTTCCAAACAGTATGTCGAGCAATTGCTTGTTTATGTGCGCGTTAGTGGCTAGCGAACACTCGAAGCACTGCGGCGGAATCACGCCTCCGACGGGGAGCGTATCTGGGGTACTCAAGAGATTCTCCCTCGTCAGTGGGCGAATGAGGCGGGATGAATGTTTACAGAGTTGATACTCCAACGGCGTGCGACAAAAGGGGCATGACTTGTTGAAGGAAAACCAGTTTTTTAAACATTCATAGCCGGCTATATGTCCGCACGGTAAGATTGCTACGCTTTGGTCGTCGAGTGCCTTTTTGTCCGATCGCAAGAGGAGTTGGTTCTCTTGACATATACCGCAATTTCCCAGTTTGCTGGCGTCGACTGAAAGTGTTACCTTTGGGCAGGGGATGAAGTTTGGGTTTTCAACCTCGATTAGTAGAGCCTCAAGCTCGATGTGTTGATAAGACATTTTTGAACTCGCAAAAGTGGGTCGAAGGAATTGAACTGACGTACAATTTCAAGATGTTGAATTGATCAATGGTCAGGTAATCGAATGTTGAGGATCGAACTTCAGGGGCCAAGGTGTAGAGCATGGTGGATCTATATGGTGCTCAAGGCGAAGGCTGTAAGGTTTCAATTGTTCTCTTTGAATCATCTTGGTCTGTTTACTCATTTATTCACCTCTCATTGTCAAGCTCTAAGGAACAAAGAGCGCAGGATGCAATGCACAATAATAGCATTGTTTTCTTTATGAACTTATTCCGCCGGCCGCGAATTAGGTAGAAAGACTCAAAGAGCGGAACTTCGTGACGACAGTGGTCTGTTCAGCAAGCCAATGAGACAAGCCGAGGTGTCATGTAGAGGTAAATGGCGCTGGATAAACATGTTTCCAGCCTCAACGTGCTTTAGTGTCGTCGATGGACCCATTAAACCACGGGTGTGCAGGCCGCAGAGCCGCTCCCCAACAGTTTGACTCAGTTGAAACCAGCCAATGGGAACGTTGCTATTTCTGCTGGGCCGTCACATCGTGAGGGAGATGACTGTATGCAAGATCCAAACGACGGGGGTTAAGGTTCTAGTTACCTCGGCTTTCAGAGGTCACTTTCTGCTTCTGGAGCAATGTGCACTGCGCAAAGAAGTCTGAATGCTGAGGCTAGCCCCCCATTCGGGGCCACATGCATTGTGCATGGGTGCGGGGGTCGTCAACTCACACACGCATCTGTAGAAGCGACTGAGTGCTTTTTTTGTCCGAGTTGAGTGACATGTTGCTAGGGTTGACACAGTCATACTTACAATCTTACCCAAGGACCAGTTGACAAGATGCTGTCTCCTGCCGGACCAGCAGTGCGTCTGACGCTGTCGCGAGCTCAGGCCCCCGGGCGAAGAGTTGCCCTCACTTCTTTTGTTTCCCGCCGGCCGAACGGAGCAGGATATATCCACACTGGTGCTACCGCCCCCGGCCGCCGGATGTCGACAGTAGTCGAGGATCGCATCATCGAAAATACACACGTGCCCCCACCTCCTCCCCGACCTCACAGCTCTACCACGGTCTCTGTCGAGGCAGAGCGCCCGACAAGCGACATCCTCAAGCGTGCCGTGAAGGCCACCGGTGTTCGCAATGACTGGACAAAGCAGGAGATCGCAGCCATCTACAACCACCCGCTGATGGACCTGGCATTCCAGGCTGTAAGTTTCCCAGTCAATTGGGGTCCTGATATTCAGCTGACTTGTCCTCTCACTCCAGGGAACTGTTCATCGCCGATTTCACAACCCGGCTGAAGTGCAGCTATGCACTCTGATGAACATTAAGACAGGCGGCTGCAGCGAAGACTGCAGCTACTGCGCCCAGTCCACCCGCTACCAGACGGGCGTCAAGGCTCAGCGCGTCGAGCCTGTCGAGGCGGTCCTCGAAGCTGCCCGCACCGCCAAGGCCAACGGCAGCACGCGCTTCTGCATGGGCGCTGCGTGGCGGGACATGCGGGGGCGCAAGAACTCGCTCAAGAACATCAAGGCCATGGTCGAGGGCGTGCGCGCCCTGGACATGGAGGTGTGCGTGACGCTGGGCATGATCGACGACCAGCAGGCCAAGGAGCTCAAGGAGGCGGGCCTGACCGCCTACAACCACAACGTCGACACCAGCCGCGAGTTCTACCCCTCGGTCATCACCACGCGGACCTACGACGAGCGGCTCAAGACGCTGGGGCACGTCCGTGACGCCGGCATCAACGTGTGCTCGGGTGGCATCCTGGGCCTGGGCGAGAAGGCCGAGGACCACATCGGGCTGATCCACACCGTGTCCACGCTGCCCTCACACCCCGAGAGCTTCCCCGTCAACGCCCTCGTGCCCATCAAGGGGACGCCATTGGGCGACAAGATCCCCATCGAGTTCACGGCTATACTGCGCACCATCGCGACGGCTCGCATCGTGATGCCGAGCACGATCATCCGCATTGCCGCGGGCAGGAAGACGATGAGCGAGGAGAAGCAGGCCCTGTGCTTCATGGCTGGTGCTAATGCCATCTTCACGGGGGAGAAGATGCTTACTACGGAATGCAATGGCTGGGATGAAGATGGAGAGATGTTCAAGCGGTGGGGCCTTGTGCCTATGAAGAGCTTTGAGAAGAGCCCGAAGCCCGAGCCGGAACTCCAGTAGGAGAAGTTTATCACATTTGCATGGAAATAGAATTCGTTTAAGACCCAAATCCAAAATAGACGCAGAATGACTTTTATTTGCGTCCAGATCAGAGTCTTGCCTTCTCGATTTCGTTGCCTCGGCCTGTATGTTCCAGCATACCCTGAGTCGGGCAAGGCTGTGAGTGGCGCATTTCCTTTTGCCTCATAGTGGCCCACTCAGCAACCACCATAGCTAGTCTTTCAACCTCTAATTGCGTGTTCCCGGCGTGCAAGCATACTCTCACCCGCTCGGTCCCATGTGGTACTGTAGGTGCTACTATCGGTCGTACCATCAGGCCTTGCGCTTGGCAGTGACTGGCCAAGCTACGCGGGTGCGGCGTGAAGACGGGAATGATTGGAGAGATATTGTCGCCGAGGGGAGCCAAGGCAAGTATTGCAGGCGCTGATGGGTCTTCGGCAAGGCTCGAGACGATTCGAGAGAGCAGGCGATGGGTAAGGCGAATGAGATGCTGGAGATGTCCAAGCAGCATCTCGGTCTTGCCTGCGATCATAAAGTCGTACGAGGCTTTGATGCTGGCAAGCGACGGAAACGACATGGCTGTCGTGTATATCAGAGTTCGGGCGTAGTTTATGAGATATTCACGGGCAATCTTTGAGCAGAGCACGACGGCTGCAGACGTCGCATTTCAGCTTGTCAGCACTCTTCACCGCCACTGAGGCATATTTGAACAGATCCAGGACGGTCAACAACGGACAGAATAAAATCACAAAGGACTCACCACCTTGACTCCCAACAGCCTTCCCGAACGTCACGACCCGAGCAAAGACCTTGTCTTCCACACCCAACTCACAACACAAACCTCTGCCTTGCTGCCCAAAGATGCCAGTGGAATGCGCCTCGTCAACAATCACGTAGCCATTCCCCTGCGGCAAAACCTCTTGGACGACGTCAAGGATCTCCCGCAATGGTGCCAGGTCACCGTCCATGCTGTAGACAGCCTCCACGGCAATAAAGATACTGTGACTGCCCTTTCGTACGCTAGTCTCTCCTCTAGCCAGCTCTTTCAGCACCTCCCGGAGCCCACTGGCACTATTGTGCCTGAAAGGTAGCCGCCGCGTGGCTGGCACGCGGGATAATCTCATGCCATCATGGACACTTGCGTGGATCAGCTCGTCGTAGACGATGAAGTCTCCAGGCTGTGGAACGCATGAGAAAAGACCCACGTTGGCGTCGAAGCCAGAAGTGAAGAGAAGAGCGCTGGGCGAGTTGTGGTGCGCGGCAATGAGGGCCTCGAGCGAGTCTGCGAAGGGGTGGTTGCCGTCCAGAAGGCGCGAGCCACGGGACCCGAGCTGCGGCGGCGGCGACGAGGATGAGGATTCTTGTTCGAGGCGGGAGCTATAGCCCCGCTGCACAAGATCGAGGAATGCCTGGCGTATGTGAGGATTGGTGGAGAGGGATAGGTAGTCATTGGAGGAGAAGTCCACCGTCCCTGGCGGGACCGTTGTGAGCCGTCGTAGCAGTGACCTGGAGCGACGGCGTGAGATCAAGGAGGAGAATGTGGCCTCCAGAGGCGAGGGCAAGCCTTGATTGGGCATAATCACTGACGCCCCAGCTCGAGATGATGACTTGGAGCCTCTTCCTGTGCTCTCATCTGTCCGAAGCGGCTTTTGTCTTAGCGACTGGAAACTCAAATTCGCTCACTTTCAGCCACGAGACTCGCGCTGCCCTTGGCCCGATACCGCAGTCAGCCTTCTTCCTCTAGGTTTGATAGGTCACCAGACGAACTCGGCCCTGAAATCACACTGGGTCCCTTCCGTTCTGAGCCTCAACAAAATCGAATCGAAGTGACTACCCAATACCTATCTAATACGTACGTAGGTAAGTCTCGAGTCTTTCGAGGTTGTTAGCCCTGAACCCTGAAACCCTGAACCCAGACCATTCATCCCTCCCCCTCCCCCTCCCCCTCCCCATTCTGCAATCCCCAACAGCAATTTCCAACCCCTCTGGATGGTGGGGCATTGAAGACCCGAGGTTCGTCATGGGAAAGCTTCTCGTTCTAATTTCTACATAGGAGCCCGTACCTTTTCCTTCTCACCTGGGACAAACGCAAGCGACCCCAGCTTTGCTTCCGTGTCCATGAGCCGCAACACGCCCGTTGGCGGGCTGCTATGGCCGTCACTGCGCGCCTTGCAGATCTGGGGCGCCAACACTGACGTTGGCAAGACTATCTTCTCAACCATCCTCTGCCTCTCCGTTGCCGCCAAGCGCCACAAGGAGGGCGTCTTTTACCTCAAGCCTGTGTCCACAGGTTCCGCTGAGGATGCCGATACGAAGCATGTCCGGGCCGCGTATTTGGGGTTGCGGAAGCTGATGAAAGGGACACAACTCGAAGCTAAAACCATCGCACAGTACGACATCCCAGTCAGCCCTCACATTGCCGCTGCCGAGTCCGAAAAGGTAAGCCAAGACCACTTCCTTCACGGCTTCTCGCCTCTATGCTGGATGTTAAACTCACTCGTGTGTGGTTGCAAAGGGCGGCATTTCCGACCAGGACTTGCTTGCTGCCATCTATTCCCGCGCCTCCGAGTATGCCGCCGCCGCCTCATCTCCGCGGTCACTCGAGCAGAAATGGATATTCTGCGAGACCGCTGGCGGTGTGCATTCTCCAGGCCCGTCTGGCACCTCTCAGGCTGACCTGTATCGCCCCTTGAGGTTGCCTGCTATCCTGATCGGTGACTCTAGGCTTGGGGGCATCTCAGCTACCATCAGCTCGTTCGAATCCCTTCACATCCGTGGTTACGATGTGGAGTCTGTGCTTCTCTTCGAGAACGAAACATATCGAAACTACGACTATCTCAAGTCGTACTTTGAGGAGCGGGGTATCCCTTGCACTGCTTTGCGGCCGCCGCCCGCTCGTGATCAAGACCCTAAAAAAGATACCAGAGTACTGCATGCTTATTACAGTGAAATGGCCAGATCTCATAACATCCGGAATGTCTTGAAGGATCTGAATCTCCGTCATGAGAGGCGCATCAAAAGCCTCGAAACCATGGCCGAGGACGCTCAGAAGACGATATGGTACCCTTTCACACAGCAAAAGCTGCTGACAGCTGATAAGATTACGGCGATCGACTCTGCGTACGGTGACCACTTTCAGACCTTTTCCGCAAAGTCGCAGGCTCCCAAAGAATTGGATTGCACTTCACCTCACAAAGTCAAAGGGGAGGGACAATCAACACCCTTACTTCGCCCCTCTTTCGACGGATCTGCTTCCTGGTGGACTCAAGGCCTCGGCCATGCCAACCCGCAAATGACCCTTGCCGCTGCGTATGCCGCCGGCCGCTACGGACATGTCATGTTTGCTGAGGCTATACATCAACCTGCGCTGAAGCTCGCCAAGACTCTGATCGAGCAACTAGACAATCCACGCCTTTCTCGTGTTTTCTACTCCGACAATGGGTCTACCGGTATCGAAGTGGCCACCAAGATGGCTCTCCGCGCAGCTCGGCTACGTTATGGCTGGGGTCCCAGAGAGAACTTGAGCATCCTTGGTCTGAAAGGCAGTTACCACGGGGACACAATTGGTGCGATGGACTGCTCTGAGCCTGGAACTTATAACGAAAAGATTGAATGGTACAAAGGCAAAGGCTACTGGTTCGACTTCCCGACTGTCAAAATGACCAACGGGAACTGGAAAATCGACGTCCCAGGCGAACTCAAAATTGATGGGAGTTCAGCAGGCGTGGCAGAATTCTCGGGCCTCCATGATATATTCGACTTGAAAGCCCGGCAGAATACCGAGACGTATCAAGATTATACCCGATACATTTCCCGCACGCTCGAGAGTCTTAGAGACCAGGGCTTTAAGTTTGGCGCTCTCATGCTCGAACCAGTCGTGCTAGGAGCTGGCGGCATGATGCTGGTCGACCCGCTCTTTCAGCGGGCTCTGGTGGATGTAGTCAGGAACAACCCCGAGCTCTTCTCTCACTCCTCTGCTGCTGCAGATGTTGAGGACGACAGAACCTGGACGGGTTTGCCTGTTATCTTCGACGAAGTTTTCACCGGTCTTTACCGCCTCGGCAGCCACAGCTCTGCCAGACTTCTCGGAGTGAACCCCGACATAACTGTCCATGCCAAGCTGCTGACAGGCGGACTCATCCCCCTTGCTGCTACTGTTGCTTCAGAGTCCATATTTCGCTGTTTCGAGAGCGATGACAAAAGTGATGCCCTGCTGCACGGTCACAGTTACACTGCTCACGCGGTTGGCTGCCAGGTGGCTATCGAGACTCTAGCCACCATGGAACGTATGGAGAAACAGCGTGCGTGGCGAACTTTCGAGGATGAATGGGCGAATACGGCGGAATCTCCACTGCTTGAAAAGAGTAACGACGAGCAGAAACCTGCTGTGTGGAGTGTCTGGAGTCGAAAGTTTGTACGAGAGCTGTCCACCAGGACGGATCAAGTGGAGGGTCTTTGGGCTCTGGGAAGCGTCTTGGCAATCCACTTCAAGGATGCCACGGGCTCCGGTATGTTTGCCCCCTATCACAAAATTGCTCCCTGCGTGTATGGCTGACATGGGCGCCAGGTTACAAATCAAACGCCTCCCGCGCATTGCAGGCTGAGCTCCTGAAGGGCGACAAAGACATCGCGGGCTCCAATGTGCACTCGAGGGTCCTGGGCAATGTCTTGTACCTGATGACGTCGCAAACAACAGATGTCGCGACGGTAAGGCACCTGGAGCAGCGGCTGCTCAATGCCGAGGCGCTTGGGGGTGACCCGGTCTAAGACAAAATCGAAGACGAGGTTGAAAACGCAGCCTGCATCCCAGATAGCTCAAGCTTCAAAAATGGGAACATTTCAGGACCACACGCCCTGAGGTCTGCACATGTCTGAAAGTGGTCAATCATCACTGTAGTTGGGGCGAGGCGTCTCTCGACTGGTTTCCTTGCCCGTCCACTGCCACATCAACGTTGGACCTCGAGGCTTGCTGGAAGATACATGGCAATATAGCCCATCGCTATCAGCTTTTCAGCACATGCGACCATATCCACAAGAAAATATCGGATCCCGTTCGCTCTCCTGTAATCAAGCTTGTGAGAGGCAGATTAGTAGTTGGGTCGGTGACGACCAGCGAATCCCTGCTGTTGCATGTTTTTTTCTCTTCCTTTTTTCCTGCCTGTTTGACCTTTCTAAGCCGGTGGTGTTTTCTATGCCCATGCTAGTATTGGGAGAAGGATGCTGCTCAGCAAAACCTCTTGATAGAAATGACAGCCCCGATTGCAGAGCTAGGATTGAGCGTGTGGCTTGGTGGGGGAGTTCCGGTGGGGCATTCAGAGGCCTAAAGCATGTAAGATGATTGGTTTGGTTTCATGTGTCCACCATGGACCTGACTTCCACTTGGGGTAGTCTCTGCGGCCCAGCGATATGTGTCCGTGGCTCAGAGATTAACGAGAGCACTGATTCGTCTCATGAGGGTGCCTATTCTCTAGCCATTTGGACATGGAATCAAGTCTCAAAACACCGCCGGCGCAGCGACAGTTCGTGGCCTAGTGACTGGTCCCGTGAGCCACTTCTCAAGCAATGCTATGAAGAAGCTCACGCCCATCAAGCCATCGCTCTACATTCTCAGCAGTCTCAGCATACCACGCGTTCATCAGGTCCTCGTTGACATAGCCCATATGTGGCGTCGTCAAGACCTGTGAACGCCCGTCCCTGCCCCAGTAACCAGCCCTCCTCCAGGGACTGTCGCGCGGCAGCGGCTCCACATCAAAGACATCCATCGCCGCACCACGAATCCTGCCCTTCTCCAATGCGTCCACAAGCGCAGCCTGGTCAATCAACGGGCCGCGCGACGTGTTGACAAGCAATGCCGATGGCTTCATCAGCCCGAGTTCCCGGGCACCAACGATTCCGCGGGACCGCTCGCTCAGGACGTAGTGGAGGCTCACGGCGTCCGCGCTGCCGAATAGCCCCGCCTTGTCCATCGCCAGGAACGTCTTTGTGCCACCGGGCCCCTCATCGGGAGAAAGCCCGACCTGGACAGCCATTCTATCGGCCTTGTCCTGCGTGAGGTTCTCGCTCCAGCACACGACGCGCATGCCCCACGCGAGGTGCCCGATGCGCGCCACCGCCGCGCCCAGCCGGCCCAGCCCAACGAGGCCGAGGGTCAGGCCGGTCAAGCCTGTCGCCAGGCCACTCTGCCACGCCAGCCCCGCACCGCCTGACAGCCCGGCATCGGCCCCAGAAGCTTTGATCGCGGCGTCATCGACGGCGACATTGCGCGCCAGCGCCAGCAGGAGCGCCCACGCGTGCTGGGTGGTCGGGTGCGCGCCACCCTTGCGGATGTCCGGGCGCTGCTCGCCGCGGACGTCGGTGCGGCCGCGCCCCGGGGCCGCGACGACGGCGATGCCGAGCTGGCGCGCGGCGGCGAGGTCGAACGCCTCGAACTGCGTCCCCGTCGCGAGAAGGACCTTTAGGTTGGGCAGCCTGCGGAGCAACGAGCCCGGGAAGGCGGTGCGCTCGCGCACGCTCGAGATGAGGGTGTAAGGCTGGAGGCGCTCGACCAGGCGGGCGGTCTCGGCGTCGTTGTGTGGCACGATTGTGTCCTTGAATGTGCTTATCTGCAGGCTGGCGGGGGGTATATGCGCGAAGTGCGGGGCTGAGGTGTTGAGGTAGTCGTCGATGATAGCCAGCTTATGGGGGCCTGAGAGGGTGGTTACCGTGCGTCTGCGGGGTAGTGGCCGCAAGATTAATGGCCTCATCTGTGACAGAGCCATCGCCTAGTCGGTACTGTATCACCGGCCAAATACAAGCAAAGAAGCATTCGATGTAAGCGGGGACCAGAGACCTCCGAGCTTCGCTAGAGGGGTACAAAGAGGGGCACCAGGCAGCCCAGGGTGTTCGAAAGCATTGAATGCCACTTTCCACTCACGACGATTCAATCGCAACGCTTTCGTACAGACTCGTGCGGATGAGCGGAATAAGGAAGAAGGACCGAGGTTGAACATTAATCCAAAGCAAGACAAACCTTTGTCAAGAGCAAGGGCGTGGGAGGAATATCGTGGCTGGGGTCCCTTCTGAGATGCTTACTAATTGGATTCTTTACGCGAGGCTCCGCCGGGCACAGCATGCGCTCGATAGTGTTGTGGTTTAGACATCCTTTTAGGGCCATGCTTCACTTGATACGTGTTAATTGTCTTGAAATTGAGTACTGAGTATGCAAATTTCTGAAGTGGGGGTAGGGTTCTCGGTCAGTGCTTTTGGTGGTTAGGCATCGAAGATGGACAGACATTCCGGACTAAGTACGGGCCCTGAAGGGCTAGAGGTTTCCACGGACGCCACCCCTAATAAAATCTATAGCGCTTAATGGAGTCAATGTAAATGACAAATACATTGCAGACATGTCCCTCTTGTCCTTCGCAGAACAGTGTGCCGCGGAACTGCCAGCCCTCTCACCGATGGCACACCTGGGTCTGAACCCACATGCATCAAGACCATCTGTCGTCAATTGTTGAATGATAAGGTGTCTGATAATCATATTCACAAGAGAAAATCCAGGTATATGGGAGGACTGGCCAATCACAAAAAGTTGTGGGCCCCTATGCATGCTATTCAGCGGCCTAGTCCTGCGAGTAAGACCAGTCGATGTGGTGCATGTCTTCCCCTTCCGGACCAGGGGTCAGTCTCCGGGTTTGCTACACGACCCTGATTAGCTTCCTCAAGCACCATGACATCACTCTTGTCCTGCCCATAAGTACCTGCGGGTGGAAGTGGGATCTGTCGAATTTATGTGAATGGGGTCGAAAGTTAACCCATAACCACTGGGGCTTAGTAAGGGGCAAGATTAGTCTGCATATGGGCTCCGGAGGAGCGGAGACGCCAGTGTTGCATTTCCACCGCTCGGCCGGTACAGCGCGTAGACAAAGGATCTTGGTAGTGGTGAATTGATAATACGCACCGGCGTTGATTTCGCTTTCCAGAATATAAATAACGAGAGCATTTGCTTTCCTGGGTAGACCGGAAAAAAGGATTCTCATACTCAACATCAACGCACATTCAATTCCATCCTTTTACATCTCAAATATTTCACAGTCAACTTCCACGATGGCGACCGATAAAACGAAACCCTACTTCCCACTGTCCGTCGCACAAGACGGCTGGACAACAGAAGAAGAAGCAACAGCGACTTGTTTCTGCGGTGCCGTCCAGCTAGCATTCGTAAGTCTGACGCCCAAAGCATTGAACATGTCTCAGCCCTTGCAACGAACCGTCTAACACTGCAACAGCCAACCCAAGGTCCCGGTCTCGTCAACACGTTCGTGTGCAACTGTGCGGACTGCCGCAAAGTCACAGCGTCCATGTTCGCATCCAATTTCACCGTCGACGACAAATACCTGAAGCACCTTCGTGGCCAGGACAACCTCAGCAGCTGGGGCCAGGCCAAGACGGTCGCGTCGGGCAACAAGATGACCAACTATTTCTGCTCGACGTGCGGCACCCTTATGTACCGTGTGTCTTCCGGCGCGCCCGGGACGAGCATCCTGCGCATCGGCACCGTCGATGACTTCAACCTGCACGAGACCAAGCTGAAGCCCCAGAAAGAGTTCTTTATCGAGAGCCGGGTGGCCTGGCTGTCGGGAGTTGAGGGGGCGAAGCAGGTGGAGGGGTTTAAGCCGTGATGACGGGGTGCGACCAAATTTGGGGATCGGGGGAGGCACCAAATCTGCGAGGCATTGAGAATTGGAGTTATGCCAGTGTTATATATCATGAATCAAATTTGATTATTTAATACTACTTCTAGCCAGGCTTCAATATTTTCTCCGGCAGGACATACATATCACTTGAAAGCCGAGGGACACATGGTCGGGATTTCTATAAGGATTTTGTTCAATGACACCAGGATGTGGAAGCTTCAGAGAGTACTGCAGCCAACAATATGGCAGGGAATGTGTCCAGATATTCTAGCCAGGATCGGTGGGAGTAGGGACGGGTGCAGCTAATAGCTGTCCTCGAACGGCCGTATTTCGATGCGTTCCCTAACAGCATACTAGAGCAAGTGCAAGATATTTACAATACTATAAATCCTTGACCTTTTCTAGAAGGAACCGGTCAAGAGGTCGTCCTGGACGACTTCATAAAATCACTCAATAGCATCCCTGGCTTCCTTCGGGGTTTCCTTGTTCTGCCTCTCCTGCAGTCTCTGCTGGATGAACGGCCTCATGAGCTGTCGGGCTACCTTGACGTGCTGGCGCACCTTTCGGCAATCCGGAATGAACCAATGGGCAAGGGGCTGCAAGACCCTCGGCCACCGGGTGATCACCCTTGCGGCCACCACAGAGTCGGTGGTGTAGTTGACCGCGATTCGAAGCCATTGTGGATTGCGGCACAGATCTTGGCCCACGAACACCCGAGAGGAAACCTGCGCCACGATCTGAGGTATGAGGTGGAGGAGAAATATTTCCTGCCATTCTGCCATGGAATTAGTCGAGCTGAAACAAGAATTCTTCTTTGGCTTACCCGTGTTATTTTCCAGCACTCCTTCCAAGGCTGTTTTTTCATCTGATACTGGCTGGACAAGGAGATCTTTGATGTCTTTCAGTCAGGCTTCTAGTAACACGCGCAATGCACAAGCACTTACCTAAAGCGCGCGTGATACCAACTAGTGCGAAGTGGGAAAGGACTCTTCTCTCTATAACCCACGCTGAGTAGGATTCGAACCCCGGAATGTGAGCCATAAAAGACTGCCTGATGTCAGTAATGTCTTCCTCTGTGAATTTCAGTCAAATCTCTTATACCTTTTCAAGCCATTTACCAAAGCTCAGACTTTTATGATTTTTAACGTCGTCTACGTATTTGGGATCTATCACAATAGCCTCTCCAAAATTGCAAATCATTCGGAAAGCCCTGCTTTCCAGGATGACCACTTCAAATTTTCGAGCATTTTGTACATTGGTGTTCAAGCACAATGTTGTCACTGTGGTGGAGTCTTGAAAAAGAGGGAGACTACCCGTGACAATATGAGATCTAACTTCCGTGCACAAATAGCGTCCTTTCCTATAGCTGAATATTGCGCAATGCTGAATAGTAGCATCTTCGAAACGTGATGCGGCGATAGCGGACATTTGAATCGGTGATGCTCGGTGGTAGGGGGCTACAGCTTATTGATAAATACGGGGATGGCACACAAAGTTTGACACGAACTATAATAAGTGGTCCCGGGCAGCGACAGGCATCGATTATACGTATAGAGAACCCTGGCTGCCCGCAACCCAATGTTCTGAAACTGTAAATTCGTGAGACAACGACGTGCGAGTACCGCCACTCCGCCTTATGCTTGTACTTGTCATTAGTTCTGCAGCTTAGCCAACAAGGCGTTGGACCAGCGGTCTTGTGACTGCTTAGGCTTTAAAGAACCTTTTTTGTGAAGGCTTGTCCTATATGACTACACTGGTTGATGTATTGGAGAATATACTGGCTAAAGCTATTAAAGCAAGACTCTGCAGGTGGTGGCGGTATTAGCTTGGTGGGAGATACAAAAGCCAGTATAATGACTAGGTAGGACTTTCATTTTGTAAAATTCTCTGGAAAGTACTACTGACTTAGTTAGTGTCTACAGCTGCAAAACAATACCTTAAGGCAGGCAAGATGGCCGAGCGGTCTAAGGCGCTAGACTCAAGGATTAGTCCTTCCCAAATAAAGGGAGCATTCTAGTATCGAAAGATTCATGGGTTCGAATCCCATTCTTGTCAACCTGCGCAGTTATGCTTTGTCTTTTTGTACTTTTCTCTGCACTATTACTAATATACTTTATACAAAGTACTATAATTTACCCCGTCTTATCGTATATTGCTAAATGATAGATATAGTACAAAGTGGTGTCAAGATATTTCTAACCTGTAAATGTGGCTGGTTCTTGGTATTTTTTCTTTGAAATTCTAACCTGACATCAGAAATAGTTGTAGGGGACAGCAATGACGCTGCGCTGGCAGAGATACGTCGCATTGGGTGGTGGTGACGCTCCGCAGGGATCGCTTCGCTCAGAAATACGTTGGGTTTGTTAGGGGTTGACAGAACAAGGTGCCATATCTGGCGCGTTGTTAAGTGGGCTTACACATCGGACATGGCACCTAAAATTCGCTCACAGCTCTTAATATAGTAAGTGCAACATAGCTCTCTGGTGAAGTAGCCTCGTCATTTGCAGGGGCCAAAGTGGACGTCGAATTGAGCCTCTGGTACCTATCTGAGTAATGTGCTCAGCGTAACCTCGGATACCTGTGGGACGCTTCGATAACCTACAAACTTGAGCGGTATAAGAGACAACCTTTTTGACTGGTCCGAGGGTTTACTGAAAACCATCCATGTTCAACCAAGTGAAATATTGCAGCAGCGATAGAATAACGTAGCATTTTCTTAGTTGGTACATTAAGTCCAAGTCGTAGTTTTAGTGACGTATACTCGCCGAGGCCGGCGGTGAGCGACTTGCCGACTCTAAGCAGATACAAGCACTGAAACCGTCATCACTGCTTCTTATTCTGAGAGTAAACGAAGTTTGCGGCTGCGAGAGTTAGCCGAACCATCCAAAAGAATTGGTACTGAACCTGGCATGTTGTGGTTTAAAAGTGTGGGAGAAAAAGGACCAAGAGAGCTAGGGATATATGCAAGGCGTCATAAGAACCCCCACCCCCCCCCCCCCCGAAAAAGGTGAAGAACATGTAGGAGTTGAACATACCCACTGGCACCAAACCATTCTCACGGGACCACTTGCGCACGCCAACCCGGTCACCGTCAAATTCGTAACCCCAATGCCGACGGTCCTCAGGTTTCTTCAAATGAAGCGGGTCAGTCGTCCCGTTGGCAGGCGCAAAGACGAATAACACATATCGGTGCTTTCCGGTCTTCTCTGGCGGGCCTGGCGGATAATAAGGCATGAGTTCCTTCAGATCTGACAATGACAGTGTAAGTGACGAGGAACAGGACGAGTCCTCGTCATCGGAGGTGGCAAGGCCTGTCGCGATCCAGTGGCACATCTCTGACCATTTCGGGTCTTCGCGCGAGGGGGCGTCTGGGTCGGTCAGCGTGACCGTGTATGTGATGTTGGCGACGGAGCTGCAGGGCCCGGCGGCGGATTTGGGACGGGTGAGGGTGATGGTCGGCTCGTCCTGTAGCTTCTTGGGTTTGATGGTGTTTCCGAGCTCAGCCTGTTTGCTTGAAGGCCATTCTGCACCGACGAGGAGAGACGGCAAGAAATCATCAATGACTTGAGCCAAGGAGGTCAGTGACATATTTGTTCGCTGTTACATGGTGCTGTCAGAACCCACCGCTGGGAATGATCTCAGCTTTCTTCAGCCTGAGAAGTTGTTAGCGTGATTAATATTGGACTCAAATCCCATAGATCACTTACTCTTCTTTCACTTGATACAAGTCCTCAGCAGATCCACCATTAAAATCAACCAGAACGTGCTGTGTCTCTTCTGTGGACACAGCAGTGGCACTGCCGAGAAGCTGCACCGCCGCCAGTGCCAGCAGTGACGTGATTTGCAACATCTTCGGTTGCTGTCAGCAGCAATTGGGCGGATGTGCAGGTTTGAAAGTGTTTGAAATTAGTAGTGAGTTTTGGTAGTATTCAGAAGAAGCTGTCTGCTACTTCAAGGTGAGGCAAAGGGAGTGGTGAGTTGTTGACCCCTCGCCGAGGTTTGTGATGTCATCTCCACGACACCTGCCGTACATGGGCTCGACCGTTACTTCAGCTTCCCAACTCAAACAAATTCTCCTCTCCTGCCCCTAGATCTGCAGTGCAACGCACTGACACAAACGCAGAGACCGCTCTGTCACAGAAGTTGCCTATTTCCGGATGTCAAGATCGACATCTCCCTCCCTGAGTACCAGTACATCAGAAACACCAAAACCCAACTAGTTCAGCGGACGACAGCAATCTTAGCCCAGGGGCTAATCCTTCAATGAAGCACCAGTATTTCAGCAAGAGCATGGGAACCAGTTTCCGTCGAAACCATCCCGCATCTCCAGCAATATCAAGGCGGAATGCTGCTCGCTGAAGAAGCAGATACATTCAAAGGCTGGGAGAAGCATTCCAAATCCAACGCGGTGAAATTGATCGCTTCACAAGACAGGTGAGTGCCAGGTAGATAGCTCCCCCGGGCCACCGAACGACCTCACCCAGTCGCCCACACTGGATTGGGCTTGCGGTACGCCTTGCTGTACATCTGAATCGTCTCCCGCAGGGCAGCTATCGTCTCCAAATGAGCCGCTTCACGCTCGCTAAGCGTGTTGATCTCATCGAACTGCTCGTCAACTTGCTCCTCCAGGAGCTCGTGCACCTTCTCTGCCGCCTCGAGCTCTTTCCTGGTGCGCTTGAGCTCTTTGGTTGCGAGGTTTGCCTCCTCAACGAGCTCGGCGTTCAGGTCGCGGAGCTTCTGGTTCTCCTCTTTAAGCTGCTGGTTTTGTAGCGTGAGGCTCTGGAATGCCTCTAGGAAGTCTCCGAGCGCTGCCTGGTCGATGATGGCTCCGTAACTGGGAGTTCCATATCTGGGAGGTGGGCTCTGTGGCGTGACGGAAACGTCATGGGCTGCAGTCTGACTCTTGCGTTGCTCCTGGGGGATGGTGGCCGTCTGCTCAGGATATGCGTTGAAGGGTCGGTCTCGAAGACCACTCGGGGCTTTGGTAGGTTGATATTCGGCTGGTGGGATCTTCCGATTGACGTTGAGTGCCGGCGGCTGGACCTGCAGGCGGATCGAAGTCTTGATGTTATTCTTCCACTGCGCGACGACGTCCTTGACTTTCTCTTTACTGTCGGTCGCCCGGGAGTGAAGAGGGCAGAACATGGCCTCGGCCAGAACTGTCAGCTCTCTGTTGTGGTCCTTGGCGATCACGCCGGCATCCTCCACGGAGATCGAGTTGAGCATGCGGTTGACCTTTTGGCTCCGCTCCTGGCTCACGACGTTCTCGCAACGCCTGTTCCTCTTCGTGAGGGTGGGACAAGACCACCTGCCGGTGATAGGATTCTCAACCTGGAGGACACAGGTGGCGTCCCACCCCTCTGGCTCCGTGGCGTACGCCAGGGTTGGGAAATATGGCTTCATGGCAAGAGATTCAAGGGAAGACGACTGTGGATCAGCAAAGATGATGGCGAGGCTGTCATGGCAAAAGATCACGAATTTCCTCGGTGAGCCGGCTGGGGTGGGGTGGCCTATAAGTGTTCCCAGACTCTACATTTCCATTTCAATTTTCGGCCTCACCGTCAGCGTTGTCGAAGTGGTTTCTGCTGGCTAAGGCAGCATCTGAGACTAACGCCTATTCCATGCACCATCATGAATGGCATAGACCTACACCGCCAATTCTATTGTTGTATATCAGGACGACACTCAGATGCTAAGTCCTGTTTGCAGGCATAATCCGACAGTTGAGATATCCTTTGTACTGCCTATGAGGATATTTTTAAGATCTAGTAGAAATGGTGCCTCGCAGTGTTTGTACTGCAGCACTCCTCACTCAGGCTCTGCGATTGTGGTCTGCTCTTCTGTGTGTACGATCGGGTCACGTGCTTATCACGAATGGCAGAGGGATCATGATTTGAATAGTCTATTAGAATAGTCTTCTTCTAATTGCTCTGTCGAAGCACTGATCAATTAATATTGAGTAGTTGCGTCGCGCGTAAACCACAAAGGATCCAAATATCAAAACAAGGCCAAGTAGGGCACAGCTACTTCAGAAACCGCGTTATGGTAGCATGCCTCTCGTATCAGTCAAAGACGTCTGTGTGGTGGCATTCGTCTCTGACGTCCCAAGGGGCAGGAGACAAAGGAAAGCGTCAACGTTACAGGGGCTATCACTTGTGCAGAACAGGGTGGCAATGTCTCACTGTCTGAAACCAAACAAACCAACGGGGCTTTGACAAAAGATGTGGAATATTGAAACAATGCAGGGTAGCTTGGAGCGTAAGAGTCATTTCCAAATTTCCTATCTGTCCGTCACGCCTCGCCAATCAACACCTTGAAGGCCCGTGTCCCAGCCAAGAATAACACCACAGCACAAGTCCAAGCTTCATCAGAAGTAGTGTACATAAAGAGAAAAATGGAAATACATCCACCCCCAAAAAAGACCTCCACCCATAAACTGCTTAGGCAGAAACACCCAGGGCAGAGTTGAAAGCATCGGCAGCAGCCTGGCCGGTCGCAGCCTGGGCGGCGGTGGACGCCTGGTCGCAGGTGCTGACGGTGTCGGCGGAGGCCTTGCACTTGGACTGCAGCTGGCCGCAGATGAAGTCGGAGATGACCTTGATGTTCAGGGCGCTGCCGTGGTTGAAGTCGGCCGAGTCGACCGGCGCGAAGGAGTTCTCCTTGCGCCCGTCGAGGCCGGCGGCGAACTCGACGGCAGGGTTGGAGCAGGAACCGAAGTCAAGGGCCGCGCGGGCGCGGAGCTTCCTCAGCTTCTTGGCGCTGGCGGCGGCGTTGCACGCGTCCTCTGTTTCATGATGGTCAGTGGACTGGACGGGTAGGATTGACATTCGGATCGGGCGAGAACATAACATACCTTGAGCACCGCAGTCGGAGACGCTGAAGTTGCCGGACCCAGAGTTGGCGGCGTTAGCGCAGGCGTTGTGCTGGACAGCGCAGCTACGCTGGACAGCGGCGCCCTGGTTCACAAATGTATCGCCGTTGACGGAGAAGGGACGCTTGGAATCACCGGAGTCGATGACAGCTGGGGCGGCTCCGCCGAGGGCGCCTGTGAAGGTCTGGACGTTGTTGCCCTGGGCCTGACGGCGGGCGCGGCGCTTCGTGCAGCCTTGAGATGGTTAGTACACTTCACTCCTCATGCTCGATCGGATTAGGAAAGACATACTGCTTGAAGCACCTGCATTGTTGGATGCCGCCACATTGGCCGTTGAGTTGGAGGAGGCAGCACCTGCGCCAGCAGAGACGCCAGCGACGGCGGTAGCGATCTCATCCTTGGTAACATCTGCGACGAGCAGGTTCTGAGAAATGATACATCCAACGGCATCGTTGGCATCGTCGCAGGTGTTGCCGGCGCCAGTGGTATCGCCCTTCTGTCCCGGCGCGAAAGTACCAGTCTGAATAGCCAGGGTGGGGTCGGCACCAATGGAAGCCAGCTGCTTCGCGACGTCCAGGGCGATCTGCTTGTTGCCCGAAGCCTCAGCAGAGGCAGGGTCCTGGTGCTGGGTGATGGCAGCGATCTCAGGGTTTGTCGCGGTCTCGTTGCAGAGGACAGATGCCAGACCGACAGAGCCGGTGTTTCGCTCGAGGGCACGGAACATGATGGCGTTGGCCTGACCATCAACGTCACCGGCTGCCTTGGCGTTGGTGAAAGCCTGGTCAGCAACAATCTGCTGCAGACAATCGAGATTGGCGACGTTGGGGGCTCCCTTAGCAGCCGCAGCGTTGCCGAGAAGGGAGAAGACAGCATCTTGGATCTTAAGAGGATTGTTCAGCTGTAGGTTGGTCTGAGTGACGCGGAGGATGGCCTCGTGGGAGTGCTCCTGAGGAACCTCGCGCTTGACCATGCGCGAATAGGGCAACTCGCGAGCAGCAGCAAGGCCCGCGAGGGCGACAATGGTAACTTGGTACTTCATCTTAGCGTCTAAGGCGAACTAAAAGAGAGTGTTTGAATAGAGAAAGGTCCGGCCTGTTGTATTATGAAAAGAGCGTCAAGCTGTAATGTTCGCAGAACTAAAGAGTGAAGCCTCAAGTGAGTGTGATAGTGAGATGAATAGGATGGGACGAAAGAATGCCAACCTTGAGACTTCTCGAAGGATATATAGGATGAGAAGGGATATGATCGTGCCCAGGTCTCTCGTCCCAAGTCACTAGACGCAGAACCTTGCCCGGCGTTGTGGCATCACGGGCCTGGATTCCACCTTAGCGACAAAGACCAGACGCCAATGACGAGTCCACATGTACCCCTTGGACGAATTCTCACCATCGTCGGCAAGACTGAGGCCCGGAATGAAACCATCACCAGAGGGGCCAGTATGGGGCCCCTGCAACATGGCTGCAAACAGGGGTAGTTCGGCTAGAGGGCTCGAAGATCTACCGCCAAGTCTGAGGAAGGTCGTCAAGGGCAGGGAATCCTCCGGAGACAGAGTTGCGGGAGCAAACTCTCAATAGAGTTTGAGATTTGACAAGGCAGCGTATACCTTGTCACCCTCAGCCCAGTTTGAAGCCAGGACATTCGATGCGAGCCGGATCCTCGAGAGCCTCATTGCATCATACCATTTCTCGTACAGAGTAATGCTCACAGCAAGAAAAGGCTTTGCTGTCCAGCTCTTCCAGAGCCTTAGAATGGAACGCCTCAATGTTCAAGGTTCACATCGACGAGAATTCCTGGAGAGAAAAAAACAAGGCCTGGCTCGTTTGTCTCGATGCCGTGGACGGCGGGCGAGATGGGGGCCATGCGACTGGTGGACGGACTGTCAGGGCTGGTCGCGTTCCTCGTCACGCATAGGCACAGGCCGGCAGTAAGCCTCGCCTCCATCGTGGCATTTCGCTCGGCCGTTCTCGTGGGGCAGACCGCTCGGCACACGAGGGCAGGTGCGCGCTACGTGGTGTTCGTCTGGTCCGGTTGAATTGGATGGGACACATGGAAAAATGCGCTGTCGTCCGAGGTCAAGACATCAGACGTAGATCGTGCACATGTTGTCTCACCTTGCCAAGGGTTGAAGAATGAGGTTAAGCGGCTGATTAACCGAGGCTTGGCGCAGCAAGGATACCCCAGAGAAGCCTCTTTGAGCCGCATGTCCCCTGATCAGCACCCAAATCACCCAAATCACCCAAATCACCCAAATCACCCATTTCAAAGCCACCTTGGCCGGCGCCTAATCCAACGCAGTGGCTACTTCGCAACGTTCGGAGTATTCTTCTGACAAGCCTTGCCTCGTGGTCCCTTGAACCCCCTCAAAGGTTGTGATCCACTTGACAGCGTCGGGTCTCACCCGGCGCCACCCATTGTACCTTTGTCATGACTAAGTCTTGCGAACCCATGAACACTGCGTTGAGATCGCCGGAACGCCCGTTTTGCAAATCATCAATGCATGCGTGACTTGAGCCCAGGGGTCCTGCAAAAGCAGATTGCGCAAGCAACATCGGACGGAAGGGGACTGCCAGGAAGCGGGAAGTACTGTCACGCTTGAAGGGGCATATTCGGACCACGAGAGTAAAGACAAGCTAAAGTAGACCGACACGGTAAAAATGGACTTCTAGAACCCGGAACCGTCCTAAGCTCACATCAGACCTCTTGGGCGTGATGTTGACTTGCTGCTTGGGAACTCAAATCCGACCCGAAGATCTCGCACTCCGGGTCTGTAACAAAGATCGCCTTTTGTGTCCTCTTATTAATCTCTAGATAAGCTTCTCAAGGCCCTCTAAGATCGCCTGGTTGAGGCCCAACCGTCATCGCTAAACACGCGTAAAAGGCCCCCATGACCGCATCAACGCCTCCCACCTGTCCCCCTTTTCTCCAAGTGCTAGTCGTGCTAGTCAAACTACACCCTGACTGTCTCGGCTCCGAGAATAAATATTGAAAATGACTACTTGACCTCGGCCACCCTGTGATGATCCGAGTTCATCTGAAGAGTAATTTTGGAGTCACTGAACCCCAGTAAGGCAATTGGGGTGCCAAACACCCGATAGCGAGGCCTGCCTGGGCCGGGTTTGTTGTGAGATATTCTCGTCAAGCATCGGCCAAGAGCCCGTAATTTGGATCGAGGGGGTAGCCAAACGTCACGAGAACCATAAATAATTGCAAATCAGCCAGCTGCAGCCAAGCATGAACATAGTTGCGGCAGCATCTGTCACTTCAGCCCTGTCAACCTGCCAGACCAAACCAAATGATCATGCGTGGCGTCCTGTCATGCGAGATGTCATCCCCAGAAGCGCGTATACATCCCCCCAGCAGGCGCCGCATGACCCAGCATGTCGGCGCTCAAACGACAAACAAGAGCGCCTTGGCCAGGCAAGTGGCTGGGAAATTTTCGGGACAGGTGGCTTCGGCCAGACTTGCCGGGTCGACGATCTTGCTTAGGGCACCAAGATACAAGGCACGAGGCTTGGCCTCCAAAAGCGAGGTCGCTGGTGGTCGCTGGTGGCCGCTGGTGGTCGGTGAGAAGCTTGGGTCGGGATCTGCGTTAAGGAGTAGCCGCCTGGCGAGGGAGAATAGTCGCCGGCACCTGTCTGAAACGGGGCCTACAAGAAGGCGTCAACGTAAGATCTAGCCCTGGACTGTCGCTTAGCCCAAAGTTTATTCAATTCCATATCGCTTCCAAGTGCTTGCCAAGATCGTGCGCCTTCTGTGATTATTGAATATTGGTAAGTTGGGCGGGTAATGGTCCGTTAGTGCACGCCATCACACATTCTGCTGCCCAGTGGCTAACATAGAAAAGGTCTTGTGGATTTTCACTGCTCAGATGCTTTTGTACAATGGCATTGCAGCGAGCCAGTCTAGAAAATGCCCGCCCTGTCATCTCTTCCCGTCTGTCTCTCCTCTGTCTGTTGCCGTCTATATGAGTGACGATGTCGCCCCCACGGACTAGTGGTAAGGAGTGGCGACGACCGTCACCGACCGTCTCGTCATACTCATACACCCAATCTAACCGAACCCGTTTAACCGATAATCAACTTGTCGTCTTCGGGGAAGTCGTATTCGGGGATCTCGAGGTTGAGAGGAGCAGGTCCCTTGCGTATACGGCCGGAGATATCGTAGTGGGAACCGTGGCAGGGGCAGAACCATCCACCGAAGTCACCAGCCTCGCCGATTGGCACACAACCCAGATGTGTGCAAACACCTATTGCCTGTCAGTCCCAAGTGATTCCCAATGTCCGTATGATGTCACCATTGCCAGCCTGAGCTGGGCTCGGCGGACGCGGTAGGAAGGGGTCGAGCACTCTGCTTACCCAGCATGACCAGCCACTCGGGCTTCTTCACACGGTCCTCGTCCTGCTGAGGATCCCGTAGCGACGAGACGTTGACCTTGTTTGCCTCGGCAATCTCGCCCTCGGTACGGTGTCGGATGAACACGGGCTTGCCTCGCCACTTGATGATGACCTGTATGGAGCTCCACGCATCAGACACTTGACCTCCCTATCTTGATACCGCGCTGGCTGTACTTACGTTCTTGCCCTCTGGGATTGCTGAAAGGTCGACCTCGACCTTGGCCATGGCCAAGACATCAGCTGAGGCGGACATGTTCTTCAGAAATTCTGCCCATCGCGTCTGTTAGCATCACGTCTCGTATCGCGCCGGAAACCCGCGCCGGACAAGCACCCAGTGCCCCGTATCTTCTGCTGTCCCAATTGACTTCCAATGTTGCCTCCATCCCTCTCTTTCTGCTCCGGAGGCTGCTCGTCTCGGCTCACCTTGGATTGTGGACTTGGCTCCTGCCGCGGTGACCGTGCCCAAGGCACCGACCATGAAGTACTGGTACATCAGGTTCTTGTTGGCGCCATTCTTGGCGGCGTAGTGGCTGAAGTCGGGGACCTTGGTGGTGGACTGGGAGCCGCGGAACGGGCTCTCGTAGGTGCTGTCGGACGGGCGGACGGCGGTCGTGGACAGGCATCGGACAGCGCTTCGTGGTGCTGCAGAGCGCGCAAGGGCGCGGGCGGCGGTTGTGAGGGGTGCCATGGCGACGATACGGAAAGGAAAGGGGTGGAGTGGGTTGGGATTGACGTCGACGACGATGAGCTCTTTTTGCGAAAGCTTGAAAGCCGGGCGACAGACAGCTAAGAAATTCGAGTGCCTGAGAAAACAGGCCTTGCCAATTGGAATCGGTTTGCTCCTGATTGGGCTGACGGCCGTAGCCAAGTGGGTCCACTCAATCATCCGGTAAGACCCGAAGTCAGCCAACCACCCCCCCCCTCCTCCTCCCTCACAAGTCTAGTTAGATGAGGGTTAGGTGCTATCAATTGACTCGTCGACTGTATCCTTATTGCATCTACACCGTAAATCTACTCCAGTGGGATTCAAAAAGAACGCTTTCTTTTTTTTTAATTCATTTGTTTTTTTGGGTTTCTTGTCTATCATATCTACAGGGGCCTATAGATTGCAACGAACCAAACAACCTTGAGTCTAGTGCATGCGTTTCAACTCCTCCACGATATTTCGCAAATCCTCGACACTCGGCCCGAGTCCATGGGAGACCTCCTGCTGCGTCTCTTCGTCCATATCCAGGAACCTCTCAAGTACCTCGCCGTCGAGAAATCGGAATGGGCCATCACCCTCTCGCTCAGCGTTTCTAAAAGACCTGTACTTGTCCAGTGGGATATCGCCCGGCGTCCTGATCCTGTCCGCGAGCCTGGACTGAAATCTCATGAGAAGATCCTGCGCGTGCGGTGCTACCGTTCCGAAGAGATAGATAGAGCCCTCGACCTGCGACAGTATTAGCTATACGATCCCCACCGCTACCGCTGTTTAGATTAGTGTGACTTACCGTTCCGATGAATGCCTGTGGCACGATCATGGCACTTGTACTGGTCTCGACTGCTACCTTTCTGATACAGTTCACCATCTCGCCCAAGTTCATCTCGCTGACTGTTTCCATCCGCCTCTGATCGTCTAGTGTAGGACCGTCTGGATTCCTCCTCAGCACCATAAGATTCCCCTGAGCATCTGCTTCTAGCCATGAGTGGTCCTCAATGTGAGAAACAGCAGTAGCCCATGCCGACTGGTAGTGGCGTGCGCGCTCCGTCAACATCGCAGAGTTGCCATCTTTCGCCGGCACAAACTCGATGAGACTAATCGACTTCATCATATCTGCCACCGCGATGATGTTTCCTTGGACAGCAAGATCCACAGGATATGTGGACGGCCTGTATGATGCCACTCGCTGGAGCTTGCCAGAAGTAGAAGACTCTTCAAAGTACTTGCCCACTATTACCGTCTTAGTCAGGGAAACCACAATCATGTCGTCCATTACGGCCAGACATCTACAAGTACCCTTAAACTTGTGGCTAAGGAGCAGGTAAGGATTCCTGTCACTGTCGATGCCCAGGACTAACAGTCGGCCTTTGGTATTGTCGGTCGGTGGCGGGAAGTCGTCTGCTGGGAGAAAGCCCGTGCCTACCAAGAACCTCTCGGCTGGATTTCCGTACGAGTCTGGCAGTGTTGCCCGGATGACGCATTCGACTATCTCACCGGCTGACTGGTCCAGCGCAAAAGGCTTCCCGACACTCCCAAAGACGACCTCATCGACAAGCTTAAAGGAGCTTGACACCAACTCTTCTCCATTCTTGAGCTCGCGCTTTATACACCCGAGTCCGAATACCTGCTCTTTCGCAGAATACGCGATCCGGCGGACCGTTTCGCCCATTTCCAGTGATTTGACGTGTGTCCTCCTCTCGGTGTCTATCTTGGAAATTCTGATAGTGGACTCGGTTGCCACAACCACTGAGTTGGGATAGGCATCCGTATCGAAGGAACAGACGTATGTTGCATCTTCGGCTGTCACCGCCGAATACACAATCCTTCCTTCTGACCCGTAGATGAGACTCGGGTTTTCTGTGGTTGCGAAAATATTTGCGACATCGCCTGGTTGGGGGAGTAAATGGAAACGCGCCTGTTGTGTGCCCAAGATCACGCTCTTGCGCCCGCTTAAAGACAAATCCGTTCCCACGTTATACGTGACAACATTCCCGTCTTCCATCGCCACGAAGAGCGTCGGTCCTCCCACTTTGCGCGGTAAGACTTGGACTAAAGCGATATCCCGAGGGATCGAGGCATTGTCCTCCGACCTGCGGAGTGATTCACCTTTTCGGGGTTCCAATGTCGCCAGATCCACGAGCGAGAAGTTACCTGATGTGAAGAAGCCGATCACTCCAACGTCAAGCAGGTGAGGAGAAGCATGAACGCAAGCCACCTGGTCTTGTTCACTGTTCTGACTTTGTCCCGAGACCGCAAGATCCTGCTCAACATTGAGGGATACTAGCGCTTTGCCATCCACACATATTAACAGCCACTTTGAATTTGCCGAGGCTGCTGTGATAGTCGCGCCAAGTGTCGAGGGGTTCCAGGATGCAATTTCCATCCCACTATCCCTGTCGCAGAGCAGCGCAGCGGTCGTTGTCACCTGTAACCGCCGTCCATTTTCTAGATCGACTGCCAGAAGAGTGTGGTCATTAAATGTCAGACCTTGGAAACTTTCCACTTCTTCAACGTCTCCAGTCGGATCAAACCTGAAGACACGTGTTTCTGTCAGGAACGACGCGACCAGTGTATCGACCTTCCCAGAGCTGCTGGATTTCAGTGAGAATAGTCCTCTGACGTCCTCGAGATCTCCGAGAATCCCGATGTCTTCGAGTCCGACACCGCTTCGCACGCTACGCAGGCTACCATCTTTGTGGACACCACTTCCTGTAACGACACGAGCCTGGCCAGAGGAATAGGCATTTCCAAGCTGGCTGTCGCCTTCGCGGTTGCCCATATCCATAACAGCGAAGTCGAGTATGGGCGCATTATTAGGAAAGACTTGAGCCAGTTGCAGGAAACGTCCTGAGTCCTGTTCGAAATCGACGCGCCACAGTTGAGAGTCGCCGTAGTGCGATCCGACAAAGAGGAAGTTGTTCATGTAGACGAGGCAGCTTGCCCGAGAAGTTTTACCAATGACAGTCATTTCCAGCCGATCAACCTCGACACCCTTGGTCAGGATCGTGAGCAGATACATCCTCCCATAATCATCCGCCACCAGGTAGTGTCTCTCGTCGTACTCGGCCCAGGCGACGAATATTGAGGCTTCTTTTAACGGCTCCGTAACCTCTGCGTGTGTCGTGTCATCGATGTAGGTGACCCGAGTCTCGCCAACGACAAGCAGACCGCCAAGATATGCTTTAGCGTTATTGGTTTCGGTGAGCCGAAAGTTGTGTCTTTTCTCTTCCTCCACCTTCGGGACTGGTATGAGAATGGCAGCTCCCGGGTCGGCCACGTCTTTTGAGATCTCCCGATCTTTCAGAGGGTCAAAATTTGATGCTTTGGTATCTTTGTCGTCGGAGGTGAAACGGTACGTGGCAAGCTTTGCGTCGGCAGCGTCGACCTGTGACTGGTAAAGAAAGGCAATTTTAGGATGTCCCGTCTCGGAGTACAGGAATGTGCTTGCCCTGATGAAAAGCTCAGAAAGGCGTGGTTGCTCCATCCAGTCGATGTGGTTAAGGTTCCTCCCCCTCGACTGCAACCGCGCCACAGTCAGGACTCCCTCCCATAGGTGCAGGGCCATGAACCGGCCAGTCGGATCCACCACGCACTTGTCCTGACTTTGCGAGTCACGCATGAACTTCTCCCCAGCATCTTGGTTGAATTGTATTGTCTCCAGCTGCCTCGTCTCTGTATTCCACGCGAGAGTGAAGTGCTGGTGTCTATCGGTGCCCACGAAGAGGAGGTCTGTCGTGTTGTCTTTGGGCGACAACTTCTGGAGCATGGAGATGGTGCCATTGATGACGTTGGAATGGCGGAGGATCAGTTGGTTCTCGGCGAGGCTATATATCTCTAGCCGATTCGTCTTCCTAAGAGAGCGTTAGCATTCGCCGAGGGAGATAGGCGACGTGCGCCGGGTGCTTACGCTATCACCAAGCTCTCTTCATCGTCAAAGAGCCTTGCACGCACAGCATGGCGTATGCTGCTGGGCCGGTGAATCGGTGCAATGTACGCCATGGTCCAGCTGTGTAATGTTGGCGTGGAACAGGCTGGGGAGGAAGGGGAGTGTTAAGCGGCCATGGAAATGTTTGGAACTGGTGACGTTGGAGACTCCATGGCCGTCTGAAGAGCGTGGTCAAGGCTTATGATGCAGATCACGGAGATAAAGTGCTTAAGCTCGGGCGTGGGGGAGCTGCACTGGCGCTTCCGGCCCCACAGGTTCCCCGCAACGCGCTGAAGCGCGTCACTACTTCTCTGCAGTCCAAGGTCCAAACTTACTGCAACATGCCCCAACAGCCAAGGTTCTCTTCTTGCTGCAGACTCGCCAGTACTCCTCTGTCGCATCTGTCGCGGTCGGGAAATCTCATTCAGATTTTTGTCGCAGGTCCCTCCCAACAGCAATATTTGATCTTTGAGAAAGTTGCCCCGGGTGTAATCCTCTTCAACACAATCCCCGGGAACTTATAAGCCGGATGTCAGCCACTCCTTGGGCTGGTCAGCTTCGCAGATGAGGTTGACAAGCAGTGCCCATGAGGAGTGTTGGAATGACCAGCTCAAACATTGTCCTGTTCTGGGGAGTGCAATATAATATCCCACACCTGGACCTCAGTACTGGCTGGTACCATATGCAGCTCGCAATCCACAACCCAGCACTCCACGTGTAGAACGACACCATATCGAGATCTTCTAGGTCTGGTCCACCATCTCTCGAGCTCTTGACATTTCTGGTCTGGTGGTCCATATCTGCTACTTAATAATAATCTTAACAGTGGTTGGCCCAACACTGGAGCTTGTCTCGAATGCGAGAGCAATATAAGCCTCCCGGCACTTGGGCGAGCATATGATGCAGCTCAGACATGGGGGTGGCAGTGCCTCGCCCGCCAGAGCTTCATCTATAGTTCGGCCGTGGGCGTGGAACAGGAATGTTCAGACTGGGCCTATACTTGATGATGCTATCTGAGTGGCGGTCCCACCTTACTGGCTCTCAGGCCCTGACTCTCGACCGCGTTGCCTAATCCCTCTGTTTCCGACTTCAATCACTGCAACAATCGCAAGTGTCTGATCAAGTGATAGACTATCGGCTAGGAAGAATACCTTGTCAGAGTGCCTTGCGAGCTATTCTGGGATCCGGAGCCCTGGTACATAACCTGCCCTCTTTTCTCGCGGCCGCGAGTGCTTCACGCTGAATCTCGGGCCAGGAGCCGGCTTAGCGCCCTGTGTGAGTCGCAGGTGATCACATCAACATCCGCACAAGTTACAAGTTCGAGCATTCTCTCTACCCAAGATACCAGACAATTGATTCTCAAAGAGTCCAGACCCAGCAACATTGGCTGGCAGCGACGACCCGCTCGCGTGGGGAAGGCTGCTGTACACCCTCGCCAAGACTTAGCGACGGGAGGAGAGCTTCCGATTAGGAAGCGAGTTTCTTTCCGTGATCCCCCCTTTGGGTCGGCTGGCAAGATTTTCCCGGTAGCGCGGACACACTACCGTGCTGTTATGGGCATGGTTCGTGCTGGATAAATTAACTCGACTGCAACGTCGACGATACTGGCCCGGTACGCCGCGTGATATGTGCCAACAACCCAGGGCACGTCGCGGTAAGGCCTTGTAATCATGGCAATTATATATGGGTGCTCCCATATACTTGCCCAAATACTACGGCCCAGAGTGCCTTGATATCACACAGCTCCTGCAACTAGTCAATTTTCATCCAAAAAAGACAGAGAACTACCACAGCAAGGCAAGATGAAGGTATCCTCCCTCCTCTTCAGCGCTTCTGTGGCGTCCGCGCATACCATCTTCGTCCAACTGGAAGCCGGTGGCACGACGAATCCTGTCAGCTATGGCATAAGAACACCAACTTATGATGGACCTATCCAAGATGTTACCTCAAACAGTCTGGCATGCAACGGGCCTCCCAACGATCCGGCGTCGGCCAGCAACGTCATCACCGTCCAAGCTGGATCCACTGTCAACGCCATCTGGAGACATACCTTGACCTCTGGGTCCGATGATGTGATGGATTCCTCCCACTTGGGACCTACGCTGGCCTATTTGAAGAAGGTCGACAACGCCCTGACGGACACGGGCGTCGGTAGTGGATGGTCAGTCACGAAGATGAGAGCCGCAAATGTGTGTCAGTTGAGCTGACGTGTAGCGCCATATAGGTTCAAGATCCAGCAAGATGGCTATAATGCAGGTGCCTGGGGTACCTCAAAAGTCATCAACAACGGCGGAATTCATGCAATCTCTATCCCGTCCTGTATTGCTCCAGGCCAGTACCTGCTGCGGGCTGAAATGATTGCTCTTCATGCTGCGTCCTCATCCGGTGGGGCCCAACTCTACATGGAGTGAGTTAGCCCGCCTTGTTTCAACCAATTTGTTCCTAGAAACTGACAATTTACCTCCTCAGATGCGCTCAGATCAATGTTGTTGGAGGCACAGGAGCATCCACGCCAGCGACCTACAGCATCCCCGGTATTTACAAGGTTCGCACACATGGTGACTCAAGCCCAAAATTACAAACACTGACATGTGTATCAGGCCACTGACCCTGGACTGTTGATTAACATCTACAGCATGTGAGTGGACATGTCTTTGATTCCGTCTCTTTCCCATGATTTAAAATAATGCTCATGCTCGTCTAGGACCTCTTCATCCACCTACACGATCCCAGGCCCGGACCCCTTCACCTGTGGCGCCTCTGGAAGTAGCCCCCAGCCAACTACCACAGCAAAGCCAGCCACCTCCACGACACTCGCCACGTCTACCAAGACATCCTCGGCTCCTGCAACGAGCAGCAGTGCCTCATCCGGTGGCGCATGTGTTGCGAAGTACGGGCAGTGCGGTGGAACGGGCTGGACGGGCGCGACCTGCTGTGTAGCGGGAAGCACTTGCTCTGCTACAAACCAGTACTATTCCCAGTGTGTCTGAGCTTGATTTATGGATCACGCATGGACAGGAATCTAGATTCGGACGCCGTTGGGCGTGATATTAGGAATAATTCTTTCAGTTGTAGATATTATGGACGATTGCATCGCCAGGTGCGCCAGTTGATACAATCCCGAGCCAGTTACTATTGAATTTAGAAGAGATATAATGACAAAACAAAAAGACAGAGAAAAGCATCCCACTTTTCGTATCTTGCCAACAGTAAATTACATCGCCCGCATATATATAAACCGACCCTAAAATCCACCAGTGCCCTGAAGCCGCTTGACAGCACCCACCACACCCCTGGTCCAGGAGAACCTCCCCGGGTCAATCCCGATGGCCCCGTCGGCCTGCTTCCCGTCGGCGTCGGTCCAAATGCCAGTCTCCTTGTCCAGCGCGCCGTAGAGGTGCGTGTTCTGGTTCCTGCGCAGCCCGTCGATCCACGCGCGGCACACCTGCGCGCTGTCCAGCATGACGTTGATCTCCTGGCTGTGGTACCAGCTCTGCGTGTCCTGGTTGCCGTTGCCCTGGATGCCGATGTGCTCGTCCGCGATCATCAGCTTGATGTGGCAGCTGCGCTTCTTCTTCTCCTGGATGATCGGCCGCGTCTGGTCCTTGCCCACGTACCAGAAGTAGTGCAGCCGCTGCTTGGCCGCGGGCGAGAGCGCTGTGTACAGGTGGTGTGCGACCATGTCGTTGTGACCTCCCTGCATGGGGAGCAGCTCCCCGGCGTCGTTGTAGCCCAGGCAGATATAGCAGTAGACGTCGATGCCGCGCTCGCAGGCCTCGACGATGGCGGGGACCAGCGGCTCGGCGTTCAGCGTTGGGGACTGGATAAAGACGTTCTTCTTGGCGTTGCGCAGCGCCGAGAGCCAGGCTGCATTCTGCGGCATCACAACTGACTTGTGATTAGGGGGCCCATATGGCGCGCGGTTCACCATCGCTATCGGGAATGGCTCGTGGGTGGGGTGTGGTATGTATGGTGTCATCTCGTCTGCGGGTGCGCATTCAGGGGCGTCATGCGAGAATCCGACGTTGACGGTGTGATTGAGGTGCCGGTTCACAGCTTGCATCGTCGTTTCCCCGTTCTTGGCCGACACTGCTGCTTGCACACGCATGACCTCACTGGAAATGTCCGAATCCCAGTGTGGATCATCATGTGTGTGCTCCGGCAGGCTGTCAGCTGTGGAAGATGGCATCGGTAACCGATTATTAGCTTGTTGGCCTTCGTTGAGCAAGGCCTCTGTCTTTACATCAGGTCCATTGTGACCGTTCTGGGCTCCAACTTGCCCATCGTCATTCAGTCGGCTCTCCGGTGCCGATGCGTGAGTGCCTGGGACGGTGTTGGAGGTTGTACTCGGACCAGTTACGGCATCTGCACGATCTGGATCGTTGCTTTCGGCTTCTAAGTTCTGCCCGTCTACCAGGCCTGGCTGGGGCACGGTCTGCGTGTATTCGTATGCCTCCCGTGACTGCATTTTCCCAGGGTCGATCACGACATGATGCCCACGAATCGAACCACTTGGTTCGAAGATGCCGCTGTGCGATTCCGTAAAGCACGATATGCCACCATTGGCCGCGGGAGAGTTGTGGCTCGGCAGTGGAGGCTCGAGGCGTTTGTGCCAAGACAGCAACGCCATGTCGTACATCGAATCCACAATCGGGCCCTCGAGATGGATCATCATTTCCAAATTGTCGTTGTTCTGGATGTTGTTGCTTTGAATGACCGCCAATTTCCTGTCGACGACCATGTACTTGGCATGGAACGTCCCCAACAGTGGATGATGGTAGTTCATGACCTGTAAATCGATATTCGGGATTTCTTCCGGCGGCGGTATGCCCACCTTGTCTCCGGTGTACTCTTTTACAGGGACAACATAGTGTGGTTCGAACAGCTGCTTGGGGCTCCCTCTGTCGTAAATCATCTTCATGACAATCTTCGTACCCCGCTCGCCAGCACGGCGGGAAAGTTCCTTCATGGCGTCCGTAATGAATTTGGAAGCATCACTATTCTGCCAGAAGTTCGTGGCGAGGAAGACCTCCCTTTCGGCTCGAACGATGCAATTGGACATGTGACGCACAATATCCGGAACCCTGCAGTGATATCAGACTACACTCTAGTAGACAGTGATGTTTTGGTAACTCACGTGGAGATGATGCTCAATGGAACCACACCACAGCTGCCCATCAATGAAGGGCTGACCATCGCATGGCCGGGATCATCATGTAATGTACCTATGGCATCATGGTAGATCTATCAAGTCAGCTTTGTAGTGAATCCTGTTGGATTTCAATAACTTACCCTCAAGAACAACTCGCTCGGTTGAGTCGGGCCCCAATGCCCGGCTTCCGCGGCCCGGTGAAGCGCTTCCTCTGAAGCCAAATCATTCCCAGCGCCGTGTGCTGAAAGTGAGTTGTTGAGATTCCCGACGTGGTGACCGTAGAGTTTCTTCCACGCCTCACCTGGGCTCAAGGAAGGATCCTGTGCTAGCAAGGTTGAGACACTCTCCGGAGAGGTGAGTAAATTGAGCAACTCATCGCTAACCGGGTTAGTGAAGCGGCTGTCCTGCACATAGCGCTCTATCTTGTCAGGAGAGTTTTTCATATCCTTCTCGTCCTGAGCAGGCAACTCTGCTTGACGCGGGGTGGTAAATGCTCTGTAAGGCAATTCAACAAACGTTTGATACGCAGTGTTGCCCACAGAACCGATGTTCTGGAGAGGAGTATTTTGATCCGACATAATGACGATCGGAGGAGCCGAAAATTCCGCAAATAAGTTATGGGGAGCAGTGATTTAAGCCAAGCAAGCAGTCCATAAACATCATAACCTTCCTGCTGTGCCCACTCCGCAACGACTGGACCTCGAGGCCCACCAGAGCCACGAAAATGGAGCCGAACCTGCAGGGGCTGAGGCCAAGCTTTTGCCAAGATTTGCGGCTCGGCAAGATCGGGACGATCGCAACGTCAGTGGCACATGGCCTGGGCTTCTCTGGGTCTGGGGTAACGGGTGATTGGAATAGCGTGTATAAGTCAAAGGAGCATTCTCGCAAACATGAGAACTAGATGAGGAGGTCGATAATCCTGTCACCCATCATTAGCACTCTCGGCCGGGCCTCATCAGAACTGCATCATCGCGAGCCTAGGCGCTGACGTCACGTCCTAGGGTAGACCTGTTTTTCGAGGCTGTGCTAGATTCTCCACGCAAGCCCTCTTGCTCCTGTGCCGCTTTGCCGGGAAGAGCGCAACCTGATCGGGAGTTGGGGCAAACTATCGGGCTGGCCAGGCTTGCCTAGTGCTGGCACAACCAGGAATTATGCCACTGACTGCAGCAGCTAGTGTTGTCACATTGCAAGGGTGTGTGTGTGATCGATTTGGTACCCGGTCAAGCTTCTCGGGTTCGTGGCACCGCTCCCACTTCGTCTGGCCAATTTGGTGTCAACTATAACCATCCGGTTCGCCCTGGATATATGTCGCTCTCGAGCACCACAAACTTATATTCGTATTCTGAACAGTCTCTGCGGTATGACAACGGCCTGTAGTATAAAGAATGGCGTGACCATTGCTTGTAGTATAAGTAATCGCAATATTACCATACAAAATAAGTGTTGTGCATTGTTGTGTTCGCACCCGAGTCTAGGCCCGAGGATCATTCATTTGTACGAATTCCGAGTACCTCGCGACCCTGAGAAATTCCTGCAAGCCACGCAAAAGTATTACGCAGACCTTCGATTCAGGCCCATGCAAAAACTCATCCAATCCAACAGCCAAGTAGAATTATTATATCCCACCCATGAGAGCACGCGGCGTATCACAGCAGAGTTATGCTCGGCCGTAACTTGTTCGTAAGACACACGGTATCAAATTGCACGGACCGTGGCGGTCTTCAAATATGATCCAGGTCCCCATCAGTCTTCTCAAGTTGCTGATTGGTATAGTCGTAGCTTTCTGTCTGCATATTTGTTCATTTCCTCAAGCAGACTCTTAGTTACAATCATTCGATCTTGCTCTCGCTGCAAACCTGTGGGCGGAATCTCTTCGTTGAGAAATGATGAACGGATGTCCAGAGTCGGAGATTCTCCAAACATTTCAGAAATGTGAGTGAAAGTATCAACCGAGGGAACGATATAAATGATCGAGTCCGGTGCAGATCCCATGACAACATGGCCATAGAAACATCCTGTGTTAGCGTCGAAGACTGCTGACCCTGAGTCGCCTGTCTTTATTGAGGACGAGAGACGTGCCGCGATCAGGTTTTGAAAGCCGTAGAACCCCTGCATTTTGGCTCTCTGAATCCCAAGCAGAATGGACCCATGGATATGACTGTATGATGTGATCACGACCACTTGGGTACCTGGTTTTGGCATGGCAGCGATATCTGTGGCCTGAAGCGCATCATGATCTCCAACCTTCTCGATTGCGTTACTTGCTTTCCTTGCCTCCCCAGCTAGAAGCCTCACCAGAAAGTAATCGATTTTTCTGCGGCTCAGGAGAATTTGATTCACATCTGACATGTCTAGCGCGGTCCAGAGATTTTGTTGGACAACCTTCTTAGAAGAAATGTCCATTGACAGCGACGCAGATTCAGATGCGAGCGGGCTGTCGCTAGTTTCTTTTGGAGACTCCTTCATTGTGGTATCCCCTTCAAATTGACCGTCATCGTCATCTGTATCAGACTGGCCATCATATTCACAGTCATCGGTGTCGGAGTCGAACTGCGCGGCCGAATCCGCGCCTGTGTCTTCTTGGCCGGTATGATAAGCCGTCAATTGGTATGTCTTTTCTCCAATCCGGATGAAAGGTCCGCCTGTAGCGAATCGGACAGTTGCTCTGCCATCGGTGATCTTGACGAACCTAAGCCGCCGCCCAATGATTGGTTCCCCGGAGGCATGTATGTCAAAGCTTGTCGGGCTCTGACGACCCATTTGAGTCGCTGGAGATTTTCCGGTAACAGGAATCACAAATGCAGTTGTTTCCAATAGAGACGAGCTGTTTCCGAGTCCAACCTGAGGGAACTGCTGCAGAATGTCACTTTCTCGGATCAGGGCCTCTGCATCCTTTCGAGCCTTCCGATCGCAGCAACAGATCATTACAATTGGGTTGGCAGTCGCGTCTGCCTTTCCAATCATGTAAATTGAAAGAAATATAGGTGCACATTGAGGTGGCTCAATATCGTGCAGTAAGTTTTCAATCTTCGGACGTATTTGAGCCTCGAATAGATCCAGAGCTGGTCCCTCGGCAATCCATGCCTTCCCTTTGATCTTCTTATTGGTTGTTCGGATCATCTCTCCCAGCGAGTCCTGAGGATTTGGCCAAGGGTGTGGTTTTCTCTTCCGGAAAGATACTTGGCTCCCGATGGCGAGTGACCGTCCCAGGGTGCCATGGAGACTCTCACCGTGCATTTGAGTTTGGTTGGAGTTGCTGAGGTGTTCAACATGCGTTTCAACCTTCCCAGCTCTCTCTCCTTGTGACTTCTCAATCTTTGCATAGGTCTGAGCTTGGTTGCTAGGTGAGCCTGCTTTGGCGGGGCCCGATGGGGCGAGCGATGACTGGCAACTCGTTTCCGGCTGTCCATCCTGCAAGCTATCAGATGGCGTCACAGGCCAAGACGTCGTCTTCTGGGATGGAGCTGTGGATTGCCTGATAGGGTCCTGGAGTGGTGGCTGTTGCTGCTCGCCCTGCGAGGTTTCGGGCTGTACTTCATTTGGCTTGATAACCGAGCGATTCTGGTCTTTGGCTGTTGACACACCCTGTCTGGTGCTTTTGTGGATGAAATGTTGAAGGTGTTCAATGGAGTCAGGTGTAGAAACGCCCTCGTGAGATTGTAATCTGTCCCAAAGTGCATCTTCCCCCTCTTTCTCACTGCCGCTGTCGCGTCTCCGTAGAGCTAACATGATGGCTGACCTAGAAGGCATGGAATCATTCAGTTCATGAAGCGCGAAATCTACCTTCAGCATCAGAAGTTAATGGAATCCGGGCTCAATCTGGATTTTCTATAGGTGAATAGATTAGAGATTGAATAAAAAAATCGTCTTCCATGGGTAGCGGTCTAAGACGGTCAGGCTGGATGATGACCACATGCAGGTCGGTGGTCCTCTACCAATGGGATACCTAACGCTTGCATATTTCCATTTTCCCGACTTGAAATTGGTGCCCGAGGCAGATTCAATCTATTTTCAGTGTTGTGCGACTCCAGACTCCAGACCCTGGGTTGCAACTTGTTAGGTCTGTTTCTTAAAGCATTCATGACAGTGCTGCCAACTATACATGCTTGGACTCAGCACACTACCAGTGCCGCGACATGTATACTATCAACCATGCAACAACAGCCGAAACAAGGAATGCAATCAATTTGCATGTACGAAGCAATGAGGGATTAGGCTGTAGTCTTCGCAAGCTTGCGTGTGGTGATTGGAACTCAGCCCCAGAGTCGTGCCGGCGAACTTACGAAACGTACTGTCAGACACAATGGACTTATTTCGCCCAGGGAAGACGCAACTTTCAGCATCATTCTCACGAAACCATTGAGATCATCCGTATGATTCAAGAAGATAATGTGAAAGAAAACATACTCATTCAGTTGCAAAGTTCACGCCAGGCCGGGCAGAAATCATTGTCTGAACACACTTGCCACCACATGATAGACTTCGTCGCTAGACTCATCACTCCCATCAACATCGGGACTCTTCCAAACGAGGTCAACAAGCGACGCCATTTGAAATGGGATACGGGCACGCTGAAAGACTGTGTCAATGAATATTTCGACGAGTCACCAGTACTGACATTCGAGCGCCTGAGACTGCCGAAAGCCTTCGATGCGTGGAGCCTTTGCAAGGTCGGAGGCATCAAAATTAGATTCACGGATAACCTCGCCGACCACCTGCTTCTGGTAGAAGACGATGCGATAGTCCTGATTTTCCATCACGTCACTTACCTGGAACAACAGGGGCAGAAGTACGTAACCAGAAGTGAAGAAACATAGAATAGAGACACTATAATCCACTGACCGGTCGCCAGCTCACAGCTTCCACCTGGGCTAGCCGAAGAGACAATTAAAACAATCGCCCTGCTCTTCCCGCAAGCCGAATATGGCGGATCGAAAAAGTCGACGCGCAAGAAACGAGCCTGGTTGAGCAAACTCTGCAAGAACCACGAAAACGAGTACGGGTGTCGCGTAGACGAATGCGTGAACAGGTGCGGAGGGCTGCCAGCGAGTGAGCGCCAGATCGAGAGATTCAGGTTCTGGCGGGACAGGCTGGGCGTGCTCAAGCAGACTTACGATGAGACGACGCCGAGCACGATATCCCAGTGGTGGCATGACCGCCGCAACGGGCCGCAGTGGTTCACGTTCTGGGTTGCCGGTGTTGCGTTGGCTCTCGCCACGCTGGCACTGTTTCTGACGGTGGTGCAGGCAGTCGAAGGAGCTCTTCAGGTATTCTTGGCCTATAATCCAAAGTCATGAGAAAGCCACAGGTCAGAAATGGGTCTGGGTTTCAGGAAGTATTCCATGAGATAATTGTATAGCGCTGTTCCTAGGACTTTCTGAAGCCGAAAAGAGATAAAAGAAATCGCTGTAGGAAGCCTTGACGTGTACGCCTGAAAGCCATCCATCGAAACCTTTCTTCCGCTGGTGCATACAAAACAGTGCGACAGCTTATCCTGGCCCGACCGCACTAGTTCTAATCGGTCACTGTCGCTCACGAGGTAATCCCTCGATGTTTATTGTGTAAAGGTAGATCGAGCATATAATATCGCATCCCTTACAGCTCATTCTCAACGCCAACGTTGCCGCTCTTGAGCTTAGCAAAGTTCGTGAAACCGAGTTCGTACTGCAGTCATCCAGATTAGCACGGAGCCTGCAACAGAGAGGAGAGAGAACTTACAGCAAAAGCAAGGGTCATGCGAGCATGCTGCAGCATGTGATCAAATGAGAGGTACTTGATGTTGTCGTCCGTTGAGTGGATATGGTCGTCGCTATCCTCAAACGCAGACTCAATAACGAAGGCGGATGGATAGCCGGCCTTGGATGCGGAGGCGTGGTCTGAGCATGCATAGCCACACTTCGTCTCGACGTAGGGAATATCGCAATATTCGACAACAATCTTCTTGATGAACTCGGTCAGCTTCGGGTCGACGTAGTCAACAATGACTCCGACGCTCTCGGGCTTTCCGGCCTTGATGGTCTTCTCAACGTATCCGGTCATGTCTTGCTGCAGCATGGCCTTGACGTCCCGACCTTGCTTCTCGTACTCGGAAAAGATGGCCTGGCTGCCAAGCAAACCACCTTCCTCAGCCGAGTACCAGTGGAACTCGATGGTGTTCTCTAATTTACCCTTCTTGGCAGCATCGGAGCTGAGAAGGACCCGGAAAGCCTCGAGGATTGTAACGGTACCGCTTCCATCATCATCCGCACCGGGCGCAGCAAGGATCGAGGGCAGCCAGAGGTTGATAGAATCCTGGTGAGCGCCAACGACGACCGTCGAGTTCGTCTGGCCGGGAATCGTCGCGATGATAGAACTCTGTTGCCACGAGTGTGAGAACGCCTCGGCGTAGACATGACCTGCGCCAGACTCCTTGATGATGTCCTTGATCTGCTTCAGGAGCCACTCGGAGGACTGCTTTCCGTAGTCGGACTTGTAGTAGCGGGTATGGAAGCTGGAGAACTTCTCGAGGTTCTCGTGCATTTCCGTCTTGGAGAGGTTCTTGAGGAGCGGCTTGACCTTATCCTGAAACGAGGCCTTGGCAGGGAAGACGACGTTGGCGAAAGCGTGGGTTCGTGATGCGCCGAGGTCCTGGGTCTCGGTGATGTCCATGAACTGTTGGCCATTCTGTGTAAACCGGGTTCATTAGCATGTCGGATGCATCTGAGGTGACGGCTGGAGACAGAGTGATTCGCGAGGGCTTACACGTCTGAGCTCCCATTTCTCCTCCTCTGTGATCCATTTGGTGTCGCCAGGGGCCATCTCAACGAGGAACTTCTCGCTGGACTCCTCGTAAACCCCCTGAGGATATAGCTGCACGTTATTGCCCTCGGTTCTCTCGATGAACCGGCCAGCGACGGCTGGGGCCAGCAGCGCTACGACACTAGATTTGCTAAACTTCATGGTGATGTTTGGAATGATTTGTTGATGAAAGAAAGAAGCGCTCAGTGCTCACGAGGCAACGGTCACTAGTGGTAATCTCCCATCTGACCGTCACCAGTCAGTCGGCAGGCAGCCAATGACGCAACATCCTGAAACGAGCTCCTTATCTGCCGAGATCGGCACCGAAGGTCCCGATTAGTCTACCGAGGCAGCGTCGGCCGTGAGCGTCTGGCATTCAAACGGTCAAGGCCTGACAGCTTTAATGACTGATGGTATTTTAGGACTAATAAGATCATATACACTGGTTACTTTTGATGAATAGCAAGGACTTTTGTACACAGTATAATGTGTATGTCATTCATGCTCCAGGGAAATTACGGCTAGATAAAATGGGTCGAGTTTTCGGCAACGGAATGGGGCGTGGTCAAATATTCAGATGACAGCCATGAATTGGTGACTGTGAACTGCGCCTATGAAGACAATGCAGCCTTGCTAGATACAAGCCAAAATCCAGCAGGCAATATCCATTACTTCTGAGTGGACTTATGCTCAATGCGAAGGCCAACAGGGACAGTGTCTGCGTCATGGCGCAGGCTGAAACAATGTTCGGAGCTTCCACTGTGACGGATCTAGTCTAGAGTTGACTCTGTTCAACGTCGCCAATTCGGCCTGCTTTCAGCGTCTTGGAGGAGTACGGGACCACAACTTCGGGGTAAAATCCTTCCCCCGCCCGAAGCAGAGTGCCAGAAATATCGTGTGCCGGGCCTCAGGATCGCAGGGCGGGGCCCCAATAATCTTGGCCCCAAGATGACAGGTCGGAGGCGGTGGTGCCACGATCATCCATCACGAAAGGAAGCCGGGTAAGCCCATCAGGTGGTCTGTCTGTACATGGCCGCCCCCTCCCCCCTTCCCCCTTCTAAGACTACCAGTTGGTCTTCCCTGAGCGCCAGGTCTCCCGCAACAGGGAGCGGGAAACGGCCAGACGGGGAGACCCCTAGTGTGGTGGGCAGGTGCGGAAGGAATGGAGGGGTGAATCTGCGACTCAGCTGCTCTCTCACATGTGGTCTGATTGTCGAGGCTCAGCCTGAGCTCAGACAGCCCGATGGCTAGCGTCCGTTTTCATACAAATTGATGAGTTGTCTCACTTGACGCATCATAGACGAAGACCTCCCTTTCTTCTCTCATCTGCGCAGCATTGTAGCTTTCCACGACTAGATTTCTGTCGGCCACATGAAGCCTCGAGCAGGAGACAATGCCTGGATCTCCACCACCATACCGGCCTAAGGCCGACCTCGTCGCCAGAGGCATCAAGCGACCCAGCCCGCTCGGCACTGCGACCTTTATTGGGCTGCGCGCGCTCGACCCGTTTCTCCAGTATCGCATTCTCGCCCATGGACTCGGAACAGGATTCCTCGCCAAACTTGGCTTATCAACCATTCCCCTCAGCGCGACGGTCATCACGCGGACGGGTTTCAAAATAATCGATCAGCTCGGCCTCCCCCTCGAACGTCTCCTACTGCTTGGCATGGCCGTCGGCTCCGCAGCGAAACAGATCTTCTGGCTCACCTACCTGTCGCAGGAGGAATTCCAGCCCAAACCCGCAGCCATAGTCTCCGCCTTCAACTCCCTCTGCAATAGCGCAAACTCCCTGCTACTTCTTACGGCTGCCACCTCTGCTGCGCTTTCGACTAAACCCTTGACGGTTCCTGTGCCCGGCACCCACGCGAAGCTGTCGCTGCCAGTGGCTGTGGGCACGGTCATGTACGTTGTCGGTATCCTGCTGGAGACAGCCGCAGAGCTGCAGCGCAAGAGGTTCAAGGACAACCTGGAGCACAAGGGTAGGCTTTGCAGAGAGGGTCTCTGGAGCGGGGCCAGGCACATCAATTACACTGGATACACTCTCTGGAGAGGCGGGTACGCCCTGGCAGCTGGCGGTTGGGTCGCCGGTGTCGCAATGGTCTCTTTCCAGGCGCACAACTTCATCGGGAACGGAATCGTCTCTCTCGACTACTATATGAGCCGGCGGTATAAAGACCAATGGGGCCGCTACAAAGAGGACGTTAAGTGGAAGCTCGTACCCGGTCTCTACTGATTCTCCCATGAGCTGTCGATTTTGATTTTAGATTGTTGGTGATAGCATTATCCGGGCAACTGCATCTGCATTATGGAGGCTAAGACGGCGTTATCGGTAAAGAATGGCTGTCAAGCCTTCAACATCCATGAATTGTGATTCAGAGTCAGTGGTTGACCTTGGTAGAACAAAGGGCAGAGCAAGTAGTATTAAGCCCGTTCAATGGGTGATCCAAGGAGCATGATCAATAATAGACACTCTGCCTAGCACAGGACTTTTCAAGTGCTTTAAAAAAAAAATGTATAGAATCACCTACTGTGCTGCTGCATAATTTGTATTGCTTTGAAGACTGAGTCCTCGTACCGTGCTATTTGCCGAAGCGTTTGAAGGTTGAGGATATTGTTCGAAGCCTCAGCAGGGGTCGTACCCAGCTGATGCCGCTAAGATAAACCTGCAGCATGTGATTTGCCGCTGTGCAAGCATACGTCAGGGTACTCAGAGTCCCCTGTCGGTCGTGATCAGCGGGCCAGGATCCGTCATTTGGCCTCCGAAGGCGGTGGGTCACAGCCCTGTTTCTCGATGAATTGAATGCCGAGGCCGCGAACTTTCCTCCCTCCGCAAACATAAGCCTTTCGAACTCGTTATTGCGTTTCTGTTCCTGCACGAAGCCATTTGTTGCTTGCCTGCGATGCTTTCTGCTTGCCAAGTAGACTTAGAGTCAACATCATAGACCTCCCTGCGGCATTGTTGCCGCCGCTCCAAAAATGCGCGCGTGCGCCGCCCGCCTGACCCCACGATGCCCCGTCGCCTCGACCCCTCGGACACATCTCGGTTTTAGAAGCCACAGGCAACGCGCAACATCCACAAGGCTGATACAAACCAGCAGTCGAACTGGAGAGAGATTCGAGCGCCGGATACTCCAAAATTCGGAAGCGCAACCAGCACGCGCCGTTCTTCCGGCGCTGTCTATTGCTGGACAGAGGAGGCGAGCCTCGGTGGCCACTGCGACGACAGAAAACGGTGCGCTTCGAACACGGAATGGGAAAACATTGTCTATTCCTACTTGCTGACCGCCTCTAGTCAACGAAGATGAATTCGGTCCAATCCAAGAATACGATCGCCGCGTGGCTCAGGGCCGCCTGAAGAACGACGAGCACCAGCGAGGCAATTTCCCCACAAAACACTTCTCGACTTGGCGCATACACTGACATGTGATGAAACAGGCATCATACAGAGCTTACAGCATCTTCACGATGAACTTAGGCATTACCAAGCCCGGCCGGTCGTCCACCCAACTATCGAGTCGTTGAAGCCCTCAAAAGGGCTGTTCTCCTTTTTCGGGGGAGGCAAGCCAAAAGCTGCGCTGCAGGAAATACCGCCAGATCTACCCCGAGGGTTGTACTTGTTTGGCGATGTAGGAAGTGGCAAGACGATGTTGATGGACCTCTTTTACGACACCCTGCCGAGCGCTGTCCGGTCGAAAACGAGGATACACTACCACAACTTCATGCAAGACGTGCATAGGCGGTTACACCGCATGAAGATGGAGCATGGCAATGACATGGACGCCGTTCCTTTCGTTGCTGCAGACATCGCGGAGCATGGGAATGTTTTGTGCTTTGACGAGTTCCAGGTCACCGATGTGGCAGACGCAATGATTCTTCGGAGGTAGGGTTGCCTCTTTCCCAGCACAGTACTACCAGTACGCACAACTGACATGTTGCATCGCAGACTTTTGGAGGCGCTCATGTCACATGGCGTGGTTCTTGTCACGACTTCCAACAGACATCCTGACGAGTTGTATAAGAACGGCATACAGCGTGAATCTTTTATTCCGGCGATCGACCTCCTCAAGGGCCGATTGCATGTCATAAACCTCGACTCGCCAACAGACTACCGTAAAATTCCCCGTCCACCATCCGGGGTATATCACACACCGCTCGACGCGCACGCTGCAGACCACGCGGAAAAGTGGTTCCGCTTCCTAGGCGATCCCGAGGCTACCGAGCCGCACTCCGAGGTCCAGCACGTCTGGGGTCGCGAGATTTTTGTACCCCGGGTCAGCGGCCGATGCGCGTGGTTCACGTTTGACGAGCTGATCAGGAAGCCGAAGTCAGCCGCCGACTTTATCGAGCTGACGCGCTCCTATGACGCTTTCGTCGTCACGGATGTGCCGGGGATGACCATCAGGGAGCGAGATCTGGCGCGTCGTCTCATCACATTCATCGACGCTGTATATGAGTCGCACGCAAAGCTTGTTCTCACCACGGAGAAGCCTCTGACGGAATTGTTCACTTCGAAGGACGAGATTGCCGAGTCACTCCTGCAGGGGTCCGGCCAGGACGCTGGTGGCCACGAGGTGAGCCAGGTGATGAAGGACATCATGGTAGACCCGGGGAAGCAGGCGGACAAGCTGAAGGGGTCCGCGCTGTTCGCCAACGACGAGGAGGCTTTTGCGTTCTTCCGCGCGTTGTCCCGCTTGACGGAGATGGGAAGCGTGGAATGGGTGGAACGAGGAATGGGTCTTGAGAGCCGAGGCGGCAAGTCTGAACGGGATGGCTTCATGAAGGCCCGCTCAAGGCAGATGGAGGATTCTATGTAGTTCGGATTGCCTAACTACATTCGTGGAGACCTGTTCTGTGCCAGCATAGCGAAGCATTGATTGGAGCAGCAATTTGAGCATAGATCTGAAGCATTTCTTGCAATTGCATCTGCCTGAATAGTGGCATCCAACAACTGCCACACTTGAGTAAGCAACGAGTGCTCGCACCAGAGACCGCCCACAAATCAGTCAAACACCTTAAACCGCACTACTCGTTGTTTTGCCTCCGCTTGCATCTGGTCCAGATCCAGAAGCGGCTCCTTGGGCCCCTCGTCTCTTCGCAACGACTCATTCGAGTAAGCCGACATGTCCTCACCATTCTGAACGACGAATCGGTCACCATAGAACAGGAAGGGCAGGATCGAGGTCTTCCACACCATTTCACGACCTCGGCGCCGCGAACTCTGTAGCATGGTCCATGCGAGTAGGCCACTCGTGACGGCCACGAGTACCGCTGGGAAAGTCAACCAGGGGTAGTAGATCCTCGTACACACTGTCTCCTGAAGCACTTGACCAGACACGGCCTCCGGATTATTAAAGAGGCCCATTCGTATCTTGTTCGACAATCGATCTGTGAAAGCCTCGATTCGTTTGATAATACTGGCAGTCGTAGTTCTATCATCATTGTAGAACTTTGCAAGCCAATATATCTTGCCGCAGCCGATTCGTGTAGTATTCTCAGGGCTACTAATGCTCGACCGTGTGGAGCAGCTTCCGTCGAATACGTTTCTCATTTGTGCGAAATTTGTTGACGCCAGAAGACTCATACCATATATGCATTCCGCTGGAGCTGTTGTGTTTTCAACTGTGAAATGACGGGTTCCGTTGAGGTCAGGTTCAGCGTGAAGGAGAAGGAGGCGTTGCATGTTAAGAGTGGAGGATCGGTTCGCGTTAGTCCAAATTGTATCGTTCACAAGGCAAGGCGACTTGATGGCTTGAAAAGCGAGATTATAAACTGAAGGGTAAGTGGCAGTGTTCCAATTGTGCCCCCATACCGCCTCCTGGATAGCCTCAGTTGTAATGTTAGGCGCAAATACGGCGGCCACGTTTGGCACCGCGGGAACCGTGCTAACGAGAAACTCGTCCAGTTTCCCTAATGTCACCGAAGCATTGTACGAACGAAGACAAGGGTACAGTGTGCACGTAGCTGCGACGTAATCCGTATATCCAGAGCCTGTTAAAAGCCAGTTGGACGTTAGAATAGTAACGTTTGCCAAGGACCACTGAGACAAGGCCATCATTTCCGGGCTGACAAGATCACCAGCCCAGCCCAGTCCAATTTCCAACCGGGCCGATGCCAACAATTCCGTGGTTTGCTGGTTTTCTTGATTGTAGAACGACGCCCGAACTGACATTCCGTTTGGCAGGGTATAGTTCGTCTTGGAAGAAGTGGAGGAATTGGACGATTCTCCGGTCGATGTAATCAGCGACGAAGTATCGACACACGAGCTGCATAGTCCCAGCGTGCTGTACACCCCACTAATTGAATTTTGAAAGGAACAGTTTCCAGTAGGGCACCCCACAGATATGGGCGAACCTATCTCCTCGTTATCTGGGGCGAGAGCAGATGACAGGGCGGCGAACACGTTGGGAAAATCCAAGGGCCCGAACGTACTATATGGAGGTCGTTCGCCAGCAGTGATATTTCGAGAGACTGGAAGGGACGCATTGACACTATCCACTAGGAACTGGCAAGATTCCGTCTGGATAGCCTGTTGTACAAAAGAACCCGTACCCAACGAGACAATCGTGACTATGACAGCCAATAAAGTAGCTGGATCCCGGGCAATCGTTGGCAAAAGCTTCAAAGCATCGAGAAGGCCCTGGCTAGCATCACTAAAGCGACTTGTATCGATCAGGCGGCGCATAGGTGGGTTTTCTGTAAGTTGTCCGTCGCTAGCAAAGTATTTCCACTTTGCTTGTCCGATGATCTCTGTTAACACAAAGCTCAACATCGTTCGGAGGAGGGTGGCAATCAAGGCGATCAAGGTGCTCAAGTTGATAGCGTTACCCCAGTCTGGTATGCGACGGCCGTTGTAGTATTGGAGGATGCCGTATATCGATCCAAGCATTCCAGCAGCAAGGACACAATTCAATATCTCCCATTTCCAGAGCTTGAAAATGTTAGCACTTGCGGATGGCGCAAGTACGGTCTCGGATTGGGAGCGGGAGTCGCTCCGAAATGTGTTGAGAAGCTTCCCAGACTGAAAGCTCCTCAACCGTTGTGGCAGTTTTGTGATGCGGAAATACTCTCCGCTGGAGCCAAATTTCTCACGGTAAGTGCTCATTAGATCTTCCAGAGTGCTGGTCGCCGACTTATGTCCTGGATCATCTATTGGTAGGCTTTGTGGGTCTTCAACATCGCTGTTTTCGTGTGACAATGCTGGCGACCTCGAATTACTGAAGGTGGATGATTGGTGACCTGAGATGGATTGACATGCAATTTGACTAGGTCCTAGCCGAGGGCCACAATTAAGAGTTTCCGGTTGGTTGAGCGCATAGGCAGCGCGTGAGTTGATTGTGGATATGAGAGGGGAGTGCTGAGATGAGTTGCTTGGGTTGTTGATGGCGGGCGTCACTGAGGGCCTTACTGAATCCGCCATGTCTCAGACCAGAAGCTTTCGAACAACAAGTACAGTCGGATCAGGATGGTCGAGTGGCATGATGGGATTACAGAAAGAATTTACCCAGGTAAATAGGAAGGGATGCCTTATATGTCTTTGCCGGGTGCTATGTTTGTCTCGAAGTGATTTTCAGCTCTGTGTTACACAAAGCAGATCGAATATCTGCCTATCTTTACTGGCCCCCAAAGAGACCCCAAGTCTAGACACACCCACTGCCAATAATATGTCGAGAGCAGTCTTTTACTCCATTCAGGCATCTGAGCTAGGAGATCTTGGCGAATAGAGTTGCTAATATGGGTATTACAACATTTTCCGAGCCTGTTTCATGCAACGAAGCTAAGCGCAATTCTCGTAACTGTGGCGAGCTTGCTTAGGTAGAAACACAATATCTTTAATGTACCTCATTACATGATCTCATCTTTGTTGATCTCTAAGCCGATCCGATTGAATATTGTATCACTGTCTCAGCCATTAGCCGGAGACCTGGGCTTGTGGTGACAAGGCTGCCGATCTTTTTCAGCTGTTGTATGCACCTTTCATGATCCTCAAACCGTTGCATGCCATAAGGTATAAACTTGTTTATTGAACGCCAGGCTACAAGGAAGTGGACTTATCTAATCTTCTTTCTAATAATGAGACTAATGATAGTCGAGAGCAAGTTCAGAGTTGGCAGGAACAGCAATTATAATTGCGCCCAGACTGCCAGGGTCTCAAAGGAGACAATTGATGAGATTCTTGAGGAGCAGGGATAGTACAAAGCTAAGCTCGGTTCATTCTACTGGGGTGAGCTGGTTGAATTATGAGGATTGGGACCCAGAAGCAGCCTCACATTCATCCAAAAAAGAGAAAAGAAAAGAAGAAGAAAAAAGAAATGCAAAAGATACGAAACTGAGGACGAGCAAAGCTACTCAGCTAGCCTAACTAATTGATGAAGACAAAAATGATGAAACGGAGCCCGAGACCAAAGCTACCAGTGAGCCAGAGAGCCTCTTAGTCTGTCAAAGGGGAAGAGTGACTCTGTCCGTGTGGGTGGTGTAAGTGGAAGGCGCGATTTCTCCTGAAGACTCGGAGTGCCTGCAGGAGCTCAAAGCTCCATCACCAAGAACCGCGGACCCTGATCCAACACCATTCATTTGCACATTTACATGGAATAGCCCAAGCACTTACCCGAACTTCTTTATCTGCGAGACAAACACACCTCAGAACTCGGAGCACATGCAACCAGTATCGTCACCATGTTCCCAACTCTAATGCAGAACAAATATGGACAACCTATGTAAGGCATCTCTATTTGGTGCGGACATGTTGTGTCCGCTTTTCTGACCTCACAGGCCCCTCTCGGACAATGGTTGGGATTGGCAGATAAAGCAGCTACGGTTGCAGCAGCTACAGGAGGAGCCTCTCGAGGAGCCTACACCCCAGAGCCACTCTCGCCAAGAGGTTTCGAATCGGTGAGAAGCGATTGAAGACAGATCCACGCTGCCATTGATCGAGGCTAATGGATCGAGAAACCAGCCCCGACGTCGACTCTGAGGAACCTACAATCGTCAAGCGAGCACCTTTAATACCAGCCACAGCTAAGATAATCAAGTAAGTCTACCAATAGTTCGATTCATTTCGAATTTGCCACACACAGACAGTTGATTCCATGGAATAGTTGCATTCCTAGGAATGCTGAAATCGATTGGACAATTGACGACTCGCTTCCTGCCCAGAACGCAGCCCCGCCCCCTTCACCGACACGAGCCAGACATGACCAGGAACTCTACTCAGAAACCAATACGACTTTTGAAGATAATTGCCCCTCTATTGAGCTATCATCCTTGTCTATCGACCTCAGACCACATGAGACCCAAAGAGGCCCGGTTCCATCGAATCCGCGTGGACAATGCACCAACAAGATTAGTCTCTGCCCTAGATATCGTCCAGACGACACGATAAAAGGAGACATAATGCCAGGCAAAACTGTCCAATCTCACTACAACTATGACTTCCTCGCAAATTTCACGACAGAGACAATGGATCACAAAGCCGAACTTGGAAAAAGCTTGCCAGGCTCCAAACTTCTTGAGCCCTGGGCCGAGCCAGGGGTGAGCTACATCCCAGCCACCTGTCCCAGCGGACCTCGCAACCTTCCTCCCGGCTACTACGCCTGCCCCTCCAAGGATTGCCCTCACCGACTTGGGAAATCATGGTCAGGCTCTGGGTACACTCGGGAAACTCTCACAGACCACATTCTCAACCACGGGGGACGTAATGGGATGTCAGAATTGAGATGGACCGTCCGGCAACGTGTCATGGCCATGCGCCGTACTCAGCGCCGCAAGACGAATGACGGGAAAATTTGGATCGACGCCACCGGTGATCTTGACGAGGACCTACAGCGAGAGACTGACGACCTGGTCCTGGATCTCGAGGAAATCAGAAACTGGGAGCAAGCAATCCGGGTCGCTGCCCGCCGATCTGCAGATGCAACCTTTGCGGATCAAGTGCCTGTCCATGGGAGCCCCCATTTTACATCCCCGGAGAGGAACATCGAGGTGCGCAATCCTGAGCTAGCCCGCAGGGAGTATGCCTTCCCACGTGATTCGTTTCGTTTTCAAGACCATCAACGTTCACGACAGACGTCTGCTGGGGTGCATCCGAACGATCAAGTACGCTCTCCAGTGGAGTCGAAGGGACTCAATGGGTTCTCCTGGTCTGAAACCACGGTGACGGACAGTGACCACAGTCCTCCGAGAAAGAAGGCTCGAAAAGTTCGACCTGAGCGGGGCTGCGAGGATTGGATCTCCACAATGGGAGAAGATGACGATGACATGGATCTTGACTAACAGAGATGCACTTGGACTCAGTGGTGGTTTCTGGGTTCTCGTTCTGGTTGTTGATGGGTTGTGTTCGTGATTGATGATGGATGAGCTGGGCAGGTGATTGGCTACTACGCGCCCGTCCTATTGTGAGAGACCATTCTTATAGCATAGGTTTTATAGGCAATAAGGACGGGGCCTATCAAGGAGAAGGCAACCGAGAGTATGTCACTCGCTGGTCAGTCAAAGCCGCAATCAATCGGTCTCTTCGTTCTTCTCACGTATATTGACAAATCATTTCCTCCATTGTTCTGGATAAAAGAACGGCCAATCTGTTCTGTGAGCTGTTAAACGCCCAGTAAAAGAAAAATCTAAATGCACACAATTATTAAATTTCGTGTAGAATCTGAGCCCCGCAAATCTGCACAGCAGCCAATGTCCTACCTTGACATGTCAACGACGGGCTCACGGCCTCGGTTTGGCCCGTCTCGCATGTTCAAAGTGTTCCACAGCATCGAACAGACCTTGAACACGTCCGCTACTGGAGGATAAGCCTTACAGGCGTCGAATGTGTCTCGTACGGCGTCCGAAGCAGGCCTGCGCTTCCCAAATCCACTCCATATTACACGAAACATGAAAATTGCTGAGACAGAAAATATGAATAATTAAATGACTTCGTGTATTGTCTAAGATGCCCCAATCTCTAAATACAAAATTGCTATGCTCTCACTGTCCTTACAAAATTCCCAATGCATGCTTTGATGCCGATAGATCATAACACAGCCCTTCCACAGCGAATATCTAATGGTGCAATTTCTCCGGGTAACGACAGGAAAAGAATGAAGCATAACCCGCTTTGACTCAATTAACAACAGCAATCTCTCTGGGTATCGTGTCACTCGCAAAGAAACTTCTTAAGCATTCGCGTTCCTGTGCTCGGCCTCCTTGGCCGATTGCTCCCAGTCGGAGCGGGAAAGGTACCCAAGCTCGACGGTGCTGACCAGGGCGAGCCCGACAGTGACGCCGAACCACAGGCCCTCGAGCTTCCAGCCCAGGCCGAAGGCGGTGCCGAAGGCGAGCGGCAGCGCGACGGCGTAGTACGAGACGAGGTTGGCGTAGCCGCCAAACTCCTGCTTGCCGGTGCCGCGCAGCAGGCCGTGCGAGATGGCGGCCAGGCAGTCGAAGAACTGCATGACGGCGCAGACCGGCATCGTCTTTGCCACGAGGTCGACGACCTCGCTGTCCGGCGTGAAGAGCAGCGGCAGCTGGTACCGCAGCGATGACAGGATCGTGACGTTGAAGACGCCGACGAGGCAGCCGGCCCAGAAGGCCACCTTGGCGCATGTCTTCGAGGCGTCGACCAGGCCCGCGCCGATCAGATTCGCCACACGCGTGGAGGAGGCGATGGCGATAGGGAAGGGGATCTGGAAGGTGGTGGATGTGATCGTCATGAGGATGGACTGGGCGGCTAGGTATGTCGAGCCGAACTGGCCGGTTGCGAGGGTCAGGATCTCGAAGGCGAACCATTCTGCCTCGACCATGATCATACCTGGGATCGACAAACGGATCATTGGGCCTGTTTAGAGTGTAAGCTAGCTGTCATTCCTATGACATGTGGGTGCAGATTGATGAGGAGACTTACCCCAGTTCGACAACGCACGCTTGCTGAAACCTCCCCAGCATTGTTTACCATCAACGAAGTAGACGTACGCGAACAGGAGCGTTGGCAAGAGGTTCTGGGTGATCACGACTGAGATGGGTGCTCCGATGAAGCCCAATTCGAGATGCCACACAAAGAACCAGTTGAAGAAGACGTTCAGTGGTGCGGCAATCAGCAGCACATAGGTGGTCGCCTGGAAGAGACCCTGAGCCTGCACAAAACGCTTGCCTCCTTCAAAGACGATAAAAGCCGGGACACCGAGAAGATAGATCTTGAGGTACATGCCGGCCAGTTCTGCGGAGCGGTATTCTGGGATCATCATGGCCAAAATTTCCGTGGAATACATCCAGAGGACAATGAGCGGGAGGAAGAGGATCATCAGAAAGCTGATCATTCGCTGGATCTGCAGCCCCACGAGGTGCTTGTGCCCTGAGCCGTACGCTTGAGCACAAAGCGTATCTAAGCTCGTGGCCAGGCCCTGGAATGGCGCAGAACATGTGATGTTGGCAGTCATGGTTGCCACTGCAAATATGTAAGTCAAGTTTTCACAGACAAAATGACCAATATCAACTTACAACTGATAGCACCCAGCTCGATCGTTCCAATACGACCAACTGCGAAAATACTGGCGACGTTGATGGAATATTGCAGCAAAAATGTTATGATCAAAGATCTCGAGTAGATCGCGATTGTCTTGGCTTCTCTCTGCCATGTCGTCTTAAGCTTCCCCGAGGCGACGGCAGCCTCCCACTGCTCATTCAGCAGGCCATCGGCAGCTGGAGGCACCTCGCCATTCCTGCTGATCTGAGCCAGTAGCGGCGCCGTCTCAGACGCAACTCGCGACAAGGGCGCATCTTCCTCCTCCTCAGCCGTGAGGGGGACCTTGGTCGAAAACAATTTCTTGTAAATCCGACGCGAGAGTGTCTCCTTCTCAGGCACAGGGTGCTTGGGCGGGAGGATGTGGTTATCCCTCAGGAGACTGAGCTCCTCATTCCTGGACTGCTCCCACTCCTCGTGCGTGAGCATGGTCGACGCACCCCTGGGCCCCAACGCCGGCCGGGTGGTACCGAAGGCGATAGCGCTGGGCTTGCGGTACATGGCAGGGCCATGAGCCTCCTCGTCCGAGAGGTCATCGTCGAAGGTTGAGTCCAGATCATCCTCGCATTCCGAGTCTTCGAGAAGATCCCGCCGCAGAGCCTCGTGAGCGATGGGTGAGCCAGCCTGAAAAGAGGCTGCCAAGGATGACGCAAAATCATGGGCATGAGCATGGGACGGTGGGTTGGATCGGTTGCTGTCATTGCCGGTTGGTATGGGTTTGCTGCCAGCCATTTTCCCTGCCCTCTCTGAGCCTCCGGGCTCAGTCGCGTAGAATTTGTAGTATGTAGTTGAGAAATTACCCAGTGTGATGTATCTCGACGCAAAATAAAAAACGGGGTGCCCGAGTCTATACCGCCTCCGAAGGGGGGTCGTTCGCCACTAACTAGGGCTTGGAAAGTAGCTTGAAAATCAACAACGCGGTGAGATGTGGGCCAACCAGCGCCAGAGTCAGAGCCCAGAGCCAGGAGGAATCAGATGAACAGCCAGGAAGAAGACTAAAGACAAATCAATTCCGACACAGCCAGTAGGACCGACAGATGCTATTGAAAAGGCCGAGGTCACGATATGTTATGGAAGCGGGAGAATGAGTCGCGTAAGGTGCGGGTGCGAGTGGCGGAGGTGAATTTGATATGACACATGAGGAAGAATAAGCTGCAGCCTCGACCCAAGTGCGATCTAAGGCAAGATATCGGAGGCAGGATGCAGACTGGGGCGTGTGGTGCGAAGATCCACATGCACGCAGGGAAATGCAATGCAATGCGGCGGATGCGCAAATGCGACGCGGAGAACGGATGAGCTACGAGCAACACAAGACCACAGGCTGGACTAGCACCGGGCCCACGAGTTGGTCGACCGTTTGGGAAACTTTGGTGGACACTGTCTAGAGGCGACCAAGATCCTTCTCCACACCATAATCCATGACTGTCATGGATTCACGGATAAGAGAGATCCATGATCTCCTCGTTGCCGCAGTGGGTCCCTTGCAATCGCACCACGTCGTGGCTTGCCCAGCCAGCCCGCTTTGCTCGGGGGTATCTGGAAATCCGGGAATCAGGATAGATAGGCAGAGCAGGGCTTGCAGATGGGCAGCGCTAGACCTTTAGCTCTCGTCAAGGTCCATGATGCGACGGACACGAGTGAGGTCATCCCGCTCCAACCTGTCCTGCCATCTCACCGCACTGTCAGACTATAGTCCAGCGAAACAGGTGTGCCGTATCTTGCCGGTGCCGGCCAGTCGACAGGAGGTGCAGAGTTGTAATTGTATGACAAGTCTGTTCGCACGGCTAGCCCTTGACGGCATGGATCTGTCGGGGGGCTCTGGTCATGATCATGTCTCGATGCTCTCGGTGAGCTGTCGCGTGCGAAGTGGTGACGAGATGAACTGGTAACCCAAACATTCCAAGGCTGAGCTGCATCAGAAGGAGAAGTAAAAAAAGCGCACAGAGATCGGGAGCCGGCCCCGGCCGAGCTTGGAATGGCTGAATCTGTCACATATAACTTTATTTACAGTAGCAGGGCATCCAAACGCAACATTGAGTTTGGCTGGGCTGGCCAGGATAACCTCGCAGTCGACGACGTAGTAGATCAAAGCACTGACCGTACAATCCAGACAACAGATATCTATCTACAGTTTACTGTAGACAACAACAGGCAAGAGGTCAAGAGGATGGTGGAGGAGCGGGTCTCAAGCGGCCAACCCCTCTCTCAAGTCCCTCCGACTGGATCAACGGGATTGCACCAAGTTCCCCATGCTCCCACTTTGATGGCCCCAGCTCTCAGGAACACAATCACGCAATCTACCAGTCAAGGCCAATTGACCTATCAGGACGGACTGGTTGTCTCAAAATGGACGAAATGTGGATTTCACAACTTACAGGCTGGGTGACATCATCCACGCTTCGCCTCCAGCCTTGTCAAGGTCAACAGCCAGCTCTGATATAGTCTATGCGATGATAACAATGGATCAGATGCAATATTGTCCAGATCTAGAGTGTGGATGATGAAACGAGAGACAAGAGGCGCGAATGCGATAGATCACACACATACCGACCGGCTCTGTCTCTACCGACCCGAGCGACAGCCGCTATCGGTAGCGGCTATCGAGTGCTTTGCAAAAGGTTCCTCGCCGCCCACCAACCAGGACGTCACTAGCACGCGATAACCACGGCGCACAGCACAATCAAGCGGCTAATTGAACAATGAAGGCTCGTGTGCAACGGGCGAGGCCAACGCTCCCCTCCTGACTCGAATCCCATCCCCAGAGGACCCTTTCCCCGGATTGAGGCTCTGCTATCTGGACGTGCCCTGTCCCCACCTCACATGAACCTTAATTATCCAGCCTAGCTTTTTTAAATGTCCCAGGTCTCTGGGAGACCCCTCTTTATCTGACCGCTCCAACCTCCTTAGCAAACAGGAAGCAACATGGCCGATATCCGCGACGAAGAAGACGGCAGCTTCTGTGCCGTAAGCTGCTGCGCGCCACTCGGTGAACTCATGAAGCCTGTCGACGTCGACGACCTGTTCGACTCGGGGTATTACTAGTAAGTTGCACGGGAGCCACTGTTCAATCTACAGTGATAAGATCGAGTATGATCCGCCATGAACGGGTTGTATAAATGAATATGTATATACATATATGTCCAGGCATGAACACATGTACAAACACAAACATACACATGATGCCCACAAGTTAACCATCCACACAGCGATTCCAATCAGGCCTCAGGCCGCGGGTCCGCCTCCTTCTTCATGTGGCCCTTCTTCGGCCCGCTGCTCTTCGAGAACCAGACCTCGGACGCCCGCGACCACTGTGCCAACGAGCGCACCTTCCTCAGCTACCTGCGCCTGTCGATCTACATGGCCATCGTCTCGGTCGCCATCGTTCTGTCCTTCCATCTCAAGAGCCAGCCCTCCGCCGCCGAGCTGCGCATGGCCAAGCCTCTGGGCCTCGTCTTCTGGATCCTCAGCGTGGCCTGCCTTTGCGTTGGGCTGGGAAATTATATTCGTAAGACTTGATCTGTTACGTACTTTCTTCTGTCATTACGTTTCGGTGAGTAACAGCGACGGGTGCTGACATGCTGGTCTTGTTCGGTAGAAACGGTAAATAAGTACAGCCGAAAAGCTGCGATTGTACAAAGTGGTATCAAAACACAAGTAGTAAGTCTCCCTTGCAGCTCACCCCTTCTCCTTCTCCTTCTCCAGCATAATCCAACGAAGTCGACGCGACAGTCCTGACACCGCCAACTTCTGCTAGACTATGGGCATTGTATCCCTCAGCATCATCGCCACCTGTGTAACGCTGCTGGTCATAAACAGAATGAGCCAAGGAATAGACAGCAGATAGGCCTGGAAATGCCTTCTGGCCTTAACGCAATGACAAGAATGAAGTTTTCCAAGTCTTAAAAGTCCCAGAGCCAGCCTTCTCATCATCTCACTCTCATGGACAGCAGGATACGCGGATCCCGAAAGGTATATACAACTTGCTTTCAAACCAAACACGTCCATTATTTCCTCGATGCTCCTGAACGCCAAGGCCCAGGAATCCAGAAGCGCCTCGCTATAAATCTACACCCCATCATCGCCCATGCAGAACAAGTCTTTCGCAGACGGGTCTGGCTGTGCCGGCTGGCCTGACCTACACCCACCGACCGTGCGCCTGAACCCGGCCGCGTACTTTATCGACTCCTCGTTTAGGTCTTCGAGCGATATGCGATTGTCGTCCCACGACAGGAGAGACATCTCGTTGAACCGCGGCAGCCCCTCACCATTGGGAAGACCGTCCAGCAAAGTCCCTTGTCGGAGGATTATTTCATCCTCGTCACTGTGTTTCGTGCTCGACCTGTCATTCTCATATTCCTCGGGCTTCTGGTACAGTTCTCCGTGCGTGGTCGCCAGATTTGCCGCCAGATCAGCCCCCGGGTATACAGTCATGTATCCGCGGGCTCGGCAAAGCCGGAGGGCATGTTCCAGCCACGAAGGGTAGTCCTTGCTGACCGACTTCTCGGCCAAGAGAGCTGGCGTGCTTTGGAGCCCATGTTGTGCTTCCAACAGCTGGGAGACAAACCCGTGTAGTTCGGCCCACCTTTCACCTATAAAGAGTGCCGCGTTGCTGTTTGGCGCTTGCCAGAGGAAAGCAGCCGAATGGCTGGAGCCCGAGGCACCAAGCTCGGGCCCGTCAAGTTGACCTGCTTGTCTCGTTGGTGGAACGAATGGTGTCGAACCCTCGAGATTCTTGCTGGGCAGGTCAAGACTTAGACTGAAGACTCTCTTGTCCCAGGCCTGGTAGATGGCGGGGCCTGAATATCGGTACTCCAGGAGGGCCAACTTAAGGTAATGAAAGTAATTAGGGGAAAGCTCGACTTGAGGAGATAGTACCAGGACATGAGAGAAAGCTGTGTTGGAAGGCCAGAAGCCCTCGAGGAATCGTACTGAACTCTCCTCTTCTGTGTCACCACGTCTTGATATTCGATGTCTGAGGGTCAGCTGGTTTGCAATTGCAGGGTTGAAAGCTCTGCGAGGTGGCCAGTGGAAGTTCTGTAGGAACTGAGAGGTCGGCGGGTCGATCTCCTCCGGAAGTTCGATGGTCAGGTGAGGTACAGCACTCGCAGTGTAGTCAGCTGCCCGCAAAGACTTTAGCAGTCTGATCAGACTCCCTGACGCCCCTGTGTGAGCATGAACTAGAATGTCCACGCTGGCCCGATTCCAATTTGAGAGTGATGTCGCGTCTAATTTAGACATCCAAGAGAGGCGATCTACTGTAGGTCCGGGCAGCTCTACGATAGCGTGGCCAAGTTGAAGCTTGGTCGCCTGTTTCTGTAACGACCTGAGCAGTAAAGGTTCTTCCGCCTCAGAGGAATCCACAATGATCGCTTGAGGATGCATGTAGTTGTTAATGTGGTAAAGTGCTCGTTCGGCGGACTTTGCGAACCTCTCGTCGGAAGAAATGCTGGGAAATTCAACGCGCGCATCTGCAGTTGGTCAATCAGCAAGTCCTGACTCCGGCAATGCACAGGTTCCTCCTACCGTGAAATATAATCTCACAGCTCTTGTCGATACCGTTGACAGCCCGCAGATCGTCGATGGGTATGTCGCTTCTGCTTAGCAATGCGAAGTGGACATAAGCCCTCAACTCCCTGCCCATCTTGCAGGCCAATGGCAGCAATGACCCGGCGCTTCTCAAGCTGGACGCGGCGAACAAGACATTCTTGTTCAGCGTCGAGCCTCCATGTGTACCACTTATTGCATGTAAAGTCTCAGCCAGCTCCAAGAACCTAACCGGACCATTGAAGTCGCGGCTAGGAGGCGCGACCTCGCCTTCGTCCTCCTCGACCGTTTCAGCTGCACTGGGGGCTTGGGGCTTCGGGGCAACTCCAGGTGGTGCCTTCGCGGTCGGATAGGTAGGGCGGCCGGACTTTCGTGGACCCACGTCGGTGGGAATGTTGTGGATGAAGATGTAAGCGGCAGCTGCGATCAGGAGCAGAAGGCCAAGCCGTTTGAACGTCTTTCTCGGAGCTATGCGAGGCGCGGCTTTCCACCCAAGCGACGAGCCCCTCGTCCTGCCACCCTTGATGTACAAGTCATCGTCTTTCTTGTGGACCCCAAGCTCCGGATCGACGGTGGCTGGCATGGCCCCAAGCCGCTCCAGGAGCTCAGGATGCGACTGGGTATGCGCGAGCTGCGAGTGTGCGACACTGTCTTGTCTTGGAGACGCAGGTAGGAACTTCACGTCATATCTGGGGTGAGACGTCTGCTGAACCAGCGCTGGGGGACACGTAACTGTCCGTTTTGGGCAGAGGGCTGAGGTGGACAAGGCCGAGTCGTTCGAATCGGACAACGGAGGAGGCGAAGGGAGCACGCGTGGACTTCAGCAAGGGAAAAGCAGAGCCACCACGATTGACATTTGAATCGGAGAAGCTAGCCTTTGAGAACACAAATGCACGGTTCCATTTCTCCAGGCGTTCGAAGGTTAATAAGGAGATTCGAATTGTAACCACGTAGCCATTTGGGCCGGAGATGGGATGAATAGAAGAGGGGGGGGTGGGAAAGGTCATGCATGGGTTGAGTGATTGTGGACGTACGTATCCCGCCCCATATGATCGAGTGTCGGCTAGACCCAAGACTCAAGACAGCCTGTCCCTGCGAGTGCCACCCCTGGTCGTGGATGCCGATTCACCCACCCTCTGCAGCCCTCCATGGCTGGCTGCCCCACGGCTCTTGGACCTTTGAACCCTGCATACTCACCGCAGATCAGTCCCGAGGTGGGGCACAGCACAAGAGCTTGCTTGAGTGACCCAGCCAGATGGTAAAATCTCCAATCGGAATCAGAATTGCATGTCGAGAAAATTTGGAGCTCGATAAAAGTTTCTAGACGCTCACCAGCTCCATCAAAATATCAATACCGCCTGTTTGTTGTTCACTCAGCAACCAACTAGGTATAAGTTGGTTCAGGTCCTCATACTTTACTGTCCAACATTTCTTCTGATCACAGCTAGCAAGACGAAGGAAAAAGAAAAAGAGCAAGATGGGCAAATCACGGAGAAACAGAGCTCATGCTCATCGCTCCGACCCTATGTCTGCTGCCATAAAGCCAGTCAAAGCTCCAAACGACCCTGAGCTTGCTGCACTCAGAGAGAAGCGAATCCTTCCCGTCATAAACGACCTCCGGAGCGTTGATTCCAGCGCTCGATCAGCAGCTGCCGGTGCTGTGGCCAACATCGTTCAGGACGAAAAGTGTCGCAAGCTTCTTCTGCGAGAGCAGATCGTGCCCATCGTCCTCACAGAGACCCTCACTGACGCAAGCCTGGACAGCCGGGCTGCTGGCTGGGAGATATTGCGCGTGATTGCTTCAGAGGAAGAGAGCGATTTCTGTGTTCACTTGTTCAGACTTGATGTACTGACTGCCATAGAGCATGCTGGCAAGAATGTTAGTATCCGCCTTGCCCAAAAACTTGTCTGACTGAACAAACTCTGACAATTTTCAGGTGGTCCAAACAGTTGCAGAGTCATCTTTCGCCAAGACACCCAAGGCTCAGCAACAAGTCATGTGGAACATCACAACAGCACTTATATCACTGATCAATGCCCTGGCTACTGCTCGGGATGAGATTTTGGATGCCATAGCCTCCAACCCCCAGATCTTGCCATTCCTGTGCTTCCTCGTCACTCACGCCTCCACGCCATATGAAACCTCCACTGAGGCTCTCAGCTGTTTGATGTCGCTGTCTGAGGACAACCTCAAAGTATCGCAGCTCGTAGTAGCTGACCCATCAAATTGTTTCAGAACTCTGGCAAAGTTCAAAGAGGGCACCGACATCAAATCAGTATACTCATGTGGTGTTCTTCACAACATTTTCTCATCACTCGAGTGGCACGACGGGAGTCCTGGTCAAGATGGTGCCACAGATGCACAACTCATACCCAGTTTATCTCGAGTGCTGGAGCGGACAAGGCAGGATTCCAAGACGAATCAGATCAGTGGAGTATCCCCTGAAGCAGTGTCACTTGCACTGGAAGTCTTGGCCTCCATAGCAACAGATCTTCAGGGAACTGTGGCAAAGGGCAACAAGGCTGACGAGGAGTGGAATGGTATCGAGGACGACGAAGCAATGGCAGAGGATGACGATGACGAAGCGAAGCACGAAGCAGACGACGAAGATGTGGATGATGCAGAGGCCATGGATGCTGATGGAGCTGATGGCGAGGTAGACGACGAAATGGATGAAGACGCAATGGAGGCAGACCTGGATCTCGTTACGGGAGGAGACGACGGTGGTGAGGACGATGGCGGAGTCGACGACTTGCCTACACTGAAGGAGTTCATGACGAAAGCGGTACCTCACATCATTCGCATGGCCAACCTCGCACCTGCATCTGATGAAGCGGTGGCTATCCAGAGCGAAGCGTTTTCCGCTCTCAACAACATATCTTGGACGCTGTCCTGTTTCGACTATTCGGAGTCTGGCAACGCCGGCATTCTGAGAGCCTGGACGCCAGCAGCCAAGCGGATCTGGTCAAACGTCATCGCCCCCGTCCTCACGACCGACACTGCGGATGTGTCCTTGGCTTCTCTTGTCACGAGCATTGCCTGGGCGGTCTCCCGCACTCTACAGGGATCAACGCCTCTTGTTGGCGATGAACACCGAAAATTCATCGCTCTTTACAAAGCCTCCAAGGGCTTACCTGGGAAGCCTGAGGACCAAGCCGGCCAAGAAGAGGCTGACCCCTTCCAAGCCCTCGGAGTCAAGTGTGTCGGTGTGCTGGGCCAGCTTGCTCAGGATCCCGCGCCAATCAGCCTGAACCGTGAGGTCGGCATCTTCCTGATCACCATTCTCAACGGGCTGCCGGATGCACCTGCCGCAGACGCGGTGGAGGCTCTCAACCAGATCATGGATATTTACGGCAACGAGACCCATGCATGCGACAAGGAGGTGTTCTGGAAGGACAACTTTTTGAAGCATCTCGAAGACATCCTCCCTAAGGCCAAGGCTGTGGCGAAGACGATTGACAAGAGGGGCGCCACAACCGAACTTCGAGCTCGGGCAGACGAGGCCGTAATGAACCTTGGTCGCTTCATCCAGTACAAGAAGAAGAACCCCCCAAAGGCTTGATGGATGGAGTGTACTCGGCACGGATAGCATTCACTGTGGAGACACGAAGTGTGGGGACCTGAGTAAGGCTGATCTTGCTGATCGCTTACCTGCGTTCTGGACGTGAATCGGAGCCGACGAGGCGAACTGCCCACGTGGTCAGCAAGACGCAAGCTGTGCCATCTAGGCACTGAGGACGGGTCGCGCAAACCTCGTTTCAAACCATGGGATTCATATGTAAATGACAAAAGAATAGACAAATCTTTGGTAGGATATTTCCATCTGTCTGCGTCGAGATGCGCAGGACCAGAGGCTCTCAAAAAAGTCGTAAAAGGGAACCGCGACTGTATCCGTGCCTCTCATAAGAAAGCCAAGCCGTGGAGTCTGTCCCGTAAGCAATACACCGCAACGCCACAAGGCCCGGAGGCCTATTACCCGATAGGCTTCATCTTCTTCTTCTTCTTGGTCGGCTCGCCGCTAGAGCCCGTCTTGCCCTTCTGGAACTGCCTCCAGGAATCGATGCGCACCTCCCTCGTGGCCTCCCAGTCCTGCTCATGCTGCCGCTTGCGCTTCCGCTCGTCCAGCTCCTCATCCTCCCTGCGCTGCTGCCGGCCCTCCTCCTGCATCTGGCCCTTCATCTGGCGCCTGCGCCGTTGCTCGTTGTCGACCAGCACCCGCACCGTCTTCTCGGCCCACTTGCGGTGGAAGGCCTCGTCCGGCTCCTTCACCTCAGGCGAGTCCACCGTCCACTTGTTCTCGCGGATCAGCAGCATGCGCGCGTCGGCGATCGCCTCGTCCAGCTGCGCCCGGTGCTTCTCGTCCATCAGCTCCGTCTGCGCCTTCTTCAGCCGGTCGAAGGCGTCGGGCGCGCGCGGGTTCTTGGTCTTGTCCGGGTGGATGAGCAGCGACTTCTTGCGGTAGGTGATCTTGATGTCCGACTCTGGCACGCCTGGCTTGAGGTCGAGCACGGCGTAGGCATCGAGCCGGAAGGCTTTCAATATGCGATCTATTTCGGCATCCTGCACGGTAAGAGGCGGGTGTTAGCTAGTCTAACTAGAGGACAAGTCGGATTCTGGGGGCAGCTTGCCTTCTCCCACTCCTTGCCCTCGGCATCGAGGATGTCCAAGGCATCTCTGTCATCAACTGGCTGCTCTTCTGTAGATGCCATCTTGGCTGTCGGTTTTGAGCTTCTTACCGAGTTAATATGGACAAATGGAAAGGTTGTCGCAAGGCAAGCTGAAGTCGTCTTTGAAATGCGGTTGTCGAGTGCCACAGTGGAACAGGGGTCTGATGCAGGAAGGCGATACCTAGTCACCTTAAAGTGGGTAGACCCCACCAAGGGACCCTGGCTGTTTGTTTATCGATAAGACCATCCCTTCCAAAATTTCGGAATTCTTGAGGCTTGGAAGAGCACTGTCGTTGCTAACATACTCGCAACTCACTATTCGTGTTCTCCTTCACAATGCCTCGCGCCGCCTCACCGACGCCCTCGGATGGCGAGGTCGATATTTTCGACTCGTTATATACCGACGATGTAAATTCAAAGCAACAGGCGCCTGCCGACGCAGGCTTCGATTTCCTTGACGATGCGAACCAAGACGACGGCGACGAGGCCTTCATCGCCCTCAAGCAGGCAGCCTCTTATCGGAAAGCTGCAAACCAAACGAAAGGGACCGGTCAGAAAGGAGGTGGTTTTCAGTCCATGGGTATGCATAGGTTGCGCGAAGAATTCTGGAATCATTCGAGCTCGACTGACAACATTTAGGGCTGAATGCAAAATTACTCTCGGCTATCCTCCGCAAAGGTTTCAAACAGGCGACTCCCATTCAGCGAAAAGCGATTCCTCTCATACTGCAACGACGAGATGTGGTGGGCATGGCAAGGACAGGATCCGGCAAGACCGCGGCTTTCGTCATACCAATGATTGAGAAGTTGAAGGCACACAGTGCTCAAGTGGGCGCCCGAGCTCTGATTCTGTCGCCTTCGCGAGAACTTGCGCTGCAGACACTCAAGGTTGTGAAAGAATTTGGAAAGGGGACGGACCTGAAGTGCGTCTTGCTTGTGGGTGGTGACAGCCTCGAAGAGCAGTTCAGCTCCATGACGACGAACCCGGATATCATAATCGCAACACCAGGTCGTTTCCTACATCTGAAAGTCGAGATGTCGATGAACTTGTCCTCGATTAAGTACGTCGTCTTCGACGAGGCAGATCGGTTGTTCGAGATGGGCTTCGGAACCCAGCTCGCAGAGATTCTGCATGCTTTGCCAGCGTCGAGGCAGACCTTGCTCTTCTCCGCAACGCTTCCTGCGTCGCTCGTGGAATTTGCCCGCGCGGGCCTACAAGATCCGAGCCTGGTGAGACTGGACGCGGAGACCAAGATTTCGCCCAAGTTGGAGAGTGCATTTTTCTCTGTGAAGGCTGCGGAGAAGGAGGCGGCTCTTCTTCACATCCTGCACGATGTTATCAAGATGCCCACAGGTGACCCGGAAGGCCCCCCGCAAGACTCGGATCGATTTTCGAAGAAAAGGAAGCGAGGACAGGACGAGTCCAATGTGGAGAAGCCCACGGAGCACTCGACAATCGTCTTTGTGGCCACCAAACACCATGTTGAGTACGTGGCCGCCCTTCTGCGTGAGCAAGGATTCTCAGTATCATACGTCTATGGATCCTTGGACCAGACTGCGCGAAAAATACATGTTGACAATTTCCGCCGTGGGAGGACAAACATACTTGTGGTCACAGATGTGGCCGCGCGTGGTGTTGATATTCCAGTGCTGGCAAATGTCATCAACTACGACTTCCCTCCTCAGCCAAAGGTCTTTGTTCATCGAGTTGGAAGAACTGCTCGAGCGGACAAAGAAGGTTGGAGTTACAGCATCATGCAAGACTCCGATGCTCCCTACCTGATCGATTTGCAGCTTTTCTTGGGCAGAAAGTTGATACTGGGTCGAGAAGGCGGTAGCTCCCCATCCTATAAGACTGACATGGTGGTTGGTTCTCTACAGCGCTCAGAAATCGAGTTGCATGTTGAATGGCTTAACAAGTTGCTGAAGGAGAACGAAGATGTCAAAGCTTTACGAAGTGTTGCTGCTAAGGCAGAAAAACTCTACACAAGGACCAGAAACGCAGCATCAAGTCAGAGCGCAAAGAGAGCAAAAGAGGTGGTTGTGTCGGATGGATGGAACCAACTGCACCCGCTGTTTGGGGAGTTTGATGATGAGGTCGAGAACGCGCGCAATGATATGCTGGCTAGAATTAGCAAGTGGACGCCAAAGGAGACCATTTTCGAAATTAACATGGGCAAAAAGACCGCCACGAACCCTGGCGCAGAAATCATGAGGAAGATCCGGGCCAAAATCATACCAAAGAATCGCGTGGAGATGAAGGGCGATGCAGAGGCAGCGGCTGACGACGTTGACATGGCCGATGCACCATTATCTAATTCCAGCCGGGAAGAGGGCGAGGAGGACGAGAGTGATGACGAGTCCGTGCAAAGCAAAGACGACGATGATCCTCCTTCCGAGGAAGACGATGAGGAGGACGCCTTCAACCACGACGTGATTTACCCCACCGACAACACGGACGCATCCAAGATGGACAAAAAGAAATCCTACAAAGACTCGGAGTTCTTCATGTCGTACACGCCGCGCACAATCAACGCGAACGAGGAGAAGGGCTACAGCGTCAACGGCGGCGGGCCATCCTTCGTGCAGGCGGCGCGCGACGTGACGATGGACCTGACCAACGACGACGGCGCCAAGTCGTTCGGCGAGCCGGCGCGGGCCAAGATGCGCTGGGACAAGAAGCAGAGCAAGTACGTGTCGACGGCCAACGACATGGACGGGTCCAAGGGCGCCAAGACGCGCATGATCCGCGGCGAGTCGGGCGTCAAGATCGCCGCGTCGTTCCAGTCGGGCCGCTTCGACCGCTGGCGCCGCGAGCACCGCCTGGGCCGGCTGCCCGGCGTGGGCGAGATGGAGAAGACCGGGCTGGCGCGGCTGGCGAAAGATGCCGGGCCCGGCGGCGGCGGCGGCGACGGTCCCGGGGCGGGTGGGCGCCACTTCAAGCACAAGCAGGAGAGGGCGCCCAAGGAGGCGGACAAGTTCCGCGACGACTACCACGTGCGCAAGAAGAGGGTCGCCGAGGCCAAGGAGAAGAGGATCGGCAAGTTCAAGGACGGCGCGGGCAGCAGGCGCGAGATCAAGAGCAAGGACGACATCAAGAAGTCGCGCAAGATCGAGGCCCTCAAGAAGGCCAAGAACGCCCGGCCGTCGAAGGGTGGCAAGAGGTGATGGACAGGCAGGTGCTATTTGTAGGAGGGTGTGATCAGCGGGAATCAAAGTCGTTCTTAATCTCGTCGATGGCCAACACGAGAGGCTGATGTTTGATGGGCAACCCCTATTTTGACCATGTCCGTGTGAACGTCCCTTGTAGACAGCCGGGGACAGTCTTCTCTTCACCCGCGCTATGTTCGTTGCGGAATGAATATGAGTAAATTTGCAGTACAGCTCGAGGAGATCCTAAGGGTTGAGCCTCACACCTGAACATATAAATACTAGCATGATAATATTGTCCTGAATGACTAGCCCACAAGTTATCGTGTCAGAAGATTGTCCTGGGTTAGGTTCTTCAGTTATTTTGTGGCGGATTGTCCAATAAGGTATTGTCTTCAAGGATGCACATGTATCACTCGACAATTTTGAAATGCTTGCAAGCTGAATAGTTTCATCAGAATTGTCTTTTATTTTCCACTTCCACCGCAAAAGACCCGAAGTCTCTCCGTGTCCTTCTTTGAGCACCACGGCCGTTATCGTCCCCTATCCTATCTACCCTATCCTGAGCGGTATTTGTTTGCTTGCCCTGTCAAGCCTTGCAGAAAAAAAGAGGGTCCTTCTAGAAGAATCGAATCAAGAATGTGTGTATAAAAAAGGGGAATCGCTGAATGAACAGTGAATAGAAGATTGTCATGGGTAGAGGACTCTCGCTCCCCCAAGCCAAATCGAACGTTGTCGTTAAAATAGAGAATGAACCAAGTCATGTGGGGAAACAAAACGCCCTCGCTCCATTGAGCTCTTTCTGAAAATGGGATCGATGGCAAGATCGTTGCTGCCTCCAAGAACGCCCGGATATATGTCGGTGCATCGTTGCGATTTCTCAACTGTCGCTCACCGCCATGGGGGTATAGGGTCCGCTGCCGAAACGTGCCGCAGTTTCCCGAGAAGGTTTGTTTTCGAGGTCGTTAGAAATTCGAAGGTGGGTGCATTATTGTATACATTTTTATATCGACACATGTACAAGTATTTGGATTTTACTTTTTTGCTTTTTTTGGTCGTTTGCGCGCTTGTTTATCCGGAAAGGACATCTACGCGGCTTCGTGGGCAGGATAGTCTAAAGAATTGTCAGCTTTCGGTAATTTTCCAAATTTTGCTTGGGAATTGACTTACACCACGAGCAGACTGCAATTATGACGTAAAGGCACATCAGAAGCATTCCTTCGAGCCAGTGACTCTTGCCATCGCCGATCAGATAGTTGACCAAGAGTACCGAGACGAACAGTACTGCAACCTGGAAAACGTCGAAACTCAGGTTCATATCCTCTACGCCCATACCCCAGCCGATGATGACGAGGAGCGGGATCAAGAACAGCGCAACCTGCATGCTCGAGCCCACAGCGACTCCAATAGCGAGATCCATCTTGTCCTTTATGGCGACGGTGACGGCAGTGGCGTGCTCGGCTGCGTTTCCGACAATGGGAAGGAGGATCAGACCCAGGAACTCTTCGCTGATGCCACCCTGGGTCGTCACGTAGTCAATGCTGTCAACCAAGAACTCGGCACAGAAGGCAATAAGGACCGTGCTTCCAGCAAGAGTACCCATGGCAACGGCGAAAGAGAGCTGGGGGTCCTCTGCGTCCTCCTCATCGTCATCGATTGTGGGGTCTGCGTTCAGCATTTGCTGAAGCTTCTTGTTGTTGGTACCGCTCTCATCGTTGTGACCGGGCATACCAACGAGCCCTGCTGGACCAATCAGTCCCTTCTTGATGGCCGCCGGGCCCAGGTCATGCTTCTTAGGTTTCATGGGCACCTTCTGGCTCTCCTCAGAGAAGACTGAGTGGTGGGTCTTGAGCTGGAAGTACAAGTAACCCGCGTACACAAAAAGCAGGATGACTGCCGTACCCCGGGAAAGCGCGGCTGTTGATGAAACGGGGAGCTCGGTCTCCTTGTCGAACACTGTCGGGATGATGATACCAGCAATGGCAAGAGCGAGCAGACTGGCTGCAGTCTGAGCAACAGTCATGTTGAAGAATTGCTCTTGCCTGCGAAGTCCACCAAAGAAAAAGCACATGCCCATGACAAGCAGCAAGTTGGACAAGATACTGCCAATGAGCGAGGTTTGTACAATGACGACTTCACCCTTGACAAGCGCCATGATGGCCACAATAAGCTCGACGGCGTTTCTGCCCTGGTTAGTATCTATGCACAGCAGTAATGGATTAGGGAGACCTACCCGAAAGAAGCATTCAGAAGACCACCTAGGGTCTCACCAGTGCGAAGTGCAATTTCCTCAGTAGCAAAACCCAAAAGAGCGGCGAGTGGGATGATGGCAATGAAGTTGACGACGAAGATGGCGATTGGGTTCATGTTTGGAATGGCTCCCAGGACGATGCCCACTGGCGCGGCTACCAGCAGTACGTTGATCCATGAGTTCAACAACGTGCGCTGAATCTGGTTTCCCACGGTAAAAGGCTCCTTGGGCTGCACATGCTTGAACAGGCGATGCTCCTTTTTCTTCTTTGGCTCGTCGGCAGGTTGGGTGCTGGGTGAATCGACCGGTTCCTTCTCGAGCCTCCCCCGATTGCGCATCTGCGCTCCCGTGTCGACTGCAGTGAAGTCGGAACCTGGGGCTTGGGAAGCGACGACGGTGTCACCGGAACTATCGGGCCTTTCCCGTTCGTGTTCCTGTTCTTGGCGGGCAAGCGATGCCTCATTGTCCTTGCTTGTCCTCGCATCTGTGCCGTGGCCAAAGGCCCCATATGTCCCTGACGGTGCGGTCTGTGAATGTTCTATGGGCGAGCCAGTCTCGATGTCCTCATCGTCTACATTGATATCCCGCTGTGCCTCTCCGTCCCATGTTTGACGACGATTCTTGCTGTTCCAAATGTGGCCGAAAGGGTTGAAACCAGCGTCGCTCCGGCTCACGGCATGTGCCTGGCGTTTGATCTGGAAGGCGTTGACTGGATGGTCCATGTTAGCACCAAGTCAAGGTTGTGTACCCGGCCAGTGGGCCTCGTGGGCGGTAGTATGGTGCAATAACACAAAGAGCGGGTGTCACGCTGTACTACAAGGAATGAAGGCGACAGGGAGAGCGACAACGATGACGAGGGTGGTGAGGGTAGTTTCCAGGGACAGGCGGACGATTGTTTCAATTGGACATGGTATTATTGAAAAAGGAATCAATCGGCTCGGAAGGTAAGCGAAGGGGGGGACAGGAGGATGACGCCGGACGACGATGGATGGATGGCTTGTACAAATAAGGCAATGTGGTGTAAGGGGAGAAACGGCCAATAATAGGGTCGGTGAAGGACGGGGCAGGGCAGCGTAGGAATGCAACCCCGAGAAGGCAGAATCGTGAACTGGTGTCAAGTGAGGTACAGCGCAGAGAAGGGGGAAAATAGCGCGACGTGTGAGAGTTTGGTGCAATGCAATGGTAATGCGAGATACAATGGACGAACGAACGGACGGATGGGACAGGGGTGGGTGGTGGTCAGATTTGTTCCTGTGCTTAGGCCTGGTGGGGAGGGGAGGCGATGGGCGATGGACTTTTGGCGGGCCACTTTTCCCGCTTGGCACCCTGGACCGTTTTTGTCTCCCTGCACGGCCTGCACGGGAAGAGCAAAGGGTTTCTGTGCTATGGTATGCTGTGCTGTGCTGTGCTGTGATGTGCTTGGCTATACTGTGCCGTGGTGTGATGTCTCAAGACAAAGGCAGAGAAGCAGGGGCAGAACTTACACTTGAAGTCACTCATGATGGCGACGATGACGACGGGCTGCCGTGAAGGGCGGACCTTGTTGTCGTGTTGTGCTGTAGTGTCGTACTAGAGGGTGCCGTGCGTTACGGAAGTTGCCCCCTTTCGAGTAACCTAGCCGTGTATTCGGATGCCGTAATTTGAATCTCGGAGCGGCGACCTGGAATTTCGCTTCGGTCGCTTGGGTTGTTCGCTTCAGATTCCCCAGCGCAGCCAAGAAAGAAAGAAGTGGCCCTCAGTGCGGGAGATGTCGAACCAAGAACCAACTTGGGCGAGGTCAAAAGGCAAGGCGTTCTGTTCTCTTGGCGATTTGGACGTGAATGCAGTGCGCAGTGCGCAGAGGGTTGGGGGCTGAGAGGTGGAGAAATCGACTGTCAAACCGGTATCAATCGTAGCCGTCGGATCCTCTAGCCGTGTTGGAAGTGGTTGGTTTACTGCTTGGATTGATTGACTTGGTTGTGGTCAATGTCTGCCAGCGTGGGAATTAGAGTTCGAGGCTTTGCTGCGGATGCTTGCAGACAGGTTGGACTGGATGTGGCTCGTTTCGTGTCGTGCGTGTCGTCTGGTGTTGAATGGGCAAAGTTGTTTGCCGTAACGTGCCGACTGAGGGAAACGGAAAATGAGTCTAACTCCAGAAATAGTCACGGCGCAAACAACGACGAGTTTGGCTGACTGGCTGGTGTCAATTAGACAGTCAACTCAAATCGGCTGGTCCTGATGGTGGATGACGAGGCAGGCCAAGAAAATGGTTGTGGAGAGGGAAAGAAAAAAAGGAACAGAGGGACAGAGGCGATCACCGAGGGAGCTGGCTGGCGTTTCTTTTGACGGATGGGCCTTGACTTTGAGCTCCTGGGGGGCGGTTGACCCTGCGTATCCAGAACCTGGTGTGCTGCGCTGTGTATCGACGGTTCCTGACTGCCACCTCAATCAAAGACCCGGTGGGTTCGAGAATGGGCCTCCCACCAGGGGGCGCGAAGTGACTTGGCCGGCCCATACAATCGACGTGGCGTCACAGGTATCGACCGAGCTCTAGCGCCTGCGCTTTAAGATTGGCGGCGACTCAGAGTTGCAGGGAGCGTCCTGTGGATTTTGGGGATCGTCTGGGGGGCGGCAGGTGGGCAGAACGGATCCCCTTGGACGGTGTGCGTAACGCCCGACGAATGCAAACGGATAAGCCCCCTTCCACTCAGTCCAGTAGTGAAGGCGCATTTCACAACATGACTGCGCTGCACAATATCAATTCAATATCAATCCCAATCCCCAACTTCCATAATGCCTGGGCCAGGTGCACTGCCCTTTGTCGACGAATAGGGTTCAGAGTCTGCCTTGCCTCGCCTTACTCCCAGGCACTATGGAGTGGCAATGGCCATTTGGAATGATGACTGAATTGACCCTTGTCAAATCGCTCTCTATTTTTCTATCTCTTCCTTCTTGGCCCTGTCCCAAAATAAGTGATTGCTGTGCCGCGGCCAATTTGCGAGCCATGATGGCCTCGCGTCGGGCGAGGATGCAACTCTGCCGTCTCTAATTGTGTCGACGGGGGGTGCGCGCGAGTGCACGCGAGTGGAAACAATGTCTCTCGCTCAGTCACCTGAAGTCTGCAGCTGCACTGCAACATTAGGTCAGGATAGAGCCGTCCCGTCCTTGCTGTTGATCCTGATCTGCTGTTCTCTTGACCCCTGGCCGGAGAATTACCCTGCATACGTAACGTAATTTGCAACCCTCCCCCTTCCGTTTTCCTCTGCGCCGATTTCAAGGAATACTTAGTCTAGTCTACTGCGTGAAGAAGTAGTATTATAGACTATGTAGTCTAGACCTCAGCATATGCCGAGTCTGATGTCCTGTCAACAACAACAACATCACCTCGACGCTAGGGCGGGAAAATGACGTTGCGGTGGTTGTCCAGACACCAACGACTGGCCGTGGCAGCAGCCACAAAAGCGACTCTACCACCCCAGTAGCGTGCCCAGCCGACCCGTTCCTTGTTTCGACGCTGGCACCATTAACGCCCTGTCGCCATCTACGGCCATCATCATCATCCAGAATGGTGCGTGGAGATCCGCAGACGATGGCACGATTGCGAGGGCAGCAGCAGCTGTTGCCGTTCCAGGCCGCTGCGGTCACAGTCAAGCTTTTGGATCCATGTGCTGAGTGAGACGGATTGTCTTGGGAGCTCTTGGGCCCGAAGCTTGATCTGTTGCTTGGCCAGCTTGGCCGTCTTGGACGCTTGGAAGTCTTGGAAGTCTTGGAACTTGGATCTCTTGGTCTTTGGCCTGCCAAGTAGATCTCGAGTCGGGCCACGACTCGGGTTTCTCAGGCCCCACAGTCCCTCCCGAAGCGGCGTGCAACCATCGAAATTCTCGATGTCATCACCGTCGCACCGCACACACCGCGCACACGATACACCGAGGTATCCAGCACTCTGGACTGTCGGTGTACGAGGCAAGAGACTGTCCCCGATATCCTGCTCAGCTGCTGACTGCTGGACGCATCATCCCATGTTGAGGCCACAACGACCCCACGACCAGGTGGCCTCGTCACCCCTGCATCTATCTGCACATTCAGCCACCCGCCTGTCAGGCCCGCAGGCCGCAGCGTCAGCAAGCCACCATACATACGCAGCTCCACATGTCGAGTGAAGCTGAGGCAGAGTTTACCGTAGAGAAGAGCTCCAACGCCGCCAACGCCTCCATGACATGTAGTATATGCATGCTTATCCGATCTGCCCAACGTGCCACAGAGAAGTCACGGGTGCCACAAGCTTGAGATCCCGGGAGGCCTCATCACCTGCGACCTCACCAGAAACACCACCCCCACCATCCATCATCATCATCATCCAACACCGATCCATCCAGTCGATCCCACACATCCCATCCCATGCCCACTCCCGCCCCCATGGGCGCCGATGTTTGGTTGGCTGGAAAACATAGATCCGGAACCCAAGCGGTAGGTAGGCCCAATGCAAGTGCGTTCGTGCCGTAGACACCGTAACACAAAGCCTCCAACCAAACAGCCCGGGTCATCCAACAACACCAAGCAGGCCAGCCGGCGGAATAAACAAGGCCGAGACATCCCAATCCCGGCCGGTCACCAACATGTCGTAGGCTGTGGCTCAGCACACACACAAACCGTTTCAATGGCTTGTGTATATTGGCGATAAGACAGCAGCATTATTCAGTGTCAGCGCAAGAGCTCAGTTCCGGCGCGGTGCCAAGCGTTAATGCAGAGCCACGGGTCGTCGCCCACGGGTCGATCAGTGTCCCCCATCTCGCATTTGTGGACGGCCTCTTTCCCCGACATCTGATGAAGCTGCAGAGGTTTCACTGGCGCTCTCGCACAGGTTCCCATTGCGGTGCGAAAATGCATCGGGACGAGATTCACTGTGTGATATAGGGCCAAGACCTCAAAATAGATCACACGGCGAGACTGTGAAGGTGAAGACCAAAAAAAAGCAGTCATATAATGATCTTATTATTCTCATATACCATTGAACATATACACACGCGGCTTGTCCCGATCCCGCCGTCAGTTGTACTGCACACTGCCCCTCCTGAGCAGCTGGCTGGCAGCCCCCATGATCCCAGGGCTGCTCGTCCTCGGGCCAGCAGCAGCACTGGGGCTCCCGGGCGCAGCGCCTCCCCCTCCCCCTCCGGCCCCGTCGTCAGACCGCTGCGCAGCAAGCACCGCGGGTGGCAGGCCCAGCGTAGGGATGTTGCTGTCGGCCACGACAGGGCCCATCCCGGGCGTGACCGATAGGTTGGTGGTCGGCCTCAGTCGGCTGCTGCCGGCCTCACGCTGGGGCTGGGGCATATGATGGTGCTGCTGCTGCTGCTCCAGCACCTCGCGGTAAAACGCCTCCAGCCCAGCTGCGTCGCCGCAGAACCGCTCGAACTCGGCCTTCAGCCCGGAGGGTTCCGTGCCTATCGATGCCATCACATTGGCCGCCGCCCCGCCCGGGCCCCTCGACGACGAGGATGTCGCCGCACCACTCCCCGCCTGCGGCACGGCGAACGGCTGGTCGATGGTGGAAGCTGTGCTTGCCGCCCGTATCACCGGGCTGCTGTACGCCCCCACCGGCCGGAGCATCGGCGATGACGTCGGCGTCACCCCTGCGAACCCCAGGGGCGTGAAGGCCCCTCCCAGTGGGCCGCGCATCGACCCGCCGCCGCTGCCGCCGCGGTCGATGGACGCCTGCTGCTCGCTGCGCAGCTCCCGCTCGCGCGCCGCCATCGCCGCCCGGTTGGTGTACATCCTGTTAGCGATGAGCAGGAAGTGGCCTTCTTCCGAGATCTGCGCGATGACAGTGCCTGAGCGGTGGATATACTGCGTGTACTTGAAGTCCGGCTTGCCCCAGGAGTACGTTACTTCGACGTTGCTCGGGAAGTTCGACGCTGCTTCCATATCAAGGACGAAGTCGAGCTTCCTCAGGATTGCTTTCTGATAAAAGTGATCCTCCATCTTTGCCTGCGGTGTGAAGGAGGTCGGATCGTAATATGTGATAGGTTGTTGGCTTGGAGTTGGCACCGCCAGCTTGACAACGTATGGCCTCCGGAAAGGATTGGTGTCACTGATCGCGCACGCCTCCGCGATGGGCACTTCAACCAGCCGCAGGCCGAACCTGGCCATGTCGCGAGTCCACTGCTCTACGGCATCTTCAATCAACTTGGCTGTCGTGTTCATCCACTCAATCCGGATGTGGTAACAGTTGTCCGGATTGTGTAGACGATCGTAATGTAGGTCGATCCTCTCAGGTCGGTACGACCTTTTTCGTGGGTCCACATCGTACTTCATGATTTTGCTCAACGCAACCCTCGGCCGTCTCCTGCTGGCGTCAGTAGCCGGTATGGTAGGGGTAGTACCACTTGACGTTGATGAGTCCTCCTCGTGAATGGAGCCTGGCCTTGGGAAAGCCAACGGCCGAGGTGAATCACGAGGTAGGTGTTCAGCTATCGGTGTCGACGGAACGGACGCGAGGTTGCGCCTTGCGCTATTGAACCAGCTTGGCGGGTGTGGTTTGGCATATTCGCTGCTGATCTGATAGAAATATTGCCCGTCCCTGAAGGTATGCCGTTTTTCAACGTGAACAAATAAGCCGGGCTCTTTAGAGCTATCTTTCTCATCGTCTCTGCCCTTATCCACCATGAGACTATCGCCTAATGCTTCGGCCTCCTCCCGACTTTCGAGATCCTCGAAATTGTCCAGCAGCCAATTGGTCATGTCAGATCCGATGAAGCAGTTGTAATGCAGGCGGAAATGCCAACGTCGGTTCTGGAGTCTGACGCCGCCCTCTTCCACAGGCTGCTGCATGGCCTCTGCTAGAGCTGCAATGCTAAAGTTCGATTTCTTAAAGTGTTCCCTGTTTGTCACAAGGTGCCCCTTCCTGTTGCCGGGTTCCATGCTTTCAAGTAGTGGCAAGGTCTCCAGCTCCGCGGCAATCACAACGGAAGGATCCTCAGTTTTGTAGACGATATCGAGCGGGTTTGGGTCCTTCCGATTCCTTGGGCCCTGCGGTTGGAACCGACGTTCGCCCGGCGGCACGTATCGGTGTCTCAACCACTGCTGTGCCAGATACCTGATGCCTTCGAGGCGGACCTCCTCTTCATTATCCGCATACTGAGGGTTCGACATGTCTTTCGAAGAAGTGGTGGGAATCAGCACGTATCGGGCTCGCCAAAACCTGAGGCTCTCAGACATCTCATCGTAGTGCCCAGCTATGAAAGAGTCAATGTAGTTCCAATTCCTCTCCATTTTCGGTGTGATGATGTCAATCTCAGCCGTTTCGTAGTCCTGGTCCAACAGAGTACGGATCGCCGGTCTGTACATTGCAGCCAAGCCATCAGAGTGCTTGGTGGGCTCAGTTGGCTTGCGTACGTAAATGGTAACCTCCACTTCGGTCTCGTTAACACATGAGAGTTCATGTATCGTGTTCCCAACTGTCATGAAAACACTGGTTCCGTCCTCTATCTCCCGATTCCTCGAGAACACGTCTCCGATCTTCACATGCTTCTGGCCGAAAGCTTTTGCCACAGCCGGACCAATGACAACTTGGAATCCTTGGGAGAACCGCAGGCTAATAAGTTCCCGTAAAAACTCTTCTCGGCTCCTTGGCTCCTCGGTGAGATCATCATCATCTATGTCCTGTGCTATGTTGTATGGTTGACGCTGGTACTCGCGATCGAACTGCTCCTTCGTCGGGAAGTACTCCGTGGTCAGAGGCACTGCTGCTGGAGAGCATAGTGATTTCCATTTCATGACCCTCATCTCTGAAGGGCGGACAAAGACATGTTGCCATCGGCTGTACAGCCGGGCCATGTCCACCTTGTCCGTGTCTGGATTTGACGGGTTGATCATTGTCAACCAAGGCGACATGGCAGTTTTTGGCGAGAGCATGGCAGGCAGTTCTGGTACATCTCCCGCGAGAAGTCTGTTTATTTGGGCAGCATCTTCGACGTCTTCGGTCCTCTCTTTCTTTCTCAGCAGATTTGAAAGCTTCAGCTCAGGATTATCGTTACGGAGAAAGTTTGAGGGCCTGAGAGTCGAAACAAGGGATTCATTGACGAACGTCCGTGGTACAAAGTCCTGCGACTGTTGGGCACTTTTGATCAGCATCGGACGACTCGGTGTCTGCGCACGGGAATCCTTCGTCGACTCAAAGGCAACACTTCGAGGTATATCCTTCGCTCCAGGCCCGGAACTGCCGCTTGACATGCTTTGCGGTGTGGTAGGACGGCGTGGCTTCATCGAGATCTTCGAAGCCGTCAACGCCGGCGACGTCGCCGTGATAGGACCCATTACTGGGGTGGCATTTTCAACATGGACTTCTGCCGTGGCCGCCTTTGGGGCAGCGATACCGAAGCCTCTCTGGCCAAGACTGATCTGTCGGAGGAATTTCGGCGCTTTGAAGGAAGACACCTGGGCGCTCGTAGTCGTACCATTCGAGCTTTTCCTGGAATGTGTTCGAGGGTCTGATCCGTCGCGCGTCGTGCGACCCGAAAGGCCGGCGATTGTCGGCACTGCCGGAGTGCTGACTGATCCCCTCTGCTCACCCACGGATGTGCCGAGCAAACTTGTGTCTTCCGGGTGTTGTCTCCTCGCTCCGTCTTCCAGTTCTCTAGCTATCCTCGGCGTCCGGCGCTGCCGCCTCTTGGGCACCACTCTTGCTCTTGAATCGTCGAACTCCTGCAATTGTTTCCACAGCGATTTTTCTCCTGGTTTGGCATGCTTGTCAGGAGCAAACTTCTGGAAGCCATAGACGTAATCATGCAGCGGATCGTGGATCTTCTCAGCGGGTATTATAGCAAGCTCTTGCAGATCACGAAGCCGAGTCTGCTGTGCAGCAGTGCCCTGTAAGACGCTCTGAGGGAAGAAAGGATCGCTGTGAAGAGGCAGCGTCTCGATCTCATTCGTCTCCAACACGCTCCTCATTTGCAAATCGTACATGCGACATCGGATGGGAAATCGGTCCTGAGAGTGCTTCGACTGATCGGACACAGAGAGAGCAATCCCTTCGAAAGACAAGGCGTCGTCAGAGTTGCCGGTCCAGTAGGACACGTGCAGCCACTGGGGGAGGACAAAACACCAATCGTCCCCTTGGCGCATGGCTATTGACTCAAATCGATGGGAGATATCGCTTGCCCTGTTCGGCGAAAGAGAGCCTGTCAAACTCTGATAACTAGTGCCCAACGGCGTCGAAAGTTTCGGTGTACTTCCATGACTGAAGCTCAGCTTCCCTTTAGCTGCATGGCCCTCTGATCTGGCAGGGTTGCGATAACGAAACAGCGGTACAGAGTGAAGAGGTATCTTTGGTACACAAATGAGGTCGATCCCGATCCCGTTGCCGACGAGAGCCTCGGTTGTACGTCTCAACGTTTCATACTCGACCTCGAAGACGCCCGGGCCTGGGGATATCACAACAATGGAAATACCGGTTCTCCTTAGATCTCTGTCGATATAGTCGTGGGCAAACAAGGAGGATGCGAGATTGATGGCCTCGAGTACATTTCCGTACAATGCTCTTGACGCTTCAGCCTTGATCCGGGTCGAGGGAGCCTTCCCGCCCGGTTCTTCGGCGAGACTGGGAGCCGAGTTAAGGGCGTTCAGGTGGTGTATGCTGATGTCCCGTCGGAAATGGTTGAACTCCTTCTTGAGCTGGTAGAGGATCTTGGTCCATTCACCACTGGCCATCTCGCTTACTACAACCCGGTAAAAGTCTTTGTATGGCCGCCTGTCACCGCAATCCTGAACACCTGTGTAGTAGTCATTATGGAAGGTGGCATTGCCGAGCTCGGCCGTGATACCAGCATCATATTCAACTCGCGCAAACAATACGATAGTGACGAGATGCTTGACGTTGAGATCTGCCCATTTCTTGAGCAAAGCAGGCAGAAATCCGTTGACGACCTTGTTAAACATGATCTCACCAGAATCATCGGGATCGAAATCCCACATTTCTTTGGCCATCTGGATGAAGAGCACGTATCGACCGGATTCACTGCGGAAAATCGGCTTCGTGTTCTTTCCAAAGAAAGCCGAGTGGACCTTTCGCCCTTCGACGAACACGGCTGAGATTTGGGCCTTGACAGTCCCCATGAAGAGCATCATCTGACCCTTGTAGACGGTGCGGTCTGCGAGTTCTCCAACGGTGATCCTCCACATATCGGCGCGAGATAGGTATTGATCTTTAAAGGTCAACTCGACATGAGACGCCTCGGTTGCCGGATTGTTCTCGTCGACCGGGGTCAGGATAACCTGAGAGCCCTTCTTTATGCCAAAGACGTCTGCGATCTGCTTTGCAACGTACAGCTCGACGTGTGGGTACCTAGCCTTCAATTCCCTGGGCATGTCCTTGACCACGAAGATGTATCGCTTGGATGGGTGACCGGGTTCACATGCGCCATTCTTGCTTCCATCCTGAGATGCTAGCCTCTTGGCCGCAGTCGACAGCTGCTTGGAGAATTCGGGTTTCAGGATATCGATGGAAACCAGCGTGCCAGGTCTGATGTGGCTGCCGAACAGATCGAGGTTGACGAGGATCTCATCGCGGGCGAAGGACTCGTTGATGGTGACGGTGCACTTGCGCTCCAAACCACCATTGTGATGATCTCGATTGTCTCGGTCTCGGTCTCGATGGTCTCCGCGCAAGGTCGAGTTGCTCGAAACAGTGTCAGGCGATCGCGACGACTCGGTCGACATCTTGTCTAGGCTCGTCCGAGAAAGCTGGCGGAGATGCGACGACCAGTGCGGCCGTCGCGGCGCCGAGGACGATGGCATCCCTCCGGCATTACGGGGCATGGATGGAACGTGGGCGAGAAGTATGATGACCGAATCATCATCTTCGGCGTGTCTTCATCGCAGAGATCGTTGACCCTAGGATTCGCGCCGATTTGGTGGCGTAGCCCTTCCAAGCCGTCGTTGAGAGGTACCAAGGTCGCTTGGTGATGGATAGCTCTACAGCAAGGGTATGGGCGCCTATTGTCGGCAGATTCGGCAGCTGCTTGACCGCCTGGACTGATTGAGTTTAGCCGCTGTGCCACTTATAACCATCCACGACCGAGCTACTACTGATGGATACCCTACCGTGCCTGCGTAGTACAGACAGACGTACAGCTTCAAACATTTTCTTAGATCACTTATACTCGAAATATTTACAAGCTTGGTTTCTACGACTGCGACGCATACTTGCAATCAGCAACAACACAAGTCGCAAGCGTGTTTGTTAGGTGATCAGATCGCTATCAAGTTGAAGGGCTTCACTGAGCGCCTGGATAAATTAGTGATTGACCTCACATTTCCTGGATCTTTGGGTTATCCAAACAACACTGCACATTTGGACCTACAGCACGGCGAACCGTTCCAACTTTGAGTAAGCACGGAGTGAATCAGTGCAAAGCCTCGAAGTGCGAAAGACTAGAGCAGCACTTGAGGCTCATGAGTTTGACCCAATTACTGCTACATAGGAACTTCTGTTTAGAACGACACCTATGACAAAGTTCAACGACCCTTCATGTGCGACTTGAATGGGCTTTAAAGGTGGTAGTGAGATTTTTAAAGGCCGAAAGTAGCAGTCCGAGTGACACAAAATGCCTGGTAGGTAGAATGTGTGGTAGGAATGTGGAGGCGACGGCCAGTTCGACCCTGGGAAGGACAGTCTTGAGAGCGAAGCGAGTGCATGGTGGCTTGAATAGCAAGTAAATTCACCCTATCGTGCGAGGTTCTCCTCAGATTACCACTGGTCGGGGAGAAAGCCGATGATAGCTCGGACTTACCCCAAAGCCACAACAACCCCAAGCTGGACAATGTACCACACTGCTGCAAAAGAGGTTTTTTTTTAATTTTTAATTTTTAGCAGTTGAGACACTTAGACCTATCAATCTTGATGTATTTGATATTATTCACGTTCTTTATATAGTAACAAGATCATCCAATAGAATATGAAACTTCCTCTCTGAAACATCCTTAACTCTTCCTGTTGTTCTTTTCTTCACAACACCTGCAATTCCAAAAGCTCTGTTTGCAACAGGCTTCGGACCACACTCAAATATGTTGACAATACATGTCTGGACGTCAAGACACATGGATAATCGCCTTGACTTTACACGCATTGGTCCTGGTTGCGGCAAGAACAAGCTGCCATGCAACGTTATACAATATAGTTGTGGCTTCTAGGATATTCATCAACGATGTCTACGAGAAATCATACATTAAGACTTACGGTACCCTACCAATTATGCTTATCATTTCAGCCCCATAACTTTTAATGTTATGTCGGATTGGGCGGCCAATTTAGTCGCCAGTTGTCATTCCCGTGCAACACAAATGAGTGCGTGCAGTGACGTGATATGAGGAGAAACCCCAATATTGTCGAAGTCATTTCACAATGCTAGGATTCGGCGTTTCTGCTTCTTCGCATCACTGAATCAAAAGCCAGGTCAGTCTGATGCAGCGTTTGGCCATTGCGAGGTCTTTGCGCGGACGAGATGCGCCGGCGAAGCTGGGGTCTTCGGCTTTCTTGCCGAGTTTATCGGGAGCCGGAGCCCTGGCTCCAAGTTCAGGATTCAATGTGTCCTGGGGTCAGCACTCCCCTTCGATCTGTTGAATCTCCATCATTAGATTGCGGGGCCCCGCACTCTGGGTGGGTCAATATGACTTTACTAGACGTATTAATATGCATGTGTCTTCTGGGGTATGCCGCTCTTCTTGCCGATGTTGAAACATAACAACTGCTTGAAGTCGACACAACACAAACCTTCGCAAAGGTTTACTGGGAGAGGATCTACCAATCCTCTACTTTCAGTGCCTCTACGAGAGACTGGAGTCATCTCGTTGCCCATTATGTCTGAAACAATCACGCCGCAAAAGGACGATGCTGAGCATTACGAGAATCCCAAAAACCTCGTTCCGGATAGCTTACCCCTACCGGACGAGATTGCCGACCTGAGCGCAGCTGAGCAGGCACAGCTAAACAGGCAGGTAACGCGGGTACTGGACCTCACGCTCCTGCCCGTTGTTTTTATTCTCTTTCTGCTAAATATTTTGTGAGTACCAGTGAGCTACGTAACGTGTTGTTCTAGTTCTGACTCTGTTTGGTCGAAGGGATCGAAACAATATCGCTAGCGCCAAAATTGTTGGTCTGACAGACACCTTAAATCTAACAAATGATCAATACAATACATGCCTGCTCATGTTCTATGTTGGCTGTACGATCCTATCTGACTCGAAATACGGGGATAATGGAAGCATGCTGATAGACGCTGATTTGGGACAGATTGTCTAACACAAGTTCCATCGAATTTGATCATCGGGAAGATTCGACCGTGAGTAACGCTGCGGACTTGGCTAACATTGTTGTGTCCCTTGGAAATATTTCATTGTCTTGAAGGACTATTCCGTGCTGATCTCTTTACAGGTCATATTATATCTGCATTACCACATCTTTGTGGGGTGTCGTTTCGATGAGCCAAGGTTTCACTAAGAACTTCGCCCAACTGGCTTCTGTCAGATTTATCCTGGGGCTTGTCGAAGGTATGTAAAGTATCTCCAATGGTGAATCTGGTTCCGGTTGGACTGCTAATAATCGACAGCGCCATTTCTGCCGGCGGTTTTCTTCCTCCTGAGCTGCTGGTATACCCGGGCCGAACTACCACCGCGGATCGCCATCCTCTACGGCGGGAACATGCTAGCCACGGCGTTCTCCGGTCTAATCGCAGCAGGAAGTATGGCTACCCTGCTCGACATCTTTTGCGGAGAAGAGTATGACTGAACTAATGGAACACAGTTACTTCTCAGATGCAAGATGTTGCTGGAAGGCCTTCATGGGTTTGTGCTCTCTGGCGGAAAATAGCTTCTGGCAAGACCGTTTTGCTAACCAAATCTGAACAGGAATGGCTCTTCATCATCGAGGGCTCTATGACCGTGGGCATAGCACTCCTTCTGCTTCCGCTTCTCACAGACTATCCCCTTCAAAGCAAACACCTTTTTCTCTCGCATAAAATGCAGCTTTACGCTGTAAGTGAAGTTTTAGTCATATTTGTGTGCCCCATGTCTCTTCTACGATAGCTGACTGGGTTATTAGGAGTGGAGAATTAGGAAAGAAAATGCCGGCATCGTTGATGAGGATCCCGAGTCGATTTTGTGGGGACTGAAGCAAGCACTGAAAGACCGCAAACTGTACATGTTTGTCATCTTGCAGATGTCACTCATTACCGCCCAGTCGTTCAATAATTTCTTCCCTTCCATTGTCGGCACACTCGGCTACGACAGCACCAAGACACTGTTGCTCACGTCTCCGCCATACTTCTTTGCCTTTTTTGTATCTCTAGGCGTCTCCTTCCACGCCTCGCACAAGAATGAGAGGGGTTATCATATCGCGATTCCGATGCTGTTCGCCCTCGTGGGGAACATTCTGGTAAGTCACATCCAGTTTCATACATACAACTTGGCCTCTCCTTGTGCCGGTCTTTCTTGCTGACTCTGTAAAGGCTATGTTTGTTCCCTCAACTGGCGGCCGCTACTTTTCCATGTTTCTAATGACGGGAGGGTCCTATTCCCCATACAATCTCTGCGTGAGTTGGGTGAGCGCATCGCTGCCTCGGCCCCGCTCAAAGCGAGCCGCAGCCCTGGCCATTGTCAATTTTATGGGCGCGGGTGTGGCTCACTTTTACACGGCGTATATGTTCCCTGATAGTCAGAAGCCCAGATACTATGCTGGTGGGGCTGTCATGAGTGTTTCATGCCTGCTTTGCGCCTCCCTGGCTTTGTATATCAAGCAATACCTGAAGAAGCAGAACAAGAAGTTCGAGAGAGAGGAGCAGCAGGGAATTGTCAGCCATGCGGATATCAGGGGTTCTAAATCTGGTCATGGTGGCGATGCTGTGGTGGCATTCAGATATGTGCACTAGGGAAACGCGCCGAGGATGTGAACGGCCCCGACCTGATCCATACGTATCGAAAATCCGGGGACAATGAGCAGCCAGAGACTCGAGGCTCAGGGTCCGGTGCGAGTAATCTTGTCAGTATGAGCGATCAATGCTATTGCATGCCAGAATAATCGTCCCCGAATGTTTCTGCGATATAATCGAGTCAAAGACATAAAATCGCGGTCTGCCTTGTCAATGAAAATGCTGCGGATGGTCAATAAGCTGATGTTCCCTATTGGTAGAGCTACCACCACCAGGAGTGTTGATTCACAGCTCTTTGCAGTTTGTCTGGGTTGTGAGATGCTGGCAGTCTTAGTCGGATTTCACATGGCCCAGCGACACCAGTTCTCAACCACAGGCCTGAGGGACGGATTGCGGGTGATGTTGTAAGTTTCACCCAGAGCGGCGATGACGGCCATAGTTTTTACGTGCTGTTTCACGCCTCGGGAAACGGCCCTGTGTAGTCTCTTTCGAATCTCTTCGAGCGCATGGAGATCCTTGACTGCCTCATAGTGTCTCCAGGTACCATAAAACTTAATCCCCTGACCACAGTCCCAACCAGTTGTCCATCCTGTAGTTCTGGTGAGATAACCGATAGCGCTCTTTGCAGCGATAATGAGTGGTGTCGGCTTGGAGCTAAAGCCGACTGGCCCAGTACCAAGGCGCTATGGCTTGCCAAGAGAGGAGACACTGGCAATATAGCCTATACGAGAATCTTCAGCATCGCTGGATGCCTGTGACCGGTCAGCTGGCAAATTTAACAAAGCTCTGTGGTTTCCCTAATTATCTTTTGTGAACAGTCGAAAGGTCCCCTCAGGTCTATTTCGCCCAATATGCCGATCAAGAAAGCCCGCCATTGCTCCAATACATATGTTGTAATACATACTCAGAAGTCGATCTTACCGTTGGATGTGGAATTCACGGGAACGCGCCTCCGAATCATTTCCCCTTGTGGATCAGACTCGCTGCGGTGTTACCTGCCCAAAATCTGTTTTCTGATCGCATATATCAATAGATCAAGCCAGTCATTGCAGCGATCATCCCTGGAGGTGCAATGTCGAAGTATCGATGCGACATTTCGCTTACTATACGCAACCAGATAATTGAATGCATGAAAGCCCGCATTCTCCTATCTCAGCATAGTCAAATGTGCAACATCTCCAGAGTTATTGACCCAGGTTTACAGCATGACTTCATGACCTGACGAAATCACCTCTTGTCGTCGTTCAAAAAGTGACCGAACCCAACGACAGGATTCTACAGGCAGCCAGATCCAGGCCTTTCGTTGTCAGTTTCCACTGAGACAGGTTGGTACAAAGAAACACCAGAGGAGGTAACTGGTTACGGAAGGCTTCTTCCGCTCGCCAATACTTTCATCATGGGCCCAGCCCCACCTCGCTGGAACTCAAATGTCAGGAACTGTACACAATGAGGCCAAAGTAATGTTGCTACTTTGAAATATATTAATTGGGCTGAAGAAGAAGAGGGAAGCTATGGAGGCCGATTCTCAAGCTTTTCCGGCCTCTTTCTACTTGTTTCCTAAGTCTTGTACTACAAATGTCAGAAGTTCAGTTACTTCTCGGTCCCTGCTCTCGCGAGGATTTCCTCGCGCTCGGAATAATGTTCTCCTTTTCTTCTTGGCATCTTGGTATTCTGAAAATCAAGTAATGCATAAGAAACAAGATGCAGTCCTATTTTCATCAAAGCATTGTGTTGATTCTTCATTGACCGCATACCGTTGTCCAATCCCGGTACCGAAGTCAACATGGGAGTGCTTTTTGCCCTCTTGAGCCTCGCCCTATGGGCTCATGCTGGCCTTGCTGCCATCACTGCGACAGAGTCATCAAGCACTATCAACATTTCCAATGACAGGCTCTCGATCGTGGTCTCAAAGAGTGCTGGCACCGTCAGCGGTATCACGCTCGATGGCCAGGACCTGCTTGGTTCTGGTGGCAGGCTCTACCTCGACTGCCACTGCGATGGCGGGTTCTGGAGCTCAGGAACAGGAACTCTTTACAAGGGGACCGACAGCACCGGGACGGCCTGGGCGGGCGTGAAGCTGGGTAGCAACTTCAGCGACAAGCACATCTTTGAGACATACTTCTTCCTCCGAGATGGTGAGACCGGCCTTCACTCTTTCGGCCGTGCTGCCTACCCCAACGGTGGTGCTCTGGGCGAGATGCGCTTTCTCTTCCGCCCGACCTCGACCATCTGGAATCAACTCTCATCAAGCAACGAAATGTGGTCCGTTGTCCCAACCGGCACCCGCGAAACCGTGCAAGACACCACATATTATGTACCTGGTAGCGGCGTGAACGAAGTGTATCGCAAGCAAATGTCCGACTATTTCTCCAAGTACATGTTTTCCGAGTCCTGGGAGAACCACACCCACCACGGTCTCTTTTCTGACGGGACGGGAACACGGGACGGAAGTGTGTATGGAGCTTGGCTCGTTATGAACACCAAGGACACGTTCTACAACGGACCAAAGTGGTCCGATCTGACTGTTGACGGCATTGTATACAATTATGTTGGCATGTGACAAATCTGCTCGTGCTCCCATTGACATCAAATTGCTGAACTTCTCCAGTCTCGAACCACCACGGAAACGGGAATCCTGATCTTACGGGAGGCTTTGATCGCACTTTTGGTCCGGTAAGGCTGGCGCTCTTGTGGCACCGCTCGGGAGTACCGAAGTCTGATCACAGTCCTACTACTACTTCAACAAAGCCGCCAAGGGCACTTCAATCCAGAGTCTGCGTGCCGATGCCGGAAAATTCGCTGACCCCTCCTGGAACGCACCATTTTATGATTCCATTGCCCGATTCGTCCCAGGTTACGTCCCGACCTCTGGCCGTGGCACTTGGACCGGTCAAATAACGCTCCCAGCAGGAATCTCCAACGCTGTCGCCGTCCTTGCTAGCAATGGCATTGACTTCCAAGATAACAATTTTGACACAAAGTCATATCAGTACTGGGGTTATGTCGGGGCCAATGGCGCTATTACGTTGCCTCGCGTCAAGGCTGGAACGTATCGCTTGACCGTCTACGGCAGTGGTATTTTCGGTCAGTACACACAGGATGGCGTAGTTGTGAAAGCGGGTGCTACCACAAAGACAGCTGCGACTTGGGTCCCTGAGTCGGCTGGCACGGAGCTCTGGCGTATCGGCACTCCTGACCGCAGCTGTGGTGAGTTCCGTCATGGCAAGGCAAGAGACACCACACGCACCAACGCACCAAATCAATACCGCCTCTACTGGGCCGTCCACGATTTCCCAAACGACTTCCCCAACGGTGTCAACTTCCACGTGGGCACGAGCGACATTGCCACTGACTTCAACTACATCCACTGGAGTGTATTTGGTGGCAAGGCCAATACCATCCGTCCAGATCCTTACTATACAAATGTCAACAACTGGACCGTCACCTTTGACGCCACTGCCGAGGCGCTCGCAGGCAAGACCAAGGCTACCTTCACCATCCAGCTTGCCGGTGTCAAGACGTCCGCGGGTAACACCGACAGCGCTGACAAGCCGTTTGGTAACCTGCCATACACGGTGGTCTTCAACGGCAAAGCTCTTCCTGTTTGGACCATCTCGTAAGTGAAACCCGCAGCCTGCCGAGAGTGAACGTGTCACTGATAGTGTGACAGATCCAAGCAGAGCAGCTCATGCGGTGCCCGCTCGGGTGATTCGTGCTACGTAACTGGCAACAAGTGGACTTTTGATGCCAGCACCTTGAAGGCGGGCCTGAATACTATTGTGCTTTCTCTCCCTGCAAAAGCCACTGCTCCTGAAGATGCAGTCTTACCCGAGAGCACCTATCTGCAATATGACGCGTTGAGGTTGGAGCTTGCATAGATGTCTCGTTCAGCCCAAGCCACGGATCCGAGTATTATGTGGGATTTAATATATATTGGTTTGACATTCTGGACACCTGGGCCTAACTGGCAGTGAACGCTGTGAATCTTAACATCATGGTCCACTTCGAGACTGTCAGGTTTGAGAAGACTTTCGCCGAGAAGACTTTCGCCGCTCACCTTCTGTGCACTTGGGCCTCCCCTTTGGCAACCGGAGAGTGGCCTGTTGATCTTCGAAATGGGCACCGGTGGAAAGCTTCCAGCCTGCTCAGCTTTGTTCACATCCTAAGTTGCTCTACACAGAATTAAAGTCTTGGCTGTTGAAATAACCGAAATCAATGTTCTGCTAGAATTCCACAAATAATTTACTAGAAGACACTCGTACCGTAGGAAATACCATTAAAATGCTAGAAGTCACGACAGAAGAACAGTCTCCCCCCCATAATTCGTGTCTCTGCATTGCATGTGTCACGTTGAGTATTGAGCTTTCCTCGCACGTATTCTTGAGACCGGGACTGTGCCATCCTTGGATTCGGTCTCTGGGTGAACTGGTGGGAGGTCAATCTTTCCGGAGGCTGTGAGTTCCAGTCCATCATCATTCACCCCTTTCCCAGCCGGTTTCTCGCCAATGTTCCATCGCATGTTGCCGAGATCTTTTTTTATCTGTCTGCATCAAAAACGAGTTCTCAGACTTCGGTTGGTAAGATATTTCTTCTGAGAAGAACTCCACCTGCCCAGCCTTGTTTTGGGAAGGGCTCGCGGAGGCGTTCTTATGAAGACATGGTGATAACTCTAGAGGATCATTGCCTCTGCTGGTGTTGTCGAGGACCCTTGCGCTTATCGGTAGGTTCCCAGTAGATCCTCCCTCCACACCCTCTGAACGGTGAAACATAAGTATGGGATTTAAGACTCGACAGATTCACCCCAAAGAGAGACTTACTCCACCATTCACGACCGAATTGAACGACGACGGGTATCCAGGCAGTAATGGCTAGCCACTGGCCAAACTTCCACCTAGTGAAGTGTCAATGTTGTATTCTCCCAATCCCGGTCCATAAGCCGGATAGCAAGACATGGCGATTAGAAGCAGGGTAGAAACCAGTTCCATAGGGTGCGGCGACAGAACTCACTTGTTGGATTCATTAAGATCCCCGATCATACCGTCAATCTTGTGTCTCACCCATGAAAAGAATCCCAAGAGACTCCACATGACAAGAAGGGTTATCCAGGCAATTGCAAGTCGCCAGTAAGATCTCCAACGTTTTACCCACGGCTTGTCAATAATTCCGGGTTTACCAAAGCCAGTAAACAAGAAAACAGTGACGACGGGCCAGAGGAGTGGGCAAATAATAAGAAGAACCTGCGCAGCCGTCATCCCATACCAATACTTAAATGACGCTCTCCAGTCGCAATTCAGCTCGGCAAACTCGTTGTAATCTTTGGACATATGGTCGTCATAATCAGGGTTGCCATATACCGATAGAAATGCTTCAATAATCCCTAAAATCCAGATCAGCGTCATTATAATTCTACCAAACCAGACTTCAAGGTTCTTAGTCTTGAGTGAATCCTGGACGTCTCGTCTCTGTATCGTATAAAGTATCATAACAGGAAACATCGAAAATGTCGAAGCCAACATCGAAAGCATCATGTCGTATAACACGGATCCATGTGGGATGTCTGCGGGCCTACTACCCCTTTGAGTTTCTTTTCGTTGCGTTGTCCCAGTCCCGGAGATGTACACCGCGGCGAAAAGCATAGTCACACTGAAAAGTTGAGATGCTTTAAGGAAATCTTTCAGAGAACGTCGGAAGGCTTCGAGTGTGCGAAAGAGGAAGCGGTAAGCCTTCGGCTCGCTCTTCCCTTGGGACATGCGGTGCTGTTGAATTTTCCACCACGTGTAGGCGAGCAAGAAGAAGGTGACGAGAACAGCCTCCACAAAATAGGACACAAAGACCTGCTTTTGCATAAGCAAATATCTTTACAGAACCGAACCAGATGACAGAGTGCATCGTACCCCGATTCCAATAAGGTCCGTGTCACCTGTCCAGCCGAGAGCGATACAGCGCCTATTTTCTGATCAATATCACAGACATGCTAGATGGCATCTCTCGTGGCGACATACGCTTTTTTGCACTTTCTGTATGGCTCATCGATCAATAAGTTGTAGAAGTTCCGAGAATTATCAGTAAGGTTTTCCGGACCTCCAGTTCCATTCAGGAGTATTTCTTCGTTTAGGAGAGCGCTGAGAACAATTGACGCATTAGATCTATTCTGTAGGCCGTGGCTCTCGAGATTGCCTCGCGGAAAGTACTGAATGCTCTTACTAGTAGTTAGATCCGTACCAGTCCAGTATATAGCCATAATACTCGGCTTCTGTCCAGTTGACTGGAGGCCATTTTTCCTGACTCGGAAGGCTTGAGAGGAAATAATAAATAATTGCAGAAGCATCGCCATCTAAGTACGCGAAGCTGTTCCATGGAGTGGGAGCTATAAATGTTGTGTACCAGTTGCCCCAGGCCTGACAGTCGTTTGTGAAGTTCATGGTCTTCCAAAAAGGAAGTGCCACAAAGTTGACGCCGTCAGACATTGTATGTTAAACAGACGTGCACGACGTCGCAGGAGTGGTATGACTTATGACAATGCGGTGGTCATAGGAGAGTGCGAGATGGGCCAACCATGACCTCACCTGAAAGCATGAAAGCACCTGCGAGGGAAGGCTTCGAATTTAAAATACGCCAGTGTTCAAGAAATTCCTAGAGTCTCCGGTCGCCACAACTATCCAAAGCTGTTATCATCAATTGTCAAGCTGAACATGTTGTAGCACACCGGTCGCTATAGTCTAGTCGAATCATGTTGCAGTCAAGAACCTGGCTTGGCCCCCACCTGGGCAGCTCTCCAGTGTTATGCAGGCGATTTGAGACCGACGAAGCAATTCGCGTGGAGACCTCTGTATTACCACACCACCAGCTGCCCAAGTAGGAGAATGCGCGCACTATCCAGATTCCACGTTTGATTGATCATGAATTGATAAACCCCTTGCGCTATTTATTTCAGCTAGGACAAGAGCTGAGACTTTGACTATCCACTGGGAACAGGTCTCTGGGAACAGGTCTCCCCTGATCAGTCTATATTTATTGATGGTACTGTGGAATCAGGCTGCGGCTGTCCATGAGGTAACACCGCATTTTTCGGTAAGACCAAACACGAGAATGCATTCACTTCCGGGCTGCCCTCTCCAATAGATTTTCGGTGAAGCCCTCGGCGTAATTGCCTCGGCTAGCAGAACAATTGAGCAAGGAATCATGCGCTGGAAAATGTTTTGACACCGGCGAAATCCGTGTTTGGCAGCGTTAGATCAGGCCGAGACCGTAGAGAAGTCCAACATTCCCAGAGGAACTTCAAGGCATCTCAAACTGAGTGCGCAGCACACACATATCCCAGAGCTTCGAGATCTAGTCTGGGCTTTCAGCCGTACAATAGGTGCAAGACCTGGAGATAAGCTTGGGATAGAAGCAAGCCACAGTAGGCATGACTGCGATATTTCATTGAAGAGACATCTCAATTGCGACATATGATGCTTTGATATCAAACCCTAACAAGTAGGTAGGTATCGATATCGAAGCCTAACAGGGAGATAGGCCCTGATATCAAAACCTATCTCCTTGTTAGGCTTCGATATCGATACCTACCTACTTGTTAGGGTTTGATATCAATACGAAATATAGGACTTGTCTCAATCCAGCCCAGACGGAAGCCCAGCCAGAAAGAATGAAGATCAATGACGAAAAGCGACCTATGACTGCGTTATAGAGCTTATACCATAATTCGACGATTGAAAGACACTGTCTGGGGCGACCTTGTGAGCGATGCAATGGAAGATTTTATTTGAGACTAGGAACGTTCTTTTAAGAAATGGCATTTGTTGCTGCGGATAAAGACTACGAGCCCGGGTGTATTGCATTTGTATATACTCGCTCCGACAATGCATGCTGAAACTATTCTGAAATATTTCTTCTACTATGTTGACTGCAGGGTCAAGTGTGACATTGCCTTTTTTACTACAGCCTGTGTTATGTCTCACCCATATGCTCTCATAGATTATCGCTTTGAGTGTAACCTTGAGTTCTTTTGAGCATTGGTGTATTGTTACATCAGCTTTTTTTGTTTGTGGAACCTAGGGGATCGTAAGCCGTGTCCCGGCCAGGCTTCAGTCGCTGCTCCGTTGCCTCCATGCCAAGACTGTGGTTTATCGTATGGCAGAGTAGCACTCGACCAATGGAAACCGCAAGCCAAGTGGAAGTGATCAAGTGGACATCCGCATCTTGTGTCAAGGAAACACCAGATCTTGCAGCGTCAGACAATTTCTGCAACAATATGTCATTGAGATGTCGGAATCGGAAGAAACAAGTCACTGCGCGTGCCCGGGTGCTGAAGTGTATGTTTGTACAACGGCTCTAGATCTGCATATGCTCTGCCAAGCTCATCTAGTTCCGTCATTGTTAAGCTGCTCCTATGGTCCAGAGAGACCGTGTTCCGACAGACAAGCTAGCCAACGCCGGCAGGTCTCGCTTTCGCATTACGCAGTGGCTGACTCAAGGGAGCTCCCCGGCTCCCCTGTCATGCGAGCAGCCTGATCAGTACCCTTTCCATCATCCCTGTACGACCCCACGACATCCATCCCAATAGAGCCAGAAATGATTGGCACAATACGTCTCATGTTCTGTTTCGATCCGCCTCGGGTCGGTTGCAGATTCCTCATGGGTGTCTGGTTCTACAAACTGCGAGTCTTGGACAGATCTTGAACAAACTCTACATCCTCATCCTTTTCAGAGAGCTCATAGACTACAGCTTACAGCCATAAAGAACGGCTTATTTATCCCCCTCTCTGGTCAGGGCATCTTCCCTAGCATCCTTCATCGCTCTTGGAGCCAGTCCATCAACATGGCATTCAGTCTGAGCCCCAAAACGCGGCTCATCATCACGATCTCCATATCGTTTGCCTTCTTCGTGGCTGAAATCACAGGTCGGTCTACGCAGCACGCGCAGATAGCTTTGAACATGTCTCGAGACTGACCTTATCCGCAGTGGCCTTCAAGACCCGGTCACTCGCGCTTCTTGCGGATGCATTCCACTATGTAAGATTGCTAGGGCCTCATCATCGTGTCAGTTGTGATCGGATCACTAATTCGCTCTAGATGAATGACCTGATCGGCTTCATCGTCGCCTTGACAGCTGTCATTGTGAGTCTATGCCTGAAGCTGCGTCATTGAACTCCAACTCACCATTTACCCAGATATCAGAGCGGGCGCGCTCACCCCGTGAGCTCTCTTTCGGTTGGCAGAGAGCTCGCCTGCTGGGCGCCTTCTTCAATGGTGTCTTCCTCCTAGCTTTAGGAATCAGCATTTTCCTGCAGTCTATCGAAAGATTCATCTCCATTGAGCGTGAGTCGATCAGCCGATTCAGTCGCTGCGCAAATCTGACACGTTGCAGGCATCGAGGATCCGAGGCTTGTTATGATTGTAGGCTGTGTTGGCCTAGGCTTGAATATCATAAGTGCAGCATTCGTACATGGTTAGAGGCCCAGTGATTCGTCTTCATACCTAATAAGCATACTGACTTCCTCGCTAGAACACCATGGCCACGATCATTCTCATGGCCACGGCCACGACCACGGAGATGCGCATAGTCACGGTCATGAGCATGGGCATGACCACGGCGAAGCAGCTGTGGTGAACCTTGAGCCAGTCAGGACCAACAGCTCGGGTACAGCAAATGTAGGATCCACAGAGTAAACATCCTTGCATGAATAATTTCCTGGACTAATTGGTATCGCAGCCCATTCGAACGCACGCAGAGCATCGTCACAATGTGGCACAGACGAAGAAACCCGGCCGCGACCTCGGAATGCTCGGTGTTCTCGTCCATGTCGTCGGCGACGCCATCAACAACATTGGGGTCATCATTGCAGCCGTCATCATATGGCAGACACGTTCTGAGGCCCGGTTCTACGCTGATCCGGCGGCGAGCATGTTTATCGCTATAATGATCTTTATCAGCTCCATCCCACTAACCAAGAACTCGGGGGCTATCCTGCTAGAGAGCGCCCCTCGAGGCGTCGAAATTGACGATGTGAAGCATGATCTTGAACAGGTACGTGTATGCTTTGGCCAAGCGGTAGGAACCAACACCACTGACAATGTGCCGCCTAGATCCCTGGGATTGAATCAGTCCATGAGCTGCACATCTGGCGGCTCGACCAGCAAAAGGCCATTGCGTCCGCCCACGTTGTCGTCTCGGACCAGTCCATGTCAAACTTCATCGAGAAGGCCCGCACCGTCAACGAATGTCTCCATGCCTACGGCATCCACTCGTCCACCCTGCAACCAGAGACGGCCGAGGAATCGACCGAGGCTCCGCAGGATGCTACTAGCACCGCTGTCACTACTGTTGCTGCAAGTTCTGGCAGCGTCTCCGACGGCGTCGGCTCTGCTCTTAGGAGGAGGAGGCTCGACCCGGCGGCCTGCCAGATGATTTGCAGCAATCTGTGCCACAATTTGATGTGCTGCACCAAGATTGAGACCTGATTAGGCTCAGTTCTGGAACGCGCACCATGATAAACCACTCGAGATCCCAGATTTGTCTCGGCAGTGGAAATTCATTCTCGTTAGCCGCATATTCTTCATATTGGGAAATGCCATGTTTTGGGCTGAAAGCAAAAATTCGAAGTATCAACAGCAGAGTATGTGCAAAATGGGGACGCATTACAGCAAGTCAGAGAGATCCGAAAGGGGCGGGAACGAATATGCCCACCGTATGGGAACGAAGCGTTGTGGGAACTTATCATGATTGTCTATGCATGATCATATAGATTTCATATCAAGGAACTAAGAAAATTAGAGCCCAGTCTTAACGCGCAAAGTTGTCTGTATCAGCCTACGGGACTGCGTCTTCTAGTTAAATACATTGAATCATGAGGAAGAGTGCAAATCGATTACTGTGGCTGGAATGACGGTGGCCTAAGAGAAGGCATACAGCTGCGAGAAAGATTTGGTGTTTAAGGATATCGCCCGCCCAAGAGACGAAGGCAGCGCGTAAGCTTTGATATCGAGGCCTAACATTTGATAAGCTTTGATATCAATACGTGACATCATGATAAGCATTCATATCGAAGCCTAACAAGGGGATAGGCTTTGATATCAAAGCATTGTATATTCTGTGTAATTAGCTTGAATTGACACCCAGAAGCAAAGCCAAAAGTCATACATATCAGTGTGAGTACTTTATTCCGACTTGAGCTTAGATGACGATGATTGAGTAGGCTAAGAACAATGGACTGGGATAACGGAAGACTCGATAAACCTTGCTTTTGCTGAGGTATCTTTAATGTACATTGGTCAACGTTCTCTATTGAATCTCATTGAAACTCATTAAATCATCGAATTTGGGGTCCGGGGAGGCCTCGACCTCCTTGTGCATCTGTGAATAAAGCTCAAGCAAGCAATCCGCTTCCGTTGATACTTCTGTAGCTGCCCATATATGGCGACGAGAAGTATACACCGTCGTCAAATATGCAATTAAATTGTGTTTTAAACCCGGCTCTGAGAGATCAGTCCCTATCATGATGATACATGACGCTGACATTACAAGCAAGATATAAGTTCTTGTCCACTGTCCAACAATGGCCACACTGCTAAGCCTCAATTCTCAACCAGTGCCTTTCGTGATGAATATGTTTCGAATTCGATATCGGAGACAGCCGAAGAATCATTGTATTGACAGCGTCGGTCTTAGCCGACGAGAGTTTCTGATGGGTCCGGGTTTCGACCAACCAAAGTCTCGGAAGGGTCTGGATTTCGACCGACAAGGGTTTCCGATGGGTCCGGGTTGCGAGCGAGGAGAGTCAATGTCTCTGACGGGTCTGGGTTCCGTGCGACTAGAGTCTCTGAAGGGTCCGGGTTTCGAGCGACGAGAGTGATCGTCTCCGATGGATCTGGGTTCCGTGCGACCAAGGTTTCTGAAGGGTCTGGATTACGAGCGAGGAGAGTGATTCCCTCTGGTGGGTCCGCGATAACGGGAGGTTGTCCAAGAGATGCGCGAGCGGCAGCACAAAGGGCTACTGTGACAAGAAGGTATCTCATTTTGCTGTTCAAATGTTGACGAGTCTAACGGAAAATTCTGAGGGAAGTGTTTTGAATCCAGTCAGATAGATGAATGGCCGAGCTCCTGATATCTGGTACAGCTCAATATTTATATGTCAAGCAGTCCACGATTCAGTCTGTGGAGTCGTCTACACGATCGGCGGAACAGTAACGTGATAATTGACCCTTCTTTGCCATTCAGGCAACAGCATCCACAATCCACAATGGACTTGTGCAAGGAAATGATCAACAATGAGAGCGATTCAATCAAGCCTCAGAAAGACAGTAGTTCATAGGAGCAGACTTGAGAGTTGGGAAAGTGGAGGGACAGATCGCAATTGGACACAGAAGCCGCCAGAAGCGAAGGGGTTTGCAAGTGAGTCGAACACCAAAAGATCTTTGTTACTATTACTTCGTCTAGTGTACGGATGGCGTCGCGTCTCGAAGCATGTTTGACCTAGAATATTCTGGAATACAGAGCTGCTCGCGGAAGGATCTGGCATAGGTTTAATTCCAGAGGTCCGAACGATCATCTCCTTTCGAACAGATCCAAATCAGGCTCCACCTATTCCGTGCTAGGGTAGTACTTGATGGTGTCTGGTGATTTGCTTCGGTAGCTTGAATTATGGAGATTTTATGTTCGGGTTTCCCTATATCGTGGTTAGATAATGCCTCTCTTACTCGGCAAGTTATTCGGCCCGTCCACATGCAATACGGGAAACTGATGTCGAGAAGGGGGTCACCCATCAGCCTTTGATCTTGTTAATACTATGATGAATATCTTATTGCATGTTTAATTGCTCCGAGGCGACATATACAAGAATGTTAAGTTTGGCCGATAGTACCTCCAGGCAACACTGTCACTTTCGGGACTTGGACAATATCCCAATCATCCGCCTTAGCAGGGTCACCGAACGGCTTGAGAGCCGCAGCGCGGAAGCTTGAACCACGTCAGCATAATCATTGTACTTGATCCGGTAAAGCAATAAACTTACTGATATTCACCAGGTACGATTGTTGAGCCATTGGCATATCTCCCAAGCCACCAGTACCTCTCCCACTCTCCACGAGGAAGGTTGTAAAGCGGAAACGAGTAAATGTCGTCCTGGCTATGCCTAGTGGGGTCAAAGTAAGACGCACTATCGGTGCCGTTCCAGCTTGTGGCAGATCCGATGTCTATCAGGTATCAGCGACGCATGACGGAGAAAACGACAGCCCTTGGTAAAGCTTTCAAGGGCATGGGTACAAGGGCACCAAGGTAAGAGTGAAGATGTACATACAATGATCTTGACCAATGACGGGAGGATACTTCCAATCTGCCTCGGTGTAATCGCCGTCGAATATATCCCAACGCAGCTCCCGCGAGCCCCAGATGAGCCAAGAATGGAACCGTGGGAAGTCTTGCGATGTTGCGGTAAGATTGAAAGTCATGTTCGGCTTGGCAGTCAACTCGAGGCTATTGGGACCAGACTGAAGGTGAGGAAAGCCCAGCCAGGTGTTGAACATGCCCGTCACGGTGTTCCTCAAGTCAGATGCCACACCTGTAATATCGTCAGTTTTAGAGTTTCAAGTAGTAGATGCTTCATGACTGACCGAAGTAAGGAATCCCCAGCTCCTCGCCATTGCTGCCACTGATAAGGACCTTGCCGCTGTACACCGGCAGCTTCGTAGCATCCAATCCCGTTGGCGCGGTAAACGTGACTCTGCGGTGTCTGTCAGCCAAGTGAAAATTGAAAAGTCGAAATCAAATGCATACTCTGCCGTCACTTTCTGGCCCGGTTCGACAGTAATCTCGCCCGGAAGATCGACTATCGGGTCGAACTCCACAAGCACAACTTCATCGTAACGCTTCAAGTCAGGCACGTCAGGTTTGTATGACTCGAAACCACCAGCACCCTGTAGGCTGAACTTGTACGTGACAGCCTCCTTGCCGTTATTGAATATATCAACGCTGTGCGTTCCCACGAAGTTGGCTGTGTCGTTCATCTCGAACTTGCGGCCATCGAAGCTGAGCTCCGTTGTGTAATTGACCACTGCGGCCGCATCGACGAGTCCGGATCCAACCTGAACTGTAGGTGCCCAGAACCCGTAGTCTTTGGCGGAAGTGGACCAGTCGGCCTGATTTTGTTAGTGAAATTGTCTAATGTGATGAGCGAGGACGGACCCTGGTGTGTTATTGGAACAACATTGGAGTGACATGAAAGCATTGGCAGTGTCCACGAGCTTATTACTCGTGTGTGTTGGTTGCACAATAAACAAGACTCGTATCTCAAGAGTCAAAGGCTCACCAGCCACTCCTTGAGAATTAAAAAGAAATCAGGAACGAGAGAAGATGAGAAGTCGTACCCAAGGAACGGCTCGGCCGGTTGATGTGATGCGGGAAACCAGACGCTGGGCCCAGGCTGGGTCATCTGAGTGGGCTTTGCGGCCTCCAAATTTACCGACCCACAAGGCCGCAACTCCCGCAATATATGGCGTAGCCATACTGGTACCACTCAGGACTTGGTAGCTGCTTTCCAGGTAGGTGCTGAGGATTTTAGTTCCAGGTGCTGAAACATCAGGCTTGAGAGCAAGGTCAAAAGTTGCTCCCCATGAGGAATACTTGGCCGGCCGTCCACTTCCAGCATTGAAGAGGCCAACGTAATGGCCTGTGTTGTTCACGTTGAAGGAGGCTGTGACGTTGCCGCCGGCCAGAATCGTTTCGATGATTGCCTCCCCAGCACGTGCTTCGATCATGCCAGTGACGCCGGGGGTAACCCTTGTGTTGGGATCCTCGAATGGGCCGTCGTTGTTGTAGAATAAGATGTACTGCGGGTTGAAAGGGGCAAGATTGTTGTGCTTTTCATACAGATAACATCCCCCGGACCGGACCAGGACGATCTTGTCCGCTAGGCTCTCCGTGCTGTTGGGTAGAGGACTGCATGCGTCGTCCACGACCGAAGTGTTCAATGTGAGTGGTGCGATAGGCAAGTCGACTGCACTACTTGGGAAAACTCCCGTTCCTGCGACGTAAGCGACATTGGTTCTGTTGGACTGCCCTTCTAGGTTGAAATCGACCGAGAAGGACTGTGCCGGAAATTCGCCCGGCTCAGATGCAGCAATAGTTAACTGTCCAAGTCCAGGTTAGCACCTCTCTGTCTGCTGTGTCTCCAACTTCTCCGCGGAAAGGTGTTGGATTCAAAGTTTCATCTTGCGAGTTACTTCAGGGAGAGAGCAAAGAAATCGCAAGACGACCAACAAGTACTTACCACATGCTCCCCTGACGCACCGTTGCTGGCGTCAAATGGCCCGTCGGTACCTGAGTTACCAGCCGCGACGACAACCACAACGCCCTGGTCAACCATCCTAGAGGCAACTACAGCCCAGGCGTTTGTGGTGAAACCGCTGCCTTCACCGACACTAGCACTGATGATGTCCGCCTGGAAATGGTTTCATTCAGAATGTCATGTCATGTACAAATAGCTTGAAGAGGGCTTGACTTCGGTAGGATCAACTTACACCGGACTCGAAGGCTTTGAGGAAACCCTCGATGACTGTCTCCTCATTGGAGTAGCCATCGGTACTGAACACCTTGAAAGACAATAGATTTGCCTCGGGCGCAACACCGACAAATCTTCCTTGTCAGCACAAGATACAGAAGCCCGAGGTGCGTGGGAACTCACTGATCACTCTTCCCAGCTATGATCCCAGCTACGTGAGTTCCGTGGCCAAAGTGGTCCATTGGATCGTTATCCGGGACAGGGGGAGAATCTGGCCAACTTCCGTCTCCCACGAGGTCATAACCACCAAGGACTTTGAAGCCAGGACCAATACCGCCACCCAGCTGTCATTTGCTATGTCAGTAAAAAGGTTGCATGCGTCAAGTCTTCAAATAGATCTTACAGCAGGGTGCGTATACTCGATTCCACTATCGACAATCGCAACAACCGCTCCTGCTCCCAAGACATTCTCTCCGTGCAGCTTCTCAACACCGGTAATGCCATGGACCGAATAATTAGAGGCAGCAGCGTCGTCACTGAAAGATTCGCCCTTGACCGTGTCTAGGATCTTCACGCGTGTTGACTTGTACACAGTAGCCACGGCACCATCGTCGGCGCCATCATCGAGCGCCGCCTTGAGCGACTCTGCGGTGCAAGCATGGTCACACTCGACGCTCACGCCGGGGAAAAGGTCCGAATCGAATTGCTTGACGACTTTGAGTCCAGCGGTGTTAGCGACCTTGTCCGTGAATCGGGTGCCATGAGCGCGAGACTTCAGCTCCACGATGTACCTCCTCGGCGTTGTGTCGCTAGCCGATGAAGTCTCGTTGAGATCACGGCGCGAGGGGAAGTCGACGGCCCAGGCGCTGCTCGTCACGCCGAGCAGGGCCAGCAGTGTTGGTGTTGCGCGCATCTTGACAAGCCGGAGCTGGAAGTGGTCATGCAGATTGAGCCCCGGTGCGTGCGATTCAGACGCGATAACATCCCGAAAGCGCAGATGAGAAAGGCCAAATCAGTTTGTGCTCGCTGCTATTATATACATTTCAACATCGACGCCGTCTGCACGCCAAGCAAGCTGTTCCTCGTATCTAATGGCGGCATCGCGTGTCATATGAGCTTATATCAATTGTGTAGGATCAGCCCGTTCAGATCCCTGGACATACATCGCGGTCCCCTGTTTTCTGCATTTGGCCTTCCTTTTCCAGCGCTGCAACCGCGTTTGCATGGGGTACTGGATCGGGCGATTCGGCAAATACGAAGCCAAGAACCCCACGATGGACCTTCACCAGCGGGACCCCTGGACCTAAAAATGTCAAATGGAACGACTCCCTCGTTCCCTGGCAGGACGATCGGTCCGCTTCCGAACCGTTGCGGGTTATCCTGCGTGGTGCAGCCGATCTGGATCTAATTCTGTTCTCTTGCACTCTTTCCCAAAAATTGTTCCTTTAGTATTTGGCTCCGGATGATGAATGATTTTGTCCAGATTTTTCCGGGGAAGACATGTTCATTCTGACATGAATTTGCTCAAATAAGCCATGTTTGATGCGCTGGCCCTTTGACTATAGGAGGTTTGAGTACCTGCGACATACCTCCGGAGGCGAAGGCAGTGAGGAGATAGAAAGTGTAGAAAGGCTTTCACAAGTTTAGAACGTTCAGACTTGATTAATAATTAAGGTACAGGTTCAAACGTAGACCCAAGGTACAGCTGTCAAAATGCTTCAACTTGATAAGACTCTAAGACAAAGGCCACAGTCTGTCACAGAGCTTATACCCCTTGATGTTGGAGATGTAGAGACTTAAGCAGAGATTGAGATGGGTTAGGCTACACCCTGAAACTACGAGACGATTTCTGACAATGAAATCCAAGTCTCTGAAAAGATTTAATTCGCGACACAGGGGACAAAGCCAAGAAGGGTGAACAACGCTCATCCGGAAGCAGTACAACAACGCAACCCCCAAAGAAACTTTTAATCCAATGGAGGCTGGCAGGAAACACCTAGGAAACACCTAGGTCTGAATTCCATTGGGTTATTGCTTTGAAGTCTAATCTATAGCCGCACTGTCGTACGGTCATCGTCCAAACCAGCCGCTCTTGCTTATTGCCATGCTGTCATGAATGTCTTTCTTACAGACCCTGCGACTATCACACACACAATATGTCCTCGAACCGTACTCCGAGACAGAGCAGGGCGGGTCAATCAGCGGCACAGATACAAGACTGGGGGAGATTCGTCTTTTGTAACACGTGCGATGGCTGGCACTACGGAGCCGGCGGCGCAGCGTAAGTAGTCTTAGTCTAATTTCTGCTACTACTTCTCCATCGTGCAAGATCATAGGAAGATTTCGTCGCTAAGAGCCCGATGTAACAGCGGCCTCTTGCTTGTCCGACGCAACTACAATCTCCCAGGACATCCCGCCACCCACATCGTGATGCAGCACCGCGCGGACGACCTCCGAACCTGGGCGATCCCAGGAGGGGCGCTGGACTACGGGGAGACGCTACGACAGGGCGCTATTCGCGAGGCGTCAGAGGAGGTGTCGCTGCCGCTTGACTGCACCGAAGGCGACGATCCCTTGATCGTGATACGGGAAGAGACCACGCTTACAGACCACGGGTACTGGAGGTACACGACATTCATCGCCGACGTCCTGAGGGACTTCAACCCCACGAGGCCGGCCGGTGAAGCTGAGAGCATCTCGGTCGAGTGGGTGCCGATCGATCTGGTCGGGTCAGGGAGAGTCAGCCCGTTGCTTCCTGCGTTCCGTGATGCTTGGCCGACGCTGCGTGCTATCATTCAGAGATCGACAATCTGGAATCTGATGGTGAATATGGGAGGAGAAAACACAGACCCATCAACCGCATCTTCGTACACTGTGTCGCCTCCGTTGGATCAGAAAAGAGGAAGGATCTTGGACAGTGACGAAGACTCAGATCCGAGCATGTAGAGCGCGACGAGGCGCGACAGGATCCCGGACCCTGGAACCCTCTTCCTCGATTCCAGAACAAAGCAGAATCTTAGTTAGTGACGAAGACTTGGATCTGGGTGAATATCGCGCGAGGCGAGACGGGGCAGGAAGCAGGAGAGTCGAAAACGCAGGCCTATCAAATGCATTTTCACACACTGTGCCGTCTCCCTCGGTTCCGGATGAACTCAGAATCTTGGTATCGACGACCCGAATTGGCCAATTTGGCACGGATATGAGCTCCGGTCTCTAGCTGAGAACTGATAATGAATTTTGGTGTTGCTAGATTTTTGCGGGACTATTTGTTACTCAGAGCCCATTGCCACTGCATTATTTATACGTGCGATCCTCGGTTACGGATGGAAACGATAGCATGGCCCAATGCTTGGAATGGTAGGCCAATACCAGAAACTGTTTTACGAAGTTTTGTGAATTTAATTCAAGGGCGTGCTCTAGGCCCGTGTTTTATTCAGCTTAGGGTGCCTCGTCGGTCTGCTGCCTTTATGCCCGACAGGAAGAGCTTGCTTCGTGGTGCCAAAGCAGCACAGCTGCAGACAGACCATGATTTCTGTCTGAAGATTTCGTAATGGACCTCACGTGGAAGGACAAATCGACCAGAGGCTTACTGATGATTGCACACCTATTAAATGCACTAAAATATATTCTTCTCGTGCATACTGACGCTGTTAGATTATATCGACACGTGGAAGCAGATGGACTGTGCTCGCGTTGAAGCCTGTGGCCAGCCTTGCAATTTGCTTTGGGCCACAATAAAACTCGGATGAACTACCTATCGTTCTCCATCTTGAAGCCGACAGGCGAAGGAGGGTGCCGCCGACGGCTGACTTGAGTTGCCCTCAGATTTTGAGTCGAACTTGGCTTGACTGCCAATTCATACAAGCTGGTGAGCAACGCTGGCAGTCTCCAGCAGACCATTGCTAGCATATCTATTCCATTAGTTGTCCTATCAAATACTGCTGATGTTACTGTCTCTTCACATCTATTCACATCTCGACTCTTTGCCAGAAAAATATGTCCCAAAGCAGACTGGTCTCAGCGTCACGGGGCGTGTTTGAAGATGAGGGCCATTGCTTGAGCAGCCCCAGAGCATATGGCAACTGCTTGGTGTGTCGACACGAACTAATAACGCCACATCTGCCTGTTTCAAGCTGTGAGACCGGCACACTGAATTCTAGCCAATGTTTCCTCAGGGGCCATGCCTTAGATGCTAGCACTGTCATCGCCAAGAATGAGGGGCGCAGTGAGGCTCTGGTCGATGTGTGCCCTGCATTGTGAGGGAGTAAGCAACTCGGCGAGAAAAAGGCAATTAATTTGCCAGCGGGCGGGATCAGAGTTATGTAGGGTATCTAAGACATATAATCAGAGACACCATGCGAGCGTGGCTGCGCCACCCTCATCGTCAATCTAAACTACAGAGTTGCCATCTCGCGGATGCCTCCGAACGTTGCGAGTGTGGGTTGCACATCAAATCTGGCGCCAGGGTCGACCTGCACACCAGAAATGACGAGTGCGGAAGCTGGCGTTGCTGAGGCTTCCCAATGGGAAGTGTATGTGCGGACACTGCGCGGGTGCTATGCATCTATCTAGCAAGTAGTGCCCTTCAAGCGAACGCCTCGCATGGCATGCTAACTCAGCCCGACGCGTGCGGGCAGGCCCGAGCCGCCCACGAGCTGCTGGAGCGCAGCGCGTAAGCGGTCAATGGCGTGGATGGGATGGACTAATAAGGCACGGCAGCAATAATACTAATAAGCAGCAGCAGCAGCAGCAGCAGCACAGGAATGTAATCAGTGTCAGCTTCTGTCACACAAGGGTGGCTAGCGCGGTGCGCGCCCGGTGTGAAGTCAGTCAGATTCATTCACTCGTTTGTGTGTGGGCCGCTGCTGCTTGGGACGAGATGAGCTGCTGCACGTCTGCTGCGTATAATATCTCGCTTCTCACCCCCATCCCCCTCCCCCACAACACAACACACCACCCTTCCCAGACTGGGAAAAAGGCGGGCCAGCCAAAAGGACCCCGTTCATGTATCTCTTCGGGCCACGCGCTGCTACGGGTTGCTGCTGCTGCTTCTCCGCCTGGTCCTATCCTGTCCACCTCATTCTGTTTCAGAATGGGAGGGGGATGGCGCATGCTGCGTGTCCTATCAGGGCAGTTTCGGCAAGCGGCAGAGATCTACGCCGCAAGGCGCCGACGACGCTGCACGGAGATGGGTGAGACGTCATTGCCGTTTGGGGGCTGGAGGGTTCATGTGTGCGCGTGCAGGACGGGTCGCACGTGCTGATGTGAGAGTGTGATAGTGTGTGTGTGTGTGTGTGTGTGTGTGTGTGTGTGTGTGTGTTCTACTCTGTGACACTCTCCCGACGTCTTGGGAGACAGAGATGATGGAGGGGGGGCAACGCTTTTCGAGAATGACAAGTCTAGCCGGCGCGGCCGGCTGCCAGCGATGGGCGGTTCGCAGTGATTCCTGTGTGACCCGACATGTGCGTGGACACGAACACATGGGGGCAATCACAGTCATCACTTTGTTACAGTAGTTTGGCCTAGGCAGGTGATATGAGATGAGGACGTCGCTTGGTGGTTCTGGCAAGCAAGCCGATGGCAAGGATGGGATGCTCGGCTCGGCTCAGCTCAGCTCACCCATTCCCCGCCGCCCTACATGCACCTAAACCGTTGAGTACCTTCTTCCTGACAAGGCGGAGGGGGACCCATCCATCCATCCATCCCATCCCATCCCATCCCAGCCCAGCCCAGCCCAGCCTATCTCGTCCCATGCCACCCATCCCTGGGCGCTGAAGGCCGACCGCCCTGAAAGTGAGGCGGTCGCACCGCCCTTCGGTCAGGGTTAGGGAGGACCGCGGGTCAGCCGGTCAAGGGCTTCCAGAAAGTATGGAAACACTCAGGGCTCATCCCGAGCAAGGGGACCCAGTACTAAATAACGACGAGAGCCAGCGTGCCTGCGATCTTGACGGCACTGCCGAGGTTTCCCGCGAGGAACTTCGCCCGGTCCCATCAGCCAGCCTTGCCAGTCAATCAGTCCAGGCAAAGAGTTGGGACGAGGATGCGGTGAGAGTCACGCAGTCGACGTTGTCTCCGCCAGCCGCCGCCGCAGCCGCAGACACAGGACACATGTCCGTTCCCCATCATCATCACCACTCACCACTGCCGTGGAGAATATAATGTAAGCACTCTAGCCCACATAGTCGGGCAAAGGGGCCGGGTAGTGTACCAATGAAAGAAAAACGACCAAGCTGGCAGATGTAATGGCAGATGTATGCACGCCTGCATGCATTGATGAGTCGACGTCGACGCAGCAGCGGTCTGGAGCACCGCATGCAACAGTTGGCAGACAGCAGCCAACGAAGCGGCGTGGGAGGAGGAGGAGGAGGCCGGGTGCTGCAGCTCGTCTCGCTAGTACACCCGTAGGCCGTCTAGTCTACCAACTGCGCAGTAAATCACGAGCTGCTGTTCCGAGTGCCGCCCTCGATCGGTGCCACTAGACTACTGCCGTTGCCAGAGCATCTGGTAGATGCATCTGTGGCGCACGCCGTGCTACGGGCCATCCCTCCATTTGGCGAGCTGCCAGGCGTGCCAAGAGGGACTGATGCTCGCGCGTGGGAACAAACTACTGGGATACGACGACCGTGTAACTCGAGCGCTGCGACGGCGCCCTCGTCTGCCCCCCGCAGCGTGCCTCTTCCCTTTCTCGTGACATGTGCAGCCGGCGATCAGGGCTTTCAGGGGCGGATGAATACGTATGTGTTTGCTCGTTCCTGATCGTGGCAGCATGGGCGGCCCATGGAGCACGGCCCCGTGGTTGGGTAGCTACGACGAGGTAAACGGGTGGTAGCCAAATTAAGACGGGTGTTATGGTTTAGGACGGCTCTTCCGGTTCACCGCTTCCCCCGAGGCAGAGAGCTGTGATATTGATCGAGCTTGGTGCAAGACAAGGCATGGCATGTCTTCCGCATGAATGGAGCTGACACGGCTACATTGCAGTCTAGGCTGGGACCCAGGAGCATGGGTTGAATGATGACTGCTGTGTGCTGTATAGGCTTTTGTGGTTCCGAGATGAGTTCGTCCCCTCCCGTCCGAGGTGGACTACACGGCGGCAGGCCGATTGTGAGTGGGTTGCAAGGAACCACCTGCCTGGGCTGGCTGGCAGTTTGATAGTCTGGCAGTCTGGCTAGCCTGGGCTAGCTGGCAGGCTGGCAGGCTGGCTGGGGGGCAACTTGTGGTCGGTCTGAGATTGTAGCTAGGTGCCTCCCGCTCCGGGATGACTAGCCTCGAAGAGGAGGCCGGTGAAAACAAGCCGGGACGGCTGACAGCCCATCACCGCGGATCGCCTCCCTCCATCATCTCCGGACCAAGGCACTTGCCAGACTACCACAGTAGTGCCATCATCAAGCTCCAGGGCGTGTGTTGACAGGTGGGACAGGGGCCGTTTGACGATGAAGAGGTGTTTAGGTTAAGGTTGATCAGAAGGGAGCTGCAGTGGCAGAGTGCATCTTGTCACAAGGCCCAGCCCAGGGCGGACCAAACCTTATCCGTTGCGCGGAAATCAATCCAGACCGCGGAAGGAACAAGCCTTCCGGAGCTGAATCTCGCTCTCGTGCTCGCCATGCTTCTTCGTATGGCCTGGTGGTGCCTTAGTGCTGGGGGTTGAAAGTGTGTGTGAGAGAAGGGGAGATGCAAAGACGAGGGTGGGTGGATGGGTGGGAGACGAGGGACCCGGCCTCTGGAGGCGCGGGGTTGCTTGCATGACAACCCCAGCAGAAACAGCCCAATGGCATATGAATGCTGCCCTACACAATGCCTCGTCCCGTTGCCCTATTTAACCCCCCAGTACTTGGGCAGGCCAGCAAGTCAGCCACAGTAGCAGCATGTAGACATGTACTTCGCAGCAGACATGACACGACATGTCGTGCAATCTGCAATGCACTACACAGGATTGGTCAGGGACTGGGTGTGTGCTTCTTCAAATCATTGCTATTCTGGGGCACATGAACATGCAGCTCACTACACACTCAGTCACTCACTCAGTCACTCACTCACTCTGAACTTATGCTCACATTCCAGCCACAAAATGTTGTAGTTAAAGGGTAGTTGGGATCCATCACATAATATATAGAATAGATGAATGTGAAGGGTGAGGGATTTCTCGACAGCACCATATCTCAGTAGTCTACTCTCTGGGCAGGTCAAAAAGGCGCGGCTAGGATTGCTACCTTGGGAAGGACGGTCGTTAGACGGAGCCGGTCGAAGCCTGAGAAGGCGGAATGCCACAGCAGATATCGCCAGGATTGGCGTGTGACACCGGGATATCCTTGCGCTCCCACGTTTTCAAGCTTCCCTGCAGGTAGCAACGGTAACGGCAGCAGAGGCAGCAGAAGCAGCAGCGAGTAGCAGCAACAGCAACAGTTACATGGGAGCTCATCATCATTACACCGCAACTTGGCCGTCTCCGTCTCTTGCTCGTTGCATTTCCGGGGAGGGGGGAGGAGGATGAGCGTCGCTCTCGATATTCACCCACCCTGATTGGCACCAGCAACGCACCCAGGCGCGGTGCAGCAGCAAATACTGTCTGTACATTCCTATGACGACGCTGCTGTCTCTGTCTCTCTCTCTCTCTTGTCTTCCTCGCGATCCTCTCTTCTCCTTCGCTTCCTCCTTCCTCTGTCTCTCTCTCTCTCAGTTGTACTTGTATCTGTCTGTCTACTTGACAACAACTTCGAACCTCGACTTGGTCCTTGTGTGTGTGATCGGCCATCCTCCGAACAGCTGGACTCCCCCGTCTCGCCTCCTCGTTTCCTCTTTTCTTTTTGTGATGTCACGCGTCGGTGGCCGTCGCAAAACTCCGTAGCGTCGGGCGGTTTTATTGCATTTCCAACCTGGACTTACTCGCGGCCCAGCCAGCGCCGGTCCCGGTGCCCCCAGCAAGCACGAGCCACACACATCTACTCAAGCACCACCGCCAACACCAGCACCAGCACCAGAAACGACGACGTCCCAAGTCTAGCTCTTAAGAGCTCAACAAACAATTTCCCCCAAGCTAGTCGCTTTGACTTTTTTTTTTATTACGACGACGACGTCAACTTTGACGTCTGCTGTATTTGCTGCTGCCGTTCATCTTGCTATTGCGACAGTCATTTCCCCTTGCAGATGCCGTGAATCCGTCTTCCTAGGTCCTAAGGTCCCAAGGTCCCAAGCTACCAACCAGGCCAAGCAGTCCCGTCTCACTCGGCCCCCGTCAGACCTCGAGGCGCAGCATCACCCGTTCATCGCCGTCCTCATTTCATCAACCACCACAAAACGGCAAGACATCACAGCAATTACAGCAACAGTAACAAACAACGACCCTCTGTCCAACTGATTTATCACATACTTGGCCCCCACCCACTCCGATCCTCGCCCTGGACCCTCCTGCTCTTCCCTGCGGCTATTCTCCTGCACAACCGCCCATTTATTACGTGGGCGAAACATTCTCATTTGACCGACGGCCGAATCGACGCGAACAGATGTGCCTGGCTTTTGTGGAGTGGCCCACCTCACTGCTGTCCTCTCTACCTCTCTGCACTCTTCAATTGAAAAGCCTAGGCCTGGCCAATCCCGCACTGCTGCCAGCATCGTGACCACCGCCCCCAGCTGGCCCATCTCATCGCCCTCCCTGCTGCCCCTCGTCAACCTGCAATTGGGCCCACCCCGCCATCGTACATACAGTACGCACTCCCAGCCGAGCTCAAAACATCGTGACCCTTTCACTCTCATTTTTCGTGGTCGACCCTTCCGTCTGACGCCAACCCTCTCTACTACGGGACGCCAGCGGTAGTCGTCCGGCTTAAACCAAGCCATCGAGCAACAGCAGAAGCACACACCACACACCACACTCCGAGGCCGACCACAAAATTGAACTTCAACCATCCAGGCCTGATCTAGGTCGTGGCCATGTCCAGATCGTACCCCCGCCACCATCTCGACAACGATTGCCGCCAAAAGATGGTTCGGCCGCAGTGTGCTCCGCGATAGGATTGGCCCTTCCTCTCGGCGCTGGAGCTAGGTATATCCTCTACCTGAACTGCACGCGCGCATCAACACAACACACAACACAACACACTACGGAACATAACACAGCAGACCATGCTGGGCAAGTTGTTCAACCTGGGTGCTGCCCCGGGTGCCTCGAACCAGGCCCAGGCTTCTGCGTCTAAACAGGTCTCGTCTCTGGAATCCGTACAGGAGGATATCCATACCCGTTCTCTCTTATTCCCAGATGCCCAGACTCTGTACCAGCACCAGAATGACCAGGTCTTCCCCATGTCCAGCGCCTCTGCGCTACCCATGTCGACCTCAGTCGCCAACCCGTACGATCTCGACGGAGACCTTGAGATCGAGGGCCGTGACGTTCGTGTCATCATAATGCAGGACACCTCAAGCTCGTCTCCGGCCTCTCTGCTGTATGACAGCCAGCGCCCCCAGATGCCTCAGGAGCAGTCACCGACCGAGCGGCCCCAGACCATGGCTGGCCTATCCCAAGCCCTGCCACAGGACGCTCGGCGGTTCCCGTCTTCACAACGCAAGACGAGCACCGGCCAGTCCTCCAAGCCTGTTGTCATTCAGCCTGGAAGCCCTCAGCCACGCCAGAGCGCGTTCGATAGGAGGGCCTCCATGCATAGCCGCACTCAGAGCAAGGCTGAGACAGAGTCGCAGAAGGCCATGAGGGAGTACAAACAGGAGATCGACACATTTGCCGGCTGCATCTTTGGTAACAACGAGTTCCTGGCCTACAAGGGCACTTCGACCAAAGTCCACGTCGTACCGTCGGATTTACGAAATGATGTCCCGAGCTCGGGCTTCGGGGACGGGAGAGGGTCTATTGGCAGGTCTGCTACGAGAACGAGCAAGCTGTCTCAGTCTTTTTCGTCTGAGTCGGTGCCTCCGTTCAAGCAATCTGTCTCTTCGCCGCTACCTCGTTCCTCAGACCGGAAGAGGGTCCTCATCACACGGCTCTTTCCTGTCAGCATTCCTGCGGACGATACCCTGACAGGCACTCCCAAGGGACGCTTCACCGAGGAAAGCTCAGGGTTTCCGTTTCCTCAGGCCAGTGATGAGGCAAAGGCAAAGGCCAAGAAGGCACAGCTAAAGCAAAAGAGAACACCAATGTATGCGGTGGCTCTCATCATCAGCCTGCCGCCAGGCGTGCCTCAAACTGCTCCTGCCAGCGCATCACGATCGGCATTCCGTGGACCGAGCTCCTACAACGAGCAGCAGGACTCATTCCCATCGTCTTACAATTCTGCACGTCGCTCTGGCTGGGCAGCTACTGGGTCAAACTTTGGCGCCTTCGATGCTTTTGACTCGGGCTTTAACATGGACTCAGAAGAACGCATCGATGCCATCACACGACATTGGGATGTCATTATGCGCAGCCTCACGTCTCTGCAATCCACCGTCGCGACTGAGCTATTCACATTACTGAAGCAAGCAGACATATCGTCGCCGAACCCTGTACCAAATTCAGTCTCAAGTCACGTCTCCCGAGTACCTTCTAACGCCAGCCAAAAGCCGCCCAAGACAAACACCAAGTTCATTTCTCTCCTCCCCAATTGCCTGGCAGCTGATAAGCTGGTCAAGTCGGAGGTGGACGCTGCGAGAGCTCGAATTGTGTCTGGTCTACGGGCAACCAGAGTCGTGACCGGCCAAAATCGGTGGGGAATCTGGCGCGAGGAGGCTCGGTGGGTGGAGAGGTGGGCTGGTGGACGGGATCAAGGCTTCTTCTTCTTCAACCTCCTCACGGGATTCCTCTCGGTCCACACGGACTGGTTGCAGGCTTTGAGCCCTTCCAAATACCGCAGACAGTTCTCGGCTCTGCAAAGGCTGAAGGGCGACGATGATCTTTCGCTGCCAGCTCGGACCATCGTCGTCTCGCAAGACCGGGTGGCTGCGAGAAGGCTCATCTTCCTGCTTTCTGCTTTTCTGCCCGCCAACCAGCAAATGTCGTCCATGCGAACGCAGCGGCCACAAACCTCGGCTTCGTTCGGGGGCTTTTCACAATCCCCGCCATCTTTCATCATCCCTCTAACGAAGGAGGAATCCTTGCGTCGCAAGATCAATCGTCGCGGTGCCTCGCGGCACGCTTCACACTCTCGCACTACGAGCACGTACACTACCAGCGCGAAAGGGTCTGTGCCAGCGCACCTTGCCCACCTCAGCATGGAGAGTCAGCATGGGCGGAGGGCCTCGGATGCCGCGTCCATCAGGACGAGCTTGCCTCTTCACGGTAGTGACACGGATAGCCGGAAGGCTAGCGCCGCTACAACAGCGACCGTCACGCAGGAGAACAGTACTATCGTCCCACATTTTGCTACCCAGAATACGGAGTCTCATACTTATGGACATCCAGATGGCAGTATGGCAGCCAACGACCTGAAGCGCTCTCTAAAGCGAGGAGACAGCATGGGCAGTTCGGATACCCAGACGAGCTCACGCTGGGGAAGTGTGATCAGCGGCTTATGGACCACGCGGCGGAGGGAGTCTTCACTTAGCACAGCGCCGAACCGAGACTCACCGGGCAGCCGAGACAGCATGCCCGTGTCGCCGAGGAAGCCGGTCTCGAACCGAAGGAATTCCCTTGGGAGGATGGTGGAGGAGGCTGCATCTTTGGATGCCATGTCGCAAGCCAGAAATAGGGATTCGTCCAAAGGGAAAGACGCCGAATCACCGCAGACGCCGGACGCTGAACAGGAGATCGGGCAAAAGTCCCGAGCACCGATCCCAATGGAAAGGAAGCCGGATCCAAGTGGGGCTTTTGAGTCGCCGGTCAAGACAACGATCAACCCCGAGGACGGTGTCATCGATGTCGACGTCCCATTTCCGGACTTCATCGCCTCCTTTGAAACAGCTGTGAGTTCGCCGTCGAGTAGTGGCTACTTGTCAACACCGGGTCTCAGCGGCCTGGAGCTGTTCGAGCAAGCGTGCCGAGTTGCTTTCGACGGAGACGTGCCGATGAACGTGGCGGGATGGCTCCAGCGGTATCATCCGGACTTCATATTGCAGGCCATTCCACCCCAGAACGATCTCCTCGAGCAGGTGAAAGCGTCGCTTAGGGCTGAGCCAACCCCATATTCGGCTGCACTGATGGAAGGGTCAGAAGAGAGGTGGGTGGACGTCAGCTCAGCCCTCATCGCAGACAGCACGGACTTCTCGATCCGTCGCATACGCTACCGTCGCCTCGTCAGACCCAAGGCTGCCGCCGAGAGGACAACGCCGTTGCTCTCGTCATCTGTCAACACAATGAGCTCGATCAACATGACACCACTGATCTCGCCATATGAGCAGCACCTGCAGGAGGAATTCATCGAGGAGCCAATCGTCACGCTAGACGACACCTTGATCGAGGCGGTCGAGCGGGTGATTGCCCACGGCAGCGACATCAGCAAGGACAGCTCGCAGTGCTCGTCACGATCGACGAGCAAGAGGAGGGAAAGCTTTGCTGATCTCCTTGCTGCCGCCGCGGCGAGCACCACGACGTCCGCTGTTGGCCTGGCTTCTGAGGCGGAAGAGCCCCAGGTCGCCCAGCCGCGGAAGGGCTCACCTCAGCAGGGTGAAGTACCTCGGGGAGAGTGCAAGACGGTGGTGCTATCCGCACTGGAGAACATTGCCAGAGATGTCACTCAGAAGAAGAGCGACAGGGAAGACCTGGGACGTGCTACTGGTGGCCCTCGAAGTCGCGAGAAGGAGAGCGTGCTGAGAGAAGCGGTGCGCTCGTGGGTTGAAGGTGTCGAAGCTAGCATAGAAGCGGCACAGTAGAAGGACAGCACAGACATGAAAGCGGCGCCGATAAGGTGTAAGAAGCGATTGGAATCGGATTTGGTGTTCGAAGACGGGGGCCTCTGTCTAGAAGTGTGGCATTCCCCCAGCTTTACAAGAGCAGTAAAGGACGGTGGCAAGTAGGTGGGTTTGATGTATGTTCGAGGAAGATTTAATGATACCCAGAGGCTGAATGAGCGTGAGCTGTTCAACATTGCATTTCGGAGAGACGGATGTGTTTTGGGACAGAAAGGTGGTGTGTGAGACGGAGGCGGAGAGAGAAATCCGCAATACACTGTAGCAAAAGCACATGAATCCAGGCAACTGGCTCAATAGGATGACAGCATGCCTGACGAACCTGGATAATATGACAAGAGCACCCCAACTGCAAATTCGCCGATCTGTATGATATCGGTGCAAGTTGTCACGTCTGAATTCTGACCCCCTTGCCTATTTGCTCAGGCGGCGGGTTAAACCCCGATCTCCGACTTGACCGATCTCATCACTCAATCGGACCCGGGCACCTCGACTTCGGCCCTTCTCCACTATTCAGACATTGATGAACTTCGATTCTTGTGGCAAAAGTCCACTGCTATAGCTCACTGAAAGCAGAACATTTCGCTTTCATGGTCACATAGCATAAGTTCCGAGCCGACTAGGAGCCCCACCAGGATCGCCATTATGCCTCGCCGGGGGAGACCGGATATACCCCAACCAATCCTTCACCCCATCGCCTCACATGCGACCTTCAACACAGCAGCACCAGCACCAGCACCAGCACAGGCACAGGCACAGGCACAGGCACAGACACCACAACCAGAACCACCCTCGTCGTCCTCAGCGCAGCATGGCATATCAAGGACAGAACCACCGGCATCAGACCATCTCTCATTCTCCTACCTCCGCTCCCGGAAACTAGAGCCTTATTTGCCGCCGCCAGTGGACGAGCACCACCCTCCACCCTCACTCTCACTCACCCACAACTTCGCCCATCCCTCTCACCCACCGCCGCAGCACCACGGCAGCCACCCTCCAGCGGCAACAGGAGACCAACCCCCAGGGACAGCGCAGCAACACCCTTCCCAAGAGGACCCAGCCGCAGCGCATCACCAAGATGACCCGGGCGAGGACCAGAACGAAGAGGAAGACGACGAGGGCGATGAAGGAGACGAGGAAATAGACTGGCGGCCCCGGCCCTTCATAACACTGACCTACGCACAATCCCTGGACTCGGGGCTCGCGTCCGCGCCGGGGGCGCGCACCGCCATCTCGGGCGCCGCGACAAAGGCCATGACGCACTTCCTGCGCAGCCGGCACGACGCCATCCTCGTGGGCGCCGGCACCGCCGCCGCCGACGACCCGGGCCTCAACTGCCGGCTCGAGGTCGAGATGAGCGGCGGCCACCAGCCGCGGCCCGTCGTCGTCGACCCCTCGGCGCGGTGGGCGGTCACCGGGGACAGCAAGGTCGTGCAGCTCGCGCGCGAGGGGAGGGGGCTGGGGCCCTGGGTGGTCTGTGCCGAGGGCGCGGTGCCTGATCCGGAGAGGGTGAGGGCCGTGGAGGCTGTTGGGGGGCGGTATCTGGCTGTCGAGGCTGGGGAGGGGCCGGGAAGGGGAGCTGATGGTGAAGAGAGTGGGGGGGAGGAGGAGGGCAGGGATGAGGGAGAGGACAGCTCGAGCCCGGTGTTGACGTGGGACAGCATCTTCGGCGTGCTGTGGGAGGAGGGCATCAACAGCGTCATGGTCGAGGGCGGGGCCACCGTCATCAACGACCTGCTGCTGCTGGCCAACGAGGGGCTGGACGTGGTCGACTCGGTCATCGTCACCATCGCCCCCGTGTGGCTGGGCAGCGGCGCCGTCACGGTCGCGCCTGAGCGGCCCGTCGACGCGGACATGCGGCGCGTGCCGGGCCCGCGGCTGACGGACGTCATGTGGAGCCAGATGGGCGATGACATGGTGCTTTGTGGGAGAATCATGCGATAGTCAGTCAGGACTTGCAACGAGGAAAAATACAAGTTAAATGGTATCGTGTTCCTTGTCTATGAACCCTGCAGGTAAAATACAGTCTATGCCGCCCATCCCTTTCTATGCTTGCGTGTCATCATGATCATTCAGAGCCTCAGGGGCTGGTCTATTCCGTCCAATGCAATTCATCATTATCGTCATCATCACAGCCGTCCCCTCCACCTAATCTCAAGCCACCGAAGGGGAAAGTAGCACAGCGCCGTGACCACAAACGCCATTTCAAACCCAATGTCGCCCGTCTTCTCGGCAATCGGCCCCGTGTACCATACCTCGGCCATGCCAGGCACCACCAGCGCAAAGCTGATGATGCTCGCCAGCAGTGCAGGGATCCCGGTCGGCAGCTCCCTGCCCACGTTCCAGATGGCATGGTCGAGGGAGGCGTAGTCCATGCGGCGGAAGATGACCAGCTCCTCGATGAGCACGGCGGTGAAGCAGCCGGCCCAGTACCCGATGAGGGCGAGGAAGTTCTCGAGGCTCTCCTCCCAGGCGCGGGCGGCCTCGATGGAGCAGGGGATCATGACGGCGAAGGTGGCGACGATGAAGAGGAAGCGGTGCACGCGCGCGAAGCAGGGCACCAGCATCTGCATGTTCAGGGCCACGGAGTACATGGAGATGGCGATGTTGCCGATGACGCTCAGCGCCAGCAGCACCAGGATGAACTTGCCGAACCCGCCCGCCGGCTCCAGCATCTCGGCCATGACGCCGCCAATCCCCAGGCTCTCGTACGCCGCGCTCCACTCCGGCACGTTGGGCACCGCGCCGCCGATCGCCGCGCCCAGGACCAGCAGCGGCACGGACGGCGTGAGGATGCCCAGGTAGTAGCTCGCGAAGACGGTGCGCTTCCTGATGGCGCGCGGGTCGTGGTAGATGGAGTAGTCGGAGACGGTGCCGCCGAACGTGAGGAAGTAGCCGGCGATGAGCCCGCCGTAGGAGAGGACCTGCTGGGCCGAGGCGGGCGGGACGTCGGACTGCAGGCGGAGGTTCTTGCCGCCGCAGCCGACGGCGATGACGATGGAGACGAGGTTGGGGATCCAGGTCCAGGCGTTGAAGACGTGCAGGGCGCGGTAGCCCATGAACGAGGCGGCGAAGCTGACCAGGCACACGACCACGATGCCGACGTTGTCGCTGACGCCGCCGGACGGGTTGATGGCCGCGATCGCCTGCCCGCCCACGATGGCCGCCACCAGCGAGAACCCGATCACCGTCGCCGCGTTAAGCAGCAGCGGGATCGTCGCCAGGTACAGCCCGAACGAGTACCGCGCTTGGATCTGCTGCCGCAGACCCGTCCGCGTCCCGCCGATGCCCATGAAGGCCGGCGGGATTACTGTTACGAGCGAGAAGAAGAGAATCACGAGCGCCGCGTCACGGAGGCCCATTCCGAAGGAGATGGTCGCCAGCATGCCGGTAGGTAACCTGGGATAGTGGTTAGTGAGAACTTGTAAATATCTTATGATATGGAAAGGCGTATTTACGGTAGCAAACACATCAAAGCGGTGAACATAACAGTGAAGAGGTTATAGAACCGCTTGTCCGTTCTCTTCTCGAGCGGCACCGGCTTAATGCCATTCTCCTCGACGCCGACGTCGAGGATCCTCTGGTACCACTTTGGGTTCTTCTCGGGGTGGCTCTCATAAACCTCGCCATCGTCAACCTTGAGCATCGAGACCAGCTTTCCGTGGCGCTGGTACTGGCCGTGGTGCTCTACCGGGTCGTTCTTCTCAACGTCGCTGGCGTCCCCTTGGGCGCCGGAGACTGCGGACGACAGCATTTCTACCCTATGCTGAGGGTTGGGAGTAAGCAGTTGTGTCTGGACCCTGAGTCACAGGAGCCCATGGGTGAGTGCGTGCTCAGATATATATGTATGTGGGTGGTTGTGGGGCTCCCCAGACTGTGTGGCGAGTGAGCAAGTAGACTTGAGCAGTGTCGAAATTTTCGGGTAGATCTCTCTTTAAAGCTGGGCACTCCGCGGAAAGACGGGCCTCGTGGACCAGAATCTTCCTTTATCGGGCCAATGGAGCCTCGCTCGTTGGCCTCTGGGCATCCGGAAGCAGATAATGAAGCCAATGGTATATGCATAGGATTACTGAACTGTAATGTAAGAAGAGTCTGACCCATTTCCCAAGCCGGAGTGGCGCCAATCGGCTCTCGGTGTACAGTAGTGTCGAGGTGGATAGTGGCTCCTAGTGATGCCGCAAGTCGGAGTCGACGGTCCGGCTCTTCTGTCGCTGCGAGGTTTGCTGGACAGGACGCCAGTCCGATGGAGTGAAAGTGTAATTCCAGCTGAGCACTCCACGAAGTGACCGCTGTCCCTGACTACCTCCAAGGGTTGGAGAACTAAGGACGAGAATGGCAACGGGAGAAGCCGAGACAACCGTTCTGGACGGGTGGAATGAGATGAAGCGGGACTGCTAAGTTCTTTGGTTTCCATTTTTGGCGCCAACAATGGCTTCGAGTAGCGGGCACGGGCATCAGCATGGTCACTTCACCGTTGCTTGCCCACGCCGAGACCAATATCAACCACGTCAATGTCGCAGTACCGCGATTCAATCCAGACCTATCCGAGTCGTGGCCTTCCCACCATTCGACAGCTCTAGTCAGCTGAACCACCTCCCTGTCTTGCTGTGCGAACTCCTTGATCTTTACTCGCCGACGTCTGGATCCATGGTGGGAGACTATCAAAACTTTCTTGTCGGGGCAACACCCTCATGGATACAAAAACGTCGCCAACGTAAGCAGTCACGTCTCGTGGAAGCATCCTGATCTTCGGCTGGGGTCCAGACTGCCGGTCCTAAGTGGTCCCCGGTCCAATTGGCTTTCACCGATTTGCTCCGGCACATCTTTACAGGTAATTTAACTGCAACCCCTGGATGCGATGCGGGCGGTGACTGGCACGAATCGAAGTTTAAACTCGTTCCGCGCCGCTTCTAGAAGGATGGTGGGTGGCAAATGGCAAGTGAAGGCGGCCGCAATTCAATGCAACCGCGCTCTGTGTGTTTTCACCATGTAGCCTTCGGTCAGAGCTCATGCAAACACGGCTGTGATGTTGCACCTCGCGATGGTACGTAATATTAATAAATATAGCGCAGCATAAAGACTGCAAATGGTCGCTTCGCCGTGGACGGCATACGGCACAGACGCCTTCCAAAGGCGCTCTCATGCGCAGACTCGTATCTTGGGCATGGCCACTTGGACTCACATTACACATGCTGCGTCATCGCAGTGCAGGTACTGCTGATTCCGCAAAACCCCTGTACTGATGGTCATGAAAATTACCCCTCCATCGTGCTCGAAAAGTTCAACGCGCTCGCAACTAGGCCAGTTTTGACTCCAGATGTTCGTTAGTCAAGGAATCGAGTGCTACGAATCCTTGCTCTCATCAGCTTTGTCGGCCTCGCTGTCGATCGCCTGCTTTGAAGCATCCTCCTCAGTCTTGGTCGGGGATGGCTCATGATCCTGCTCCGCAGGTTGCTCCACGGCAAAGTCTTGTGTGGTGGTTGTTGCGAGCTCGCCTGCGTCCTCAGTATTGCCTTCCTTCGATTCTTCGGCCGCGCCATCCTTTGTCTCCCCCTCACCTTGACCATGATGTTGAGCGCCAGCATCCGCGGACGCTGCGTCCTCTGTATGGCTTGGTGCCTCTTCTTCCTTCGCGGGCTCTGAAGCCTCATCGGCCTGTGATGTAGCTTCAGAGGAGCTGCGCTCCGCGTCAGCCTTGGTTTCATCATGGGACGCTAGAGTTCCTTCCTCCTCCACAGCCTTCTCATTTAGCTCCTCCATCATGCCATGCTCGACAATGACAGGTACCTCAGTCACTTCGGATTCTTCTACCACAGTCTCTGGTGTCGAGATGCGCATTTCCCGGAGCCTGCCGGTGACATCTGCGCCATCGTCCTCATCAGCCTCCATCACTGTCGTCACAGCGCTCCCCGTCGACGGGCTACTTCTTATGTGCCGTCGCGTGTTGGTTCTTCCTGCTGGCAGGAAATTGTCCTCATCAGAGTGCTGCTGGATCGTAGGTGTTTGCAGCTGTGACTGCTCCTTTTTGGTTCCTCTGTCCGTAGACTCAGCAGCAGCCGCCGCACTTTCCAGGCCTTCTGCCTCAGGGGGCAGTTTGTAGTTCTCGGCCGGTAATGTGTCAAACATGTCGCAGACCGTCTTGAAGAACACATATAAGCCCGTTTGCCCCTCCACAGACCAGAATACGCCCCTGTGCTGGAACCATGCGTGAGCAAAGATTCGATGCAGACGTCGGAACACGTTGACAAGGTTCTTGACCGCGGTGTTCTTGTCATGCCCACTCCCGTCTCCACCTGACAAGGCCACAAAGCGTGAGGGAAAGACTTTTGGATTTGTCACGACGTTGGCAGCCCAATCGAGGGTGTGGCAGCAATAATCTATGGCGCAGCACGACTTAGGTTGCTCATGCACGGCGCAAAGGAACTGCCATTCCGAAGCGCGCATCTCCGGACACGTGTTGAAGCTGCAGGGAGGTGTGTCGAACAAGAAGCCCACGATCAGGCTGTTGCATTGTGCGACGAGGAATCGACACAGCTCGTAGAGCCACAAGGTCTTCTCAGTCGACGGTGGGGGAGTCGCCAAGAGGGTGGCGATGTCTCGGGTGATGGGTCGCGTGTTGTTTGCGGTGTGGTAGTAATGGAGGGCGGCAAGATGTTCTTGGAGTTGGAACGCGGAATCGAGCTCGTTCAATGGCACAAGTGGTGGGCCGGCGGCCATGTCGGCGCTCTTGGTCCCGGGATGTATGCGCCTTCTCGAGTTGGCGTTGATGATTGTCTGCTCCATCTGCTGCGACTCTTGATCTGCGGGCAAGCCTGGAGACTTCGGTCCAATCTGGATCTCGGCCGGCGGAGGCGGGCTTGGGAGACGGGGTGACATGGTAGCCATCTTGACAGGGCTCCCAAGTGGGTGGAGGAAGGCGACCAAGTAGAAAGGTGGCTTGAGGACAACCGATTGCGAAGTTCTATCAGTCTGCGGCAAGCTGTTGTTTGTTCTCCCTGAGCTCCAATGCACTGCGATCGATGGAGTCCTAGACCGTCTGCAGAAGTCTGGAAGGTGGTCAACTGTCAGATGCGAGGCTCCACAGCAGAACACCGACGCGGATGAAGTTGTTGTCGATCGAAGACAGAGCTGCAGCTGCGGCTCAACCACGCGAACGAAGGTGGGCCCCAAGACTTTGGGGAGCTTCGAGTCTTCGAGTCGCACAGGGCCTGGCGCGCTGATTCGCCTTAGCTAAGCGCCCTCCCCCTGGCGCAGCTTTATCGATAGCGTCGTGGGGGCCGGGCAAGCTCTGGGCGCCGGGCTGACGGCTGCTCCGTGGGGTCAAAGTGACATAATGAGCAGAGGGCATTTGGACACTATAGTATTCGGCTTAGCACTTGCGGATTCGTCCTCGTCACGAGCCAGGCGCACGCAAAGTCCGAATATTTCAGTTTCGGCACCCTTCCATACTTGATCACCTCAGCGGCGCCCTCTTCTTTTATCAGAGATTTGCTCTTCCAAAAAGCGCCCCTCGCCTTCACTGTCCACCTTCCCCCAAACCAGCAAACAAGATGGACTCAGATGATGAGGCCCCTCCCGACCTGGTTGAAACAGGTCAAGAAGCCGTAGAAGAAGAGACGACCACCAAAGTTCCCATAACAATAGTCACTGGTATTCACGAATTCGCCAAAAATGCTCGCTCACCAGTGAGACCGGAAAGCATCGGCTAACTTCAGGCTCGCAGGATATTTGGGGGCGGGAAAGACAACGCTCCTGAACTATATCTTGACAGCACAACATGGCAAGAAAATTGCCGTCATTATGAATGGTCTGGGAGATCCGCAGTCCCATGCCGTTAGGTTTCATTTGTGAACAATCTGCTGACGTATGGCATAGAATTCGGAGACTGTATGTGTTCGCGAGATTACACGTGAATTTGACTCATAGTAATTGGACTTCTAGCTTTGGACATTGAGAAGTCACTCACAGTCAACAAAGATGGCGAGTCTGTAGAGGAGTGGCTGGAGGTCGGCAATGGCTGCATTTGCTGCTCGGTAAAGTAAGCCATCCATCACACAGCACACAAGAGCCTTCACATCTCACAACGCGATCAGAGACACCGGCGTCAATGCGATCGAGAGCTTGATGGCGAAGCAGGGGAAGTTTGACTATATTCTGCTTGAAACAACAGGACTAGCAGATCCCGGAAACTTGGCGCCCCTGTTCTGGGTTGACGAAGGACTCGCCAGCACAATCTACCTTGATGGAATTGTCACCCTGATCGATGCCAAAAATATTTTGAAGAGCCTTGATGATCCCGCGGGTAAGGTCGACGGCCACGAAGAGAGCGATCACCACGGCCCTGTCATGACGACGGCCCATGTCCAAATTTCCCATGCAGATGTCATTGTGATCAATAAGACAGACCTGGTGACGCAGCAGGAGCTTCAAAACGTCCAGGAGAGGATCAGGTCCATAAATGGACTTGCAAAAATCCATCTCACCAAGGAGAGCGCCGTGCCTCAGCTTGAAGGATTCCTGCTAGATCTACATGCCTACGAAAACATCGTGGAGCTTGACAACTCAAAGGGGCACAGTCATCTCGATTCGGTCAGTCATCCCTTGCCGTCTGACCCCACGGCCTTGCTGCACATTGTGAGGATGTTTTAACTGGAACATACGCTGATATCTTAAAGACAATATCGACAATATCCATACCACTTCCGGTACTTGACACTGAGCAGGTGGATAAAGTAGATGCGTGGCTGCGATCAGTTCTCTGGGAAAATGTGTTGCCGGATGACAGCAGTGAGCACAAGGATCCCTTCGAAATTCACCGTCTCAAAGGGCGCCTGGTAGTACGAAACGGTGGCACAAAGATAATACAAGGCGTCAGAGAGCTGTTTGAGATCTTCGATGCGCCTCTGTCAGTAGACCATGGAGGTGCAATCGAGACGGGCAAGGTCGTCCTCATCGGCCGCCATGTCACAGACTTCGACTTCCAGAGAAGTCTTCTGGCAGCTATTCAGTAGCCAAATAAAGATGAGCCTACAGGTGCCAGATATCGTATCTACTAGAATAAGTGATGTGGTAATTATTCTGCTCCACGAGTTGTTGGGACCAAGGATGCTCGGACCTGGGAAAGTCGGGTGAGGAGGACAATATGGATGAGAAGTGGTTGTCCAGAAAGGGTTGTGGAGGTGAGGCTGCAGTCCACCTGGGCGGATCTGCGGCGCCATCACCCAAGGAGCCTAGCGCATCAAAGACACCCATGTTTCCCCAATCTAACGGCTTGTATGTGAGTTCCATGGTGGGGGGTGACTGGATACCTGGGTGCTCTGGTGCTGAGGGAAGAGTCCGTGCGCCTGCTTCTGCATGGTCTGCGGCGGGAACTTCTTTGCTGGAGTTCGTCCTGAGCCTCCTGGCCAAGGCGACCTCAACTACGCTCTGCCGACTCCACGAAGAACCTCACCGATCCCACCCCAGCCCCAGGGCAGCATCCGAAACCGACTCACAACGACCGACATACATTGCGAAATTTTAAGCGCTTTAATTCCATAAAAAGCTGTTAGGAGAATATTAGGAAAGAGCTGGCAACCATGAATAGGACAGGTACGGTGACAGCGAACTGTCTTTCCACGCACTCGCACTCGATCTCTGTCCCTCTGGGCCTTTGCGCAACAACCAGCGGAACTTGATTCAAGTGAAGAGCATCCGTCAAGGTGCTGCTTGCTGTGTCCTCGAGACTGTCAGGGACATTCTGCATCTTTCAGGTCGCCGCGCGAGACCTGCCTCCTGGTCTCCAGCCTCGACGGCGCACCTGCGATGCCAGTTGGGCCATGGCCATTCCACTGGACATTCTCTTCAGTGGCAGTATGGATCATACCCAACGTGGACACGTTGCTTCAGACGTGCCAGCTCCTAGGTTGAGACTGCACCTGTTTGCGCATCGCGTCGCATCGCGTCTCACTCGTCACCGCCTGCAGCCCATTGTGTGCATCAAGGACCAAACAGATAGCTAACAAAGGTCATGCTGGTTAGGTACAGTTCCTCAATCGATGAGGGGTATGCCGGGCGGCTTTGGAGGAGGCCAGCAATCACAACATGCGGGGAGGGCTGGAGGAAACAGGTTACCAAATGGAAAGCTGGGTAAGGGACAAAGGCTCACAGGTTGTGCCTCGCAGTGATGCTGATGTCTGCAGCAATACCAGTGAACAACGCATCTGGCTGGGCTTTTGGAGGAGTTGGTCCTATGAGCTCTGGCGGCATCCAAAATCCCACAAGGCAGCTGGGGGGAAGTGCGACTTTCGCCCAAAGCTTGAGCGGGTCAACCCCGGCGACACCACTCGACCTATCGTAGGTGCCACCACCACCACACTACCTCGCCTTCTGACGGGGGTGTTGCTATCGCAGCCCATGGCTGTTCTTTCCTTTACTAGTGTCACTTCACTTGCGAGGGTCCCAATTCTTTCTTTTTTTTCCCCTTCCCACCATGACGGCCCCATTCACCTCCAAACCAAAGTTGGTGACGAGATTGAAGATGTCAGCCCCTCCACCACCAACACCCAGCGCGCCCAAGGTCAAGATGTGGTCTCACATTGTCTCGGGCGATGTCAAGAAGGACAACGTCAAGCAGAAAGAAAACGTCAAGGAGGTGGACGAAACTCAGGAGGATGGCAATGCCTTGTCCTGGTCTCAACGAGCTTCCTGCAATGTCAGCTCAGGAGCCTCCCAAGGGTACCACTGAACTCCTGGACTCATCCCCCACAAACACAAACACAAAACACAAACATACGCACACATCATGCTCTTTTCTGTCCTGTTCTCGTCTCGCACAAGCAAAGATGAAATCACAACCGCAATGAGCATCGCTACAGGGAAAACTGACTCACTTATCACAGTGAATTTCCGCAATTGAGCAACAATGCACCATTCTCGGGCGCTGCCAACCAGGGCTTGTGGGCAGGACAAGCTGCTAGAAACCTGGGAGGACCTGGTACCGGCCCTAGAACCCCAGCCTCTGCAATGCCTCAGTCTCAACAAGACGACCTTTTTTCTCCGGCCTCCAGACTTCCATCCAGTCAAAATTCGTTTCGATTTGGTAGTCAGGCTAGTATCGGCCAGGCGCAGCAACCTCAGCCCAGTGGTGGTGATGAGTTCCCACCATTGAACAGGAACGGCAACGGTGAGATTGGTCAAGACCGAGTCGCAAACATCATGTCTGGATTGAATCTCGGCTCTCAAGGTCCTGTCGCGTCTTCATCAACGCAGGCTAGGGGCTCTGGTAACGGACTTCTCAATGCTGTCACGGCAAACACTCGCGCCTCTGAGGCCCGTTCGCCTGTTGGTATGGTTTTTATCGAACTTGAACATTTGTTCCGCTTCTTACTGACTTCCTACAGGTACGCGACCATCAGAAGGACGATCCTCGATCGCCGAGGATGATGCGCGACAGAAATCAGCATTTCGCGAGGATGGCTCTGCACCTCAACCGCCTCTGTCGGACGGGCCAAATCAAGGCACAGAAACTCGCAACCCTCTCGGTGCTATCGGCAACGACGCGTCAAGCAACAAAGGTGCTGAATTGCCTGCTGAAGCTTCGTCTTCCGCAGCTCAAGAGCCTCTTGCTGGCATGTCAGAAGCAGACAAATGGGGTATTAAGGGCCTGCTGACGCTGATGGCGAAGTATCCTTCCTATCACGCCCTGGTCCACGGCCTAAATCCTGCGGAATTGGGTCTTGATCTGAGCAGCGAAGCGTGAGTGTCATTTCTTTTTCTTTTGCTTCCGAGAAACCTTCATGGCTGATTTGCTATCTCGGCAGTCGCATTACCGAACAGACTTTCTCGCTCACCAGCCACGAACCACCAAAGCCACCACAGCCAAAATTCAGCCTTCCAGAGTGCTACACCGTCAGGAATACGCAGCCCATTGAACAGAAAATGCCAAATTTCACCGAGGAAACCCTACTTTACATGTTCTACTCTAGTCCGCAGGACAAACATCAATACCTGGCTGCCCAGCAACTGTAAGCCTGTCTCAGTCGGCGTGCTGCTATATTTACTGACATTATGTGCAGATACCAGCGTGGTTGGCGTTGGCACAAAGATCTGCGTGTGTGGCTGACGAAGGATGTGGAGATGCAACCAGTAGCGGTCAACCCAGAAGCTGAGCGAGGATACTACGTGATCTGGAACGCCGAGACTTGGGCGAGGATGAGAGTAAGTGCTGTCGCACACATGTTTTGTTCCTTTGCTGACGCCTTTGCAGCAAGAGCTCACCCTCTATTACGCGGATCTCGAGACCTTCCCCGAACTCCCTCCAGGGCCTCATTCTTAGGGGCCAAAATGAGGGCCTCTGGTGTTTTTGGATTGTCCTCGCGGCCCGTAGTGCGAGTTATGATGGACGACGGACGACTTGTTTCTCCCACTGTACCTACTTATGCTTTCAGACCTGTGCCACACGGGGGGCAGCTCTACAGGGGTATTCTTTCTGGCCAAACGGACAGTTCAAAATCAGGCAAAAGGGCCGATGGACGACTTCATATTCAGGTAACCTGCATTTGCAAAGGCGTATCTCGTGGGGGGCTGCGATATTGTGCCTGTGGAAAGTCTCTCGGCTAGGACGGACAGGCTCTTAGGAATGGGGTCTTGAAAATGCTTTTGCCAGTCAAGTTTTCTGGCAGGAAATAATGAAACGAGGAGAGACCTTCTCATGGATATGACCTTGGCCAATTATCTCTTGCTTGATTCTGTTCGGGTGTGATGTCCAGATAAAATCGCACTCCCATTTCTGATGAACCCGAACCCTGGCAATTTTAGGTTGCAGGGGGGCCCATGGAGCTAGAGTAGGCACCTCCACCAAGCTGTCGGGCCCGAAAGCTGTTCAGTCGCTCCTGGCTCCAGCGCCATCTCCACCCATCTCTGCCATCTCACGGAACCGGAGGCTTCGAGACCAGCACCCGTCCTCGTATGGAAATCACCCCCCGAAAGTCATAGGGCAGCCAGTGACAAACCACCCGGCCGCTGGAATAGAATCCGCAGCGAGGACCAACGACTTGCAGCGGTCTTAACACCAGAACGAGCACGGGCAACCCCGAGCCACGTGTGCACCGACCTCGAACCGACAGCGGGCTCTTGGAAGATAACCGGACCTTGGCAGTCGGCTGCACTCACATTCACATTGTCGAGGGTCCTGAGGACCAAGCAGTTGCAATATGGCCAACGACCAGATCAACCTGCCATCCCTGGTGGTGATCATCGTCCTGTCGGGCCTGATCGTACGGTACCTCTTCTTCTCGTCGCCGCCCGGCAACCAGCAACCACGCGATTCGCTTTCACAGATGAGGCAGCGCGAGGCGGCGGTCGAGACGATACAGCAGATGTTCCCGCAGGTGGACCGGAGGACGATATTGTGGGATTTACAGAGGAACGGAGGCAGTATTGCGGCTACGACGGAGAAGATACTCACCGGGAGGATGGAGACGGTAAGTGCTCTGGGCTGTGTTTCTTTTCCCGGAGACAGTCACAATTTATGAGCGATCTCTGACTCTTCTACAGCCACCGATCACTTTCCAGCCCCCGCCGCCACCCGGCTCTAACGGAGCGTCATCCTCAGCGTCGCAAACGGGCTCCAGGAAGCCGGCGGAGAAGCCGGCGCAGCCGAACCTGATTCAGAGGTACAACCTGGAGGACAAAGTCAAACAGCAAGAGCAGGGAGAGGACGCATCTGGGGATGCCGCGAGCAAGAAGGCTTGGAGCAATAGCAAGGACGAGCGCCAGACACTCCTGCAGAAGAGGCGGGACGAGATGATCCTCGCGGCGCGGCGTAAGATGGAGGCCAAGATCGCGGCCGAGAAGGCTGCATCGGCGACCGGGTCTTCGTAGGGGGGTTTTTGCGAGCGATGATGGCGAGCTTACAATGACAGAGCGACGCAAGGGGAGAACAACGACGCAAAATATCACGCATTTAACTGCTCGAATCTTGCGGCATGGCGTACCGGTTACTCGGATCGACAACAAGTTTGCGGGGCGAATGGATTTTTGTTCTGGACATTCACTAGTCCCGGTCGGCATTGGACGGGGCACTCGGGAGCATAGGTCATATGTCTGTCGTCTGTATCACTATAAGGGGGCGAAGGGGGCAGGCCACGTCGATGTGCATTCCTGAACAATCATGCCTGGTTAATTCTTATCAGCGCCAGTCACCTGGGCAACTGGCTGGCGGTGGTTGGAGCATTCTCTAGTACATGTTCAAAAACACCACGAATTCTGTTAACAGCAACAGTGCTAGGCTAGTAACAGCATCCCACTCAAGGCTCCTGGTGTACGCTGAAAACGGAAGTAGAACCCCCACGCAGCGAATGTGCGCGAGTGGTGGGTGGCCTGCGGTAGTGTGTTGTGTGCATGACCCAGTCCCGAGGCCTCGTCGTGGTCATAATATCATGGTCATCAAAGTTTCCCTCGTAGTCGTCTAGAGGGACCCACGTGCCTCCCCTCGGCTGCCAGGCCCCCCTGGGTCCTTTGAGCCTCGAGCCCAGCGGCCCGCTGAATACGATGGTGGTCCCCGCTATGACGCCGCAGCGCAGATAAGGCAAAAGTGGGTCACAGCAGCGGGTGGAAAATAGATATGGAGTACTTACTGCATTCCATTCCATCCCATGCTATCCCATCCCATGCTTGGGGCTACCCCCATTTTCACATGCTTGTGGACTGCTTGCGTGCGTGCTGCTGCTGCCCACGCAAGGGTCTGGCTTGTACACATCTGACAGCATTTCGAACAGGGCAAAGCATGAGAGAGAAAAAGAAGAAGAAAAGGACAAGAAAAAAATTCTGAGATCCTCATGGCGCTGGTACCAATCATGCGTTCATTTCGAGCGGCTTCTGCAGTTTCCTCTCACGCAGCTGCATTCATCATTTGTCTGATCTCTCCCCAAACACATACAAAGTTCTGCCCAGATGCACTTACATACCCAGGTACCCTGCTGTGTACATGCTTGCTTAGTCGACTAAGGTTGGGGATTGCCAGTCCGCTGCAGCTAGCAAAGCCCTACCTACCTCCATCTCAACGGTTTTCTCTGCATCGTCTCATCCCTCCCAAATCCGTCCTCGTTTCTTATCTGCCTCCTCTCCTATTCCGCACTCTTCTCTGGTGATTCTGCTCATGCCGTGTCACATGCTGGCCCGTGATACAAGAAACGCTCAGGGTCTAGTCGAGATTATTCCGGTCATCTAGCTGAAATCAGGGGCCGCCCGGTGACCATGTTGGGTCCGCCTGTCGAGCCATAGAAGTCATTTCCACGCGGCGCCTCGTCGAGCTTTGACGGTCGCTGCTGGCCTTGCTGGGCCGACAGACTCGTCCAAAACATCCACAAACCTTGATTTGCATGATTCTGATTCTGAGGGTGACACCATGCATCGACTACCACCACCGCTTCCTGTTCCCGTCAGGGATCCCCGTGGCCTCGACCATGCCGAGCAGGCGGCGTCGAGCATCACCACACATCACCACCACCACAACTTCACCCCCATGGCATTTGAATCCTCAGATCCCGAGGCCACCTCTCTCACCTCCCTCTCAGACATCCTCGACAACCTGCCCACGGCCGTCAAGAGCAGCCTCGGGCCCCTGAACACGATCCGGCGCTCCGTGAGCATCCGCGGCTGGGCCTCGTATTTTTATGAGATCTCATCAAACTCCATGGGCGCCGCCGCGTCCCACCACGAGGGGCCAGCCGCCGCGGCGCACCACACCACCGTCGTGTCCAGGACCACGAGTACCACCGCAGTCGAGATGCAGCACAGCAACCGCGGCGAGAAGCGGGCAGCTGCGCCGGCGCAGGCGCAGAGGCGGATGCCGGAACCGCCGCTCTATGAGGTGCCAGACCAGAACTTTGGCATAAATAGGTTCTGTGGTCTACAGGGTGAGACGTCCCCAACACTACCGCTTCATCAGAAAGACCCATGTGCTAACGTCCGTAATATAGGTCAGCTCCTGGTCAACAATGCCCTGTCGGAGGGCCGGCCGCCGTCAGTGCAGGGCCAGCCGGGCGCCAACAGGATCGATCGCAAAGCATATGTCCAGGGAGTCGCCTGGCTCGTCCACGGACTCCCGGAGGACCTAGACAAGCACGAGAGGACGGAGCTCATACGGGCCATGCCGCCGGCCCTGCTGGAGGAGGCCCACAGGACGCCGCCGTCGTCCCAGCCGGCAGCACGGCCGTCCTACCCCTCGTCCTCCTCCACCTCACCCTCGTCAAACTACGCGTACCTCATGGGCGGCGGCGTGGGCGACGCAGGGAGGACGCTCGTGCAGAGGGCGGCGCGCGCGCTGGTCCTGCAGCTGCTGGTGCCGCTGCACCTGCTGTGGGCGTACGTGGTGGTGCTGCTGGGGCGCGCCGTGCAGCTGGAGCGCAAGTACAAGGTCACGGAGCAGGTGGTGCGGCACTCGGGCGAGCTGGGGTACGAGGTGGGCCGCGGCGGCGTCAAGCTGTCGGGCGTGATATACAACCACGGCGGCGCGCGGGTCGGCCACCTCGTCACCAACATGGTCGCCTACACGGCCGACGGGCTCGTCAAGGGCATCAGCGATGGCATACGCGAGGCGCGGACGGAGAGGCGGCAGATAGCTGAAGACTGAGGTGGTGGTGGCTGCATAGGCGTACATGGGCGTTTGCTTTTCCTACTCAAGTTGATATACTTTGCTGCATTCCCAATAGAACGTCATATAGAAAAGCGAAGACGCGCTGCACGGGGATACGAGGAAATTACGGCCTCTCATTGTGACCCCATCGCCCCATCAACAACACCCCTCGAAGCGTCATTGCTTGACTGGATCTCCAGCAACTGATCAAACACACCATGCACCCACTGACTGGGCATGTACAGCCTGACAGGGTCGGTAGTCCGGCGCCACAGCTTCGCACCCGTGCACCAGCGCAGCGCCGAGATCGTGTCGTCGAACACAAAGAAAACCCCGACACCAAACTCATCCGGCACCGCCTTCACCTCGACACTCTGGAGACCCCGGGGGAGGGGAATGTGCACGACGCGCGCCTTGTGGCGAGCGTGCGTCCGATTCCATTGAGAATAGTGTCTGCTGATGATGTGATACCTGAACGCGTCCGCCCATGATTTGTGGGGGAACTCGATGTCGAGGGTGCGGTCGAGCCCGATCGTGACGGTGAGGGCGTGCTTCTCGTGGATGTCGCACATTTCGCGTTACTCTTCGGATTGGATCGCGTAGGTTGCTTGTACTAATTGCCTGTCAATTGGTCATATTAAATGGATTGCTCATTAGATTGACCGGGTGTACGACTTCTGCTTTCTGACGTGACGCGAATTTGACGCGTCTCCATATCCTCTCACGGCTCCCCAAGTGCAACTCAACTTTTCACGCGATAAGGACCTGCTAGCTAGTCTTTGCTTCGCGTTTTTCGTCTTTACGAGCTTTCTCTTCATGAATTGTTTGCGCAGTCTCGCGAAACTACAGTTTCAAGGGGCATAGTCCTCGTGGCCTGGTCCAGCTTGACTATATACAAGAAATATAGACTCACGAGTGTCTTCCTGTCACGAGTACAATTTTGCAAAATTGTACGCTATTATCTGACGGTTTGGGGCGTTTGGAAAGCTTAGAGGGGTGGGCATGTCACGGGGGAAATCAAAAGCAGATTGTAATGCTTTGGATAATCGACCGACTTCGAACTTTTTAAAATCTTTCCGGTTGTCACTTGTCAGCCCCCGAATCAATGAGGCTGTGTGGAGGCTGCGAGGATCGGCATAGCATATGGCTGCGTCACCACCATCACATCACCGCCGTTGGTGGAGCAGCTGCAATGGCTGTTTTGAATATGCAGCCATGCCTGTTGGCATCAGTTTGCGGAGTTGAAACGCAGAACTTGGCTCGCTCACCGCCAGCGCAGACAACGGTGTTGCCAGGGTTCATCACAGCCGCAAAGTGGGCCCCAGAGAATCATCCAACATAAAAGTTTGGTTGTTCAGCTTCCAGGAACTTATCATGCTTATGCGACACCAAACTTGACGATGATGCGGGACTATATCTCGGAAGGCTGTGAGAAGGACATTGAGCTAGGGCTCTCGCTGGGTCGCGAATGGACAAGACAGTCCCAGAATGGTTAGTATAATTCGAAGAGGGCCCCAAAGAAGAGTCCCACTCCTGATAAGAAACTCAGAAATACAGGAAGATGGTCTCGAAAGAAGATCAGCTGACCTGGAATATGGAGACGCCGCCGCCGCTGGCCAAGAGGGAGTGAGGGAATCAGGAACCTGGAGCTGGAGAAGCGACACCCCACCACATGTCGAAGTGGGCAGAAATGCATCCAGAGCCTCATCTTCACGATATGCGGCTGGTCTCAAGCCGACACCCAGACCGCAGACGCCTGTGCATTACGCGAGTGCGGGTGATAGCACGAGAGCTCCATGGCCAAGAAGACGATTTAAGCTCAGGAACCGTGGCAAAACATCCGTGTTTCGAGCTCCGGATCTTGTAGGCACTGCCAGACATTCAAGTCGACGAATACCGCTTGATCCTGGTAATCCGGGGCCCTGGGTTATCAATCACCACCGTGATCAGCTTTTGCGGAAGGTTGTTGGTGATTCGGCAGGGTGAGTCTCAATTGAGCCAAGCAAACTCAGACATAACAAGGACGCTCACAGTGGTATGTTTTCCAGCGGCCTCCTTCGGGGATTGTTTGGTATCAGTGCCACAGGGAAATCCGGACCAAAGGACGAGAAGTCGGTCAGGGATGGCCACGATGATACTCAGAAGTCTGAAGAATCCCCTGAGCCGCTATATCGTATCAGTTTTGCTGAAATGCAAAGAATGCACCTCCGCAAATTGCATACCAAGTTGATCATACATGCAGTATACATGTACACACAGGGCAGAGAGTCCAGTGGCTGGGAAAGCGATTTGGCTGAATATAGTGGGTCACAGATTGCATGACCAAGACCTATCCGACCTCATATCTAACTCATGAAATTAGTCCAAGGGTTGAAGGATTACGATTACATGACAGAAAGCAGCAAGCTCCCCCAAGACTTCTTCCTGGCCACGGGCGAGCGAGGTGTCGACCGCTACGTGATCGACACGGTCATCAAGCAGATGGTCGGAGGCGCTGAAGCTCTACACACGCGCGAGATGAAGGAGTGCACCCGCGTGGAACAGGTGAAGGACGATTCGGCCCCGATTGGCGGCATAAGGGGCGAGAAGACGCGGTTGAAAAAGGCCCAGGACTTCCGGGACCGCGTCCTCCTGGCAATGATCGGGGCCTCCCTGTTGCTTGGACCCATGTGGCTGATGGTGTTGCATGTTACGCTCCACACGGGACTCGTCACCACGACAGTTTGCGTGGCTATTGTCGGGCTCGTGGTTTCGTGGAGGCTGGAGAAACCCAGCGACGTCCTGTCCGCCACGTTGGCGTACACTGCTGTGCTTGTTGTCTTCGTGGGGTCGACGAGCTCGGGCTGATAGCCTTATACGGAAGAGCTGTGTGCACAATGATGATCCTCATGAATTTTTGATCATAACCGTTGAATTGAGCGTAACACAAGTTGCGATGGAAAACGCGCACGATAGCTGATACGATCTCAGCGGATTGCTATCTTGAGACTGGCTATTCCATTGCGAGACTTGAGGGAATACGACAAAAGTTGACACCTTTTACAGATAGGGAGCGGCTACTGTGCTCTTTGGAGTGTTTCCGTTGATCATTGCGCGACTCTTATGTGGTATAAATTCTGTAAAAACAGAGTCGCCGGAGCAAAGGCTTGTCATGAAACATGTAAAATCTGGTCAATTATCAGGAATCGGTTACTTCTGGGAGAATGAGCGCAGTATGCTCCAACAAGATATTACCAAGTTTACCCTGGACGCTTTCACAGTGAACGGGTTAGGTGGGTCTTACCAAGGAAAATGCTAAAGTTCTGAAAAGCAACAGAGATAGAATCTCGAGTCCTATGCTTTCCCTACTCCGAATGCGCGATTGAGCGTTGGTTTATGTGCATATTTGGGGTCTCCAACATATGCAGGAGTGTCCTATAAACCTCAGAAAGAGAGAAAAGAATCTGCTCCAGCTAAATTCTGGCTTGGCAAGGCTCACAAATAGCAAGTGTTCATATACAATAGATATACAGCCCATAGCGCTGTCAACACTGACACACGGACATGACACCATCTACCCTTTCTGTCTCTCTTTTTCTCACGGAATAAATTTCACCTCATATTCGCAAATGAAGCTCAACGTGATCGCTAGATCTTTCCTTGGAACGGTTTCTCACTGAAACTACTATTGCTCTAACAGCAACTGTGAAAAAGAGCAGCGCTGTTATGTAGTAATTCATATTAAAGTGGCTAGAGTAATCGATTCACAGTGACTTGGCACTAGTACGTGCTGCTGAGAGTGGGTCTTCCTCGGATTGGCAGGGGTACTGCTGCATGTCGCCTCCTATCGATAACGATAACGACTTTTTCCAGTGAAGTTCCCCTGCACCCGCACTCGACCTCTCCCAGATGCGCCTATCATCTACGCAAAACTTTCGCGTTGCTGAGATTCTTGGATCATTCCTCCTCGCCACGGCCTTCCATCCTCAATCAAGTTCTGTCCCTAAAATTCCGGGGCCCTGTTGATTGACCGTCCATATCAGTCCAAACTCTCTCACTCAATCTCTTCCATCTCAAATATGTTGAAGAGACAGCTGCTGCGACAGGCCCGAGCCTGTCGCGGCCTGCGCGCCTCTCCCTCCTCGCTGTCGGGCCTCGTACTCAACACCTCCCTCAAAGCGTCGGCATCGTTCAAGCCAGCCGTCCTTGCGACCTCAATCAGCCGCCAAATCATCGCAAGAAACTACTCAAGCGCCGCCGCCGCCGCTGAAGCGCCAAATGCGAGCAACGAGTCTGGTCTCATCACCCGATTTGCCGACCTATCATCACTCGGCGTACACCCCAACATCCTCAAGGCCATTGTCGACGACATGCGCTATGAATCTATGACAGATGTCCAGGCCATGAGCATAAACCCTGCTCTGCAAGGAAAAGATATGTAAGTTTCGCATCAGCCGTGCACGCCAATCCCTAGGTCGACCCACTATGTCGCAACTGAGACTGACCACCCCTTGGGCAGTGTCGCGCAAGCCAGAACCGGTACTGGCAAGACGCTTGGTTTCCTTCTTCCCACCATCCAGAGAATCATCCAGAAAGACCCCTCGCTCGCAACACGTAGTCCTGCCAGGGCCGACGCGGAAAATATACGAGCCATCATCATCTCCCCGACCAGAGAGCTGGCGGAGCAGATTAGCGTCGAAGCCCAGAAGCTCTGCCGCCACACCAATGTCAAGGTGCAGACTGCGGTCGGCGGAATGAACAAGTCTATGATGCTGCGCAGGACCAAACATGAGGGTTGCCATCTCCTGGTCGGCACGCCCGGCCGGCTTCTGGATCTTCTCAGCGACGAATACAGCGGCATCGACGCGCCAAACCTGGAGGCATTGGTTCTCGACGAGGCCGACCGAATGCTCGACGTGGGATTCGAGAAGGAACTCCAACAAATAGTGCGTCTACTGCCTAGCCGCAAGGAGAAAGCGCGCCAAACCCTTCTGTTCTCGGCAACCATTCCCAAGGACGTCGTGCAGATTGCACGAGTCTACGTCGACGCAAGCAACTTCCAGTTTGTGCAAACTATCAAGGCAGATGAGGCCCCCACCCATGAGAAGGTGCCACAGCACATAGTCCCTGTGGAGGGGTTCGAGCACTTGGTTCCCACCATGCTGGAGATCATTGAGAGAGCACAGCAAGGCGAGCACGGCCCTGACCCTGTCAAGGCCATCTGCTTCTTCAACAACACGGCTGTTGTCAAGATGATGGACGAGTTATTCGAGTACTTGAGCCGTTCTCTTCAGTCTCTGCCACCTACCTATGCGATTCACTCAGGCCTCGATCAGAGGCAGCGTTCGAGAGTCGCCGAGAACTTCAGGAGGGCCCGGTCTGCAATCCTCATCTCGACCGATGTGACCGCAAGAGGCATGGACTTCCCGAACGTCACCCACGTCATCCAATTTGGCGTACCACCGACCCGTGACCAGTACATCCACAGACTTGGTCGTACAGGACGAGCAAACAAGTCTGGGCAAGGCTGGATTATCATGAGGAAAGATGAGATCCCAGAGGCAAGAAGCCGACTGCCCGGGCTCCCTATCAAACGTCATGACGGTCTGAATTGCGCCTCCTTCGATACCCAAAACACAGAAACCGCCACGGTCCCGCAAAACTTTAGCGAAGTCGCGAACTCTATGCGACGTGTGCGGTTCGGAGTCAAGAAGGAAGCATACGAGAAGCTCTTGACCAGTGAACGCCGCGTTACCCAGTCGACAGTTGACGCGGTGAACTGGTGGGCGACGAGCCAGGCTGGTTTCCGCGAGCCACCCGGAGTGTCTCCCAGAATGTCAAATGCTATTCCCGGCCTGCGACGATTAGAGGGCGTAAGAATTGACGAAGCCAGAGGACGTGAGGACAGAGAAGGTGGTGGTAGAGGGTTCGGTGACAGGGGCGGCCGTGACTTCGGCGGCCGTGGCCGTGGCCCGAGGGACAATGGGGACCCCTTCTCTGAGATGTCGAGCCGCAATGTGCGCGACCGCCCCGCCCGGAGGGAACGGGCCGCATTCTAAGCAAAATCGGGAAAGATGAGCAGAAAAGGGAGAGAAACTCTCTGGGTGGTGGGAACTCGCTACTGCGGATGATGGCGTCGCGACGTCTCGGACGCGGACGATGTATAAAACACGACACGGAAAGCAAAACCAGCTTTACGGTCGTATCACGGGATACCCTGGCCGGGATGTGTTATTCAACAGCCGTGTGCAGGCGCAGCCTTGCGCAGCCTTTTTTGGACGTTGAAGGCCCCGGCACACACAAACCGACTCTCCTTGCATGTCACCGGCGTTGGGATATGGGTCGCTTGCCTTGCCTTTGCCTTGCCGGTGTTTCTGAGTGGGCGAAACGTCAAACAAAAATCTCCTCTTCTTTTTTTATATTTCATCATTGGCCGGGATTTTCACTGTATCATGATCTAGGGGAAAGAAAGATGAATGATGGCGCTTTCATAGAATGCTCGTAATCACGATTTCACGTTGTCCACAGTAATGAACTCTCCCTCACTAGCTATGTTGTGTGGGTGTATGTGACGGTGACTGGGGGTCAAAATTCATCTGCTGATCAACATCAACCTTTGAACAGGTATGCATTCCACGTCCCACCCTGTCTAGCCATTGCTCGAGGAATAATTCCCCACCCCATGCTACCGAGCCACAGCGGGTGCGTGCAGCCCCAACCATCAATCGTTCGTTCGTTCGTTCCTCATCCGTTTCATCGTCCGACCATGATATGTCGCTGATAAGTATGATGGGTGATGGTGATGATGATGATGATGGCGACAATGACGATAGTGATCATGATAAAGATGGGGAGGAACAAGTCGAATGGAGGATAAAAAGAAAACAAGGCCCAAGAGACGTCCACCGCGAAGGGCAGGAGGGTATAAATGGGCAGCATATGAGGAGAAACAACGAGACAATAAGGAGGAAAACAGAAAAGGACAACGGCCGAGCCCCCCGCCCCTCTCTTTCCACCGGTCCAACCCATATACACACTGAAGACCTGGTAGTCTGTCTGTCTGATAAACAAGGCATGTATGGTCGGGAACAAAAAGACGTGCCAGCTCTGCCGCGCACGCTACAGGATATCATCATTACTTTCTTCTGCCAACCCGCCACACGCACCACTTTGTTGTTGTCGTTGTCGTCGTCGTCGTTGGTTTCATCCTCATTCTCATGGCCTCTTTCTCTCTTTCCTTCTCTTCCTCCTCGTGGTCGTCACCGTCACTATCACCAAAGAGCAACCAGTCACAGCCATTGAGTCAATCAGTCAATCATAGCACCCCGTTCGACCCAGCACCACCCTGCTGGCCACCGAAGAAGAAACCGTCGAACAGGTCATACTGCTGCCCGTCGCTGAAGTCATGGTGCAGGCCCTCCCAGCCCAGGCCGAAGCCAAAGTCTCCGTTGGAGGGCTCCTCGACGCCTTCGGGCAGGTTCCCGTTGGCGGTGCCGGTGACCTGGTTGAGGAAGTCCATGCCTTGCAGCTCGCCAAAGTTCAACTGCCGGGCCGGCGAATAGCCCCCCGCCTGTTGTTGTTGTTGCTGCTGCTGCTGCTGGTGTTGCTGTTGGTGCGGCGCCTGCGAGTGCGCGAGGTACGCCGCCATCTGTGCGGCTGTGGTAGCTGTCGGCAGCTGGGCCATGTTGCCGCGGCGGGCTGCGGGTCCCGTGGCGTTGGACGAGGGCGATCCCACGCCGGCCCCTCCGGGTGGCGTGCGCACCGCGGTCGGGGACGGCAGTAGGGACGGGTCTATCGCGGACGTGTCGGGACTACCGCCGACCTCGGGCGCGGTGCCGCTGCTGCGCGGTTGGCCAGGGACGGACCGCATCATGGAGAAACCGTCCGATTCTGCCTTAAGATTCGGAAGGGAGTTCATCCGCTGTATCGCTGACTGTATCGGCGGCAGGTGGGAACTCGATGACGCGTTGGCGTAAGCGTCCGTGATGCCCGGCAGGCCGTACTGAGACGCCGACATGAGGCTGTTTTCATCCCCTCCCTGATGGTGTGGGTGCCTTTGCCCTTTGGTGGAAGCCGTGTCGCTCCTGGCTGCCCAGTCACGATGGTCCACGCTCCCCCTTGACCCTGCCCGTTTCCGTGGGAGAACCTGGCCGAACCCACCGGTGGAATTCGCCATTCTTATTGTCGCCCTTGCAGTGCGGTCAATTGCGTCGCGACATGCCTCTGCTGGAGGACACTTTTCGCTGAGATCTGTAAAGACAGATGTTGCGGCGAGAATGGTAAAATCGACTTCGTCCATCGTCTGTGTTTGTCAGTAGAAATTCACCTGCAGATTCAGGGGGCAGTACTTACAAGACGGCTCCGCACGATCGGTGAGTGCCATATCGCGTACAAATATGATATACCCGCCATGAAGATGTGGTGTGTGGCGAGGTAAGTGTAGTTAATAACACCGGCAATGTGCAATTGCCTGTACAGCCGCATTATTCTCTGTCCAGCCTCTGCAACCTTCAGATATATTCTGTCCTCGTCTTCCCTAAGCTCGGCGTTGTGAACGTTGGGGCTGTTGACTTCCATGGACGTGTTGTACTCGCCCTCGAACATTGCAGGCACACTGAGACTCTGTCTGTACAGCATTACAACAGCCTGCCAGTAATTGAGATCGAGAAATTCTGTAGAGAAACCGACACCAGTGTGCTGCTTGGTTGGTGCGGACTCCTTCCAGTGGTATAACCTCTTGTCGATATCTATTCGCCATGCTCGGAAGGATTCATACTTTGAGAGGAATGGGGAAGGGAGGCTTGTGTGCATGTAAGGGTTCTTGACGTTTTGTCCCGAAGCCCTTGCAGCTTGAGCCTGTTGATATTGTAATACCTGAAGGATTTCTGACTGCAACAGGCGAAGGCGGAAGTAGTGGTGGGCGACAAGTTTGTATGTGGGCTGAGAGGCGAGGTCGGGAGGTGGCTCTTTGAATCCCTCGGGTGTGACATATACATCTTCTAGGATGGACGGGAACTCAGTCGTGATGACTTGATCTGAAATGCCGAACGGTCTTCCCACGCAAATGCTCACTAGGCGGTCGAAAGAATAAGTAGCCCACCAGAGTCGTCTTCTGACATCCCGGATGAACTCTCTTCTTCCACGCTCACGCTGTTGCATCTCGTGCTGTGGCCCGGAGACCTCCTTCAGGCCGGCGTCGACATCTTTGCCGTCCTCGTAATGCAGCCCAAGATCGACCGCAAGTCTGACAGCGACGCCGACTATGTACCACAGGCCCGGTGGAACAGGTCTGAGCAACGCGAAATTTGCCAGCAGCAATACCGCTTGCAATTCCTCTAATCCGCCTCCGCTATTGTTAAGACAGGCTTCGAGGTGGACGATAGCGCTCGCGTGGTATTCCTCGGGTTGCGCTTGTCTCGAGGACATTTTGCCCTCGCCTGGTTTTGCCTGGCTGTTCTGTGTCTCCGTCTTGGCCATGGCTCCCATTATGATGCCTCCGCCGATTGCGAAGACCATGTTCAACATGTATAACTCTTTGGGTCCCCGCTGGGGGTTTTCATCATCGTATGCCTGCTCGAACATCTTCATAAATTCGACCTTGTGCAGGATGGGTATCTGGGGATTCGCGTGTTCGAAGTACAGATTGATCAATGCCATACCGACCTCCTTGTCCGGGAAGGGTGCAGGATGAATGGTAGGTTTCGTGTGCAGGCCGAAAAAAGAATCTCGCATCGTAGTACCAATACCAGAATTTGAGTTACCAGCCACGGGCTTGTAAGGGCGCACTCCGGCCTTGTCAGAAGTAGACTTGTTTTCATTGACGGACGACTGGACGGCGGCAAAGACAACCCGGGCAAAAGAGACACCAGATGTTGACCCAAGGTACCGCGGGTTGGCTGTGCCTTCTTTGCCGTGTGTGATGTCTGACTTTGATACCAGCCTTTGCAGTCTGGCCTCGTCACTTCTGTCACCAGTGCTGCCCACCGCGGTGATGCTGTCCATGGTATCTGAAGGTGCGGGTCCCGCGGCTTCGGTTGGAGACCTTACGGACGCGGATTCGACGCCCATACGCGAGCAATGCTCCAGGTCGTTGGCTGGAGGGAACGAGATGTTATTCGTGCGCAAGAGCGCCTCGAGCTGGTCGACCCTCGTCTCGAGATAGAAGACATAACTGTACGTAGGGTCAACCTCTAGGCTCTTCTGCGTGCAGAGAAGACGAGCCAAGGTACATGATTACTCACCTGCGGGGGATTTCCTTCTTGGTTATGGGGTCGTACCCAACACAGGCAACATTGGCCTTCTCGCAACTCGCACAGCTCGGTAGCTTCTGGTCGCACCTGTTCTTGCGGAGGCGGCAGCGGTTGCAGGCACTGACGTTGCGGAAGTTGCTGCTCTGGCCGACCTTGGCACTACCGCCGTCCTGCTTCGTGCTGCCGGCGAGGCCCGCGCTCAGCGGCGCTCCATCGCCGTGCTGCTCGCTGGTGGCGGGGGACGGCCCGGAAGTTGCGACGTTGAGGGAGGGGGGAGAGTCCTTGTCAGACCGCCGCTCGGGCGAGGACTGCCGCAACCGCTTAGCTGGATGCATCTGCGGAGAAGGCAAGGAGTTCTCCGGCATCCTCTTGCGGTGCGACGGGAGGATCCCCGTGCGAGTCGTGGACGGAGCAGAGGCAGATGCCTCGAAACGGAGCTGGTTCTTGTTCCTCCTCTTTCAGCCGGCGTCCATTCCTGGTCAACGCCCGGCTTCCCTCTCAACCTGGACTCGGACTCGGACTCGGGCTTGGACGAGGATGATGGCGATGGCTGGATGGTTTACGTAATGGCAGACTGGTCGGCTGGGTGCAGGCCAAGGAAAAGAAGGTAGTCTTGCCGTGCAATGTGTCGTCTCGTCTGATCTGGTCTGGTCTGGTGTCGTCTGGTGTCAATCGTGTTGTCGTCCGGACCGGCCTGTGTCTGCTTGTCGGGTGGCAAGGGAGTTTGGTCTGGCTTGTGTCGGTGGCTGGTCCGCGGTGGCGGATGTATTCTCAAGCGGTCGCAATCGAGGCTGAATGGGCCATCATTTGCAGCTCCAATCCAGGGACCCGTTAGGTTCAGCGCCCAAGTGTTAACCCGGTGATAAGCTTGTGGCGTCTTGTCTCATCCGGAATTGAATGGGCGGTCGGCGGGTAGGCGGCGTAGGCGACGGACTCTGAGGTCGAGGACTGGACCGATAGCTTCTGGAAGGGCTCCGACGGGCTCCAACAGCTCGACGTGAGGAGGGTTGGGCAGGCAAGGTTACACAGTGGGAGGGTTGCTTGTTCGCCCTCGAATGGATTTGCGGTGGTCGGTTGCGCAAAGGGCCTAAGCATGTGCAGCGCAGATAGAGGGCAGATAGAGGAGCAGATAGAGGAGCAGATAGAGGAGCAGATAGAGCAGATAGAGACTCTCCTCTCCGTACAACAGACAGACAGAGGAGGACAGGTGCCCACAGCAGTGGACTATTGGACTATTGGACTTGGACTATCTATCCTACAGTACAGCAAAAGCACCACAGAACCAGCAAGTCGGGGCTTTTTTTTTTCTTCACCATCTACGATAAGATAAGATTGAGATTGAGATCTGTGGTTGAGCTGGCGCGAACTCTCCTCAGCCCTTTCCCTTTACGAGGCTACGCACCCAGCAGATCACCACCACATTGACACAGTTAGCCGCGACACAAATGCGAGATGAGCAGGTGGCCACAAGGCCGACAGAGAGCCTCACCTCGCCACGCCTCGCCCCGCCCCGCCTGAACCTGAACCTGGCGCTCGCCTCTGCCCGCCTCTCGAGTCCATACAGTACACATATGCATGCACAATGGGACAAGGGGGGGAAAAAGAGGGGAGCCCCCCATGTCCACCCTTTTCCACAACAAGAAAAAGAAGAGTCCTCCCTAACCCTCTGACCCTCTGACCCTCTCTCGTCTATCAGAACCCACAATCTACAATGGAGATAAGCAATGGCTTACACCTCATTGGCCGCCTCCGTTGCCTCGTTTTTCCATCGTCCGCCTGGGCAGCCCGCACCGTCATCAGCTCAGCTTGTGCGTTGGGTTGGGTATCTACTGTACTCTACTATGTACAACCGGCCTGAGGTCAATTGACGTTGATGGACGGAGGTGGGGTGGGGGCCTGTGGCTATGGTACCGGTGAGGAACTTCCCCTCCTCTCGACTTGGGAGATGGCTCCTCGTCTCCTCATCTCCTCGTCTCCTCACCTCTGCTCTGTTCTCTGTGCGCTTAACTCGATGGAGGCTAGGGGCGCGTCAATTGCATGTGCCGTACATGCCCATACTCCAATGCCACTCTAACAACAAACCGTGCAGGTTACCTACGGGCATAGGCTTAGACTTAGGCTTAGGCATAGGCATAGGCATAGGCATACTGTATGCACAGGCATATCAAATCATACCATATCAATGTCAATATGATCCACTCCAACATGTGCTATAGCAGCCTCACCGGCTCTTAACCCAGGCTTCCGGGACATCTCGCCTGGAAACAAGGTTCGGTCTGGACCAGTCTACCCACCAGCCCACCGATGGACTCATCACCACCAATTCTAAACCTGGGCGTTGGCAACAAATAGCAGCCGGGTACCTCCGTCCGTCCCGCACTATCCGTCCGTTTTTTTTCTCACCGTCTGGATGCACTCGTCAGGGAGGACGCGGCCAAGGGGCTGGCTGCGACGACAAAGACCATTGCCTAGATGATGCAGATGATGCAGATGATGCACTGGACAAGACAATACTCGCCCCAAGACCCCCATGACGACACGACGTGCGCCGGAGTTATATTCCTTCGGGAAATATCATGCACGCACAGGGGCCCCGGACCCGAACTCGCGACCAAGAAACCCTCCAACAACCGCGCACCCCCTTTCATAGCCTCGGCGCAGTGAACAACAACAACAGCCGCAATCGCGTTTCAACCAAAAGCTTGTCGGCTTTGCCCCTGCGCTGGGCCTAGCCTCGCCCACGCCGCGCCGCAGTGTGCAGGTCCAGAACCCAACCCAACTCTCCCCCAGGGCATCCGATGGGGGGCCCGTGAGGTTGCGGCGCGACTCACCAAAAAAGTCGCCGGCGGAATGTCACGCTGATTCGGCCCGGCTCAAAACAGCTGAAAAAAACCCAAAAAAGCCATGCACAATGCGTAGAAGGCAGACACAGTATGAGCAAGTAGAGACAGCGAGAGTCGAGATATGCAATATCATTGGCAAGTTAAAAATAATGCTGGGGAGATCCTCCTGTGGGGGGCCCTGGTATCATGAACAATGTCTTCTATGGAAATTGTAAGACGACATGCAGACTCGGTGAAATGTGACCATATGCGTTGCTTTGCCATGAGGTGAGAGAGGAAACAAGAGGGAAAGCCAAAAAAACAAAAACCCATGAAGAAACAAGGAAATGAAACCTGTCCATATCCAATGCCAGTCGAAGCGAAAAATCTGTCTGCTGTTGCTGCTACTGCTCAAGGTAGCAGTGCTTTCCCTCCGTTGTACCCGTGATACCCGGATCAATCCAAAATCCTACCAAGCCTAAACCCAAGTCCGTCCCAATTCCGTCCGAGGAAAAAGAAAATAAAAAAGGAAAATGCCCTATTACTGGTTCCCAATCCATCCCTCCCTGCACCCTAGCCGTTTCCCCTGTTGTTGGCTGTGATGTCTGTTGTTTTTCCCTGGGCGCCGTGCTCGAAACATACAATAAAAAAAATGGACTTGGGGAAAAAGTGTCCGAACAAATACAACCATCTCGAACGATAAAATGATTTCCCTTGCTTTTCCCAATGTGCCCCCAAATTTTCTCTTTGCCCGAACGAATCCCTCTTGACCCACCAAAAAAGAAACCGTCTCTTTTTTTTTTGTCCCCCAAAAACTCTTGGTCTCGCGCTCGCGCTCTGATCAGAGGGAGAGGAAGAAAAATCTCTCTTCCTCCGCCTGGCAGGGGTTCCGGATAAAGCAAGGCAAAAGAAAAGATGAAAAAAGTAAAATCCGAGATGTGAAATCGGAAAAAGTGATATGGGGATCGTACCCGGTGGACCGTCTTTTTTGTGTTGCTCCGTGCTCCATCCATCCTTCTGGGAGGAAGAAATAAATAAAAAAAGTAAAGAAAAGGAGGAAATGGTCCAGAAAATAGCATGGGGAAAAGAAACCCCGTGACCCAGTCTACCACTCCATTAAACGCAAGCCGTTTCGCCCCAAAAAAAAAAGGAGGCAAAAGTAAAGACGGGAAAAAAGTAGAGAAATTCGTGAGTCGGCATTAGTCTCGCAGGAGCCCTGCAGCTCCTGACCAGTCGTCCGTTGCGGGCATGTCGATTCGCCTTGCAAATTTTCTTTGCTGTCGCGGTCACAGTCGGTCTGTGTGTAAATGTGTGTTGTGTAGGGCGGGCCTTGTCAAGCTCACAGGTCGACCTGGCTCGCGCGCCGCACCATGTCGATGCTCAGTCGCCCGGGCACGACCTCGGGCTGCAGCTCGCTGGCGGCCGCCACCGTGGCCGCCTCGTTGGCCGCCTCCTCGTCCTCGTCGACCTTCTCGGCGTCCATGCGGCCCTTGGGCTCCGTGATCTGGAAGCTGAAGAAAGCGCCGGCGATCGTGACGAAGCCGTTGCACCACCACGCTAGGCCCGAGTACCCGGTCGACAGGCCCACCGCGTACAGGGCGCCCGTGATGGTCGGCCCGAAGGCGCGGCACAGGCTCGCCGTCGAGGCCGCCACTCCGTTGATCGTCCCCAGCGTCTGCAGGGTCGGTGCAGAGTTCGTGAGCAGGATGGCGTTGCTGGGGTAGGCCATCGAGGAGAACGTGCAGCGCCAGACCACTGCGACGTACACGCCGATCATGCGCAGGTTGTCGGGCAGGAGGACGAGGTACGGCGTGAAGAAGTACAGGAAGAAGTAGGTCATGGCGAGGAGGCGGAAGAGGTGGAGGGTCCCGATGCGCTTAACAACGAATGGGAAGAGGAAGACGGTGGCGAAGAGCTGGTAGATGCCCTGGACGGACAGGATCAGGCCGATCGTTTTCTGGTCCAAGTCAAACCCGTCCACGAACTTGAACGGAAGGGAGATCGGCTGCGCTTCCTTCGGTGTGGGCGAGCTGAGAAATACGGGGAATAGCTGGTCGAAAGCCATGGTGTGGCTAAACAAGAATTGTTAGCTTGCAACAGACGGTCACAAATCCTCAGGGCCACCTACAATGCCAAAATTCCGTATGACACAATGTTCATGATCACAGGCCTCGTGAAAGCCTCTCTGGCGGGAATGCTGGCCTTCTCAGTCCTCTTGGTTGATGATCGCAGACGGTTGTCGACCACATCTGTGTCGAGCAGGGGTTGCGCCTCCATATCTGCCGCAGGAGTTGACGAAAGCACTGGTGAGTTCTCTGTTGTTCGGTAGTCTGGAAGGCTCTCGTGGCGGCTGAGCAGGGAGGAAGTCTCGGAAATACTGTCATCCTTGAGGTCCTCGCGCTTCCGCGAGAAGCGCCGCGTGATGCATTTGCCAAGGGCGAGTCCCGGATCGTGGCGGTTCTTCTTGTCGGCGTGCGTTTCCTCGAGGAACAGGATTCCAATGACAACACCAAAAACGCAAGTTGCCGCACTGAACAGGTTCG